TTACTTATAAGATTTAATAATAATACTATTATAAAGGGGGAGGGCTTAATAACTTTTAATAGTTAAAAATATAAAAGGGTATATAGGAATATTTAATAATTAATAATTAACATTTAAAATAACTATTAATATAATAGAGCTATTTTAAGGTTAAAAAGATACTTTAATATTAACTTATCCCTTTAATATTATTAAGACTTCTTTATAACCTTTACTTTATAATTTATCTTTAATAATTATATTATAAATTAAGATTTATTATAATTAATTAATAAGGATAGCTTTAATTAAATTATATATATAAAAAACCTTTAAAATAAAGGGGATTTTTTCCTTTAATTTATTAATTATAATAATATATTAAAGGAAGAAATAAGTATAATCTTATAGGGTTATATATCCCTAAGTAAATAATTATATAAGTTATCCTTATTTAAATTAAATTTATTCCGGGTTATTAGCTTTATATTTACTTTTAAAGATCCTTTTTACTTTATTTTAATTTATTATAAAATTAATTAAATATTAAATTATATACTTTTTAATTATTATTTTTATTTAATAGGAAAGTTAATTAATCTATTCTTTAAAGGGAAGTTAGTAAGATTTAAAGAGCTACTTTAATCCTTTAAACTATTTTATAACCTTATTATTATTAAAAAGGTTTTAAGGGTATAAAGTAAGGTTAGGGATAAAAGAATTAATAATATAAATAACTATAGGAATAGGCTTTTATAAAGCTATTATTTTATAAAATAATAAATTTAAAAAAGTAAATCTTTTAATTTTTAAGTTATTTAAAGTAATATTATTAAGCTTATTAATTAAATAATTATTAATAGGTATTAATATAAATAGTATTATTTAAATTTAAAGATTTTTACTTAATAATATAAGGAAATTAAATAAATAAAATAGTTTTAATTATAAGTTTATAATATTATAAAAACATCTTTTATAATAATTTAAAAAAATAAAAGTAATAAAGATTTTTAAAATTAAATATAAAGGTTTAACTATTTTATCTTTTATTATTTACTTCTTATTCTTTTATTTATTTATATAATAAGGTAAAAGTTTACTTAACTTTATTTATAAAGGCTTATATAATGTTTTATAAATAATTAAATTAGTTAAAAAAACTTAATAAAATAAAAAAAGGAAATATAAATTATAATTTATTATTTTTAAGTTAATATTTATTAATAGTTTAATTAATAATTTCTCTTTAAGTTGTTTTTAATTTATAAGCTATTTTAATAAGCTTATATTAATTTAATACTTTATATTATTTCTTTAGTTTTTATATTTTAAGTAATTTTATATAATAAGAATTAAAATAATTAATAGGGTGCTATATCCGGATGGTAAGATTTAGAAAATAAAAAAGGAAGCGGTAAGCTTTTTAAAAGTAAATGTTTAATATTTTATTTTTATAAGCTTCATTAACTAAAGTATTAATCTTTTATTTATAGGTTATACTTCGGGGAATATTAAATATTTTAATTTTATCTACTTTATTAAGAACATTAATGTAAAGGGAGCTAATGGATAACTAATAAGCAACAATAATAAATTAATAAACCTATACCCTCCTATTAAGAATTAAAAAATAATATATAAAAAGCTTTAATTAATAAATATAAAAGGTAAGGCAATGTATATTCTTTTTAAAGTACGTTGTAGTTTGTTTAATAAGTGTCCTTTATTTAGCTTATACTAGGGGTAACCTATATCTTATATATATAAAAGCAATGAAAAAAAATTAAAGTGAAGCGTCCGCCATATTCTTTCTTCCGTAATATTCATGCCCCTATTTCTAGCCCTATTATATTAATAACAATTATTAAATAATTATTAATTTTATTTTATATTAAACTTTTAAAAAAGCTATTAAAAAAGGTAAATAAATTATTATTTTTAAAGTTATTAATATTATTAATAATACTTTATTATTATTAATAATTTAAAAAGGTATAACACATCTCCCACTTGACCTGGCCACCTAATTGACCTGGCCACCCCCCTAGCCCATACAAATAACGTCGGTGCACTAATTACGTGATAATTTAATAACTTTATAAATATTAATTATATAAAATAATAAAATATACTATTAGATTTATAATAAAAAGAGCTATTTAACGGTACCCTTTACTAACTTTTACGACTTATATTTGCGGAGTTATTAAGCAATACGCTAAAGTAAGCGTTAAATTAATCCTTGCTTAGCGCCCCTTTAACGTATTGCTTAATATCTTACTTAATAAATTTTATAAAAAATAGTAAAAAATACCTTTGGATTTCCCTTAAACTAACGGATTTAACGGTACTAATTATTAAACCGTACAATTAGTACTTGCAAAGTTATTAAAGATTAAAGTAATGGGATTTTATATAGGTTATTGGGGTAGCCAGGTTAATTGGGTAGCTAGGTTAAGTGGGAAATGCGTTATAATAATTATAAATTATATATTAATAATAAATTTTTTTAAACCTACCTTTTAAATAAAATTTAACTTTTATTTTATAAACCTTATTATAATTATATATTATAGCTATTAAATGTTAAAATTTTTAATTTATTAAAAAAAAAGCTAAAAAATAAACTATAAAAAATACTTATAAACTATTTAAATATAAAGCCTTTAAAATAAAATATATTAATAATATATAAAGCTATATATAAAGATATAATAAAGTTAAATATATTAAAAAAAGTATAAAAAATAGTTAAAATATATTTAAAAAATTAATAAATATTATTATTTTTAAAATATATAATATTTAAAAAGAAAAGTATTATAAAGGTAATAATATTAATATTTATAATTAAAGAATAACCTATTATACTTAATTTATTAAAAATAACTTTTAAAATTATAATTAAAATACCCTTTAAAAGTTAATAATTATAAGCTAATATATAAAAATTAGCTTAAACCTTTCCTTTATTTAATAATTTATTATAAAAGCTATTTTTTATAAAGGTTAATAAGGCCTTTAATTAAAAGGTTAAAACTATTACGTTTTTATAAATAAAAATTAAAGCATTAAAAGTTAAACTTTAAAAAAACATTAAGGTTAAATAAAAATTAATTAAATTAAATCCTAATAATAACTTTATCTATATAATATATATATAAAAGTTAAAATATAAATTATATAATTATATAATAACGTATCTCCCACTTAACCTAGCCACCCAATTGACCTGGTTACCCTAATAACTTATATAAAACCCCATTATTTCAATCTTTAATAACTTTACAAATACTGGTCGTACGATTTAATAATTAATACCTTTAAATCCATTAATTAAAGGGGAATCCAGAGGTATTTTTTACTTCTTTTTATAAAATTTATTAAGCGAAATATAAAGCAATACGTTAAAGGGGCGCTAAGCAAGGATTAATTTAACGCTTACTTTAGCGTATTGCTTGATAACGCCACGAATATAGGTCTTATAAATTAATAAGGGGTACCATTAAATAGCTCTTTTTATTACGAATCCAATGGTATATCTTATTATTTTATACGATTAGTATTTGTAGAGTTATTAAATTATTACATGATTAGCGCACCGACGTTGTTTGTATGGACTAGGGGTGTGGCCAGGTCAATTGGGTGGCCAGGTCAAGTGGGAGATGCGTTATATATTAATAAAGCTATTAATTAATATATTTTAAAATATAAGGATATTAATATAAAAAATATTATTAAGGTTAAAAATAATAAATTTAATTAAAAATATTAAAAAAAGCATTATAAATAATATATTTATTAAGAAAATCGCTTTAAAAGTTGAGTAATTAGTAGGCAGGAGGGGTAGTCGTGACGGGGGGTGGTCGTGAGGCCGGGTTTTTGCTTGGACAAGGCTAAACGTGCAGTAGGTCCCACACTAAACGTGCAGTACTCAAGTGGTATCAGCTGTACTTCAGCTGCCTACGACATTTGTACACTGTATACATTGGAAAACACACCAAAATTGGGGTCTGGGCCATAATAGGTTATCGGGGGTTGCTAGCTACTCTTTTTTTCTAAATATATATTCTAGAAATATAATATCGATAAAATCGTTAAGTTTTACCTTTCTTTAAGTTCGAGAATCTTTATATGGACGATTTTACTATACGTAAATGTTAAAGGTAATAAAGTTATCGTAGAAGTAATGGAATTAAAGGATCGTAAGAGTTGAAGGTTAGAAGTTAGCTAACGGGGTAGGTATAGGTAGGTGTAGGTAGATAGTATGAGAAAAACGGCATCAGTGGCGCGCTTCAGCCATTGACAACTGGCAGCAGCTGAATACTGCACGTTTAGTGTGGGACCTACTGCACGTTTAGCCTTGTCCTTTTGCTTACCCGTCGCTTTCTGAAGCAACGAGCAATAATCAGCATCGGGTATAACAACTGCTGCTAGACGAGCGCCGGAGGTAGGTTGAAAGTTTGGGATAGCATACATCAGGTTATTATTTAATATAGGCAATGTTTTAAAGATTTTGGTTTAAATTCCAGTGTTATTATGGAAACAATGTAGCTGATAAGAGTCGCAGCACTCATTGTTGGTAGATTTTCGTACACGAACGCGCGGCACGGGCGCTCAGTCATTATTGACATCGAATCTCTACAGACGCTGGGAAGGAATATACTTCATGTTATTTTTCAAGTATTAAATAACCAAAAGAGACTTCGACTAACATTTTCGTTCTTCAAAAGTAGGTTTTCGGTAGAATCAAGTGACTAGCCTACCGGTAAAATCACACAGTTAATATATCTTAAAACGATGGTAAATTATCTTAACGTCAAACTCTATACAAGCTCATACACACAATGTATTATTCAATCAGAAATAAATCTTTTCATGTATATCTTTTTATGTATATATCTGAAGACCAAGGGCCATCTTAAGTTATACTACTAAACTTCGCGCATATTGTTTCTTTATATAGAATTGTCTCATAACACCTTTGTTTATGATCTTGTCACGCATCCGGACATCCTCCCGTCGACATCATCGTCTAATTGCGACTACGAATTAAAATTAATCTATTGCACTGGAATTGAACTGGTATCATATTGTGTCTTTAGATATCTACAGGAAGGGGATGGTTTAGATCATTTTCAGATCTACAGGTTATCATGGATAGCCTGTTTCGCACGGAGGACGTTCCTTCGTCGCCGTGGGCGACAAGGTTCCCGATCGCGAATTGCACATTTACATGGGAAAACAAAAATCATTCAGTACTTGCGCCAAGGCATCCGACCGTAGCAGACCCAAAGTACTACAACCAAAACCCAGTCTTCTCTCGCGCTGATCTTCCTCAAACACCTCAAGACGAAGACCGAATTTTCTCCACCGAATACATGCAAAAAGCGCGTCTTCTGGGTCTCCAGACTTGGAAAGCCGCCGCATTGAATCATTACGCTTGCTTCTCGCCAAACACAATAGTATCCTCCGGGCACCAGCAGGTAGATAGAACTGCAGCGCCCCTCGCTTCCTATGTCTCTGTTTCATTGTCCGCACCAGCGCCTGTTGGAGATGAAGAGCCAAGAGTCCAAACCGTCGAAGAGGTGAATTTCGCAGCTTATATACGCGACAGAATAGAAGTCAATGAGAATGGATGGTTGCCCTTTTTGCGCAAGCATAGATGGTTTGACTGGAATCAGGCACACTCTACAGGCATCAAGATCTGGAGCGTGGATGATCCACCGCTGTGGGAACATCTCAGAGTCTGTCTCGAGTTGGTCAACCGCATCTTACAAGCACTTATTGAAGATAAACACCATGGTGGTAAGTGTTTATTACCTTCTCGATGATACCATACTACGATCTATGCTGAGGTAGCCGTAGTAGGTGCCTTTTTGTTTGAGCGCTAGCCATCAAACTTGCTATAAGAATGCTTATTTGAACTTTGCAAGTCACCCAATCGACTTAGAAAATCTGCTTAAAATTAATAGCTGCAAACGATTCTGTATGGTCGAGTAGCCTACTGGTCGGATTTTATCGACATATTCGGCCCGCCCCCTGCACCTAATGATTCAGTTCTCCTGAGCTATCAAACCGAACAGATAATTAGTCGAAAGAGGGGAGTTCCTTGCGAATGGGATCATGGTGAGTAAGACTGGCAATCATCGTCTCGTTTCCAGTAGGGGTTGAGAGAATCGGCATGTACTAACGCTTGATGTTATAGTCAACACGTACACCTCTGCAGCTTGGGAAGAGAGACTAATCAAGCTTACGAAGCGTGTGGTTTGGGGATTCCGAGGGCCAGACGGGCCTGAGGCTTCCACCCATACCTGTGTGATGGTAGACAACAAGCTGCCTAGTTCTTACAATGCAGCTATCTGTATGAGTACCAAAGCTTTAGAGAGTGGTATGGCAACCTTTTGCTTCTCCTTACTTAGCCTCTTGATCATGCTGATCTGATACTCCCTCGGCGCTTATGAGACATGGAAAATGAAGTAGATATTTTGATTTCTACGGTTCTCATAGCTAACAACCTACAGCAATCCATCGGCCTGGAACTCTAGGGGAGCTATGCATGGCTCAAGTTGACACTGCACTCACAGTAGGTTAATATATGTTCTATCAAGTTAAAGCCTATGAGCTAACCCGTAGTTGTTCAGATGATGCACGAAATTATGCACGTAATTGGTATCGTTCGTTACAAAGACGACGATTATATAGGAAACTGCTTGACACGGCAAAGAAGTGGTGCAGCGGCTCAAGAGCCTGTAAGGCAGTGCATTCTTTAAACAAAATTCCTGGAGTTGTATGAACTAATAAAGAGTTGCAAGTTTTTAGATGGTGAGGGAATTGCTGAACTTGGGCATTGTATGGACCAAGCATTCTTTGGGGGTACAAAAGCCCTTGCTCGTAAGTGTGCAACTCCGAGAAAAGAGAAAATAAGAATATCTTGGCACCCAATACTGATAACAACACAGCCCTAACAAAAACAGAAATCGTCCCACCAATGATATTCGCTATGAAAGAATTCCCGTTCCGAAGTTACAAGGGGCGATCGGCGCCGAGATCTGCGTTTCTGCGCCCTGATGCGACAAATACGTTTCATCATGTACCTCTCACTTGGGTCTCAAAAATGCTGTCCGAACATTTCTGGCAAGATCCAACATACCCGAGAAAAAGCGACAACTATTTTCACCGTAATTTCCTGTGCTCTTCTATAACGTCTAACAGTGCCAGAGTCACCAATGATGCCCAACCTCAGAACTTGCAAGGACTGCCATATAGCTATCCTGATGATGCACTAGTGATGGCGAATTGGAACGAGAGGCATCGTCTCTGGAATCACTTTCGTCGAGGATGGTATGATCGCGGGAAGAAATTAGTACGTAATCATTTAACTCCTATCCGAAATCTGTTTCTATAGGGCATTATTCGTCATGCCTTTGTGATGACATATTGGGGGGAGAATGGATCCATGCCATGATAAAAAGTCAAATCTTGGACATGACCATGCTAATTTAGGCGGTTCTAGTGGGACATGAGCCCGGTGTGTAGATTTGATTACCTTTAGTCAAAACCTTCAAAGCTAATCTAGATGAATCATCGAAGTGGAATGATATCGTGTCTCGCCTAAGGTGTGAAGAGTTCGCACTTGCTTACCAGAAACAAGATATAAAGGAATGCACCCGACTTGCGAACCAACTAGTTAATCGAGTTCGGTGGCAGAATCAGGCAGTGTACCTGAGGGATACGCCTTCATATACGAATAAGAGCCCGAATTGGGCTTGGCACGCCGTCGGTGAGTACGACCGTGTGGTATAATTAGCTGACCCGTTCGCTAAAACACGCCACCGCTAGGACTTCTCATGATGGCATCGCTCCCTATCCAAACCACGACCCTACCTGAAGGTACCAGGGGAAAAGATTACTCATACCGAATACTAACACCAAGCAAAGCATCTGCGAGTCAAGGCCACTTCAAGGAATTGACCGTTATTTCATTGAATGACCCCAAGAAGCCGGCTACGGGTATAGAACCCGACAAATTCTACGATCCGATACGGGCAAACGGACAGAAAATCGATTTCACCCAATTTGACTGTTTGTCACTAATTGATGACTTGTTGCAGATAATCGCAATACGACAAGGGGTTGTACATGGCAGGTTCATGGTTGCTATTATAAAAGCCAGAAGAGAACTTCAGGCCGACCGAACTGCATTGAGGGCCGAATATCCACGTGGCGCTGACAGAACAAAATGGGCATCGAAATGGTTTTTCGAGGTACCCCCATACGATAAGCGCTGCCATCATTGGAAAGACAACAAATGGGTACAACTACCGGTGCCTAAGTACAAAAACCCAGCCTCAGGTAAAGCATGACTAGAGACTGGTACTTGATCCATTTAACCGAAGAAGCAGTGGTGCTAAACATGCGTTGGAGAATTTCGACACTGATCGTTCAAGTAATACAGCCTCGTGCTTCAGGACAGTTACCAAGGGAGTAGCCTAGGACATCTACGCTGCTGCCAGTTCTTAAATGTTCCCAAAAGTATAAGCCAAGATTATAGACAAGCTTTATGAAGATATAGAAATAGAAACTCTCACCACAGTTTCGTTCCCGTAGCGCCATACCTTTACTCGCTTGTGTGCTGGTATAAGAGACTTTTACTAGCATTATGCATACATGGTGGTTAGGATATGGTGTTGTGATGATCCGCAGTTTTCCTTTATCAGTGCTCTGCTGACTCATCGTGGCGGTGCAGCGGTTGTATCCTGTGTGTGGCTAGGTAGCGTTTAATGCGTTTTACCTGGTAGAAATAGGAGACGATAAAAGGGGTAGTAGGTATTTGCGTTGAAGTGCTTCCGCACTCTGATTTACAGCTTCGCCAGCAAAGTTTTTCATGTAAGGCGAATAAGCTGGTCCTGCACCGTATTTTTACATGGGTTTGGATAATCCGCTACGCTGTAGGCTCTTCGTTACCTGGGCGCTGCATCTGCGGATTCGTTTCTCGATCAAGTCCCAGTTCTGCTTCAAATATTGACCTTTGCAGACTCATATCTCATGCAATCGGCTCAATCATTATAGCCGCTGCAGTTGCTGCGTTTTTTTGCTTCGTTCTAAGTGTGGTCATGAATAGACGGCATGTCCAAAAACTCCAGGCAGCTGGCGTGGTGAGTATGGCAAGGTCTTTGGGAAGGGCCTGTCCACCGAGGACTATTTCCAACTCATTGAAAATGACCCCTCGATCATGAATTAAATCCTATACTACACCCTCGCAGTCATCAAAAAGACCCTCCGCCCTTTCCCGCCTGCTGCTAGCCTGCGTGACGGTCGCCGCAACTTCTTCCTAGTTGATGAGGACGGTAAACAGTATCCGACGGATGAGTGCCACATCTGGACGCTCAGTTTAGCTATGCATCATCACCCGTCTGTCTTTTCCAAGCTAGAAGACTTCATTCTAGAACGATAGCTAGTCGATGCTAGTGTCCCCCTTTATCCAAGGATCGTGGCGGGAGTTTGAAAGGGGCCAACGCAGTTGTACCTGTCAAACATTCGCGTAGATGGAACTGAAAGCGGCATTTGTGATAACTGTGAAGACGTTTAATATCATTCCTGATTACGCGGAATGGGATGTTCTAAATTCTAGGAAGGGCAGCAACACTGTTAATGGAAACAGGGCATACCAAGCTGAGATGGGCGGCGGCGGGGAGGTTTCCAGTGCGGATGGAAGTTAGAGAATAGAGAATATGGTAGTACTATCACAGTAACCTGCCCGGATTCTAGACCGTGGATGTGCAGTCGTGTGGGGGAATAATTTCCCAAGTGTTCGCCGCGCTGAAATTACCGTGTAGGGTCGGCCTTTCAGAGCACCAAGACATTGCTTGGCAGCTCCGCTCCTTTGGAGCATCTCAGGTTTTCCGTGTCGTCAGAGAAGGGGGAAAGATGTTGAACTCGTTGACAGTTAAGCGAACACGTGTATCATCGGGCTGTAGACGTAGATTATAGGCGAATACAGTAGATCTGATCACTAGCATCGCCAATTACAATCGTATTTCCGGCGATTGCATCTTGCCTGGGGTATCTTGTTGTATGTCGATGGTCTTGGGGAATCCAGAGGTATGGCTCGCCGTTCTTCAAGATCCAGTCTCCAGCTGGAGAAATCCCGACTCCAGATAAGGTGCCTTCGATAACATTGTTCTTGTCATATTCTATCAAATCCCTAGGATCGTCTAGCGGTGCCCGTGTATCGTAAATACCGCGTGAAGTTTGTAGACCAGCTACCACCCATCGAGAAACCCATTCGAATCCGACAAGGCGTTTCAACAAAGCCCCCGTTGTCGCTTCCACTATCCAGATCTCGCCTTGAAGGAGTAGAACAATATGACTGTCGTCCGGTGAGAACATGAGAGTGTAGCAACTTTCTGCATTTGGTATGGTGTCTAAGCACCTATATGACCCTGTTGCTACATCAAAAATACAGACGGCGACCCGCAGTAGCGGTTCTTTCCTTATACGATCTGGAGATACAGTTCGTCGTGTCGTTGCCAATTTTGTGCCATCATTGGAGAGGGCCCAAGTCTCGCGTGATGGAATAGTGATAACACCAATGCAGGTTCCTGTGATCGCGTCCCTAATACTCACCGCCCGATTTCCATGCTGCCGTGCCCGTGTATCGCTTACCAAGTAGGTTCCGTTCTCAGAAAACGCAACACTATGCGGGTTTCTCCCGCTCTCGCATATCTCCCACAGGCGGCAGCCGGTAGCAGCGTCGAAAAGTTCTGTTACGTGTTTCACGTGTCCACCTGCAGGCGATGACTTGCCCCGCAACAATTGCTTACCATCAGGGGAAAATGTCATCGTGTCCCAGGGACCACCCCAGTCGTATGGCATTGCAATTCTACTCAAGCGTCGGTTCTTCACTAGGTCCCACACTTGGATATCCCCATCGTCGCCCGTAAATCCAAGGAAGTTACCGTCGGGAGAGAGGAAGGGTTTGGTTGGATAGTTGGTGGTTTGTGGCCATTTGCGCTTCTCGGGCTGTGTTCGGAGTGCTGCCATTTCAAACACCTGCACTGCCTTGTTTAGCGAGCTGGATACTAGCAAGGTGCTGTCAGGTGAGAACTCTAATACATCCCAATATTGTATAACGCCGGTCCATTGGGAAGGTATGATGGCCGGGCCGGTTGCAATAGCCCACTTCACTATTATTGTTTTATGCTTATCCCCTCTTGCTGCTATGTACTGGCCATCAGGCGACCAGGTTAATGATTCGGAAGGCTGGCCATCAGGGTAGTCGGTTGGCAGTTTTATGGCCCATGATCTATCTCCCCTTATGTCCCATATGCATAACTCTTCGGATTCTGTTAGATAATACGCCACAGCTTCCCCATCGAAGGACAACGCCACTGCACCCAGCCTTGGGTACCAGGGTGTTTTGTGCCGCTGCCTAGTCCGAGTATCTAGTATATTGACTCGGATCTTTCCTTTCTTCCGGTCCGCTGTTAACCATGCTGCACGCCGACCGTTTCCCGAGAGAGAAATCTGTGTATTTGTCTTGACGTGCACCACCTCTCTCGGCCTTCTTTTGACACATTCTCCCGTTGCGATATCCCAGATACATACTGCAGCGCAATTGTCAATTGATATAACGTTTTCATCATCACGAAAGGCGATTTTGGTCAACCAAGACCTGGGCTCGTTAGGATCACATGTGAGCGTTCGCTGCCATGCGCCCGTTAGTGTATCCCAGATACAAATTTCGTTACTGATTGAACTCGAAGCCAATAGTTCGCCATTAGGCGAAAATACGATTAATCCGATTCGCTTTTCATGATCCCCGAGGATATTCAGGCACTCGCCCGTTGTCACATCCCAGAACCTAATCGTACAATCATCGGACGCTGATGCCACATACTTTCCGTTGGGTGCAAACGCAAGAGAGCTGATTGGCGAGGTATGGCCTTCTAGCGTTTGGAGGCACGGGCTCCAGTGGCTTTCCGCGGTTGGGCTCATTAGCAGCCACTCTGGTTCCTTCAGAAAGAGCCGTCGGACAAGACTGCACGTTGGACTAAAGATAAGTGCAGAGCTGTACACTTGGAGCGGTGCGCTCTCGATCCCGACCCTGTTATGGTGTATAAACCTCCATGCATCGTATACCATATCAGATAAATCTTGAAATATCCCACTGCTCGTTTGTTGCGGGGACAGAATCTTTGTCAAGGCCGCAATGCCTGACCTTAGTTGTCTTAAGAGGCTGAGAGCCTCGAACCAGTGTAAGAGGTGCTGTTCTAGAAACTGATACACCAATCTACCATCTTCAGCGTTCCTTTTCTTCATTAACTCGGCATCGACTAGATGATCAGCCCAGTACACGCAGGCATAACGTATTCCGCGTAGTGGGTCGGGGTTAGGGGCGTTGACATTGTCAAGACGGAATCCTATTGACGGTAGCTGGTACATATTTTCGCGTAAAGTGCCGGCCAAGGCTTGGATAGACTGTACGACTATTGCCCGATGCCCGGAAGCAAGGATGCCCTCAGGAAAGAGAGAATCGGGCATGTTTTTGGTCAGATAGTCTTTCGCTGACTGATGGACGAAGTAAATTGTGTCCTCCTTGACTGTCAAGAATGAACCGCATAATTCGATTATCTTTCGTAGCCATCTCTCCGCGATCATCTCGGGGCATTTGACCAGGGACAACAGCTCGGTTAGGGTGAGTGGCCGGTAAGCAAGCGTCTGAACAGCAAGAACTCGGCGGCAGAGTTCGGCTTCCTTCGAGGCGAAACAATGTGTCGCCATTTGTCCATAAAGTTCATTGAGCCCGGGTGGGAATTCATGGAGCATGTCAAGTACGCGCCATGGATAGGTATCCTCGCGATCAAGTATCTCGCAGACTAGTGCAACCCATAAGAATGTATTGCTGGAATAGGACTTCAAGTGCCGTTTGACTGTCTCCCGCGTTTCAATATCCAAGTCTTTCGACCTCTCCAGTCTCACGACTTTATCGTCGATATAGCGATCCACGGCATTTGAAATAGCCTCATCATTCAACTCCAGGTGCAGCGCTACCTTTTGTGTGGCATTGCTCAGTCCACTCTCAATGAGGGGCCAGTTGCGGCTAGAGATGAGTATTCTGATGCCCGACGATGATAGACTCGCAATCCATTTAATAAGCTGACTCCTGTCTTCCAAACACTCGTCTAGTGCATCCACCAGAATGTAAGTGATTTGCCGGCGCCTTTCCGTTTCCTCAATCAGAAGATTGAATATTCTGCAGAGTGCAGCCCACCCATTCAGATCTCGGAATAACTCGCTACTTGCCTGGTCGATGTCATCTCGAACCAAATCCAGTAAATCAGGCTGCTGAGAAATTAACGAGAATATGAGACCCTGTAGCACGAAGGTCGCCTTCCGCAGTTGAAAATTGGTGGCTTGGCAGAAAAAGTACGCAATGTTGCAACCACTCTTACGCGCTTCATTGAGCTCGTTGATAATTCCGCAAACCAACATTGTTTTTCCTTTCCCAGGATCGCCTCTGATCCATAAGAGTTGGTACCCCTCGCCATCACGCCATCTTAAAAAGTCCTCATAGCTCAGAATCCATTCGTATGAGGCACGTAGCAGGCCACCTTTCTGTTGTTCAATGCGTACCTTATCGTCTCGAGGGTCGGTTGATCGAACTTTCAGGAGAGTGGCGTTGTCCCGAGGTCCTGCAGCTTAGTAGATGTTAGCTCACAGCAAATGCGAATTAGGTGGCGGCATACTGATATGGATATCACGGCCGACCGTGAAAGGCCCCGAACTCTGAATGCCTTGGCCACGGAATTCGTTCATATTCCCAGTACTCAGACAAATACTACGGAAATCTTTAGTACTTCGGCAGACAAGTCGTGGAAGGCCAATCTGTTCTCTAAGGGTAGCTGAAAGCGTTGAAAATCTTGCAGAACGATAGCAGATTGGAACTAATATTGTCGTAGTTTGTGTGAAGTTCAGTTCCAGAAAATACTCGCGCAGCGCTCGAATCGAAATGTCGGGCTTAATGGTCTAGTCGCCCTACCAACACAAAGATGGTGACAACTAAATAATTATAAATCAATACAGACAAAATTGCAACGTTGACCTGGATCGAGCATCGAAGTTGATGGCGGCAGTGATGGAACTAGTCCTATTGCTCGAAAGTAAGGTAGCTTGCGAAATATCTATTCCTATTATCTCAGCTCGGAGAAGAGGGGTCACCATCTAATGCCTTCAGCCACCCCTTTAAAAGACTAACAACCCCTCGCTATGCAGCATTGATTAATTAATTAATTGATAGTGTTTAACGCCGTAGGGACTAATCTACATAGCAGTTAATCCAGGCCTCCGCAAGGGTATTGGGACATGGCAAGCTACCCACTACTATTTTATATATATAATAGCTTTAAAGCTATTTTCTTACTTTTTAAACGTATTAGGTTATAATTACGTATCTATTCCTTTTAGGACTTTTATGCCTTATACGTTCAGTTTGTTTCTTTTAAGCTTAGAACTTTATTTAGTATACCTAAAGGGGTTGGTATTGGTTATGGAGGGCAATGATGGACGCAACTCCGTATTCGGGGCGGTAATCTAGCCAGCCGCCGTTAAGCATCCGTAGTCCATTACAACCATTTACCGCTGGGGCTTATAGCTAGGCTGGGCTACGGTAGGTATATAATAGGTTGGCGGGTAGGTGGGCATGATGGCGGCAAGCAGGCTTATCGTCAAAGCTGGGGGGGGTGTTGTGCTTTTGGGTATACCAGTCCGCGTTGCATTTACAACTGCATATATTGGGAGGCTGTGCAGCATTGAGAGGTATCCATTGGCTGATTCATGCAGCGCTTATTTTGGAGATGTAAGGTGCCCATTGTCATGCTGTGTATGGGCTCTCCCCAGGGGGCCAAAAAGGTGCGATACGCCTCTGATATGCAAAGAATACGCAGGTTTGGGGGCTGAAACTTACTACAGTACCATACCCATCTAATTCGATACTCTAGCTATAAGGCTCAGCCCCAGCAGACTCGATTCAGGTCGGGCACCACCAGCATTCCGGTGATGCCATCCAGCGGGACGCAGGAACAACTACTTTGCGCGCACAAATTTATCTTCGTGATCTTTCATACTAAGTAGTGCGCTCAGTCTGAATAACCGAACAAATCCATTTAAACCAATTGGGATTGAGTGTAGGTACTACAATAAACAACACGCAACAAGCAACTATGGCGTCTTTAACCCAGAAGACTCGAGACGTATATACCGTCGGCATTCTTTGCGCTATGGACCTAGAACGGAATGCAGTCCGCTACATGCTAGATGAAGAGCACCGTCGCCTCCCAAGTCAGCCAGGCGATTCTAACAGCTACACTCTTGGTGAGCTCCACGGCCACAACGTGGTTCTGGCCTGTCTACCGAGTCAGCAGGGGAAAGGTGCCGCTGCGACCGTTGCCACGAACATGTCGCGTTCTTTTCCATCGATCAAATGGCGGTTATTCGTGGGAATTGGCGGCGGCGTCCCTAGCGATAAACATGACATTCGTCTTGGCGACGTAGTGATCAGCATGCCTGAAGGTGAGCATGCAGGCGTCGTTCAGTATGACCTAAAGAGGGAGACGAATTCAGGATTTGAATTAAAGGGGTTTCTGTGGCCACTGCCTGCTCTCCTTCGGAATGCTGCTCAGGATATGCGATCTGACCACCGTGGCCGAGACAATATGATCGAAGAGTACATAGAGGCCATGGTCAAGAAATGGCCGCGCATGCTTTCATATAAACAACCGATTGCGCCAGATGTCCTCTTCCACGCAGACTACCCCCATCCTCCTAGCGTACCAATCTGCAATGGCAACTGTGATCCTTCTCGAGCCGTCACACGGCCCACGCGTCAGTTCAAGGGTCCTGAAATTCACTACGGGCTGATTGCCTCCGGGGATAGTGTCATCAAAAACGCAACGACAAGAGATGAGCTTTCCCGTAGGTTCGCGGGTGATGTCCTCTGTTTCGAGATGGAAGCGGCCGGGTTGATGACTGAGTACCCGTCGATCGTGATTCGCGGCATTTCCGACTACGCGGATTCGCACAAGAACAACACTTGGCAGCATTACGCCGCCGCGACAGCAGCAGCCTGTGCGAAGGAGCTCTTGTCTTATATCAACCCTGAAGTCGCGGCAACTGAGCCAGCTCCCACACTTGGACATGAGCCACTAGCAAGCAATGTATTTACTGGTCAGGGTATACAAAGCACGGGAAGTGTCCACATTGGCAGAGATTTCAAGATTATTAGGTAGAGATGGCTATTTACTTGAACTTGTCGGTAATGAAGACGACCACTTTATGCAGGATAATTGCCATGCGTATTCAGAAACAGTAGTTCTTGAGTTAGCATATTGACGAGCAGCCGTCGTGTGTAACGTCCAGATTATGCCAACCCGCAGCAAAGACTGTGATGTATGCACGAACAGTCAGAGAAGAATATCAAATATTGGGGATCCCTTACTAAGACAGAGCAGCTAACTACAGCCGGACTAATTTAGCTGGGTAGGAATGCCGAAGAAAAGCTTATGGAACATGTTAGGTTATTGCAAGTGAATATACAATGCCTTTGTGTTGAATTTTTGAGATCGGAACCACGAAACAAAAAGAAAAAGAAAATATTGCAAACAATGCAGGTGTAGGAACATCACAATCAATTACAAATACAAGGAAGTCCTTCCTTATTTCCAATTACTCGTCCAGAGTCAAGCGATACCACTAATTAATTTTTCAGATCTTCTGTTTCAAGTTCCCATTTCCTGATTATCAGAAATCATGTCTCTACAGCCAAATAAGTATTCACAAGAGGTGAGCGGGCGGGCTCAACGACCACGTGAGTTTCAAATCGCCCCAGAAAGCGGTGCGTTCCTGTCTGCAAAGCATCAATACCTAGCCACCTTTAGGCACATAGAATGCACTACTAACATAGGATGCTCTACCTCTGCCTCTGTAGTCATCATGCCTCGTTCCAAGCAGGGAGACGAAAAAGGCCTCCGCCGATGGATGGAAGTTTGCAATGGGGGCTGTAATGAAATGAAACTGCCCAAAGGAGCCAGCTCAGGGGGCTTTTCAATTAGGGACAAGGCCATCGAAGCTGCCTTGTACGAGAGCACCCAAACAAACTGTCAAACTCTACACTCGCAACGGTCAGGAGCTCCTGAGATACTTAATTCACGTGTAGTGTGGTCTACCGACTCGCCTATTCCGGCCTATTTCTCTCCAAGCCACAACGGTCTCATACCTCACGGCCCCGAAGTAACGATGGGGCATCTAGCTCTCATGCAGGTAAGGGGTCACATAGACACCATACAAGTTGATTTTCAGACACCTCAGAGTTCAACCCAACGCTACAAAAGAGCAATTAGTAAGTTTTTTAACAGAGTCAGGTGGGTCGGCTAAAACCAAGGGGCCAATGTAGAGAAGCTGGTCTATCAGGTAGTTTCAAAATTTCCCCTTGTACAGGTGGTCAATATTAAGTCCTTAGTAAATTAAAAGTTGTCAAAGACGTCTTTTCGAACAAGAATAATTACTACCCTTCTTTCTTATCCTTAGACAATGCAGTATGGTAGTTCCAGCATTTCCTAACCTCCTTTTTTCGTTATTTCTTACCGTGACCTGGTCGGCTTGAAAGTGGGAAATAAATACCATACATGCATTCCGTCTTGGAAAGGGGCAGAAACCACGTAATCATTGAATGATATCAGGTATGCTATAGACAATACCCTAAACCGTCCCTAAGCTACATGTTCTCTCGCCTCCTGTTTCACTCTTATGACTATTTTCCCAACCGTTCTCTGACTGGCTAAAGCCTCGAAAGCCTTGAGAAGGTTAGCGACATAATTATTATAGATCTAATTACAAAAGGGGGGTCTTACCTTCAACGCATCGTCAATTTCGAATACAGAATCGATCGGAACCTCCTTGATGCAACCCTTTTCGAACCAATTGACTACTTCTAGAGCTGAGGACCCGGAGGGATTGCTAAAGACACTTGAGTAAGTCCTCGGAATCCCTCCTAAGAGCACGGGCCAGTGGTTGAACTTGAACTCTGCAATGAACCCCAAAGGCCCGTGTACAATGCTATGATATTTGCCATCGATCTTCAGATATCCCGGAGAACGATAGTATAGCGTATCGTTGCCGACGCAGTCAAAGATAGCGTCAAAAGGCCTGCACCCGGTGGAAGTGGCGAGAGAAGTAAGGTGGCCGTAGAGGTCATCATGAGCCGTATAGTCTACGACCTACAACAATATCAGCAATTAGAGCGTGTAATTTTGGAAAAGAGAGTATAAGGTCATGAAAACATGTGTCATGGCCCGTTAAACTTACTTCTTCAGCGCCTAGCCTGCGAACTAAATCCATGTTTCTTGAGGAACAGATCCCGGTAACATGTACCCCTATTCCGTGAAGCATCTGGGTTAGGATGCAACCTACTCCGCCGCTCGCACCATTGAGTAGGACCCTGTCCCCCTCTCGAAGATTTGCGGTGCGCAACATCACGATACTCGTTTGCCCAACGATACCAAAGAGGCCCGCTGCGACGCACTCCTCTACGCCATTGGGCTTTTCCACGACTATATGCGCGGGCACGACCAAGTACTCGGCTAGTGAGCCGACGCCACGTAGGATACTGGTCATTGGCACCGTGCCGGCAACAATCATTCCCGTGCGTATGCCTGTAGCCGACGTAGGAGAGAGCTGTCCAACCTGTACCACTTCTCCAACAAAATCCATACCGGCGATGGCGACTTTTCTGAAGGGGATGGAGTGGGCGATCATTTTGGGGTCTCCGGGGTTGATTGCCACATAGGAGACTTTAACCAGAATCTCTCCGGCTTTGGGCGGTGCAGGAGTCGGCCAATCCGTTTTCAATTGAAGAACATCTCGAAGTCTTCCAGATCCGAAGGCAACCCATGCCTTCATCGTTTGTGGAATATTGGTTTGAGGGGCCATCTTGGCGACGCTGGTGCAATGAGATGGGGTGCTGACCGATTCGTCATTATGTCCGGACTAGCAAAATGGGTAGCACCTTTATATATGCGAGGACTTAGGTTCGAACAATTGGAAGAGAATATCGTGATGAGTGTCTAGGAGTTGCAGCTGTCTGACGATGACATCGGCTTCGATAGATAGCGATTTCAAAGCTACGCTAATTAGCTTGACGCGTCGCCTAAAACGGCAATGCGAACCGCACAGGCTCCCGGAAGGGGAGGCAGATCCGCATCACGCTTATGAAGCGGGAATAGGGGTGGATTTTGTTGACTAAGGAGACTTGGCGCACCTGACTACTCGAACTTGCCATGCTAAACGATGCTAGATGGCGAGTGGCTATAATGCTGAATAATTCTACTGACTCTCTATTATTATCATCGGACCGAGCTATGCAGCATATGCGCACGAAGTCGAGCACATGGTTTCTAGGGGCAGTATTATGGTAGAGTCCAGAGAGTCTGCCTCATTGCCGAAAGATGAAGCACGCCCAAGTAAAGTGAAACATCGTTACTCGCGTACGCGAAGCGGCTGCCAACGCTGTCGTGCTCAACGTCGCAAATGTGCGTATCATCCCAATCCATTCGTGGATGAAGATCTTGGACTGATACATAAGGGAGCGCCTCAGGCGACGAAAGAAAGCCCCGGTGTGATCGCTGTCTCAACGCCAATGTCGCATGCACCTATGCCACGCATCTATCATTCAAACCCAAGAACTCTAGGATATTATCAAATGCATTCGGATCAACGCTGAACGGGACCTCAGAACATGTGAATACGTATCCTGCTATAGAGGCATGTCTGTATTCCCTACCTAATTGATGGAGTGCTGACGCCGGCTATCTAGTTCATCACTTTTGATCATGGCACGAGTGGCACAAAAGCTACCGATCATTCGCCCAGCTCATCTTGCGGTGAACGCCTCGTCAACCACGATCCACCAGTCAGTACATTTCAGGACCATGCTAGTCTAGAATCAGCTGAGGGCTGGCCACTCGTGGGGCGGAGTCCGCTTTCAAGTGCCGAGGCTGAGTTGTTGAAGTATTATAATCATCATATTGCTCCCTGGGTAAGGAAAGCCTATTCTCCAATTGTTTTCCGGCCCCTAACTTCAAGTCTGCCCGTTCTTCTAGCTAGACGTCTACGATGAAGGACGCACGTTTGGTCGCCATGTCACCAGACTAGCAATGACTTCCCCTTGTGTCCTCGAGCTGCTGTTACAAGTCTCGGCAGTATTTTCCAATCGTCCAATAGAAACTGTTACACGTCGCGGTGCCGGCCTTTTTCACTTCCAGGCCATGTCAAACCCATCAGATCTTGAATCTCCATCTGCTGCCCTCCAGTCGATCTCTTGTTTTGTCTTGGCGAGGACCCTTCTCTTTGTTGATAAGGTACCTGATTCGTGGGAACCAAGTTTTGAAGGGAGCGGGGCGTTTCGTTACTTTCGCAGATTCGACTTCAGCAACACGATTCAGCAGCAAATATGGTTCGCCTTTCTGACGTTGATCTTAAGACTAGGTATGTCAGAGTCTTTATGATGCTAGCATGGTGTCTCCCACTAATTGTCAGGGAAATGAAAAAGAGATCGCTTATTGTCTTGTGTATCAGCGAGCTCCGGTCTGGATCCCTGAACTTGCTCAACAAATCGAAGCAAGATTGGATGCGAAACCTATAGGCGAGGAAAAAGACCATCAGGTTCTCCATGCCTCTCTCAGATGTCTAGTGTTGCTTGTTCATGTGATGCAGCTTTGTATCACGCCTCCAGAAGCGGAACAACACATTACGGCATCGAGCATGAATACCTCTACTCGCGTCCAGAAATGGAAAGACATTTCAAAGGGGTTAAGTGAATGGTATCATAATCGTCCTCCGAATTTTGAACCATTAGTGGATGTTGCGAGTTCGGGAGATGCCTTTCCTACAGTAATATTCACAGATGGAGCTAGCATAGCTTCGAACACATTATATCACACAGCTATGTTGCTACTTCTCACCAGCAAGTCTAATCTATCGGCCTTCGAAAAAAATAATAAAGAAGATAACACAGACGTGACGCAGAGTTCTCCCGAATGGCACGCCCATCGAATATGCGGCATTGCCATAAGCAGTGAACCCGAATATGCCCGATCTTGGGGCCCTGAAACCATAGCGGCATTCTCACTCGCCGCACAGCATGCGAAACACAGCTCTCAACAAAACGACATTCTTAAATGTTTCGGTCAATTGAAAGCTGGAGGATGGCATATTGATGGTCTGGCTGATAAAGTAAGAAGCCAGTGGAAATCCGTTGGTCGATATGCCAGCGACTGATTTTGCTAACGATGCCCGGTCAATCGATTCGGCCAACTAAAAGTCTGGCTCTTCAATACCCAATTGATGCTATTACGGCTATATCGGAATCACATATCTTTAAGCTTGAATAGGACTCAAGCACGATGTCGCTCCTAACTCCCGATGAAATACGCGGCCAGTTTGAGAGCGATGACACCCGTCTAATTGGTGAGGGGACACGCTTCAAGGTTGTCAAGGATGGACAGGACTCAAGTGCAGCGATGAATCCGCCCAGTGTACTTCTACGCCTCAGAGACGTGGACTCAAGGGCATTAGATAATAGAGACAGAATGGAGAATGAGATACGAAATAGGATCACAAATCAACGTTACCGTCTTCATAACCTTAGTTTCGATGTCGTGAATGGTACGCTGAGGAAGTTTTGGGGGAACCAGAACGCCGTAAGGACTATCAATGAATGGAATGCCGCCATCGTAGCAGCAGAAGCAGAACTTTCTACTAAGAACTGTGCCTGGTTCGTAAGTTCAACTTCCGTGTCTTTCTGCCTTCAGTTGACAGCCGCATGGTCAAGCTTAGAAAAATGTCGCTCCATATTGGATTTTCTCTGTTGGGACCTGGTATTATGTTGGTTAATGACTTCTATCGTTGCGCGAGGGTCGTTCCAACCTTCTTGCGGGCAAAGCTGAAGCTATATACAGGAAGGGTTTCTTTGTTGCTTTACAGCCTTATAGCTGCCTTATAGCCTTTTGCCACTCTCATCAGTAGATATTTTCAACGTGCCTTCTTGCAGGTTGTGCTTTCAAGAAGCCCAAGGGGTAAAGTCACATATAGACCAAACAAGCTCACTCAAAGCCCACTCATTATAAATTCCCGGTAGGATTCAGATTTATAATTGAATGACACCGAGGTGCCGATTATAAATACTTACCTAACATGGAAAAGCTAAGGAAAAAGGCAACATATGTGCCCCTTGAGGCACGCTGTGAGGTTTTTACCAAATCAATGTATATTGTAAGACGGTAACCCCAAAACTCAATGCCGACTAATCCCTCTCGAGTCTCACTTGTAAGCCGCAGCCACCCCAGTGAGCGAGCGACTCGCTTGCATACTATTTGGCTAATTACTATTCACCACGCGTCGTAGCAACTTGAGAACAGGGTTAAGGCAAACACTACTAACAAGCTTAAAGAAGGAGATAAGGGGAAAGCCCCGGAGGTGGTTCTCGCAAGAAGCATCGAATGCCTAGAGAGTAGGCACGAGCTTACAGGACGAATATCGTCACAGCGTTTCTATAACGCAGTATGTTCAGAGGGGAGCTTCAGGGGTGGGATTATACGAGTGCTAATCGACTAGGACTTTGGCTTGGCTAATGGGTATCGTAATGGTCTTCGTAAAAAGTAACGTGAACACTGAAGTCCGGAAATAAGGCAGTGAGCATGATATAGTAGAAAATAAAAGATAACCAGAATGCTTATAGTCACGCTAAATCGAGGTCCGTAGAAGGTTGAATGGGTACCTAGGTATATTAGTCTTATATACAATATAGCATAGTTAAATTCTTGTCACTGCTGTGCACGCGCATAGTATTCTTTTTACTGTCATGACATTGACACTCTAGCTATAGTCAGTATCTCATCACAATACATAGTAGGTGAAGCCTACATGTACTACCTATGACTACTACGTATGTGGGTTTGTCAAAATGGTCGGAGATTTTTTACCCGGTGGTTTATATCCGGAATAATTAGACAGCCCCCGACCCGACGGCGATAACGGTAAATACCGGATGCGATCGTCGCGAGAGCGGTGCTTCGCGGAATGGTGCAAGGCAAAATCGCTTGCGCAATTTACACGTTGGTTGACGCCATCCGTATCTATCTTTTGACTTGATCAAAGAAACCGCGCGGTTCTTAATCATCTCTCATAATCTTCTACTCGACTCTTTTCCGTATTAACCCCCGACACCGCTTGGCAGGCTAGGCCTGTTCCATCATGCATACAACTGTCTGCTTACACCGTCTCCTTATCGATATTAAGATCGTAGCAGTTATTTGAAGTGACTAAGTTCCAATTTATGTATTTGTCAGCCCTCTATCGTCCGGACAGGACGAATATCTGCTGTCATCATGGCTCAAATCCATACCAAGACTCTTCATACGCTACCAGCCCTGGGCAACCAATATCCGCCCCTAACGGTTAACAGGGGCGCTTATGTTGACATTCGGAAGTATCTTGTGTGAATGCAACCCCCTTACATTTAGGACTACACTTGTCAGTCGAGACTGATAGTATATCGGTAACAGAGAACATCCCGATGTGGAGCATAATGCGGCGTTCGGAGCATGTTGTGGTAGCGATGGATTTCGGAGGGTCGGTAGTCGGGCCTCTAAAAGCTGTGCGTCTGTAGTTTGGCACAGAATTGTGATATATAGTGTGTCTGCCATCATGTGTCTTTCACCTTGTATTCAAGATCTTCGCGTTCAACTTAAATAACCATCTGTTGGCATTGTCTGTTTGTCTTTACCTCATTGATCACCCTGGTCCTTTTGCCAACTTCATCACTAGCGTTGCCCTTAAGTTGTCTTGGATCTCAAGATATTCAAGTTCTCGCTGTCATAATGTCGATTGAAATCCCTCTGAAGTACAAGCACTTGCTGGAGCCTGTCGACAATGTCGACAAGATCGATAACAGAACTGATGATGAAATAATCAACTCGCTCAGGGAGTACAAGCCTGTTACATCCGAGAAGAACATATGGACCTTTTGGGATAGTGGTATCGATGGCATGCCGGCTTGGTGCCGCCGTAACGTCGTAGGCTGGGTTCGCATCAGTGGACCTGAGTGGACTATCCGCATTGTCGACGACATTCCCGACTCTCCCAATTATGGCGGGAAGTTTATCCCCAAAGGGCTGCCTGATTCCTACTATGCAGGAACCATGGACGGCACCCATCCTGGGCCTCATAAGGCTGATTTCCTCCGAGGAGCGTGCATCTACGAATATGGAGGAGCATGGATAGACAGCAGCACTTTCTTGGTGAGGACGATCGACGATATATGCTGGGATGAGCTTGAGAATCCCGAGTCTCCATTTCGTGTAGCTGTTCCCGTGTTCTCTAGTGGTTTATTGAACTGCTTCATCGCTGCAAGAAAGCATGACCCATTCATCAAGCGATGGTAAGTAACAGGGCTGCGTGATTGTGCGTCTTGCGTAGTGGATACTAACACTGGATTCTAGGCAAGATATATTCATGGCTATATGGCAGGGCCACACCAATTCGAATGGATTGGCTAAGCATCCTTTGCTACAAGACATCATACCCCTTTGGTTGAAATTTTTTGAACCGCACATCAACGGCGGCATGGGTTTGACGGTAGACGTGGATAAAGTTACTGAGTATGCCGCTCAAATGCTGTGCTGGCAACGTGTTTTCATGCTCGAAGACGTCGGAGACGGATTCTCAGGGGCCGATTACTGGCCCAAGAACATTCTTCATATTAGGTGCATAGAAGAGCTTCTTCATGCCTTCTACGTGCCAGGGTCAGAAGTGCCCGATTTCAGGAGGGGAAAAGAACTATTCGAGCAATTCTCTCTCAAACGCGATGGACCCAAGGACTCGGCACAGTATCAAGCGGCAGAAAAGATGGTCTGGTCAGTGTTAACACAGTCATCTATGCTCAAGATAGGAACGATTAAAGGCATGGTGGACTGGGTATCCCTCAGTAATCTCTGGGCCCGTCCAGAGAACTTAGGGAAAGACTGTGAGCCTGGAACCTTTGTCGAGTTGCTGAGAATCGTCCCGCTACACTACAGGCAGCGCCGAAAAGGGATTAAGACTTTTGAGGGAAATAAATACCCTGTCACTCTCAAGAAGGGACATCTTGAGCCCTAAGCCAGCAGGGAATGAGTCCTCCTTGTCGGTCTCCTAGGACTATAACAGTCACCGATAGAGACTGGCTGACCTAGCTTTCACCGAGTCACCAATGGCTCAATTAAAGGCATTCAGAATAGAGCAATGTTGTTAGAATTCAGATTATAGACCAATTCCTAGTAAACTCAACTCAAATAAAATTGCAAGCTTCATACATGCTCACTAATGTATCGTTCTTGCGGGGTATTTAGGTCCTCTGCTAGCAAGTCTTTCATGTCTTTATATAATGTTAAATGTGAGATTTGTAATACTGAGTGCAAAGCTCTCCTGGAGTTCCCGATCATCACTAACATAAGGCGACACGTCGAATCCCTTGATTTATCTCGAAATACATACCCGCAAGTCCCTGCGGATTACGAAGAGTTTAATGCAAACCGCCTGAAAAATGGCATCAGCGCTTAATGACATCCATAAAGATTGTATAGACTTTGTGAATAACTTATGAGTATGTCTATGTGAGTATTGGCCAAGAGGTATGAGGCATTTGATTAGTATTGGAGGGAAACGGGTGATCAAAGTTATCACTAGCAATATCAAAATAGTCATCAATTGCGTGCAGACTATACTTACATGCTCCGAAAGTAGGACTTCGGGCTAGGTTTAGGTAATCCGACGATAAAACTCAATTTACGATGCGAATTTGTAGGGCATAGAAGCGTAAGTATACCTTCGTTCAGGACACACACCGATGAGTATTTCACATATAAATGTTGGTTTAGAAATCAGGATGGGATTTTCTGACTGGGAGTTACATCTTACCTTGCACAGCCTCTAGTCCAGAGAGGTTGAGTAGCTCTTAACATATGCGGTCACTGTTCTATGTTTGCGGCTAAGATCTGTAAGGCATCGGCCAGTTTCTATGGCGAGTAGATTATCTTATAGAGTGACAAGTCATACTTATTAACAACGCTCGAATGTGATAAATGAGGGAAACTACCCGACTGAAGGCACTACGAGTTGGTGTATGCTATGTCTCGACTGGCCTTGCTCACAATGCCGTGATGTAATATTGAATTCCTAAGGGCATCTTGAGTGACCTCTTCATGTCACCTGAGAAAGTAGATAAGATTGGAAGTAAACAATTTGAGTTTATATTCTAGGTTGGCCAGTGAAACTCAACCAAGGGGCTTCGGCGACTATTTCACCACGCCGTAGTATCGCAAGCACCAATACCTTTTGATTAGGACGTTAATACATCGTATGCTGTACCAGAAAAGCCCTGTATCACAGTATCTTATGAACTGGGTGTTATACAGTAAAATACATATAACTCTTACTACAGGGTCGATATAATTATCTCTTCATGTGCGATTGAACTCTGGATGGTCAACTCTGTGTCTTGCATCTTTGTATCCGGCTTGTGGAATCCTGCCTTATGTGCGAAACGTTCAACTGCAGCTGACGCAACGCAACGCATCTTATGCGTGCCAGGAGATAAAGCCGTCGATTCGAGGTGAAATGCGCATAATCTCATTATCATTTGAGAAGGTTGGATGCGTGCCTAGTGTTGGCTCTGAGACGAAGGCTGGCAGCTTTCGCGTGTTCAAAAGTTCGGTGACGAACTGCTCAGATCTGATTTCTGCCATATTCCTTGGGAAGGTCCATACCAACCCTCCGCGCACTAAGTCTGATCCTCTCTTCTTCTTCCATGTTCATACCGGGGTTGTATCGTTCCAAAAGGGTAGTATACTGGCGCTGGGCTTTCAGGTACTGTATTAGCTGCTCAGCTTGGGCGATGGCGCTGTCTTGGGAGGCATCATTGGAGAAGCTCTGTCGCAGTTTCTGGTGAAGAGGGGACCTAGAGGCTGTCGACGAAAGCGGCCTGGGGGGTAGCTCTCGCAGTAAGGATCGGTATAAAGAGCGCAAATGTGCTGGTTGCGCCATGGTCGCTTCGGTGGTTGAAGATTGGGTGGCACGAGGTCGAACAAAAGGTACTTGGGAGTAAGATGCTACCGAGCAGGGGACTCAGGCATGGGATCACGATAAGATCATACAGCTGTCCCGATAAGACGCGATAAAACCTGATAAGATAAGATAAGATAAGATAAGATAAGATAAGATAATACCTGATGATGCAGCTGTTGGAAGCGGGTAGGCAAATGGACGGCATACTTAGCACAACACCTCTGTGGAAGCAATAGTATTTGGGGGCCGAGTCGCGGGAGAAGAAGAGAAATATTCACTCGAGATGTGTCTGATATGCCACTAATGCCGCGATGGCATATGCGACATCTCTTCAATTTAGGACGCTGCTGACATTGCCCACTGCGCTCCGCCCATTACTACTCAGCACAATTTCACCATCGGGACTACAATACATTCAATCCCGAATGTTCTGCGCTTCCCCTCTTCAGTACAGAAGAGCCAAGTATCCTAATGTTGCCGCATTTACCATACCGGAATTTAGAACGTCCTCGATTTCTGGGGTTACCCGTGACAAATTATTCAAGACTTCGTCGCTGTTGTCCGCGCCTGGCCAGCCCCTAGAGGAGGAGTTGACTAAACTATACGCAGACAACCCAGCCACCTTTATATATGCGGAGTCCGACTTCTACACTTTGAAGAAGAACACGCGCGTTCCCGAAGTGTGCATATTAGGTCGTTCGAATGTTGGCAAGTCATCCTTCGTTAACGCGCTCGCCATGCGCCGAAGCGATGCCCTGGCACGCGTCAGCAGCAAAGCCGGGAAGACGAGGTCGATGAATATGTATGGCTTTGGCCCTGCTCCAACGGTCAAAGAACTGCAAGCCCAGGGGTCTAAATACAAAGATGAGGACATACCAACTCATACATTTCATGTGGTCGATATGCCTGGGTATGGGCACGCATCACAGGAAGAATGGGGAAAGAATATTGCCTTATACATGAGTAAGAGACAGGCTGTGAAGGGGGCTATCGTTTTGATCGATGCAGAAGTCGGCCCGAAAGACTCCGACTTCCATCTGCTCCAGCTTCTCAGCGCTGCTCAGTTGAAGACAGCGATCGTCTTGACAAAAGCAGACAAAGTCAAGACAGGGTGGTTGGGTTTACATCAAACGTGTACAAAAATTGTGAAAGGTATTCTCGCTATCGAAGCCCAGATTACGGAGGGCACCTGGACTTGGGAGCGAGAGATCTATGTTACTGCTGTGGGTGCAAGAGACGCCGCCGTGGCACATTCAACGGTAACTACAGCTAGGCTGGCTGTGGCTCGATTAGCTGGGCTTGTGAAAGATGAGCGACCTAATGTGGAAAGGAACACGAGATGGTCGGGCAAGATGGTTTCATTCGACGACCTGCAACTTGCCCCTAGTACTGCCCATGGTTCTCCGAAAGATGACCACTATACAAACATTTCCAACCAGCCGACGCAAGACACGCCTTCTCGATTAAACGCTAGATCAGAACCACCTTTGTCCAGAAATTCTTTTGCAGACCTCGAGCACGCTGCAACCGCACACGGTAATGGTAGAGCTCGGAATTACGCAAGGTCAAGGCCTCAGAGCTTGAGGAAGGGCAATCGCGCGCATGCTCGCACATTCCATACTAAGGTGGCTCAACGAGGCAAACCAGCGCCTAAACAGCTAATACGCGCGGAGTTGGATGTCGTCCTCGGCGATTTTATAAAAACACTCAAAACGGACACCCCTCGCGATCAGGTACGCCGTCTACAGCAGGAGCGCGAGAGGCGCCCGCCAAAGCTCTTCCGAATTTCTTTCAAAAAGCGACAAAAGCGTCTAGCGCTTCACTTACAGCGGCAGTTTCCGGAACAAACGACGCGAACCCGTGCAGTCCTGGTTCAACGACTAGGGATCGAAGAACGCCGCCGCCAAGCTATGAATATTAGACAGGCCGAGTCCCAGATGCTCGTCGAATCTGAATGGCCCGTAGGGGAGGATGTGGGGAGCTCAATGGACGCCAATCATTTCATGGGGGTGAATGAATTTGATGAGGCATTTGCAGCTTCGAAAGGGTTCCCAAGTGACAAGAGCAAGAAAGGCATAGCTAAGTGAGCCGAATGAATCGATCAGCTCGATCCATCGTCCGATCCTCTCAATGCTAAATTGGCACAGCGGAAGTCTTAGCCCTGTATATGTCCTGTGTAAATCAGATTATACTAGAACTGAGTTTAAACTAAGATAGAATACATACTTGAATATGTATATGTATCAACACCAAAAAAATAATGCTAGCATATCTCATCACTTGTATATTCAAGCTATGTGTTGAATTTTATACACAGGTGGTTTTATGTACAAAGCCAAGAAAGCCAGCTTTGGCGATCCAATGCATCATCAATCCAACGCTTGAATCGTCTTAAACTAAAAGTCTACATGACATGAAGCTTCGAAGGTTAAGCTTTAGTCTTCTTATGCTTAGGTCTCTTGCCTCTCTCTAAATCTCCTTGGGGCTCTGCCCTGAATGAGTGATTTGGGACAAATATATCAACAAGATTGTCCCAAAACCCAATGTCGTATATGTTTTCCATGTCGCGCAGATGCCATACTCGCTCCCAAGGACCCTCACCAGGGGGTGCCATATCGTTTGGTGGCTCGCCGTCTTCTGTGCGCACAAGGATCTGCGCTGGTTCGACGGGCCATCTCGTCCAAGTAGCCTCGAACCGGGGGTGACGGTTTCGTTGGACGGGCAGGCGGCGTCGGAAAGCGAAACCGTCCGTCATTTCAGCTTGCCAATCCTGCCATTTCATGCTCTCGTTGGTGGTCGTACCGCAATAGATCAAGTAAATGTGGTATGCCAGCAAACCCCATACTAAAGGCGATGTCATAATAACAAGAAGGGTTACAGAGCCTACTCCTGCATCCCTCTGGATGCCATATGAAAGAAGGATGAAATAATGATGCCATGATTGTTGATGGTGTTTCCACAAAGAGAAGAGGCTACTGCGAGTTTGTGCATTCTCTGAGATCATGCGGAGGCCCAATACGCCACCGTAGGTTGTCAAAACTGCCGTCGATAATAGCAATAGCAAGAACCAATGCTGGTTGCCATACCCGACGCAGTTGTTAATGAAGACGCAATGGTGGTCGAGTCTAGCAACACAGCGCTTGCAGACCGCACAGTGCTTTGAACGTGGCGGCTTCAGTATCCTGCATGTTCGGCATTCCTGGCCAGGATGAAACAGTGTAAAGTCGTAAGGATAAAGCGACATGTAGTGCGTATGGGTTGCTGCCGTGATCACACCGGGATCACTATATGCCGCCAGGTATAAAAACACATAGGGCAAGATAATGACGATTGCCCCTGCAACCTGATGAAATCCGTTTAATCGCGGCCATGCTCCTGGCAGATACAAGATTTCGCCGACGGACAACAACAAGATATAGAATATCAATACAGTCGGATGCCGTCCGTACCAGACAGAGTGGCCAAACGCGCCGGCAGATGCAATGATGCGGCCACCAGTGAGTGCTTGGTCAAGCGCCAAGACACCGTTAGGCATGTAAACCCATAATGCTCTGTACATCCAGGCGATGGGAGTGCGCCTTTACAGCATGACGTCAGCGGAGTTCTCTGTGACCAAGTGATGGCCTGATAAGCTTCCATGCGCGTTATGTGGCTGACCGCGTGGACGAAATGACAGGCGCTAGCGTCTGCCAGTCACAACCTTGGGAATTTGAGAATTTGATAGGAGCCCAATAATAACAACAATAATAATAATAATCCTACTGACCTTAGCGCGGGGAGCCGACCGAAGAAGGCTACAAATGTCATGAACGAGATGGCCAGGACGACCGTGGCCACCTTGGCTATGAGCCCCATGGCGGGAAAAGTCCAGAATAAGTCGGCAATATCGATGCGCTGTCTCGGGGCTTGAACGGATCTATCATGGCAGAGTCTCTCTTGCTGATTCCTGCTACAAAGCCATCTGAAGTGTGGCCAGATCCGTGTCGCCGGCCGGTATCAAAATGCACTGCCAGAACGGACAGAGAAATCGAACTGAGGGCAGAGTCTAGTCTAGCAGTATGGTCTTAAAACCAAGCCTACTGTAAGTTGCAGGAAGTAGTGAGAAAAGAATCATCAGGCTCGACCTAGCTTTACCATTGGAGTTACCAAAGGGAAAAGTGATTCCCTAACATCCACAGCTCGCTGCTGACTCGTCCTTCGTGATTTGTGTCGCGGATGGGTCGGCCGTCTGTTACGCACCCGCACCCGCCTAAAGGTCGCTTTGAAGGATACGGCCCGCTAAAGACGGACCTATGCATTTAAAGGAGAGCCCCGCTACCCCGTTTCGTTAAGTAAATGGCCGCAAACTTCCACGTGATGGTTTCCCAAGTAGGAAATCGCGATCTTGCATCACGCGTCTTTGTGAAACGGAATCCACGAGACTTATGTGCTGCGGTTTGCTCTGCCTGACCTCGTTCGCGTTGTTCTATTTCAAGACTATAAAGTGCAGCCATGACCGAGTACTTCTCTCCGCGCCGTATCCCATTCCGGAAGCTGATGACATGGTTCTACCTTTGATCAAACTCACTGAATGTACCCAAACGCTTACCTTGCAATTCCGGCACTTGCAGCCAGTTACATCGAGCTCGTTCCAGCACAGGCGTAATAGCGCCATCAAAATCCATCACTTTACACAACTATACTTAACTCCCCTTGGCTTGCCAGTGGAATGAGTTCAACTGATTGCGCGAGCAATTCATTCTTAGCCTCAAATAACCCTGCCTGTCTCCTTCACATCCTGGAAGCGTAGTGTGGAACCAACAAATTCAAATGAGCGCGCCAGGGATAACATATTCCGGTGTGCTTGCTGAGAAGGGTGCCAACAGCAGTACAGATGTCGGCGCGGGGGTTTTTCGAGGGCTCAAATTCTGGGTTACAGCCCGTGTCCCTCACCGAAAAGCCTGCGTTGACACTATAGAGGTATGGAACATTGCGGCGATCCTTGTTTCCCAACCTGTGATCCAAGAGCTGATACTGTCCTAGAAAAATGGTGGCACCGTAATTCTTAAAGAAGGAAATGCCGATTTACTTATTTGCGACCCTGCAAAGCAGCCTGTGCCTGGTTCATACTCATATCAACTCGTCTCAGATGCCATTAAAGAGGGTTCCCTCGACTCGAAAGATAATTACTTATGCGAGTCGCTAGCGGCTAGTTCTGGTATCTCTAATAAGCCAGCCCCCAAAACCAAGCTCACCAGGGTCGCTTTCACAGAGGACGATGATAGCATCTTGACCAAGTATGTCCTAGAAATGGAGCGTTTGGGATATTCTACTTCTGGTAATGAAATATACAGGCAATTTGCGGAGGAAGTGAGTTTTTAACCCGTCGCACTATTCCGTCGATACACTGGCTTACTCATTGAAGCACACGCGGCATACCTGGCAATCGTGGCGAGACCGGTGGGCTAAGAAGTTAAAAAACCTCCCCCATCCATCGTTTTCAGACAGAGACCAATCGCCAAAAGTAAAAACGGCAGCAGTAGCTCCGAGTCAGGGTGTTACTGCTAGCAGCAGCCCTGTTGCTAGATCGAGGGCTCGGTTCACCACTGAAGAAGACGAGATCCTCCTGGAAACTATCCATCATGCGATTGAAAACCATGAAGCTTGGAATGGGTACCCACCATATAAGCGACTAGCTAGTGAGGTCGGTATAAAATTATCCCTTGATCAAGGCGACATCTAACATTGACTAGCTCCCTCAACGCACATATTCATCGTGGCGAGACCGCGCCTTGAATCACGTAGCAAGGCAATATAAGGATCAGATCGCACAATGGGAATTCGAGGCTGGATTCTCCCCAAGTGACAATGCAGATCCACCTGTCGATGGCGTTGACAGCCAAGGAACTCCAACAACCGAGAACAAGTCAGAAGTCACAGTCCAGTCAAGCGGGAATTTACTATTAGAAGCTGCTGGTTCGCCCAAAGAAACTGATCCTCACAAGAGCGTGGGTGTGAATGGTAGTTTGCAAGATCGGAACGCAGCATCATCCGCTATCCATGGACTCAGATCTCCCGAAACATCTACAGGTTTAAAGCACACACTTAGAAGCGAGGCATTAAGTTATTCGGCTTCGTCCCCAATACTAAGGCCCCCCGAATCCATAGAGGATAGCCTAATTACAACGGAAGGCCAATTCTATCGCGATTACAATACTTTCCTAGACACTGTTGGTATTGCAGAGAGGCAGATTCCTACTATTCGAGGCAAAGCTATATCTCTCTGGGGCCTTTGGCAGTCAGTCCGCTCGAAAAAGGTCGAGATTACGGAACTTGACTGGCAACAAATTGCCGAGGACTTAGGCTTTGATTGGGTTTCAATGGAAACAGTTCCCGAGGAGCTTCAACAATGCTATGAAGAACATCTTGCGCCCTTCGCAGATGCTGTGATGAATTTCAACGACTCCAGTGAAGATGAAGAAGTGATTGAAGGAGATGCTGACGTAGAAACCGATGCCCTCTTACCATCTTCACCCCCAGTTCTCCCATCTCTGAAACGGTCTTTTCCTCCCTCAAGCTCGGCGTTTGTCTTACAGACCTCACCAAAAAGGAGAAGAATAGATCGCACACATGAGATACCGTCAACTCCCGAGCATGAGGAAAGGATGCGGAACTTGAGATCATCAATCGGCCCTAGTAACACACCCACGAAGTCCCGACTTGGCCATTCTATTGTTACTGAGCCAGCTATGGAGAGACAGGCACAATCGAGCGCCCGAGACGCTGGCGAAATTACTGATAGACTAGGGCACACACAAGGGCAAAAACGACAGGTAGAACCAGAAACACAGGATTTTCGATTTGGTCCCGATACTCAAGCGCATTCGCATGGCGAAGGTCCAGACGATGCTGGCAGTGATTCTGATAGAGACACAACGCCGTCACAGCAACTTCGTTTAGAATCTGATAGCGCGTCCCCCAAGATAAAACAAAATAACCCAATTTTAACCTCACCTGGCCAGGGAATTGTCCAATTCACCCCGGCACCGAACCACAAAATTCGGGTCCCCTTCCAGTTGGATGACTCAGATGAGGACGTTGTACAGCGGAGTAATAAGGAGAGCGGGAATACATGTACATCACTTCCTACCGAGCAGGCACAACCGAAGCGGCGAACCTTACCTTCATCCTTTCTATCCAAATCCCCTGGCAGCCTAGCGACTCTACACAATGATCAAACATCATCTGCTCCAGTTCCCGAAACCGAACCGCGCCGGAGACCCTCCCCCCCTCAAGAGACGCCCGATGACATTATTGATCGTTTTGTCTCGTTGGGATACGGAAAGGATATCGTTCTTCGTTCCTTGAAGGCGACAAGCTGGATCATAGGCAACGCAGGTCAAGTCATGGAGATGCTGAAGCAAGGAGAGCCGCTACCCCCGAGGACTACTGGAGTCTGGACACAACGCGACGACGATTCGCTCGCGCTAGTATATTCGAAAGCCCCGCCTTCCACCGCAAAGGAGGAAAAGAAGCAACAGAAGGAAATGAAACGACTGCAGGCAAAACATGGGGCCGAGCAAATTGCACTACGCAAACAATATCTGCTAGATGAATTACCGGAGTAACGATTGTATGACCAGGACTTTAGATCTCTTCTACAGCGCGAGCTGGGTTTGTGGGCTATGTTATTCCTATTGTATCATGTACAGGCAGGGCGGCTGGCGCTAGCTTGGGACGATTATTTATTCTTTACGTGTTATGTAGGAGCCTGTCTGAGATACCCGGCTTCTTCGTATTTCTTGTTAGTTTCTTAGCCAGTATACCTAGGCATTGTATTTGCTTATGATAATCTACTTAGCTTCCATGCCATCAAGTGCAGCCTCGAGGGATGATTACTAGGTTGTACAATTTTTGTTCTTGTGCTCCTCCCATAGTTACATGCAATAGGTCGAATTTCGTAACACGTTGAGAAGACCAGCATCCGCGAAAGCGCAGTCCACATCTAGGTCGATCTTTTCAGTCTCTTCGTGAGAGGCAGTCATTCAATTCTCGTTCTAACGCGCTAAATTCAAGTTGACTATGTATGACACACCTTATTTGAACTAGATCAATATCGAAGAGAATCCGAGCACCCAGAACCGCAACATCTGCAATCCTATCATAGTAGCGACTGAATGAAATTGAATGCCTGTGTGCCGTACACGTTCACATAGCTCTGATGCGTGTTCGGGTCGTTGCCGTTGCAGCAGAACGGATCGCCGGCGTCGCAGTACGACTGGATGATGAAGGAGTTGGCAGGCGAGCACTGGAAGCCCTGGGGTCGGGCAGCGAACTATAGTTTCGAAGCTATTAGTGCCTATCCGCTATATTCCAATGTTCCTGTGTCTGTCGACTGCGGAAACGGATAGTGAAGCTTGGAAATGTGATAAGGGCGAGACTTACCCCTCCCGCTCTACATGTGCCCACGTTGAATGGCAAGCCTGCGACATTATGCGGATCGCCCATAAAGACCACCGCCTTCACGGCATTCAGCGCGGCGCCCGAGAGCGTGTTCCCTGCGCCGCCGCAGATGGCATTGTCCATTATTTGACCGCCCTGCATTCAAGACATGTTAGATACGCAATCCTGCTCCATCTCGCGAGTTTCGACGCACCTGCGAGTATCCGATGAGAACGATCTTGGTATTGGGACATCTCCTGTTCATGTCGTTCACGGCGGAGATCACGGCGGCCGTTCCCTGGTTGGCGGAGCTGTTGTAGTCGACGCCGCCGCATGACGCCTGGCCGCCACAGGCCGGATAGTTGATGGCTGAGGACTGGCTGCCTGGGTTCGCGGCCGTCACCATGTTCACGAGTCCACCTGCTGTGCCGAAGCCCGGGGGCGCTGTCGTCTCGCGCGCCCCGAAGACGAATACCCCCGGGCAGTTCTGGCGCTGCTCCAATCCAACCGGGTTCGCGGTCGCCGCGGCGACCAAGATGGGGAGAACAGCTGTGGACTTCATTTTCTATGTATAGCGACCGGCGCTCGTGTATTCTTGCTGCTGGTGGCGATGGTGATGTGCTCGTAAACTTATTCCCAGGAGCCAGCGGCGATCTCAACCAGGTCTATATTTATACCTGAGGGCAGCTGTCTGTCGCTTGCGCACATCGTGGGTCGCTTGTCTTGCAATAAGAGTTCCCCATTGTCGTCGTTCCATATTCAAAACGCCACGCCATTCTTTGGTGTTTCGGGCTCGAGCTTCGACTGAGTGTGCCTGGATTTTGACGTTGATGACAAAGGCGATGCAGGGTTCGGGTGCTGAGCTCTGACAACGGTATCCATAATATCTGTGACGGGTGGGTAAATAACCTGTGCTCTACGCGGAGCTGTTGGTTGATGTATTTACGACCTTGTCGGACTAGTGGCCGAGCGACAGGGGACACGAGCCATGTCTTGTGTCATACCTTGTCCTTACTATGTACTGAGTTCGTTCGAACTTCGGATCATGCCATCTCTGAATTACAGGGCTTTCCTTGTGTGCCATCCCAGTTCGATAGGTTGATCTACATTCCTATCTAACCTACCTAGTGTACTGTTCAGCCTGGAGAAGCTTACCTGCGGTTCTGCGAATAGAAGTAATCACGTTTTCTTTCCGTGTTAGAGATCTGCATTTTGGGCATTTACTATGTAAGCTAGTTAGTATATATTGTGCATAGATCTGTTACCTACTACTAGCTAAGAAGGTGGGAATTCGAGTTATGCTTTTGGTGAAGACCCCAGCAGTCGTTAGAGTTGGGGTAGAGCACCGGCGTCAATTAGCCACTTCTCCAGAATCTATGCTCATGTCATCGAAGAAAGAGCAAATACCTAGGTAGGTAGAAACCACTTTATTGATCTCGGATGCTTGAAGATGTAGTGTCTGGAAGTCTGGACATATTAACATTTAAGCTTAGATCAATCAAGTTGAAGAGTATATGTACCTACGAAGTCATGAAAGGTAGTAGCTACAGCGCTGTAGATATTTTTTTTTCTGACACAGTTCTCTAAATGTGAAAAAAGCACTTCTAATTGTCTATAATCGGCAGAGGAAATTTTTATCTAATATCTGTATTTTTCTACAGTATGTACTGCTCGCGATCCCATACTTGCCTATTAAGGCTTTTTCTACATTCAAGCTAGGAAATACTGATCGCCCTTAACTACTCAATGCTCACTGCTGAAGACGAATCCAATAGCCCTGGCTCATCCGTGATAAATCGATGGGAGAGTGGTGCAGGCGGCAGGCTACACGAAATGCCACGACAATAGATCACAGAGTATATGTTTTCCCTAGGCTGAAAGTCGCCAGAGCCACTTGTCAAAGCTATCCGCATCAAGGTTCCTCGGTCTGGCGGTCTTGGAAGTCCTCCATTTTGTTGAGTATGCATTGAACGTGGAGTGCTTGGTCGGATTCTGCATCAAGCTTTTAACCCACTGGGTTGCTGGACTATCCTCGCCCTCGCACTCAACTCGTGACATGTATGAACGTTCAGCAAACACACTTGCCCGAGCCTGGTCTCCGTGTGCAACACTAATTTGAAAAGCATCATAGTAGAGCCTTGCCAAGAGAGCGATCACTGCACCCGCATACTCCTTGTCAAGAATCTGGAGAAGGTTATGGCAGGCAGCCAGACTCTTTTGCGGGCTGTTCATCATGGCGACCGGGTCACCTATCGTTTCGTCGAGTCGCTGAATATCGGCACGTCGTTTGTCGCTTGCTTGAATCACCTGAGGAGATTGAGAACAAAGCTCACAGGAACATTGAAAACCAAAACTTTCTCTGAGCCTTTGCTGGCGAGTCTGCGATGATCCCTCGGCCGCATAAGAGATCAGGATCTCTTCTCCAACGAGGATGTCCCTGGTTGCATGTATCGTCTCATACTGGGCCGCTTCATTCCAATTATTATGGGCATTTGGGATACAGCTGTGATTGATGAAGCAAGCTGTTAGATATATACCTCCGACGGAAGAACCTGGGCCACAAGGGAGGGCATTAGTTCTGACGACGCCGGCGAAGGCATATGGGCCAGGAAAGTTGTTGTGCAAAGACAAGAACCCCCCTTGCTTATCTTTAGAAAGTAGCTTGAGCTTCTCGGCTACACAGCGATTCACGAACTCTGGCATCGAACTTTCTACTTTAAGAAGTGGTTTCTCGCAAAGGATTCGAGTACCTTTAGGGATGTCAACTGTGGCTACTAATCCTCTGCCTCGACCGGGGATCGTCATCACTTTGTAAAGGTTGGTATCGCAATCGGTGCCTTGGTTATTGACAGATGTAATGGGGATAGGCTCAGGAGTAGGAACTTCCTGAGAAAGGATTAGACAATCCATACGGCGGGGGACCGAAGGGTGTACATACTGACTCGTACGACTTGATCGACGCGTGGACGAAATCCCATCTATAGAAGCCAAACTCATCGCACAACTCGGTCCAGGGGCGGATCTGGCCTCCGAAAAAAGCCTTCGCCATAGACATTACTTCCCGGATATAATTTTCGACTCCGGTCTCTGCCGCAATTCTGCCTGTGATCTTCGAACTAAATCGCAAAAACTTGTGTCCTTCAATGGGAAGCGATGGCCATTCACCGGCCTTGAAATATATGACGCGCGAACCGACCTCAACTTGCCCATCGCCGGCATAGTGCTGCTTTACCACTTCGAGAAATCGCTCCCACTTCATACGGTCCTTGACTCCCTGTGACAACCGAGGAACCATATCGAATCCAGCATCTGCTCCCATCTTGAAATCTTTAGAGAGTGATCTCACACTTGCTGATTGTTGGGATTTTATGGTCTAAGAGATGAAATTCCAAGGGAGAGGAGTGCCGAAACATCAGGATGACTGTTTGTGGTTGATCTGTCACTTGGGCATATGTGCAGCTACCCGTCAGTTCTATGTCGTGTAACACCAAAATGCCGTATTTACTCCTCGATACACGAAGGTTCTCTTCATTAAATCTCCACAAACAAGTATGAAGCGCCATACATTGGAAGTGCCTAAGTTCTCCAAGCAGTTTGGACGCCTATTTCAGAAGACATGATATCTGCTTCCTTGGCGTCTCTTCCTATGTTGGAGGATCACATGGTTTGTCTATCCTCTGCGCCCATCACCGCGATCCTGAGCGACATATCAGGTATAACAAGTATCGTCCGCTGCGCTAGGGATTGACTGGCGCTGTTACTTATCGATCACTCAGACTGGCGCGCCAGATTCGAAACGCACTGGAACGTGCTCCTCGTGACTACAGGCACTACCCAACTGTCTAGTGCCGATGGTTCTGAGCTATAAGGTTGTTCAAATTTAATCCCCTACTCAAGTCAATGCCATGACACTCTCAAATCCGCGGTCTCCTCCCGGAGCCCACAGTAAATCTGACATCTCCGCCGAGCCGGCAAATCTCTCGCATGACTCTCAGCTCGCGCATGGTCTAGATTGTTGAGCCCAGGAGCTTGAAGTCATTTTCAACTCAAATGCATCGGTGAACGGGGCGCAGGAGAGCGTGCGCGGGAAGCCACAGTCATTGAGGCCATATCGAGGATCCAGTCATTGAATATGTGTACCTAGTGTTATGCCTTGATCATGTACATCGCTACCTAAAGCAAAGGGGTAGACAGCAATGTTGGCGGATGATTGATGACATAGTCAGCACGTTCGACAGTTAAGAATACCTATGCAAGCGTCTCTTGGATCTCTTGGACATCTTGGACACGCATTGCTTTGTCAGCAATCGGAGTGGTGAATTTGCTTCTTTCCTTATCTTCAGTGCCCAAATGCCCTGTACTGTAGCTCTATAACTTGGAACACGCAGAAAGGCATAGGTAGGCTCCGGGTAGACCCGATACACCCAGAGCTTGCTATGAGCAACAACGATGGCCCCATCTAGAATATCTTCTTCTCAATCTCAACTATACTTCGTCTTGGTCTTCGTACTCGAAGATATTTCGACGCGAAGCTCCTTATGCCAAGATGCTGAGGCTGCGAGCCGTGATGCTAAGCTTTCCCGATCCTCCGGGGCGCAGCAACTGCTACCGCAAGCGGTGAACCAATCAGACAATGGAATTGATGTCTATGTCAGCTCTCAATGGGCTGACCATAAGATGAAACTAGTGTGTACTAGGTAGATCATCCCTCTCGCTTTGTCTTACATATACTGTTGAGGCCGCCCAGCTGTTTGTTCCTTAAATCAGGTACGAGGTCGTCTCTTGCTTGTCCAAAGCACAACTTCGTCCGCTCCAACCCGATAGCCAGGCGCATAAACACAAGACCGAATACGTATATTGAACGCCGACAGCGTTGTGACTCCCAGAATGTCGAACCAGGGATATTACGGCGACGGGAGCTACCCTCCCCCTCACAGCCAATATCCGCCTCAATATCCGCCTCAAGACCCGCAACAAGACCGACAACAACAGTATCTTCGAGCGCAACAGTATCAACAGTTTCCAAATCATCCATACTCTCCATCAAACCAATACGCCACTCAAGGGCACTATCCCCCTCACCAAGGTCAAGGCCAACCCTACGGCGGTCCCTCTCCCTCACATTCTCCGTACCCACCACAGCAACAACCCTACGGGGCGCCTCCACAACAATACGGGTCCGCTTCGCCGTATCCAGGTCAGCCACCACACGATCCCCACGCGCCTCAAGGACACTACCCTCCCCAGGGCCAAGCCGGGCAATACATGCAGGGCGGTAGTCCTTACCCCCCACAGCAATACGATCCAGGCCATTCGCAGCAACATGGCGGTCAACAAGGCGATAGGGGTCTTGGCTCGATGCTCACCGGCGCGCTAGCAGGCAAGGCTGGCGGCGGCGCGTTAGGTGCTATTGGCGCCGCTGCTGCGGCACAGTATCTTGGAGGGAAGGCAAGTCACGGACAACCACTCGGCGGCGGGTCTAATTTCATACCCGCCGGCGTTGCTGGCTACGTCGCCGGACACGGAGGCAAGAAACATAAAAAGGAAAAGAAACACAAGGGACATAAAGGACACAAGCGCAGCAGCAGCTCTAGTAGCAATAGTAGCCGGAGCAGTAAGGGTAGCAACAGCAGCTAGAGTGACTGCAGACGGAGGGGCTAGTTATGATGGAGTATTTTCAGATACAATTACTTTGTCTCAAGGTGGGTTCCCGCCTTCTTGATAATCGTGTAAAGACTGCAAGATATTGTACAGAAGCAAGGTTCCGCGGGACACGTTCAATGACCTGGCGTCTGATGGAAACCCATGGGTCTCTTGATGCATTTCCCGAGCTGTACATGTTTCGTTTCCGAATCATCCATTCAAGTTGATCAGGGAAACTAGATTCGTAGGGCGGGGAACAGCCACTCTACACGTTTCAGCCATTCGCCCTTCGGCTCATCCATATGTGCTTCCAGCTCCCTGCGTACATGAACTTTCATCCAACCCAGTTTGTCAGTGATTTGCAGCTGTTGAATGTACTCCTTAGTGTCCTCGTCGTCGTTAAGACCATCCATCCGCCCATCCCAATCTTTTTCGCTGCCTGCTTTTGGGGCCCTGAGGTAGAGCCAAAGCAAGCGAACAAACATCCGAGGCAACAGTTCCCGTGCAGTACTACTGAAGAATTCGATGTTGTCAGGCACAATGTCAACGCGGCGATTGACGTTTCCCTGATTCATGTAGCGTAGCCCAATAGACACTGTGAAAGTGATTAGTAGCCACACTGAGGCATGGAAAGCTTCTAGAACGCATTCCATGTCTCCTAGGGCGTTGTGATGTTTATCAAACAGCCAAAGGAAGACTTGGGAACCAGGCGTGACAATCACTTACTAATCGAATATAGAGTATCTTGAGGTAGTATAGCGCCACGTATCGTTGCTTCCGCTTTCTCGCAGGCGCGATAATTCATGCGATACCGAATACTGTCTAGAAATTCTGACCTTCGCTCGACAAATGTGCATTCACGCATTTCGACGATTTCCCAGAAGTTTTGAATGTCCCTCTGCCTAGTCGCGCGCTCATGGCTGTAAGTGTCGTGCCAAGCCATCTCATCAAGCTTGAGCCAAAATTAGTAAGTTATCTCTTCAAATCTCTTGTCAACAAGGTATAGTTTGTGCCCACCTCGCGGTCCCAGATGCTGATCGTGTACACGGGTCTTTGTCTGTCGTTACCCCTGCGGATGAAGTGCTTGTGAATAAAGCATATGAAGCGATAACTAGCTGATTCTCCGTCGTATTGTTGCTCGGCACTTTGGCGGATGCTGTGCCATGGCTTGTCGAGATCGTCCAGAATATGGTAGTCGAGGTCTATGACTGGTCGAGGGACGTCCGCGTCTGCCATTGGGATCACTGTGATGGGGTGAAAGTACGCCCATGCTCGCTTCGCGGTCACCTGCGTGATGTTGTAGGCGTTCAACACTTTGACTATGGAGGTTTGGCGTGGAAGTCTCCCTTTCGCCAGGGCCTTGAGGACGGCAGTCAGGTCACCGATGTCGTCTTCGTCTAGGATGGGCAGGGACTTTGTTATGGCATCGTTGAACTGAAATATCCGAGGGTGAAACCCATCAGTGTCGGTCATCTTGGGAGTGTGGTTGAAGGCAGATGTAGAGATCTTGTTTTCGAGCGGTGCCAAAGACCTCTAGTCCACGGTTTCTCTTCGTCGCTCAAGGAGACTCTGGATGGCGTCTTCTTATCTTCTAAGGGATGTCATCCATCTTTGGCGTAATTAGACCCAAATACCGATGCTGCAGCTTGCTGCTCTTCTCCTCAACTTGAGTATCTATTATTTCTTTGAACGAAAGCTTTCTGGAGTCTGAAAGCGGATCATGTTGAAATGCCAAGAAAGACAAAGAACAGCGAGTATAAGCAACATTGATCGCCGACGACAAGAGTCTTTCGTACTCCTATACTACCTGTTCCTCGCACCTTCCTGGATGATTTTTAAAAGCAGGAAGGCACAAGACATGGATACGTCTAAAAGGGAAGGCCAGGAATTTCTGGAGTTGACTGTTAGTTCTAGAATATGACGTGCGAAAAAGTGAAAGGCACCGCTCCACAACTTTTGGTGGTTGTTTCTAATACCTTGATACTGCGTAAACAATGAGCTTTAGTCTTCTGGGCGCTTATCTAATTAGTCAAAGATTATAGACTTGTTTATTGTCACAACTTTTGATAAGGAGGCTAGTACCAGGATATCGGTGTGCAAAAGACTCTGGATATTCTGCCGGAAGCCCCAATTGCCCGACTGCCTACGTAACTAACTAATCAGGACTGCTGTACACATAGTTCTTCCTCCGCCATTATACTGTAACACTTGAAATGAAGTAGATCTAAATATCCTACCTTGAGCAAACCGTAAGAAAGCCCATGCTTCCCAGTAGCATTGTCCGTTTTGGGAACTCTGTTACTTGGATCGGTATTAGTTCCTCAGTTACACTAGGTGTCCACCCCTAATCTGGATCGGTAGAACCCAAAAGCTGGGGACTTCGCAATCTTAGGGCGACGGCGGCTAAAAAAGTCAGGCCATATTGACGCCCAAAGCCCGTCGGTCAGTCTTTTACAATGGTTCATACCATACAATGCCCCGGCGAGGCGCTCGCGTGGCTTGCATGGCTTCTTGTAGATTCCGCCTTGCGTTAGTAAGACCTGTACCATTCATTGAACACGTGGTGACTTGTCACAAGAGGATGAGCGTGAAGACTGGTGTACCTTCTTCCGCAAACGGTAACAAGGTCCCTTCTCAAAGAAGACATTAGTCAGTTTCGAGCTAGAATCTTTCTATAGTTCAACATCAACCGTGTCAATAAATCCATCTTCCTCCTTATCCCTGAAAGCCATACTGTGAACACTTTGCCCTAGCACCTTCGTTATAGGTTCGCCTCATGCAAAGAGACGTCACTGCCACGCTCACACCAGGAATCAATTCGATCCTTGATGAAGATCTCAACCTTAGGTTCTAGCCTCTCGATATCTTCGGCCGAGTCAAGGAGGCCACTCTTCACGGCCATACGTCCATCCATAACTTGAAGTCCCACAACGATGATCGTAGGGCACGTGGCGCAGAAATGGTAGGTGACGTCCAGGCCTGAGATTCCCTGACGGGTCCAGGTTCGCATCTCGCCACTAGTATGGCGGAACTATCCCCACGGATATATGAAATCAGTGTCTATCTACAGGTAGTAGTCGTGATTGTAGAGATGAGGTGATTGGGCATGTGTGATGTGCAAGGGGCCTACCTGTTCGGCTTCAATGAGAAGATTGGTACTGCCGTTTGCACCAGCGTATTTATGGCACGGGCCACAGTGACAGAGAACCTGCCGTTATGAATCAAGAATTCATTAGTCGCACTTCAACTACTTCTTATAATATGTCTTTTCCTGAATGAGCTCACTGCTGCGAGAGGTTCCCCAGTAATCTCGAACTTCACCACGCCACACATACAACTTCCTTGGAGCATGTTGAAGAATTTGTGTGGAACACGATCGCGATATCGGTAGCCCCGAGGTTGTCCAAGACTTCGTTAGGCCAATAGTGGTCGGATAATATCGCCGTTCTCGCTATTACTGACTTCAAGGACGAGTAAAAGGCTATTGCCTTATTCTAGAGGATAAAGCCCGTCTTTTATATTGATAAGAGCTACCTAGGTACACCCAACTTCCACGCATTGAACGGCATCTCTACGCCACAAGTACTAAAGAGAGCCGATACTGCCTTTGAGCTCTTGGCTCTGGATGAAAAGAAAATCTAGACGATAATGGTTGCTGCGATGATATATTCGTAGAGGTTCTTAAACCGGTAGCTAGACCGTCGATTATATCACGTTCTGGAAAGGCGTAATGTCTTTGGTCAACAGAGGACCCAGGGGCGGAACGAGTACATTGAGGACATCCGATGATGTATCCAGACAGTGTGCATGATACACGGCTTTCAGAAGGTCAAGAGACGCGCGGTCCTCTGTGTTTATATGTCTGATCACCTAAGTAGGTATAGATCTGTAAAGCCCTTCAGAATTCATCATCCATATGTCTTCAGGCTACCTTCTAGGAGCGTTTGTCAATTCACATCAAAGAACCCCCAGCATCACCATCGAGCTAAGGCTGCTGAGTAGAGGCCAGTAGATACTTAGTAGCAAGATAAGATAATTTCTCACAATGTACAATGGTTCACGTGTCTCAGACATCCGAGACCTCGGTTACGCTACCTTATCACGCGAGATATGAGCACTACTACTGGTTGATCCTGTCAACAAGTGTAACAAACCTGACATCGATCTGATCTGGCTCCGGTATCCTCGTGGGGGTGGCGTTACCGGTGTCTTTTCCGCTTTTCTGTTTTGGCTGGGTATTGGAATATCGTATTGCTGATAGGGGAAGTCTTATGCATGAGCCCGTCCTCCCGTCCCGTCCTCCATACCGGTACTAAATATCCGCAGGCAGGGTTCTGTGATCTTCATTAGAAGTTCAATGACATTGTAAAAGTGCTAAACACAAAGCTTATAATAGATACCTCGCACTGGAGGGGTGTACAGGTGGATATATGATCTTATCAGGAAGTTTTGGGTTCCGAAACAAGTGATGGTTATTACGCTATCATCTCATATGTTTTCAGCGAATTATATGGCGGAACGCTACAATATTCTTTGTGGCCTACCCAAATCCACAAGCGTATCACCCTCACACATGTATGTAACTGGTAAGAAGTGGCCCATAAAATTCCGTGACACAGGCGTAATTCAACACGTCATTGTGTCTGTCTGTAACCGGAGCTTTCAATGAACAGTCAGAATGAAGACACAACTACAAGGCAATTAAACATTTCGAAGATAGCGGATGCAGTTTACTTACACACAACTACCAAGATGTAGATTTATGTAAATGCATATGCGTGTACCATAGCATTGATAAGATTGCCGATTCGCCATAGCTTCGGAGTGGCACGGACCATGGTCAAGAACGAGGTGAGACAACTTAATATAGTATACAACAACTGTTGAAGTTGTCTAGAGTGCCGAATTAGTCAGCAAGGTGGCTTAGGCAATTCAGCAAATCGGCTTTATCTTGTACAACTGTATGAGTTCGAAAAATAGATCTCCATAGCACGCGCGCGTTACTTTTAGCACAGCTTTCTTGGTGAAGTTCATTGCATCCCTCTCTCTATGATCAACAAGTTCCCAATGACGGAAGCTATTCAAAAATACGTATTGAAGGGTAGATCCTATCTATCTCTTTAGGTGCGGATGACCTCGTTCAATTATTACTCTCACCCACTTCACTCTAAAGCTATTGACATTCGTATTCGAAGCAGATTAGTGTGGTAAGTATGCTAATTATACTAATAGATTCAATTATTACAGTACCATATACTGAGTTTAGGCGCGCACGGTCTCGACATGATAACGTCGTTCTCTCCTTTGCGATAACGTAGCGGCCTAGAACTACATTCCTATTCCGTTCCGTGATATAAATACTGTCTGCGATGTTACGGGAACTACCATTTACCTTGCTCCGGCGCTGTTTGATACTGATTATGAACGCTTGATCAAACAGTTTTGCTAGCTTGAATTAATTAACAATCAAGCATCTCACACTAATTACACTATGAACAAGAGGTCTTTCACCCCAATATATTTTCCTTTGTAGCAGCACCATTCATCTATCATGTTATTGTTTTATTTTTCCATTAATGAAAAGTCTTACTTCGGTTATATGTTAGGCAGTCGTATCCAGGACCAAGCAGCACACTCTAGTCAAAACAATTAATCCCTTTATTATCGAGGCATGATGTAGCATGAAAAAGATAAAATCTAGTCAGTTTGTCGATTTCCTGCGTGTTCTCGATACCCCAATCTTTATCACTCAACCACAGAAGATTTGGGAGCAATATTAGAATATTCCGCAAATCTGACATGCCCGAGAACAATGCAGAACCTAACATCGAATGGTCTCATGTTATGGGAACATGACTGCAGTTTGCACCACGAGCAGAAGCTTGTTGATGGTATACGTCCAATATTCCATGGCTACGATGCGGACATTATCAAAAGAAAATCAACCGAATTGCGGAATCAGCTTATTAATAACCCAACTATACCTCAACAACTACTCCAGTATGAGATTGTAAGTGAGTTTCTCCAAGCTGACCTCCAAAACGCCGGTATCGAGGTCTACTATGGCATTATCAACGCATGGGCAATTTCTTTTGACCTGATGTTTTTCGACGGGTTTCTTACACAGGGCCCCGAAGCACTCTTTACCATATATCTCTACTGGTCTGGCTATCCCTATTGCCACGCTGAAACTGGTCCCAGTCTCAACCTACCAAAGTTGCGTATTCATATTTTCTTGATAGATAATGAAAACGGTACCCGTTATTCCAAGGGGCACCTGTTCAATGCTGTATTACACGAGATGTGTCATGCCTATGAGAAAAGCATCTTCAATTATTGCCAAGTCAAGAATGATATCGAGGTTGAATCCAACTATGATAGCGGGCATGGACGTATTTGGCAAACCCTTTTCTATAATTCAATTGAAGTAGTGAGTACGTGGCACCCTTCACTATCACATCTCGGCATATATCCTAAGCCTGCAACGGGCCAGCCAGCTCTACCCACAGCTTCGTTGGAAATTAATTTTGGTCAGCTTGCTCACCGACTAGTACGATTTGAATACCTGAATGAAGCAGAATGGGCGAGGGCATTTCTAGCAGACAAGTTTAAAGCCGGGCCGCGGTACAATGACTCGGAAGGGGAATTCATGAGTTCGCTGCTTGGCCTCCGTTATTTCACTTCGGAAACATTTCTGGACGATATATTACCTAATCGATTGGCGGTATCAAAGCTTTTCATCTGCTGCAACGCCGCGCTCTTCTGCATTATCGCTTTGCTCCTATGGTGTTTTGATTATTGGTGGTTTGACTGGTTTATTTTCGTCCTTACTACTCACTACATGTCTACTCAAAGCGCCCTCCGCACATATGAGGCGTGGTTGACTCTATTCAGAACGCCTTTACTTCGATTGATATGCCTAGTACTCCTGGCGAGGATTTACAGGAGTTTTGGGTGGTTGTGAACGGAATATACTGACAAATCGTGGGGACATGGTGCTCGTGTGATATTCGTATATACATGTCGGTACATTATTTATTCACATGACTGAGTAATTGTATAATCACCCCTCCGTGGCGAACTATCTTGTAGGGGCAAAAAAATATTATCCCATTTATATGTCTATAGTTACCAAGTATTAATGAACTGAACATCGACATGTGTAATTATATTTACTCACCTTCCGTATTAAACCCGAGATCTTGCATTGTGCCGGACTCAAAGCCCACTGTCATAGGATACAGATAAAGAAGGCACTCTGTAATATACAGTATCATAAACAGGCAGGATAGGAGGTAGAACTCGAAGGACTCGCGTAACAACAAGAGTTATTTATAACCTCATGCTTAAGATTGTCGCAGCCATTCACATCAGGTTATGTGCTAGTCTGAATACCATATCACCACAAGGGGATGTTGGAAAATTCCATACCTAACGTCTGAGTGATCGGACAAGCTGATATTAACCACCCTCTCAACCTAATAGTAACCTACTGCACGTCTAGCCTTGTCCTAATAGTACCCCAAGCTTTGACAAGGTAGAACTTTTGTTTTAGTACTTTAGAAGTCTTACCACATCTATCCCAGAGTAATGTATAACGTCCTAACTCGGTCCAATGGCAAATTCTTCAACTCTTGATTTACCATTACACAGGTTTTCTCTCGAGGCACACACAGCTAATACTCTTTTTACTTCTTTCTAGTGACCAAGAGCCCCTATCCTATGATATAGCTAAAATTTGTAATCTGGTTTTTCGTAGCATCATACGAAACAGACAAATATGATACTCTACAGATAGTATCAGTCATCGGCATAATAGTTACATGTAGGGCTCGCGCAACAACAAGAGTCATATACACTCCCCCCTATACTTGAGATCGTGACATATGGATATCTAACAATAGGGCGTCTTCGGACATGAAGGTCGTCTCGGGCACGAGTGTGCGTAGCGAACCCGAGAGCCTATCCGGTAAGATAGATATAGCCCGCTGGGAGAGAGGCGACGTAAGGTATAATTAGACATAAGGAGTCTACACATAAGCTGATAACAATAAGGCTTTAATCGCGCACCAACATATAGGTGCCAACTACCTCGCCACCTTCCCGCGTCTTACGCATATAATTAAAGCACGTAGGCATTGGGTCGCACGGCGAAGATCTGCTAAACAGCGGTTGTCCGTATTACCAACACGTACGAAACGCGGGACGGCAAGTATGTGTCCGTCGGAGCGCTCGAGCCGCGATTCTACGCCGCGCTCGTTAAAGGCCTTGGGCCAATGCATAAGGAATAGGAAAGGAAGGGATGGGAAAGGATGCGGAAGGATCGTATCATTGCATTTTTAGTATGGTAAATGAATACCTACATCTATGGCGCAGTGTCCCGCAGATGTCAATGAAGTGAGGACATTTAGAGTCCCTCTCTCGCCTCTGGCAATATACACGTCTACGTCTCTTGGTCGTCTTATCTAGCGCTCTAACATAAGATATGGTTAATTGTTAATGAAGTGCAAACAAGAGAATTTTAGGATTTCAAGACGTGTACCAGCACCGCATAGTCCCTTCACACATTACATTTTACCTAGCTTGGCTACTGCTTGGCCAAGCCGGTTTACCTGATCTACTTAAGTAAGTAATTTTCAGAATGTGGAGATGCCACTCGATGGATGGATGCAGCCCCATGAACTGCTTGACGTTAGCGGCTGGTTTAGCGGGGTTCTGGACCGTTGGTCAAAATGTGCCTCTCCAGGAACTCGGCCGATCCTTGACGGATGTATTCCAGTCTGTCCAGGCAACAACATAAAGCTCTGCCGGACTCTTGCGTGAAGGAGGGGAGTGATGTTGGCATTGATGTTGGCATTGCTGCATCCCCGTGCCGCATTGAAATTAGCAACATGGCGTGTCATCAAAGTTAGCAGAGCATCGAATACTATGTACTTGTTATGTGTGTTGGTATTGCGACATGAGCATTCGCAAAGCCACACCGGCACAGACATCGGCACGTCCACAACAAATAAGACAGCTAGAGACAGCCAACAAATGTCGAGCTGAAGCAATACCTACAACTTCTGATTTACCTACCCTCCCTCCAATAGGTAGGTACACTACCTACAGTACTACGTAGTAGGGAGCTGCGTGTCATGGGTTCGCGTGGTGCCGCGCCAGCGCGTCCCAATTCAATGGCACCACTCACACCGTCAGCCATAACTCGCTAGGTATGTGGGTAGTAAGTACCTGTCGAGCCTGTGTTTCTGCCAGTGACCACGCTAAAGAAAAGGGATCCATATCAAGTCGTTTCACTATTAGAGACCTTGTATCGTGCTCGGTGCTGAGACTTCAAAGTTAGGCCTTTGCCAACCTAGTAGGCACTCATCTATCCAGATAGCACGCTGTATACATAGTATATAGTACCTAGGTAGGTTAGCTGGTAATCTGCTGGTAATAATAGGTACTTACTTAAGTACCTTCTGAGAGCCAAGGCGGCAGATGCCATTGCAGATGCGTTTGATACCATACAGTAATTGGCTAGCTCTCGGCAGGTGCGAGCAGGGGTGGGCGGAGGAAATATAGAGGAAATAGACCGGGGCAGGCATAACCTACTTCGACCCATATTTCTGCCCACATGGTACTCACAGCACTAAGGCACCTACTAAGTAGGTAAGTAAATTTAGTAGCAGGTAGTGGAGAAACCTACCTAGGTACCTACATGACAAGATCAGAACATAATCAGAAGCAGATGCGACGTCCTCTACATACTGGCCTCTGTTGGACTAAGCTGAGCCCGGACAGGCTTGAGCTAGGTAGAATCAGAGAGGGTAGGCAAAACATACGGGTATATACATGCCTACTCCAGTATACTTATAAGTAACTAGGTAGCTAAATATGCGAGGTATGTACACAATTAGCACATGATGACGGCATTGCTTTGACCAGCTTGAAGGAAAGGACGCTGACGGGCCATGGCTGTGCAAGCTGTTAGTGTACCTAGTCAGTACCTAGTGTCTGCTAGTTGTACCTAGTGTACTTATGTAGCCTACAAATTACATAACTGCTTATGTAGCGCATGAAGATCAAACCGCGGAAAACGTCAAGGATCCATCTGCAAGAGAGCATCACGTACACCAACAACTTGACAAGCTGTTATGCGTTAGTTATGACGGGGAGCAAGAGTCTGCAAGCGGCACGTGTCGCCCGTCCTTATTGGGCACAGCTGATGTTTGGGGCTTTGGCTTGGCTCTGGTTCGGCTCTGGTTCTGGCTCTAGTCTGGACTCCTGAACAGGTAATCTCAACGTCCCCCCAGGTCCCCCAAGCCTGTCCCCAGCTATTGGAGCTTGTTTGATTACTTACTGCATTAGCTTTCTGAGCAGGCAACTGTTTTAAAGGTTTTTTTTTTTTTTTTTTCTCTCTCGTTCAGGCAGCCATTTAAACCAACGCCGAAACACCGTGTCTGACCGTGACCTTCCCAAAGAGTTTCTTTGCAGCATGATCTTCATGGGTGCCTAAGGTGATAGGCAGCGAGCAGTTAGACAGAGATTATGGACTCTTATTCTCCTCCTCTTGCTCGAGTAGGAAAGGCAGGCCACGGTAGGGGTGCCACATTTACAAGGCGCGCGCTGTCAAGTACAATCAATGTAGGTACAATATCCAGGGTTTTGCTTAGGTTAGAGGCGAGAGGTAAGTAAGTCGAAGGTACTACATATGATTTTGTTACCTACATGTTGTACCGACATGGTAGATCCCGGTTCCCGCTCCCCCTTTCCCCAGCAAACTCTGATGTCTAGTACCTACCTCGCCTACCTTGGTACCTCCTCTGCTCACCTGCTCAACACAAAACATTGAAGCTTGGGGGACTCTGGGGGACACAAGGAGGTACCATACCAGACGAATGGATGCTCATCTGTACCGGAATACATACCAAGGCTGTACCTACTGGTCAACTCATTACCATTTCCAAAACGATCTGCTGTACATCACTGAACTCTCAGCCACAACACCATCAGCTGCCTGAACCCATCCATGGCCCCCTGAATAATAATAGTATCACTTGCTACTACCAACATCATAGGTCTGCTCTCGTTTTATTAATATGTACAGCTTGCTTCTCTCACACGACTCATACCATCCCACGGACGTCCACCATACACCACGCAAGTACACAGGCACGATCTCCGAGAAACATTGTGACACAAGGCCTCTATACACACTACACACATATACACATACCTACGGCTGGGAGGCCTCCCCCCCAAGTGACGGATGGAAGCGACAACCAGTACGTCTATGCTCGGCTTCTCATGAGCTTTCTCTCGAGGAATTGCCCAGGGCCCGTCTGAATCTACCATCATCATGTCTGGACCTACGCAAACGCTCCAATGCCACCACATAATTCGAGTCGCCTCCATTGCGACCAGCATTGTGGCGGCCCGGCATCTCTTCGCCAATGGCTTCCACTATCCTTTGCTTATGTTATTGGCACACGTATCAATTGCTGTCGTAATCGAGGCCTTTGGCATCCGGAGTGAGACTATCACCACGCAGAAACCACCCCATAGCTGGACTATACGAGCGTGGCAAGCCCTGTTCGCGGTGCTGGTTGCAGTCGGCTTGATTTTCACTTACCATAGCTTCCTTCACAATAGGAACACGACGCTGGGTGTTATGTTGCTAGGTCTCGACTGGACAACCATCTTGTGCCGGACAGTAAGATGGTTGCGTCAAGATAAGCAACATCCCGTCGATTTCCCTCTATCCATCGTCACATTTTCGCTGTGCATTGCTCTTCTATTGTGGAGGGAAAATTGGTTGGTGGGCAAGGGAATCGAGGTAAGACAAATTGACCCTCATCTTCAAAATTGGCCATTGACTTACTGACAAACGCCTCTAGTTTCTTCTCATTGCTGTGATATGCTTGGCCGTTGCAAGGCACCTTTGGCTGAGAGGCTTGGTGGAAAATCCAGTCAGCTTCAGAACAGTTGCCGTGGATGCGTATGCTGCCGCACTTGGTGCATGTCTGCTATTGGCAACATTTTTACTCGCTGTCACTGGCTGGTATAATCGAAGGGACTTCGGCATGAAAGGTCGGTTAATATGGATGGTGCTTAGTGCTGTATCTGGTTCGTTGGCACTGTTTAGCGAAACGAGTCTGAAGAAACTTAGTTCACGACTACAAGAAAGAATGTCAATCCCCAGCAGGATGGACCTAGCTATCGGCAGCTCAGCTTTACCATTGCTCGTCCTAGCCGCTGTCGAGGTTGATAACTTGTTGACGCAGCACCGACCGTCAACAACATCGGGTGTACAGTGGCTCGGCTTTGCGATCGCGTATCTTTCGACGGTCGACATCACCGTGATAGCATCATCAACAGTGTGGGCCAAGGGAGCATTATACACACCTGTAAGAATTCACGATGAACAAGTCGAGGAGGCGAAGAGCCCGGTCCCCGAGGATACGGAAGCCCTATATCCACCCGACTCTACTTGCGCTAATAATTCTCCATGGCTTCGCCATATATCTCTCGCTTGGAATGCTAGCCTGGGTAGCTTAGCACTGTTGCTGGCGTTCTATTGCGCTATAGGTGCGGCATATACAGAACCCAGCAAAAGGTCCTGGGATCTCGATATCGTGATTGCCCGGTATGATGAGCCCGTCGAACAGGTAGTCGAAACTGTTCAGCTGGCCCTTCAACTTCCTAATATTGCTGGGCGTAAAGTTAGGACGATTGTGTACAATAAAGGAGTACTAAATGAGACGGAGCTACGAACCGATTTCCCCATTCAGAGTGGGCTTGTTATACGACAACTAGAAAACGTCGGACGGGAAGGAGACACGTACCTATCGCATGTACTGGACAGCGAACAAGATTGGGCGAGTCACACATTGTTTATTCAAGCGGAACCGCATGAACCTGGGTACCTCCAAGCTCGGCTAGAAGATTACTTCGTCGAGGATACGGGATTCTTATCACTATCTCATGTGCGGAATTTCTGTGCCAGCTGTGATGCATGTAACGACCACTCCGGGTGGAGTGAGGATGGCGCAGTGCTACGGGATATATTTGAGCGAGCGAACTCCCACAAGACTTGCCAAGATATCAGCTTGACGTATAGAGGTCAATTCGTGGTTTCATCGCGTAGAATGAAACAAGCCAATCAGGAACTTCTCCGAGATGTACGAAGACGGCTATTAGAAAACGAGCGCTTCGGTTTCACCTTGGAGCGATCTTGGGGCACTTTATTCCAGTGTCCCACGATATCGGAGCGGTGCCCAACACTGCTGTCAGGGTGGATAGGGAATCGAGCAGCCGTGGAGGACTGCCAGTGTCTTGATAGTGGTAAAAAGGCGTTATAGAGTACATTGCAATATACCCCAATTTTCATTTCTTGTTCAATTCTAATAGATTTAGTCTCATTTGTATCAAACATCGTACAATATCGCATAGTAGCAAAAGTGCTATGAAGGCCTACAAACGTGAGCGGGGGCTAGCTCTCCCATTTGCTTACTAATATTCATTTGCATGTCTCCAGGAGCTCCTCACCTAAGCCATATATGACGAGAGCGAGAGCGAAAGCGACAGCCCAAGCGCATTGATGCGTTGATAATTATAGCATTCCACGGCATTTCGTGCCACAAGCCTATCAACTTCTTCTCTTAAGACACACCACCTGAGGACCCTCTTTCCTTAGGTATCAAGAGATACCTACTAGAGGAGAAATGGATTAACTGATCTCTGAAGTTGCGAAATGACTGCTCACGTCACGCCTATAAATCCGACTTGGCACAGATCGGAACATTTACAAGTACACGACCTTAGGTAGAACCAGTGTCTGGCTACCTAGTCTAAGTATGCGTGTCACGCCCCATTGTCTGCAAAAGTCCTAAGCCAACAAGCGTCAACGTTTGATCTCCTAATTTTAACATCTAATTAAGGAGACTTGGGCGTTGCGCCACCAGCAGCCTCTCTTCAGCCTGACAGATGTGTAAGAAAGATAGCATTGACACTGTCTGGAATTGCGCCCGTCTATCGTTCTAGCAAGATTGTGGCTTTAGGTTTTACATGTGGCTGGTGCCGCTTCGGCATGAGTCCTCCGAATTCCCCTCCGGGCTCGGTAAGATCAAGCGTGGACAGATGAATCAATCACCGGGGTCACTCATTTTCCAAGAGAATCCTGTCATGGGTAAAGACAACACATCACCGTACTCTCCCACATGCGGTTGGGGTAGCTTCTAAGATTTTGTTTCGTGATTTCGGAGACCACCGCGCACTCTATTGTTAAGTGTAGCACAAACGAGTAAGTCATAACAGTTGCGCCAAGTCAAACTCGGCGAATTTGGTGTCCTTCGTTCACCGGTTCACCGCTGCGACCAGAACAAGGGATTGACTGGTGGTTAGGATTGGCAAGGTCGCAAACAAGATGTTGCTGTAGGATCTGGGCGACGGAAAGACTACCCGAACCTGCTTGGAGCACCGGACATCGACTCACCAGCCTCCATTTGAAGCTACTACGTAGGTATATGCCGTGGACCATCCGTGGCGCTGTCCGTCTCGTCGGGATTGGTTCTGCATCCGACGCCGCTGTCTACTCCGCATCTCCTGCCGTGAATGGCAATTTGCTAGAATTCACCTGAATGGCCGGCCTGGCTCTAGATGACTAGTCCTTTCTGACTTACAGAAGTGAGCATTCTTTGTCTGCGTGACCTACTTTAGCACGATTCGAACCGTTCGAGTAGCCAATGTCTTTACCAGACATTGGGTCACCAGATTCAATCTCGAAATGTCAAAACCGCTGACAAGCGCGAAAGAGAAGGGGAAAGCGCTGCCAACATAAGGTTCTCGGCACCAGCTAGCTACTACTAATGTGTGAGAAGGCAAACTCTATCTGAATCTTGCGTGCTTATTGATCATATTACACCAGCGTGAAATGTAAAATAAAGCAATAGACTCTGAGCTGGGGGGGGGGGGGTTGACCACGCCCTGAGTTTATCATCAACCATGTGGGGTGGCAACTCTGCGGCTTTTGTGCCTGATGAAGCTGCGCGTTTTGTGCGCGACGGAGAAGGTACGTACTCACATAAATGTTCGTGATTTGCCGTTAATCCAGATATCGTCTGATATTCTCGCCCGACTTGTTTGCCTAGATCTGCTATTATCGCTGGATTGCTCACCCTCTTCTACCTTCTTACCTTCGCCATTCACTTCCATATATCTCTACCGCTGGCTTCGATCGTGAACTATAAGGCCAAGCAGCCCACGCATCCATACAACGGAGCCTGTTTACTTCTTCTTCTTCTTCTTCTTGTTTTTCTCTTGGACATACGAAAACGGCATTTTACGTCATCGGTGCCCGAGGCCTGTCACCACCCCCTTCAGCCTATATCGTCTATCTTGTATCCTTCTGCGATGTCACCCTATCTTTAATATACATACATACATACGGATGAATGCGCATCGCTACAGTAGGCAATATCCACTCTCTGCCGGGCTTTAAGTTGTCTCGACGGTCTGCTATTCGGTAACAACACCATCACGACCCACAGCTCAATATCTGTTTGCTTTGGGGATATTGAGATGGCGTCGCCAATGCCGTTACATCCGTTTGTGACCACCTTCCTCGTGGCCAATATACATTGTCCGACCTGTGTATCCAGTATTAAAGATGCGTTGCAAGACTTGGACGGCGTTAGGTGGGTGTCGCCCAACATCATCACCTCTTGCGTTGCTGTCGACCACGATCCCCGAATCCCCATCATGCAGCTCGTCTCCAAGCTGGAAGCCGCCGGGTTCGAGGTATCTAGTCTGTCTTCGGACAATGGCGTCGGTTGTCCGGAAAACCCCTTCCTTGAGAATGCCGAGTCACTTAGCAGCAGGTTTAGCGCTGCCGAAAACTACCTTACTAGGTTAAAGAAGCGCTCACAATCACACACGCAAGGGGGTCAAGCGAAAGAGGAGAGAACTAGGGCACATCTCAACAGCTGTGAACAGTGCCGAGTAGATACGGCGAAAGGGACTCCGGTCATACTAGGTGCCACGTCTGACATGAATCAAGAACGGCCGAGCCCTGGCACAAGCAAACAGAGCTCGGCGCGTTCTGCTATCACGCCTACACATACATCCTCACTGGCTGGAGATGCTATCAACACCACCAAAACGTGGAGGGCTTCATTGGCTATCAGTGGGATGACTTGTGCTTCCTGCGTCAACGCAATCAAAAGCGAACTGGATAAGAAGGATTGGGTTACTCAGGCCACCATCAACTTAGTATCCAATAGTGCGGTCGTGGAGTTCATTGGCACCAAGGAAGACGCTGCCCATGTGGTTGAGAGTATTGAGGATCTGGGATATGATGCCCATCTCGACCAGATCAGCGCCGTGGATGACGAGAGGGAGAAGGAGGCATTACATCAGCGCACAGTACAAATACGTATTGACGGGTTCTATTGTCCGCATTGCGGCGACCATGTAGCAGCCAGTGTCGCCAGCTTCCAGCAAAGCATACGGATCGATAGCCGTCCTACGTGGCAGTGCCCTATTCTGGAAATCACTTACGTTCCTCAGACGCCAACATTTACAGTTCGTCATATCCTAGCGGCGATAGAGGCAAGTGACCCGGCCTTCAAGGCATCCATCTACCACCCACCCACTCTTGAAGAACGTGCGAAGAAGATACAGGCTCGGCACCAGAGGCAGATTCTTCTTCGTACAGCCATCACTCTTGTTATCGCAGTTCCTACTTTTGTAATTGGCATTGTTTACATGAGCCTGCTTCCAGAAAGTAATCCAGGCAAGCAGTTTCTGATGCACCCCTGGGTGTCGGGCATCAATCGTGCTCAGATCGCTCTGTTCATATTAGCAACACCTGTATACTTCTTTACCGCAGATATATTTCACCGACGCACCATCAAAGAGATATGGTCCTTATGGCGGCCAGGGAGCCAAGCCCCAATATTACGACGTCTGTATCGATTCGGTAGCATGAACATGTTGATATCACTCGGTACTACTATTGCATACGTCTCATCGGTTGCGCAAATGATAGCCGCGGGTGTTAAGAATCTCCACATGATCGACGACAGCGATTTCTATTTCGACTCTGTCGTATTTCTCACCTTGTTCCTTCTCGCGGGGCGCTTTCTCGAGGCGTACAGCAAGTCAAAGACGGGGAATGCCGTTGAGGCACTTGGCAAACTTCGTCCCACGATGGCAATCCTCGTTGAGAAGAATAAATCCCAAGACACAACCGATCGAATCGTAGATACGGATATGTTGGAGTTCGGGGATATTGTCCGTGTCCCTCATGGCGCCTCTCCCCCGTGCGATGGAGAAATACTTCAGGGAAGCACGCTTTTCGATGAGGCGAGCTTGACTGGCGAGTCTCGCCCCATAAAAAAGAACGTCGGCGATCAAGTCTTTTCAGGGACGGTCAATCAAGGTGCGCCGATCCTCATCCGTATAACCGGTACAGCGGGACAGTCGATGCTCGATAAGATCGTTAAAGTCGTTCGCGAAGGACAGACGAGGCGAGCACCGATGGAGAAGGTCGCTGATGCTCTCGTTGCATACTTCGTGCCTGTCATCACTCTGATCGCAATCCTCACGTGGGTCGTCTGGCTAGTTATTGGTCTGACCGAGAATAATCTGGGAATTCGAGATCCTGTACCCTTCTCCTTGCAGTTCGCCATAGCGGTGTTTGTTGTCGCCTGTCCCTGTGGCTTAGCCCTTGCCGCACCGACCGCCATCTTCGTCGGCGGTGGTCTTGCAGCGAAATATGGCATACTTGTTAAAGGGGGTGGCGAAGCCTTCGAGATTGCAAGTCGCATTGACTGCGTCGTTTTCGACAAAACAGGTACATTAACTGTAGGGGGTGAGCCGAGTGTGACGGACGCCAAGACCTATCTCCATGAGGATGCTGGGGGGAAAGCGCATGCTCGTCTACTCGCCGCAATCCGAACTGTCGAGGAGAATAGCAGCCATCCTATCGCGAAGGCTATCGTAACATACTGCAAGGCGGAGACATCCGAATCTGTCTCAGTACTCGATGTCGAAGAGATCCCTGGGAAGGGGCTCAAAGCGATGTGTAGTGGCGACACAACGGACGAAACATTTCACATAGTAATTGGAAATGAAGCATTAATGCAGGACTTCTCAGTCAACATACCACCAGCTGCTAGCGCATCGCTTCAAACATGGAAAACCGAAGCGAAATCCGTCGCGCTGGTCGCCACCAAGCCGACATCATCAAGCGAAGCCAACGTGAAGTACACGCTCTCAGCGGCCCTGTCAATATCCGATTCGATCCGCCCCGAAACGCCCGCAGTAATACAGTCTATACGGCAAAGAGGCTGCGACGTATGGATGCTCTCAGGCGACAACGCGGTGACAGCGCGCGCCGTCGCCCTGCGCGTCGGGATCCCCGTCGACAACGTCATCGCCGAGGTCCTGCCCACGCAGAAATCCGAAAAGATCAAGTACCTACAGACCATCCTGAAAGCACGGCGCAGCCGGGGCAAGGAAGAAGACACGACGCGCCGCGCCACGGTGGCCATGGTAGGCGACGGCATCAACGACGCGCCGGCGCTCAGCACGGCGGACGTGGGCATCGCCATCGGCTCGGGCAGCGACGTGGCTATTTCCAGCGCCGACTTCGTCCTCGTCAACTCCCACCTCGGCGCCGTGGTCACGCTCCTCTCGCTCTCGCGCACCGTGTTCCGACGCATCAAGTTCAACTTCGCCTGGGCGCTGGTGTACAACCTCGTCGCGATACCCATTGCCGCGGGATGCTTGTACGCCGTCACCGTCGGCGGACAGCACGTCACGCTCGACCCGGTCTGGGCGAGCCTCGCCATGGCGCTGAGCAGCTTCAGCGTCGTCATGAGCAGTCTGGCGCTCAAGACGAGGGTGCCTTGGATGGGGTTCAGGGCGCCGGATGTCGGTGCTTGAAATGGGGTGACGGTGTGCTTCAGGGGTTGGTGATGGCGTTGCGGGAGTTGGGAGGCGTGATTATTTACGCATGACTGGTTGGTTGTTCGTTTGGAAGGAGTTGTATTATATTATTCCATTCATTCAAACCATGTTCGCAGGAACTTGTGCTCATAGGCAGACGGTAGACAACGCTGTACATAGAAAATGTAACGAGACTCTTCGACCCAGTGCTCTCGTGATATCCGTCGATGCAGTTATACGACCAGATCGTGTTACACCGCCGTGGTATATAATACATAAATGAACCCGAAGTAGAACGCGTGTTTAAAACGCTATGAATATCGACCAAGGATATGTATTACGCTTCGGTCTTAAAGGCTCAGAAATCGGGTATCGTGGTTCACATTAAATGCCAATTCGCTAGCTATATGACTTGAGCTTAAGAAAGAGGGAAGAAAAAAGTGAAAAGATATTCAGCCCAGATTCACATTATCCCTTATACCTTGCCACCGCCCACGCTCTCCTGCCGCGAGTGCGCCGTCGGGGGCCGACTACTGGCCGTCCCCGGCCGACTGCTCAGTGCCCGCTGCTGCTTCTTCCTGCCCTTCGTATCGAAGAGGCTCTTGACTCTCCGGAGCTTCGCCCATCGCTCTTTATCCTTTGCGTCTCTGGCGGCGAGGTCCTCCTCTTCGTCGCCTCCGGGCTTTTCAGGTGTGGCGAGGATTTCTTGCTCCTCGACGTCTCGCTTGTTACTACGCGACGGTGTACCTGGCAAGGAAGCAGCTGCGCGATGGAATGGGTTGCGATGGGCGCTCTTCCCGGCTTGTTGGCGTAGATATGCGCTGTTCTTCAGCGTCTGTGCTAGGATCTCCCAGCCCGCTTTTGTGTCCTTCGTCTTGGCGCCCGGGTTCTGCTGCGCTGTTGCGCTGCGCCAGGGGCAGAAGAATCGGTGTTCGCGGACCGGGTCGAGATGGTCCATGGGTGCGGGGACGAGGACCTCGCCGGTGGCTTCGTCGACTTCTTTGCTTTTGAACATCCACAGACCTAGCCTTCGCAGACACGTGGCGCACGTAGCTGTGTTAGGGACGGCGCCGATCCGCGAGTTCGTGAGGCCTTGCCAGCCGGTAAGAGCTAGAGTAAGAGCTACATCGTTGGGTGTTGAGGAATTCGTGCTGGGTGGTGTTGGTTTGGTGAAGAATGTTGGAGGAAGTTGGGCGTGGGCGGCTTTTATATCTAGGGCTGGAGAGAGACGGAGATTGAATATATATGGAAGGAATGATGATCGGGTGCAGAGGTCGTCGTAGCGTTCGCGCAAGGAAGTGAGGGCTGTTTGTGGTACCGCCAGAGGCAATCTTAGAAGAGAATCTGTAGACGGGTCAGCATATCATATCCTCAATCCAGTCTGCTAGCAGTGTGAGAGGGTGCGGTGCGGGTTACCATCGCAGCCATGCCTCCGCCAGAGACAGTCCTCCTCGTGTGCTTCAATGATCAATTCAGAGTATCTCTTAGCCAATCCTTGTTCCACATCCGAGCCAACAACCATAGGGACCTGTTTCCCATCGACGATCTTTGTGTTGTTGATCTTCACTAGAAGCTCTTTGTTGCACAGAGTACAGCGCACTCGCTCCCCCCCTTGGCACACCCATCCTCGCTTCGCCCACTCAATTTCATTGATCTTATCAGGCTTGGGTGTCCATTCTGTTAGCTCCTGGAAGGTCCCGAGGCGCCGAATGAGGGCATCACGATCGCTTGGGCAATACCTCGGTGGCTCGTTCGGGGTCGCCTTCTGTGGTGTAGCAACTTTGGGGGGTGTTGCTGCCCATTTCTTCAGTACCACGTTGGATATTGTGGTTGTGCCTGTTTTTCCACTTGGAGGTGTCATCTCGACGACACCAATACGGCGCCGTTTATTTAGGTCTGTGCTGGGAGAAGGGGGATCGTGTGTGGGCGCGCTGGCCTTCGCGGTGGCATCGGGAGTCGAGATAGAGGCGGATAGTTGGCTCAGAGGCGATGATGCGGTTGGTTCATCCTGGATTGGCGCATATCGGTCGTCTAAGTCTGGGACGTGAGGTGATCGGGCGCCGATCCCCTGTATCAAAGTGTTGAACTTTCGTTTGGTTGCATTCATGATTTAACCGATGTACGAAACTCAATCTGAGGTTCTCGGTTAGATAAAGAGTGTAGTGCAACCAGCCCTCAGGCTTTTTCTTGGGCACAAAGTCGTTCCTTTCTTGGGCGAATGGAATGTGATCTCTAGACGCCACCAACTGGATTCAAAAGCTTCCGGGCGCAGCCAAATCTGCACCAAGAAATTTCTGCTTTGGTTAAATTAATATAGATATCAAGCTTAGGTATTAAACAAAAATTCTAATGCGAGGGCTGCAGGTAGATTGCGGAATAACTACCCCAGGATATAATCTATTCTTAAACAAGTGACATTGTTTTTCTCTGGTTTCTACTTTTGGCTGCGACATCAAAGCTGTTGTCGTCGGAGAGGCGACAGCCGAGACAGCCAAGGCGCCCACACTTCGCTGGGTCTATGCTGGAATGGGTAAGCCTGGTGGAGGCGAGAGCCACTAATTCCCTACCCTTCATGTCTAAATGCTTCTTTAGGTATTTCCCTTCTATTCGACTTAGGTTCATGATTCTAACTATCCTTATAGTGATACGCACTCTTCCAAGTATCCTGCAGCGAGAATTCCAGCTACATCTCGACAGAATTGCACTCCATCGCGAGTGAAGAGAAGTACGCAGCTATGGCCGTCATATCTATCACCCGGACAATGGAAATACCTGTCTCGGCTTCGAGCAGGAATTGGCATGCAAGACTGACCAAGGACTGACCACCTAAAGCCAACGGTTATGCAGTACATGACTCGCCAATAAGAACAGGATGATACCCTACCATGTCTGGTTGAATCTATTCAGTGTCGGCATTGTCTCGATTTGCTTGTCGGAGGAATATGGTGAACTGCGGACACCGTTTCTCACACCTCAGCAAGAGTCAACGATGGAAAACGGAGTATCTTAGTATGAAACAAAAATGCATGATAAAAGGCAAAACAGCGCGTGGCAAGTATTCATCCTCGTGTGAGAACAATAGATAGTCCCGTGAGGTACCAGTAGTTTATATACAAGTAGATGGAATTACACTAGTAGTTGTCTATTACAACAGAGTCCAGAAACATTGAAGCCTGGAGACCGTCATTTCTCAAGTCCAAAAGGGCCCAGGTATAGTCACGTGTCTGTCAGCAAACTCACAAGCGTATCGCGAGTGGTATTCCAACGGTTCACGTGTATAGTAGAATGGTCCATCTCGGTGGTCACAAGTTACAGCAGTCTTCAATGGTTGCAAATATTAGGTCACCAGGTTACCAGGTTAGGCACCGTATATTCTGAAACAACAAATCGCGGGAGCTATAATTGGCCAGGTCCACTCATTCCGATTGTTTGAGTCCGTTCTCCGATTTGGATGTTACGCAACTTGGAGGGGTCAACTCTAATCGGTCTTACTAATTCTGACTGCCGAACGCTCTGTTCATAGATACCTTTACTCTTACATAGTTCCAGCAGGATCCGGGCATGAGAGACAGGAATCCTCGAAATAAGAACAAAAAGCATAGGTTTCTCGAACAGATATTTCCAACACCACTATCCCTTATCGTCTGTTCACTCCTCATCTTAGCTCTGGCTCTTTTCCTCTCCACCCGAGCTCTGCCCCGCCTCAGCTCTCTCGCCTCGCACTTTTACCACCCCTCCTTCTCGTCTTCAACCTCCGCTAGCCAACTACGCAGCTACTACCACCCATCACGCAATACTCATCCCACTATGTCGTCATACGCCAAAGAGCTTGAGATTGCTCAGCTGGCCGTGCAGCGCGCCGCCATCCTCACAAAGCGGGTCTTCCACGAGAAGGCCAAGGGCACCGTGTCCAAGGACGACAAGTCGCCCGTCACCATCGGCGACTTCGGCGCCCAGGCCCTCATCATCGCCGCCCTCAAGCACAACTTCCCGGAAGACGAGATCGTCGCCGAGGAGGAGGCCGCTCAGCTCCGCGAAGATGCCAACCTGCGCTCTACCATCTGGGACATTGTGAAGGGCACCTCGCTCTCTGATGCGGATGCCGAGGCCGCGCTTGGTGGCCCTATCAAGAGTGAGGATGATATGCTCACTTTCATTGACTACGGAAACAGCAAGGGCGGTGCTAAGGGAAGGATATGGGCTATTGACCCCATTGACGGTACCAAGGGTTTCCTCCGAGGCGGACAGTACGCCGTGTGCCTGGCGCTGATGGTTGATGGTGATGTCAAAGTCGGTGTTCTGGGCTGCCCCAACCTACCAATCGATGACGCCGCTCCTCTCACAGGAGGTATGGAGTCAGGTCAGACCGATGAGGGCAAGGGTTGCCTCTTTTCTGGCGTGTTGGGCGAGGGCGCCACAAGCCGTCCCTTGACTACAGGCGGGCTTGCATCGTCTCAGAAGATTTCCATGAAGGCCATTACAGACATTGCTGCAGCTAGCTTCTGTGAAAGTGTTGAAGCTGGTCACTCGTCTCACGGCGACCAGGCTGAGATTGCCAAGAAACTAGGAATTACTAACCCTAGCGTGAGAATGGACTCACAGGCCAAGTACGCTTCGATTGCCCGAGGCGCTGGTGATATCTACTTGCGACTGCCGGTTAAGGCGACATACCAGGAGAAGATCTGGGATCACGCCGCGGGCGACCTCATCGTCCGAGAGACCGGCGGTGCTGTCACAGACATTCACGGCAAGCGACTAGACTTCAGCATTGGCAGGACACTAGCCAACAACAAGGGAGTTGTTGCCGCACCCACTGGTGCCCATGCTCAAGTTCTTACCGTTGTACAAGAGGTCCTCGGCATCAAATAAGAAAATGAAGATGTACAGCGTTCAGGGGATACATAAAAAAGTACATGTCTAGTGCCTAGCTCGGGTATACATATGCGGTCGTATATAGAGTACAGATAGAAGGCTGAATCGGAGGAGTCCCTCTCGAATAACGCCAGACCGTATACATATATAACAAGCAAGCAGGTAGATCGTTTATTTGATCTTCCTTTGCTTGAGCTTGATAGTCTCGTCATTAACGAAGATACCCTTACCCTTGTATGGCTCCGGCCGCCTCCACTTCCGGATCTGTGCTGCAAAACTCATGACCTGTTCTCTGTCGATACCCTCGAGCAATATTCTTGTAGGTTGCGGCGTGCTAGCCTTTACGCCGAGGGGTACTGGTTCCTCGACGGGGTGTGTGAAGCCGAGCTTCAGACAAACAAACTTCTGGCCTTCATATTGTGCCTTTTTCGGCCGTTCTTCGACAGTCGCTCGATAACCCACTCCAACCAGCCTCAAGATTGCGGTGTGTCCTTCTGATACGCCCATAATATAGCGATTGAGGTATGCCCATGTCGTCCCTATCCCTGCGTGTTAGCCTTCTTCATCCGACACTCGCTTGTAATCATGCCTATATCCCGCCGTCCCGATTGCGCCACTGTCCGTACGTACCCCACATCTCCTTTTGCTGCTTTAAGTTCGCATTCTCAATGGTGAGCGAGACTTTCCTCGCCGCCTCGTCATTATGGATAGTGAGGAACGGGGGGATCTCTAGGTCGAGCTTTCCCAATGGTCCCGAGACGGTGGCAATGCGCTTCGCTATCCTTAAATAAGTCGTAGGGTCTTTCTTCGCTATGGGGTCTCCAATGATTATCTCAACGCCGGGAGGAATCGATAAGGGGGTGCGACCCAGCTTCGAGGATTTGCTAGCTGTGTTGGAGAATTGTCGGCGCGGCGAGGCTTGGAAGGCCGGGACGAGGAAGCCGGGGAGTGTTACGGCGGTGCCCGAGATCGCCTTCTCGAGTACCTTGCTCCGGCTAGGTGCAAGCATGGTGATTGTGGGTGATCCGACGTCAATTGGACGCCTTGTGTAAAGGTGGACGTCGTGATCAGGTCTCGTTCCTCAATATTGGAGCGATTACCGACCGATACCCCATACATGCTTGGCGTCGCGAAAATTGATGCATCGAAATCACGTGTATATTGCATTGCTGTAACATCTTGTGCATCTATTTGCTTGGGATAAAAGCATATATGTATGTATGTAGAAATATTGATAGCAGGTGGGTCCCACCGCCCTGACAGGCCTGTAAGGCAGGCACCTTCAGTTGAACTTCATGTTCATTCTACGCTCCTGCTTTTTTCTCTACGAAGCAATCGCGCAAGAATGCAGGCGCAGGATTTTTAGTGGGAGAATTCCTCGCAGCTTCCTATCTACCGGGACAGCTAGTGACCTACCTATGCCCTCAAGTAATCACGTAGACAAATTAAGATACGGCCTCATATGCCTTTGTTACTTGCCGTAGGTACCTTACCTACAGTACCAGGTTCCATTCACATCTTCATTACCTGAGGTGCCTACGTGAAGCTCTAGCCAGGAACATATACAAGATCAAACATTATTTGCGTTACGTCACCCATCTTCTGCACCTTCTGAGAACCTTCACTGTTTCCATGGGCCTTGGACTCACGCCGTCTTCCCAGGTGGTGTTAGGCAAGGTACAACGAAGCTTTGGTCTCGATCAACAACCTCCCCTCATCAACGGCCATTAGCTTCAGAAACGTTGACCATACTCTTAATTCGAGATTATTATAATTTATTCTATTTTGCACTTCCTCATTCACTCGATATGCCCTCGGTTTGATGCTTAATTTCTAAAATGGGTCATCATACCACTTGCTTAGCCTGCATTCAGGCCTTGCTAGTATCCTTCCTCATTCACAGCAACACCGCAATGGCGCTTTCATGGCGAGGAGGGGGAGGTACGCAGCCAGGTAGGAATTGGGCTCCTACCTAGGTAGTCTATGATTCAGTGAGGTTGATGTTATTATTTAGCTAAGGACCCAGTTCCGATCCTCGAGCCAAGCTCAGCACGACAGCTTCTTCAGTTCAATACACAACCTTCAACATCGTACGAGTTAGCGCTGAACGAACTAAAGGAACTCGAATTTGAACCCTTATGTCACCGGATTGCAGCCCGTTTACTTGTGAATAACTGCCAAGTCCTTGAAGGCAAAGACGAAGCCACCGTCCTAACCGACAGCGGCCGTAAAATCAGGGACTTTGTTGACTCTTACGCTGCGAGCTTGGCAATCTGTGATCTGGAAAGAGGAAGATTTGAAATTCCGGGAGAGTGCGCAAAATTTCAGGAGACAACTTTGAGTCAGTTACAAATACGCAATGTCGCACACCTACACGTAACATCTGGCGAAATTGATGCGTGCCTCTCCGGTCTTGGCACCTCGGATTCTGCGTGGAATACTTGGGTAAGCTATCGGCACAAAGCATTAAGGTTCTGCGAAGCGGCAAGAGCCGATAATGAAAAAGGTAGTCTGACTATCTCTACTTCAATTCATGACACTTACAATTAGCAGCTCAAAATATCGTTCTGTTCCAACGCCTAACGAGGATCATGAGCAAACTATCGGATGACGTCGATGTGAAGATTGAGCAACGAATGAACGATATTGATATGCGCGCACAGGTGGTTGGGGAGCGGGTTGAAAGTTTATCTCCGCTTCTCCTAAAATTACAACAGGATCTCGAGTATGTTGACCATCAACTCTCCTACCATCTGCTGCAGGAGATCAAGGTGTGTTTTCTGTACTGATTTGTTACTATTTATAACTAACAATGGCCAAATGTCAGAAATCTCGAGAACAAGTAAACTCTGGGATAGCAAGTGCAGCACATCTAGATAGATTGTTGCAGGAATTGTTGAAAGGAGTTGCCACCAGGGATGCAGAAGCAGCAGCAATTCATGGCCAATCCCTTCAGCTGATGAACCAACGAGCAACATCAGAGATACAGATTATGACCGACGCTATGGCGGCAGCTGTAGGAGCAACAATAGCGCTTCAGGGTCAGATAGTACGTGTCGTTTAGTTCGCTGCATACGATGGTGTGATAGCTAACCTATAGCTAGGAGGCCTCTCGTGTCCAAGCTGCTGAGTTGGAATCTAGACAGGATAGCTTGGAGCAGGTAGGTGCCCTTGTATTTTTTTTTTCCCTTCATTCCTTCTCCGATACTAATCAATCTCTTTTGCTAGGGTATGCAACGACTGATCGACATCTCGGATACCTTAGCAAGCAAGTACGATGTCCACACAAATCTCCTAGAACAAGCTCAAAACGCCACGAACGAGATACTTGACATATTAGAAGACACAGCAGCATCAGCGACCGCTATGGGCGATATATTCTTAGGAACCTACTCACTGAAATCATGGTGGCCACATATCTGGTGCCCGGCGGTTTCATTGGTTGTCGGTTCGTACGGTCTGCCTCCATCTATGCTGAGAAATATAGGATTGCTTGCTCTAGGTAAGGTCTACCTCCCATATATGAGTTCAGGCTCTAACCCTATAGATCACAGGCGAAACAATGGGTTTAATCATGTCTTACTCTACTTCCTTCTCTTTCGGTTTCATTCCGAAGCCTGCAGAGTATCTCGCGCAATCATTTACGAGACCCTTCCAAACCAATGCTACGAACTAAGACAAAATGAAGGCGACATCTGAATTAGACTTACCTGCTTCCTTTTTAACACCATAGACATGTACAATACTGGGAATATAGGGCGCAACGGTAGCATCGCATGGGACAATTCGGGGAATTTACTATTATGATCGGTGGATGGAGGACATTTTACGAGAATAGAGCATCTCACGAGGTCACGAAATACCCCTGGAAGTAGTTTTAACGGAAGTCTACTATCTAATACGACTTCAATATATTGCATTCACCGCGTATTTAACCTCATCTGATCACTCGAATATGGCTGCTACCCCTCATTGTCGCAATAATAACGTCACTCTGGCAGACAGGTATCCCCCTCCTTCTTTTCAATACTTTATCTACATACTCCCTTTACAATTTAAGTCTACCAGTACACCTCGTAGCTCTGTTGACCTAATAATTCATAAGGTAAAGGGCGATAAATTACTCTTATACTTGTTGAATACCTGATGAAGAGAAGCGTTCCGAGACTCAGGGTGCTGTGCTGTGATATGCTCGAGTACATGGTCGACTTTGCGATGCCCCATGCTGATGAAATCGCCCGACAGAAGTTCTTATTGAGGCACAATATGACGAGGGGGTAAATACAGTAGGTAATGATACACGGCGTGTGTATCCGGATACCTAGGGTGGTGTCCGGACCCTTAGTGAGCCGCACCGTGGAGCAGATCAGAGAATGCTATCGGGACGTCTTCAGTTGTTCAATAATGAAGGTGTTACACGCGCTGGATAATTTCGTACGGCCGAGCATGTAGTTCGTCTACTGGATCGGGCGCATGCGTACTAAAGGCTCGCAAATAAGACATGCAGCGGGTATTGAACATGAGGTTATACGGAGCTCGCTTGTATGAGACATATTGACTAGCTCTGGATGTTAGCAAGGGCTGGACTGTTATATGTGATTACACAGTTGGCTACTGAGGTCTGAAAGAAGGTGATTCGAATGGATCGTATGGACATTTGCAGCCATAGCAGGCAGATTATTTATCGTATTATGAATTACAATAATTCTAAGGCGTGCCATGAGCCTTGGTTAGTACATGCGTGAGCATTCGCTGCTACCATTGGACACTCTCCGGAGTATTCAGCAGCATTAGATCCTATGAACAGTAGTAGCTATCTAGAATGTGTAAGTTCAACGCTGATTCACGTCGCAGATCTAGCAGTACATGCGAATGTATCTAGCTTCTCAGTGTCAGATAATGTAAGGTCGGCAATCACGGGATGAGAGATGAAGAAACATGGCCGCTAATCTCGGGAAGCAATATTCACTCATGGCAATTCGCCAACAATCGGATTGGTGGCGACCCCTTCGGAATCTCCGCAGGTGATTCTCTTCGCCCATCGGATCTCCTCCCAGCCAATTTCTCTGATTTTCAGCACCGTGTAAGTCCAGCCTATGGCCGCCTTGGGGTCCTTGATTGGTCTACACATGCACCAGCACAGACGCGGCCCGCCACGGGTGTCTAGGAACGCTGCGCTGTCCTTGTCAAGCTGGCTGTCGACTCTCCAGTTGGTAAGTGTGGCTGCGGGGTATGGTTGCTGGTCCTTGAATAAGTCGACGAATTGGAAATGCTGCTTTCGTGATAATGTCTCGCGGCTGGAATAGGTGACGCGAGCGTATAACTCGAACACGACACTCTGTTGATGATTATGACAGCAAGCTGTTTGGCTTATCATTGCGCCTATCCTGAAACAAGTGCGAAGAATCGTGTCAGAGGACATGCCTGGGACAGAAGGTCGATCCCGGACCTTGTCGGGGAATGATGGTCGAACAAATGCAGTCAAGACCCCGGTTCCATATGAACTCTGTTCAATAAGGTCAGATCCCTCTGTATGAACCTCCATATTTGCACATCTAGACGTCTCTGTTGCAGCTTCTGAAGCAACTGATGAAGTATCTTGTAGGACGTTTGCATTTGTTAACACGATATCCCAGTCAACATCTTCATCTAGAAGATCTTCAAGAGTATCGTCTTGCCGTGAATTTGAAATATCATTAGAAGCACCAGCGTCATCATCGCTCTCTTGTGGATCAGGAGGTGTAAATTTTAGACTCGGATCATAATCCGCGGCTGACTGTGAACCATGATCCCACCCTTGTACACTTGAAGGAGGTATGTGGTTTTCGTGTACAGGTTCGGGGTTATGAGTTAACAGCCGGACCAGATCATCATCTGAGATCCCGTTTAGACCATACAAGTCACTCGACTCTTCGCTACCACTCTCGTCGTGAGCATCATTAGCTACTGCTAAAGGCGTATTTCCACTATCGTATTGAGTTCCTAAACTGAAAAATGTGCCAGTGGGTTGAGGTGTCAACTGTTCAGTAACCTGGTAACCCGGGAATCGGGCGGTATCAGCGTGTTTTCTAGCGGAAATGTTGCTTTGAGTCTTTCTGATAGGTTTCGTCACTTTCAGGGAGTAGAGAGAGCTCAGCGTCCGGGAAGGGGTAATAGGGGTCCGGTTCGAGCCTATTGGTTGGGCACTCTCAACCGCTCTCTTGGGATACTTCATTATTGGCATTTTAGCATCATCGGCTGTTCGTTTTCTGCAAATTTCGGTATGCGCTGCACTAAGTGGAAGGTTTCCATGGTCCAATTGTGCTGTAGCTGTAGAATTTTGAAGATGCAGAGCAGTAATAGTAGTTGGCACTGGCGGCGAGTTTCCAGCTGTAGTACTACTATATTGATCTTAGTGAAGGGGTATTGGTTTAGGTGAAGTTCAAAGCTCTTCCCCTACCTTATGACTTCAACGTCAGTGTCTAGAGTCGAGCCGTCTGCCAGCTTATCCATCTCAGGTTGCGTGGTGGGATCCATTACAGTGATCTAAGACGTATAACTTGGGCGCTAGGTAATGGCTACACTTTGAGATGAATATACAATACCAATCAGTACCTAGGCTATAGGGAATTATCTCATGATTGTTGTCTTGGGTCTTAAGCAAGAATATTCAGAGTAGATAAGTAGAGTCTGGATGGCCTGTCGCCTTTACCTCGTGGGCATGAGCAACCTTGGAAGGGATTGCAAGAAGGCTTGAAACAGCGCTTGTCTGCTCCTTGGACTTTCAGGTAGGTACGAGGTTGAGCCCTCGTGGAGCACCTTCTGTTGTTATCCAGCATTATCTACTATCATCTTGATCATGACTTCCCGCCCATATTTCAATGAGCAGTTCGAAGGAAGGCTCTAAATGGAGGTAATAGGTTGTGCTTTCCATCGCCGCTCTGAACATGCACGGTTTATCAATGCTGGTTTCATCGAATACCTACCTAGACTACCTACCTATGCATTTAGCAGATATATACCTAGCGTACGGCCCCAGCCTCGACCCTCCTTAGGCTACACCACAGCGGACAACCCGCTGCAAGCGCTCAACATGGAACCCCGCCTCCTACCTAGGTAGCTATAATACGCGACCTACAATGCGATCTGGATTCAAGTTTTGAACACATGCTATTCGGCCACAAAGAATTGATGGGAGTGTTTTTCTGAATATATTGAGGAAATCCATCGAAGACGGTGGTGTCGTGTTGTACTATGTCAGTCAATCTGTATCTCCTGATCCCTTGGGCCTCCCTTACTTACGTACTTAGGTAGGACACTAGGTAACCCACAGAGCCTAACTTAGCCAGATTAGGCACCTGCCTAGCCTAGGTAGTTAGGTCTCTTGTGCGATCCTCTTTGTGGAACCTGTCGGGAGGCCCCCAATTCATGCTTGTAGCGCATGCATGTGTGCTCCCTCTTAATGGGCTATTTCGTACATAGTACAGATAACCCCGCGATAATTACTCCTCGGCTGTGCAGAGGCAGACGCGTAATTGTCTCTCTAGCAAACATATCTGTAGCCGTAGTCGTTCGCAGCATTGTGGCCACTGTCTCACCTGCTCACCCCTCACTCAGTCAGTCAGTCCTAAGCCCACGTTTGCGCGGCCCATGTGCGGCGAGTCTTTGTCGCAAAGGATACTTTGGTACGGACGTTGCATCTCTCCAAAGTCCCAGGAGCTGAAGAGACCAACTGCGCTGCTGACCTGGACAAGCTGAAGAGCCTGACGTCACTAGCCCAAATCGCCTGTTGCTTTCGCCATGTTCTCGCAGGTAGGTCGCCCGCCCTCAGACCCGTGCCGTGCGCCTGAACCCCTTGTCTAGCTCCTCAGTGTAGATAGGGATAAGAGCCACTGTGGTCTATGTTGCATGCTAATTCCCGCCGCAGAAGAAACCATACTCAGCCGTTACGGTCACAATCGAGCGGCTTACAAGTGAAACTTTCGAGGAAGATGATCTCAGCGGAATCCCTGATCTCGTTGAGGTCATTAAGCTTCAAGCATCTGGCCCTGCCGAAGCTGCACGAGCTCTCCGCAAGAAGCTGAAATATGGCAGTGTTCATCGCCAGATAAGAGCACTGGTGCTTTTGGATGGGCTGATCCAGAACGCTGGTCCTCGGTTCCAGCGTACATTCGTTGATGAGCCCCTTCTGGAACGCTTGCGAGTCTGCGGTACTTCTGGCTTGTCCGACCCTGATGTGCGAAAGAAGTGCTCTGAGCTGTTTCGAAGCTGGGCAGCTGAATATCAGAACACACCGGGCTTGGAGCGTGTTGCTCGGCTATACAAGGTTAGTACTCGGTCTTCGATGAAATGCAGAAGTGTGTCTTAGCGTTGATTTGGTTAGGAACTTCCTCGCCGGAAGCAAGTGGTCACTCAAGATAAGTCTAGAGTGCTTCGTGAGACAGAGCAGGACCCTTTCCGTGATTCGGAAGATGAGGCAGAGCAGAATAAACCCTCTCCACCTGCACAAGCTTCATCTCAGGCTTCATCTTCCCGACCACCAGTGTCATATCCACAGCCAACGCAAACTATTCAATCGTATAGCCATACGAGATCGGCATCTGGAGGCGGATCCCTCTTCTCGAGTTCCTCTAAAGATAAGAAGAAGAAGGACAAGAACAAAAAGTCCAAACCTTTCAAATTAGAAGCTGAGAAGGAGTCTATGAAGGCTGCGATAGCGGAATCCTCTATCGCAGCTACAAACCTCAACAACGCTTTGCAAAGCATCAACAGGGAGAGGGAACGGATATCTGAGAATGCCGTGGCTGTCTCGCGTTTTGAGATATGCAAGAAACTGAGAAGAAAAATCTTACGTTATGTAGGTCGGCTCATTTCTCTCGATCTATTTTGGCAACTTGGCTAACTAGGATAGATCCATTATGTCGAAGATGAGCAATGGCTCGGCGGCCTGTTGCACGCCAACGACGAGCTCGTTGTAGCTTTGATGACATTCGAGCAATTGGACCGTTCAATAGATGCCGATAGTGACTCTGAAGACGAACTAGCCGAGCAAGCACATCTTTACCGCAGTTTGTAGCCCTCAAGTGCTTTAATCTACGAAGAGACTCTCATTTTCTGACATTGTTTAGTGGCCACCGAGAAGCATAAGCAGCCAATGTCACCGACTGAGCCTGCTTCTCCCTCAAGTCCCGTTGCGGACATGGCTGGGCTGAGTCTCAATCCTCACAGCTCGCCTCGTCGCTCAGCGCCCCCGCGGCCTTCGCCTCCTGCTAAACTTCCAACGCCTCCTCCTCGCCCCCTGTCTCCGCCCTCACGTCAAGCCGAGTCTGATGAGGATTCAGAAGAGGATGAGAATGACCCATTTGCTGACCGCAACGCTGTTGTTGACACGCCCATGGTGGAAAGAGGAGAGCCTAGGTGGTAAATTTCTTAGAATAGAGCGCTTCTTAAGCGCAATGCTTAATTGATGGTTGGGGCGTGCCTTATCACATTATCTGTTACATGGATCTCTTCACAGCTCTGTGGTCTTTTAGGTCATCAACCTAAGATTGAGCTTTGCAATAGTATGGAGACAATTAGTGTCGAACTACATTTTGAAGTCTCTTTATTGAATTTAAACCATATTACTAACCATATAACCGATTCCAAGAGATGACTTTTTGTATATCTGTGAATCAATGATAGGGACTGTGTTTATTTCACATGGCGAATGGCAATGTTGCTCTTATGAGAAGACTAGGGTTCCTTGTAACAAGAACCAATATCTAGGATTGCCGCGGAAGAGGGCCCGTAAGCTAGCGGTCAATCTCAATCGGGCGAGAACCTACCTAATGGGAACTATATGTTACCTAATCATTCATTTACGAGACAGAATAGGGAACATAAGATATGTAACTTGTCAAGTAGATCTGCCAGCATAGCTAGAGCCCCCCTTATTGTGGAATAACAGTGAATCAAGGTGAGAAATACAACAAATAGTGCTATGACAGCCCATGAGATTCATCCACGTATTGCTATCTATTGTATATCCACCAACACCTGCTGTAGTGATTACTAATCAGTCACTGCCTCCTGCTTCTGGTATCCGCTAGAGCGTGAGACTATTGATCTCAAAGTTGCCGGAAAGGTATTAATGCGAAACATTCAAGATTCGATCGTGAGGCTCATTACAGAAACAAATCGGGAAGAGTGCGTCGGGCTCAAGGCCAGCTTGGAGCAGCAATAAGTCACCCGTGGATAAGGCGATAACAAGCACGGGTAAGCAGAGAGAGATAGAGATAGCATGCGTGACTCTTGCGGAGTCAATCACGGAGTCGTGGGATGCTTCAATTACAGTACCTTGGCTCTAATTTCCTCCGATGTACTAGGACCAACATTTTCTAATTTTTCTAAACTTTTTTTTTCCTCCATAGAGAAATGGTGTAGATATCAAGACAATGAGTTTATGTGTGAGTGGGGTGGCTGTCTGCTGTCTGTCAGTGCTAGCCCGAAATGCTTCGAAATATTAGTATGGGAAGGACCTAGTTCAGTTGCTGGTGCCTGAGAAACCGATGTTAAATTGAAATTCTTTCTGCTGATTTCTCCCCTGTCAATAGTATCTTGTTTTGCCTTCTACCATTTTCTGGCGGATATGCTTTCTGAGCTGGCCAAGTATACCAGTATACCATGGTGTCCTTACAAGATAGGTAGGTATCCTTTCGATTATACTACACGTACGCTCTTCTAGTACAGTGTATTCGTTCGTTTCTTCACGGCCCATCCACGGGTCCGCAATTCTTTTCTTCCCTTAGCCTCATCGTATACATTCAATTTCCTTTCGCGCTTGAAGATGGGATCTCCTCTAGGATGGGGGAAGCCCACACAGATGTGACGCAACTTCAGCAACCCAATCACCCTCTGCCCGCATTCTCGGGTTGCGACCTACCCCTCTTTAGCCGGGGACATATTAGTAGCTGAGGCTCATCTAGGACTGAACACAAACGGTTCGTTTTTGCGAAAACAATCCGTCAGGCTATTGTAATTGTCAACTGGTCCAGCAGGGCACCGAAACCAGGACTATGACTCCTACACTTCCTAGGAGAGGCCGACCTTCATGCAGGATCCCCGCTGCGGGTAGCCTTGCCGTACGCTGCGAAACCTTTGTCTGCGATACCTCCCCGCCATCTACCGAGTACCTGATGAGCAGCGAGAATACATTGTCAGAGACAAGTAGCACAGCCGGTATCCTCTTCTGAGCCCTCTCGCCTCCCACAAGAACATTTGGGTTGTGCCATTAGGAGAGCAATGCATTACACGTCTTGGAACCAAGCAGCACATTGGGGTTGCACAATCTCCGAGACCGGGTAGTGCAGTGGCTCGGCGAGGGGTTAGACTATGACTCACCTCGAAGGGTTGGAAGCACTCGCATATCCTGACTCACCAGGTATATGCATGCTACCGGTATAACGATGGGATACGGCATGGGCGTTGATTCCAGGGTCTCAGTGACGTGGGTGTCACGTCGAACCAACATCCATCCTGTGTCCCATGGATACACGTCGCTGCAGAACCCGTCATTCGACGTGTAATTGGTGAACAGTCCTCAGGCAGCCTGCCTACGGACCACAGTGCAGGACAGTGATATTTTCCACGACGTGTCGGCTTGTTGGGATGTGTGCGCGTTTAATTGGGAACATCTCCGGGATTATTGAGCTGGCGACACGCCTGTGGCTGTAAGGCAGACAAACTGGCAGTTTCACACAGCAGGCGAATCACCCCTCCCTAGTCGTGGCGTTCTCCCTCACATGACGAGCCACGACAGGCGGTGAGATGTATACAGCACGGTTTAGGGCTCAGTACTCATATATTGTCAGGCTATATTGACGGAGACATCTCGGTCATTCCATAATCGTCAGGTATGGCTGTCGTTTGATGGGAAGCGTTATACATGATAAAGGTTTGTCTGTGAAGAATGATGCAACAAGAGGCGAAAGAACGGGTAGGTCAGCTCCCAATCTAGCACGGCACAAGTCTGTCATTGTGTGCCTAGTTAACCTGGTCTGGTTAGACAGGCGACAGGGACCCTCATCAAGCTAGGGCACCGTGACCAAGCAGATGTTGGTACTGTGAATCAGTCAACCCATGCTTGGCAACGGCTCATTACTTAGGTAGGGAAGTACACCGCCTCAGCATCATAGCGAGAAAACCGTACGGCCTCGTTACTTTCCCCCAGTTTCTCGTGTGTTATGTATCAGAGAAGTCCCTAGACCAAGTCTCATATCTTGCAGAAATATTTGCTTATTCGCTTAGTCAAAGTGTGCGCCTTACCTGGGCCAACAGCAAAGCCCTAGGTGATTCTATTTCTCAATTTATACCCCTCCTTTACCCCGGAATTGTTCAACGTTACGATGAACTTGTTTCTCACCTCATACTAGGTAGTCGACAAAGCTAGGCGAGCTTTGTTGTCCAGCTCACCTTTCACTGACACCGAGCCCGCTCCGCCCTCCATACGACGAGCAGAGACGGGTGTGGAGGTTAGAAGTTGCTTGGCTATTGCTTCCACCACATCTTGGCTCCAAGCTGGCCTGTTTGCGGCTCTGAGAGTTTGATTCCAAACGAAGGGGCCTAATCGGAGTCCGAAACGAGACTTGTTGATACATTATATCATCATTAGTGTGTGTCACCCAGCGGCTGGCCGCAAGCTATTTGCATCCCTTTTGTTTGCTTTGTGTTATCAATCGTCAAACCCAGGACACATTGGTCATTTGCCATTTTGCGACACATCTAGAATATATATTGTATATCCCAGCGGCGATACCTCATTACACTGTTTCAGCCTCTACAGTCACTCATTGGCTGTAGTCTTGTACGAACCACGCAGCTCAGTAACACGTAACACACCTGTCTCTCTCATATTTAAATCATCGAGATCTGTATTTACCATATACAGAACCATCTACTCTATTCTGAATCCCAAGTCACTTTATCTCCTTGTCTTTTACCAGCAATTACTATCTTAAATCCACGTGATCTACTAGAGCATGTCGGATTTCCAAGGCAGAGGTCGTGGAGGGGGCCGTGGTAACCGTGGTCGCGGTCGCGGTGATGGTGGTGGCCGCGGCGATTTCCAGGGCCATGGTCGGGGAAGGGGTGGTGCAACTTTCTCAGGGTTCCAGGGTGGTGATGCTCAGCGAGGACGCGGAAGAGGGCGGGGGGATTTCGGATCTGACCGTGGTCGGGGCGGGGGTTATAATCGAGACAAGTTCCCAGGCGAGCAGATTGTCTTTAAGTATGCTATCTCAATTGTCATCGACCTCAGCAATACTAACACTTCTCTTAGTCCAAATTCTATACCACGCCCGGATGCCACCATTACACAACTTGAGGATAACCTTGTCAAAGGTCAGGGCGTTAGTGCCTTGACCGCTAAGATGGGGAAAGTCCAGATCTCTGCTGCCCAGGATCCAAAGGATTCTTGGTTTCCCCGTCGGCCAGCCTTCGGCACTCAGGGTGCGAGCGTCATACTCTGGGCCAACTACTTCAAACTGGACGCGTCAGCCAAAGTAGCCTTGCTAAAGTACTCCTTGAAAGTCTCAGAAAAGAGCAAACCAAAAGACCCAAGCAAAGAGACGCCCAAGGGGAAGGGCGCGAAAGGCGGCCAACGGAAACCAAGAGAAGCGAAAGGCAAAAAGCTTCACTCTATTATCAAATCGGCTCTCGATCAAGTTGCGGGGTCTGTGACTTTTGCAACTGAATTCAAGGATCAAGTGATCTCACTTGCGCCATTTACTTTACCTGATGACCACATAGTCACGGTGCAGTACCGTGATGAGGGGAGAGACGATGTGTATGAAGTCAAATTCCATGGGCCAACTACAGTCGATCTACCTGGTCTCTTCGACTATCTGAAAACGATGCAAGAACCTGCAGGAGAAGTCACTTTTCCAAAATACGCAGATGCAATTGACGCCATCAGCATCATTACCGGCTTCTATGCTCGAAGTAATGAAGGTACTGCGGCCTTGGGCCGCAGTCGGTACTTTCCATTGAAGTTGGCCAATGAGCAGTATGAATTGGGCTATCCCGACTTCAATCGAATCATCCGGGGCTACTTTCAGAGTGCTCGGCCCGCCACCGGGCGACTTCTCCTGAACGCCAACGTTGCCCATGGAGTCTTCCGGCCTAAAGGTCTCGTATCAGACCTAATTGATCAGTTCAATCACAATTATGCCTACATAAACAAGTCTCTTGGGAAATTAAGAGGCCAGTGCAAGGTTCTTTCTGAAGACAAAGATCCAAAAAAGACTCGCTTCTACCAGAAGCTTATCTGCGGCTTGGCTGACCCATCCGATGGAACCGGATCTAACCGACCCAAAGTGCGAGAGCGAGGTGCTGGTGCAAAGGATGTCCAGTTTTATCTACAAGCCCCAGCTCCTGCAGGTCTCCAAGGTAACGCATACTGCTCCGTTGCGGATTATTATAAGAAGAGTAAGCACCCGATCTGCTCCCCACTCAAGAGAGTCAAGAGACTAACCGCGCCAAGGATACGGGTACAATGTGAACCCCAAGTACCCTGTAGTGAACATCGGAACCAAGGCTCGGCCAGTCTACATGCCTGCTGAATTTGTCGAGGTGATAGATGGACAAGCCCTCCGTCGAAAGACGACTCCAGATGAGACTCGTGGCATGATCAACTTCTCTTGTCACTCACCATACGCCAATGCGACGTCTATATCGACCTATGGACGCCAGGTTCTCGGCCTTGACAACCCAGAATGCCTCAGTCGCTTCGGCATAAATGTGGACAAGACCTTGCTTACAGTACAGGGCCGAGAACTACTACCACCCACTATCGTCTATAAAGATGTCCAGCAACCGAATAAGGATAAAATCGTCGTCACTAGGGATGGAGAGTGGAACATGGAGAACGTCCGCGTCTTCAAACCTGGCCGAAGAATTGATCGGTGGTTCTGGATATCAATCGATAGTGGAAATAGAGCACACCAGAGACATAACGATGTGGCCAATAACATGCGGGCATGGGTACAATTCTTGCAGAAACAGGGAATTAACATGGCGGCTGATCCTTTGAAGAAAGATCTTGAGACCAGAGTTACAGTGCGCGGGTCCCCGGCAGATGCCGTTCGAGCTGTATTCAAGGACATGGAGCCATTCAAACCACAACTTGTATTCGTCGTGCTGCCAGGTAGAAAGACGGACACGGCGATCTATAACGCAGTGAAGAAGCTGGGTGACGTTGACTTTGGGTATCTCACTCAGAATATCCTGCAGCAGAATCTGATCAAGAACAATTCCCAGGTCTATGCCAACCTGGGATTGAAGGTCAATCTCAAAATGGGCGGGATCAATCATAGGCTACGGGATGATGTCACTATCATCAAGCAACATCCCACCATGGTTGTTGGATATGATGTGACTCATCCAACCAACCTTGCTGGCAACAAACAAGGCTTGCCTAGCTTGGTTGGCTTGGTCGCAAGCATCGACGAACACCTCGGCCAATGGCCTGCAGCGTCTTGGGCTCAAGACGGGCGCGTAGAGATGCTGAGTGATATTCTCGAAACCGCATTTGCTGATCGTCTCCAGCTGTACCGACAGCACAATAGACGGCTGCCAGAATGTATCATCATCTTCAGAGACGGTGTATCCGAAGGCCAGTTTCAAAAGGTCCTGGAGGATGAACTACCGTACATGCGGAAAGCCTGCGAGAAAGTCTATCCGGCGACACAGCGTCCGAAGATTAGTATCATCGTCTCGGTCAAGCGACACCAGACTCGTTTTTATCCCACCGATCAAAGGCACATGGTCAACTCACGGAATATCAAGAATGGGACTGTAGTCGATCGCGGCGTGACTCTTGCCGGCACATGGGACTTCTTCTTAACAGCCCATAAAGGACTTCAAGGTAAGTTATCCCATTCTACCCCGAAACGCTTACTACCTATCCCTTTCCATCCCGCTGACACCTTCATCAGGAACCTCTCGACCCGCCCACTACACTGTATTGATCGATGAGGTGTTCCGAAACTTGTCACGCGACCAGGCAGTCAATCAGCTAGAGAAGCTGACGTACGAAATGTGCCACCTCTTCGGACGAGCCACCAAGGCCGTCAGCATCTGCCCACCTGCGTACTATGCAGATATCCTGTGCACTCGCTCGCGAGTGTATCTGTCAGACCTATTCGAGAACTCTGACACAGTGTCTCTCGCGTCCTCGCCGAACACGGATGTGCCGTCGGTTAATGTGCATGAAAGCCTTAAGAACACGATGTATTACATCTGATGAGATTGCAGTGGTACTGTTTGAGGTATGTGACACGTCATTATCGGTGGTGGTACGGTACTTTTGGGAGGGAATATGATGGGGTTGGATAGACATGTCAAGGCAAAATATGTATTACGGAACGAAAATGGTCGCAATGTACTAGTTTATGTTGAATGTCATGAAGTCAAGTATTATCATCCAGTATCCCATATAGGTACAACCTAAGTGTCTTGTTCGCAGCATTATTTTGCATTCAAAGCATGATGACAGTGACATTCGATATACGTATAGGCACTTAGTCTTTATACATTTGTCTATATACTTGAACTATGAAGCCACTATTGCACGCGCTATACGTGTCTGGTCTGTAGGCCTCGGTGGCCGATAATGGCCAATAGCAACAGTCCCAGAGACTCTGGGACTCGTTATACGCGGGCCGTTCAAGCCTTACTAATATCATATTATTATGTTAGGTGTATGTATGGCCTGCGTGTGACTAGAGGCCATCAGACTGTAGAAGCGTCAGAGATATTAACAACTATGAAAGATCCTTCAATCGCGTCGGCCACGAAAGGGAATCAGTTCTAAACTTATTCCCAGACCTCTGCATATAACTAGTATACTTAATATTACTATTATGCCGTAATATTTGTTCAATGCCGTTATGCCTAGTGGAGTGCTGATAATTACAAAGAGTTCAGCTATAGCTCTTCCCAGTAATCCTCGAGAACACCACCAATGTACCAAGCCTGCTTGCTTCGTAATAGTACGGTTGAAGTTGACATTGAGACAATCATGGCAGCTAAACATTCTTAAGATCTCCAGCCTTATACATCCCAATTCCAGCTCAGTGATCGCCTGTAATACATTAACCTCGAATTCATCATGTTATGAAATCTCGCTCTTTAGGTATGTATAAGCCCGATCTTCAATAGCATATCATACTTATTTCATTTTCGTTTCAGCTGTAGGTCTTGGGTCACTGTGTCTATGACCTTACTATCACGTAATTCGTTAGTGTATGGCAGGTTCTTGGTGTGATTCATATATCTTCTATTTTCTATATCGGTATATTAAATCACTTCTAAAGGTTAGTTTGAGGTAATGGCTTCAATAACTCCTAGACTATTGCGTTGTTAAAATGTCATTCATAGGCCGGTCATATCGTTAATACCTTTTAAGCTCACATTTCCATATATTTCAGTTTGGTGCCTGTTAGAAGTTCAAGTTTTGCGAGCAACTACTACGTGTAACATATGCATTGTTCAATTTCTGGTAACAATTGCAGTCCTTTATTGAGCTCATTGCGATAGAATAATGTTATCTGATCTAGTAATAATATTTTGAATTGTTATAAGATTTTTTTTGGTAAGATTTATTCCAACGATTAACAGCGGCCTTGTTATGTCGGCTGCCAAAAGGACGACTTCGACAGTGAGACTTGGGTTTCCAGTGTGTAATTGAAAACAAGAAACATTGTTGTTGTTGTTTTACACCACCCTTGACCTTGCTAGACATGAAAGAAGTAGCCTGAAAACTCGACTAGGATCAATTGTTTGAAACAAGGCCTTGTTTTGCGAATAAAGGGGCAATTGCATATATTATAATCTTTCTTTTCTCTCAGCTAATCACTCAATTCCGTTCGCAATACACAACTTCATAACTAATTTATTCAACTCAGCACTCGAACAACTGAGTCCATACACTTAAATCGAAATAACATTCTTGTTTAAGACGATAACTATAACAATGGCTCGGAACCCTGGAAATTCTACAACTCCTCCCCGCGCTGGCGTAGGGCCCCGCCGGATCGACTCGGCTGTTAGTTCGGAGTCTGGTGGTTTGAGCACAGGAGACACCCTTATCTGGAACGATATAGATTTCTCAGGGGTCATTCCTAGCGCCTTTGCTTCACTTGCCATAGGTACAAGCCCTTCAGCCGGTAGAAGCATGACAAACCTCCAGTCTATGCCAACAGAGGTGCTTATTGAAATAGCCAAAGCAATGAGTCCAGCCGATCGAGTTTCTGCCGCATTTGCCTACCCGGATCTATTCATCAACTCTAACAGATATCACGTGTTCTACGATGATGCCATTGCCCAACTAGCGATTCCTACCTACATATTATCGGGCCCTGAACATAACCGCCAGCCTCTACTCCTAGAAGCAATCAGCCATGGTTACAGCGTTGAGCAGATCGGTTTTCTTCTCGATCTTTACGAAGAGGTATGTGTAGCCAGTAACGTTGACCGTCATACTTTCTTGAACTCTTCTTTTCCGGATAACAGACCAGAAGGTTACCAGCCGCCCAGTCCACCCCCTAATCCCGAGAATCCCGAGTCTAATACGCCCGTACCCGTTATGGTGAGAAATTTGTTTTCGCCACTTCATGTTGCCATAGCTAGCCAGCGTCTTGACATCGTCCGATACTTAATGCAGCGAGGAGCAGATCTTGAACACATTGTTACACGCCCGACCCTCGTCGCACTTACCCCCTTGCAGTATGCTCTTAATCATCTATCGCCAACGCAAGCGTTTTTCGCCGCGCTCTCCCAAAGTCAGCGGGACATACTGATGGAAATAGCTTCTGAGATATTGAATCATTCTCCTAATCTCTCAGCCTACACAACTAGTTTAGTAGAGCTAAGTCGAGAGATGTTCCTGGCTATGAGAGCAGGGGCAGAGTCTATAGTACTGACTCTTTTGGAGAGAGCAGCGCCACCGATAGATCTACCACTTGATGCTACACAGAGACTTCAAACCGTGAGAAACCGCGCGCTACAATGCCTAGCAAGAAGCCAGCGTCCAATGCCCCGAGCGCTTCTTCACGTTCTGAACGAGGGTGCCGTTTGGGATCATCGCCATGGAAGCGCGACCGGCGCCGCAATAGAAGCAAATAACGTACAACACGCTGTGATCAGCCTACGGTGGGAAATTGTAAACAACAGCAGCACCTTGGCCCATAGCATTCAGAGAATTTGCCGTGCCACTTCAGGTGCTAACATAGCTATCGTGCAAGCGTTAGTCCAGGTGTTAGTCGAGTATAACCAAGAAGAGGCACAGCTTAGGGTGTTACTGAGCGCAATGAACAACGTAGCGAGGAATGAGGTGCTTGCGGACGGTCAGTCGATGAGAGACATGGTGCTGAGAACCATACCCCTAAATGATACAGCCCTGCGGTTTGCTATTTGCTTCAGAGATAGGTCAACTACGGCACACATGGTTCGCATGTTCGTTGAGCGCGGCCGGTCGATTGATGATAGACTTCCCAGAGATAGCCTCCTTGCTCCACCAGCTTGTCCTGGTCATTGGTTCGAAACACCGCTGACGTACGCCCTCGCGCTGAACAACTACTGCGCAGCATCTCAGCTCCTCTCTTTTGGTGCAAGCCCAAGCAGGGTGCCAGCCAACATCCGGCACAGGGTAAGAACTGTCCGCCATAGAATCAACTCTGGAATGATTTCTCACATCGAGGATTTCTTGTTTCAAATCATGGACACGCTAATAGACGGGTCGCGACCTACGATAGAGGAAGCTCGCGAGGCTCTAGGGTACGTTTTTGCGAAAATGCTCGACGACCCAGAGCACCCTTTACCGCATTATAACCGTACCCTACTCTATCCAGAGCGAGAGGCTGATCACCCCTACAATGACTCGGATAGTGAAGACTATCCTCATAGAGCGCGCTGTATATCTAGCGTCAGGTTCGGGACCGCCCCTTGGCGATAAATATGGGATTTTGAGTCAAAGTTTGCGCGCTTTCTGCAGTAAGGGCGAGTAGTTGCTTTCGAGTTGGTCGTAGAGTCGCTCGAAAGGTATGCCGCTACGGATATACCGCTCTTCCAGACACAACTATATCTTAGTAGTGACTGACTGTTAAGCAAACTAGATTATTTCATATAAAGCACATTCGTAATAAAACAATGCCCAATACCTTCCTCACAACGTTTTAATGAATGTCGTACCAAGTTACGGTGGTATACAGCAGCCACTCAAAATTGAATCTTAGAGGTTAAAGAAATGTAACGAGTAAGATGAGATAAGATACTTATAGGCATTTCACTTTCAGTCTTAGCTTAGCAGAGTTTTTAAAGGATAGGCGGTCTTGAAGCCAAGTTCGATCTAATAAATTTGATATCATATACCCGTCCTTGCTTTCTCGGGCTCACAGTGCATAAATGCCCATAGCATCCATATTGTGAAGTATGACAAGACTCTTTATCAACATAGACAGAGCAGATGTTGTTTAAGTTGTGACAATTATCGAAAGATGGTAGAAGGTCAGGGGTAAGAAAACTCAGCCTCATTCTAGCTATCTATATACGCTCTGTTTCTTTGTCTTCCCCCCCTGTCCTCTAATCATTAGAATATGACCTTGCCCTCAGGTTGTCATAAATAATATATCTAGTTTCAGCCTGTCCAGTCATTTTCTACAAGGAAGGCCTATTCCAATGATTACTCCTAATTGGCACATGCCAAGCGCCAACCAAGGGCAATGTAATTTATTGAGGGTATAAAGGGGGATAGATGGTAGCCTCTTCTGACAATCCTACCGCTACGACGTACAAGTCGGTGAACGAATGCCATGAATTAAGCATAAAAGAGATTTTGTGTAGTAAATAAGACATAGTAAAAGCCACTGTCACGCTGAAGGATCAAGCTTTGATTTGAATGAAAGGCTGTCGCAGCTTTGGGGGCCTAATCCGACGTCTTGGCATCATGGCGAGGAGATCGCTTCGCGAATATAAATTAGGTGTGATTTTGGGCACGATGCAGGGAAAAGGAGTTAAATAAGAGTAATACAGTATGTTAGAGAGATAATAAAGATGAGCGAGCTGCTCGTACTCGTGCCTTTGGGGCGCGCTTTCTGTCGATGATTGATCCTCACCTTCTCCTCATTGACAGGCTTCGCTCTAATCCACTGCTATGAAGATGCGTCCTCGAGCACTCATTCTTTTGGCGCCACTTACTCTGGCTGGGAAAGTGTCCCGGAAACAGCACGCCATCTCGACAAACCAGGGGCTATTCGGCAACGTATTGGCTACCTGTCCGTCAGGCTACGAAGTTTGTGAAGATGGGTGTATGCTCTCTGGAGACAACTGCTGCAACGATGGCACAGGAGAGTCGTGCGATCGGGGTTACTATTGCATACCAGATTATTGCTGCCCTAATGGCGAAGTTGTAAGTTATATCTCACTTACTGATACCTTTATCTAACGAACATCTTGTCTCTAGTGCGACTGGGGTCCCGCCGAAGACACATGCGACTTCATAGAACTCCCCTGTGGCGACAACTGTGTGCCATGCGGCAACTTTTGCATGCCTATTACTGGTACCTGTTGTAGCAGTGAGGGGACATACTGTCCTGACTTCGGAACTTGCACAAGTGGTGATACCTGCTGCTACCTCGGCGATGATTGCGAAGACAGCGATGTCGATTCCACTGCCACGCCCACCTCTAAAGGCCTGGCTACCTCATCAGTAACTCCAAGTGGTAGTAACGACGGTGATGGTGAAGCCGATCATGGAGACGACCAGACCTCATATTCGTTCATGCCCACCCCTACAGGCTTCAGTTTTCCTACGTTGCCAACAAGCAATGGTAATGGCACCTCTAAGACTACACAACCTTCTGTCACTGTCACTCGCACCGCGACAGTCACGACCACTGCCACTCCCTCTTCCAATACACTCAGCGTTGGACAAGCTGGCGGTTACCGCAGGGCGAATGGGCTAGCTTTCACCGGCTTCGTAGTGGTCGTTGCACTCTTCGTTTAACAGCACCTTTAGCATATAAACACGAGGTGGTTACAAATGTATAACCCTGGGTCATTAGGTATGATCGTATAGTTTGTGGGGAAGACAGCCCGTTTGTCATATCGGTAAAACAAAGTTGGAATAAGCAATGGCGTTGGAAGGAGGCTTAAGTAAGTTCTTGTTGTAATTATACCTTCGAATTGAAATATACACCATGCTCTCACGCATCGCTACGCTTAGTTGAGCATATCCGTCAAATACTATGTTAGTATATTTTCATAGACCCAGGTGTCGTTGCAACGATTCAGAGCTTAACCCTACCATTAAGGCGGCGCTTGGCCCACGAGGGTTCAGATCTCCCACAGCCTTCTGACATCGAACTGTGTCTCTGTCCGAATCAGCTCAGATATTTAAATAAGGCACAGAAATGGGCCCCTGGGTTTGAGAGTTGTGGGAGAGGAGCATTCGTCCAGTTGGACATGCCCCATAGAGCTGTGACGTCACTACATCATCACCCGACTTAGAGCTAGGTGTACCTACATCATTACTCAACGCGAACCAAACAATTGATATCATAAACTGATTCACAATAATAATTCGAACTTCAAAGAGTTTCCTTAACAGTAAAGCTGGATTATCATACGAAGAGGAAATAGAGTCGATAGAAAGAAAGCTTGATCACGAAACTCGCCTCCTCGCACCTAATCTACCACCACCACCTAGGTACCTCACCGAATAGTATTTGGCGAATATTACAACTTCATCATTCATCACTTCCCAACGTCCCTCCCGCCACTCCTACGTACCTACACGTATAATAGAAACAAACAAACAAAAATGTCTGGCCTCCGCACCTCAGTCTTCCAAACGGCGCGCATGCTACCAAGCTGCACAAGCCGATTGCTGCATCAGACGGCGGTGTGCAGGATGCCGTATAAGGACGATATGGACCGGGAGTCGCTGAAGCCCAAGGCGCACGAGTACACGCAGAGCGGGACGGACGACGAGGCGGCGTCGAAGCACGGCGACGCCGCCTTCAACCCGAACAAGACATCGCCCGACAACGCGCGGGACACAGCGGCCCAGGGCGCGGCGCAGCAGAACAAGCAGAACCCGCTCGAGTCGAGCCCGGCCGACAAAGAATTCGCCAAAGGCGGGAGCGCCCCGGCCGTGGAGGACCAGGCGAAGAGCGCACAGACGAAGAGGAGCGGTACTGGGAATGCGCCCAAGGCGGGCAAGGTTAATCACTGAGTTTGAGGTGCTGTGGTGATGGGGTATGGGGAAGGTTAGTGCTAGAAAAGCCAGGAGGTTATGTATATATATGACATATGTCTCAACACGAGTTGTCATTACTCTATTTAGTTTCAGACTTGCTGGCTCGGAGTCTAAACAGCAGGGCGATGATCGATCAATGACACGAAATTTAATGCGAGCAGTCTATGACATAATCATGTCTTTTGCATTATTCATATCCTGGGTATCACCAAACACGCAATGGGAAGCGCATCTACGTACGTAAAATCTATAGATCGGTTGAAGCACGGCAGTTTCTCAGCCATACAGTCCGTCAACATCTTCGTCCTCCTCTTCATCTTTCGGTATCTCCACCGTCTTCTTTTTCTAAAAAATAGGGGGTCAGGGTTAGTATCTACTCTGTCATTGCTCGGGTTTCCCCTACAACTCTTTCGATGGGGAAGGAATAATGTCAGAGAAAGTCATATCATTCATACCGTGAGATCATGCCGGCACGCAGGACAAGTCCCTTTGCTCAATAACCAGGGACCAACACACTCGAGGTCGAATATGTGCGTGCTGTGGCAGGGTAGCTCGACGACGAGAGGGTGCGGATCGTCGACGAACTTCTCGGCGCAAATCATACAGGCGCCCTCGGGATCTGACTGCAGCTTCTTGCGCGACACGCGGTCCAGCGAGTCGAGGTATGTCTGGTCGACGCCCTGGATGCGGTCCGCTCCGTTGCGAATGTCCTCCTCCAACATGTTGCCGAGCCTCAGCAGGAATTCCCGGTTCGCTTCGGTCGGAGCGTCGGCGGCGAGAGTGGACATCTGGTCTTGTACGAGCTGGAAGAGAGCGACGGAGTCGGCGGGCGTGGCGCCGATGCGCGAGTGTGCTGGGTCGGAGCTCATGTGGTGTAGATGCGCGCTGAAAGAGGACATGTCGGGACGTCTGCGGTTTTTCCGCTGTTCCGAGGCCTTGATGTTGTGCTCGACTAGATACCACCGCGGATGCACATGTGAGCTCGGGGATCTAGCCGTTTGCTTCGCGCCTCAGATGTGAAGAGAGATTCATACCTTCGTAAGGGTTGGTCGCCATGGTGAAAACCTTTCTAATCCACTTCTCAGTTGACAGCTTATTATAAACTGAGTTTACTTTTGACTTTGCTGCTGCTGTCAGTCTACATGAAGTATTGATGGGTTGCAGGCTACACTCAGAATACGTAGTCTACCGGTGAGGTACCCAAGTCCCGAGGCACTGCCCCGCCTCGTAAGCAGCTTGCCCCGCGATTTTAGCATCAATGGGGGCGTAAGAGGCTATTGCATATGCATGTAACGAGGTAATGTGTGTATCACCAGGAGAGCATGGCAAAGCAGCCTTCGAGGTGTCCAGGTTTGAAGAACACCATTTCACCAATGAATCACCAATGAATTATAGAACAACGGTTTTTTAGGAGTAAACACAGATAAATTCAACTACTCATTCTATGCCATACTTGAAAATAAAATCCAACTCTAAGAGCCAGCCTTAGAAGAAATCCGCTACATATCCTGACTGGTCTACGCTTACCACCACGGTATACCTACTGAGGTAGCCAAGCAGAGCGACGTTCGAGGACCAAGGACAGGTGACTCTAAGCAGCTCGGCGTCCCTGTTCCATGAAACTGGATGGATGAGCGGTCTCTCCAAACTTCTCGGTCTCTATCCACTCTTGCTTGCAATGGATAGTGTTGCAACGAGGGCAGCTGTCTTGAATACTCGGACGGCAGCCGTCAGCTTTGTAGGTGCTACAGTAAGTACAAGATGAGGCAGCCATTTTTTTGCTTTAGCTTGATTGTATGATAAGCAGTTATGAATTGATGGTCGTAGCAGAGTGCTAAGGTACTTACTGATTAATTTTGTGATGTTGTGGTATTGATGTGGTGATGTTTGCTGTCTAGGGTTTGGGTTGAATGGAGAGTTATCGAGCAGCTCAAGCTCATACTTATATGTACGGATACCGGCCATGTGTTTGTTCTTCTCGGTCTTGGTGACTCGCCGGGAACAATCACGATGGCCTACATACCCCCTTTGTCTACCTAGGTAGACAATACCTTACTTCTCACTGACGAAAGAGACGCTTGCTGGTGACCCAGGAAAGTGAAAGTAGTAATAAACCGACCCTAAAATCCACAAAGCTCCTGTTAGTACACTCTTTATCTGAAGCAAAGAATACAATTGTTTTCGATGAATTACTCCGTGTCTGAAGCAGCTATTGACTGTACGAGTCAATAGACCTTAGAATCACATGCCACTACTAATAAATTACTTCGAACAAGCGGTTGTAAATATGAACACACCACAAGGGTACAACCGCAACAGTCAACGAATCACAAACCATAACCTATAGTCCCCAACCTTTCATCCATTTCGACAAGTTCTCCGGCTTAATAGGCGACAGGTTTCTCGCTGTCTTACTTCCCCACAACAAGTTTTGCTTCTCGATGGTAACGTCGTTTTTACCACTACCCTGGAACAAATGTTTATAGAAGTCAACAAGCTTCACACTGGGGTTGCGAGCTAAATTATGAGCACCCGCGTCCCGACTCTGTTCCAACTTCTTGACCCATTCATCTGGAGGCACCGTGTTAGGAACGACCTCCTTCACAGCCGAGAGAAGTTCATCCCACGATGTCGCCTTCGGATTCATGACGTTGTATACAACAGCAGCCCCGGAACCGCGCCGCGCGACGTCGTCTGCGAGCTCGCTGACGATCTGCCCCAGAACATCGACCGGTATCCAGTCGATGGCCGCCACACCGATAGACTCAGGGGCAACACCAAGGAACTTGGAACTAAGGATCATGGACGGTGCCCATTCCAAGATATTCCAAACCCCCGTCCCTTGAAGCGGCCCAGCGATTTGGCCGACTCGGAGGATCGCGCCCTTGCCACCGCTGGAAAAGACGTACTTCTCGAGTAATTTCTCGCAGACGAACTTAGATCGTCCGTAGCCCTGTTGCGCGAGCGAGCCCGCTTCCTCGATATCCAGGACAGATTCCTTGACAACGTTGTGTGGTCCCGAAACAGGTATCGCTGCTGCGATGCTAGATATGAAAAGCACGGCCGGATCTCTGACACTGTCTTGCGCTAGCTTGAGAAGGTTTACAAGGCCCTCAACCTGTGGTTCGAATGATTGGAGGGGCATAAGGAAGTGGACGGGATACGCGTTGTGAATAATTGTGGTGGCCTCTGTCGTTAGATTAGCATAGTCTTCTTCCGGCAGTCCTAATTTCGTCGCCGCTAGATCGGTCTGTAGGAACGCTACTCGGTCTAGCTGTAACTCCGGAAGCCCCTTGGCCTTCAAAGATGATATCTGGTCAGCCTGAGCGTTTGAGCTGCGGCTAAGACAGTACACCTTCTTGACGTCGTCTCTTGCTAGGAATGCTGCTAGTATGTAGGACCCCAGCGATCCTCGTGATCCAGTGAGAACAATTGTTTGGCCCTTTCGTCGTTTATTCAAGATCTTTGGGATTTTTGCCTCGTACTTGGCCAGTAACTCCCGCACATCGTCCGCGTTAGCCCCCTTCCTCACTTTAGATCCATTGGGGGTTTCTGATAAGACGTTCGAGATTTTTTGTGCCAACTTGGATATTGTTGTGGAATTGAATAGCAAGGCGTTGTCAATCCTTCCCATGACCTGCTCCGAGATGCCGTGTCTGCGAAGACCTGCTTTGATGCGGGCCGCGAGAACAAATATCAGAAGAGAGTCCATCCCTTTTGCAAAAATATCGTCATCAACTTCAATATCCTGTTTGTCTAAGGTGTCGGAATAAAGATCTCTTAGAAATGGGAGTAAATCGTTGACGCTTAAGGACTTGAGTGGCGGTAACCCATTGGTCAACAGCCCCTCTTCTGCCTTTGCATATAGCTCTTCGATCTCTTTATCGTAGTCAGCTATGCTGAGTCTTCGTTGAATGGTCCCTTTGCTTGCTCTCGAGAATGGTTTGCTTGGTGAAGTGAAAATGACCAGCTCTTTCGGAATTTGCCCGAACCTCGGTGCAGCCTTATTCGCTTCGTCAATCGTCGGCCACAGCTCATCTAGAAGTTTGCTTCGCTCTTCTTCGCTTTCCACCGCAGCTTCAGGTTTTAGTTCGATCAGAAGGCATAGTCGAAAACGATGAGATCCAGTGACCAAGGCACCCATAACTTTTGGGTGACTACAAATAGCGTTTTCTGTTTCGGTCGGGTCCATTTTGAGCCCGTTTGACATGACAACCCAATTGTCTGTTCTTCCGTGAAATTTCCACCAGCCATCGGAGCCTTCAATGGGCGCGAACAGATCAGCCGTGCGAAACTCCTGGCGATCTGGGCATGTGTAAAAGTAGGCTTGAGTCCGGTTGATGAGTTCAGTACGAGTGATCACTAGCTCGTATAATCCTGGGATGACTTCTTCCATGCGCTGTCCCAAATCTATAAATTTCATACCATCCCAGTGCGTATTGTCACCAGTGGACTCGAGACTATGATTGGGTTAGCCCATGCATCGATTGATCAAGGCAACAAGAAGAGGGTGATAGTGGATGGAACAAGTGCGCGACATACTAAGGGCCAGCTCCCTCAGTACATCCATACAAGGGAAACAGATGCGGAATTATGTTGGCAAGTTTTCCACCGAGGATCGGATTGAGCGGCCCGCCAGAATAAGCAACGTGCTTTAGTCTTGAAATTACTTCCAATTCACTGGGATTGTTCAGCATGGCTTCTAGTACCGATGGCGGTGTTAACGCGCTAGTAGATGAAGATATTTCCAGCATTTTAGCAAAGTTTTCTGGTGAGAGGCGCGTGCCAACGGCAGGAAGGATAATCGTAGAGTCAGTGAGGAATGAACGAAGTATCATTCCTATTCCACCAAACTTAATAAACTTGATTAGCTTTTGGAGAAGCAGTGATAATTTGGTAGTGGCCATCAGTTTCTTACGTGGTACAACGGGAATGGTAGGAATACATTGTTTCCTTGTAATGTTTCGAACAATAAGTGCGGCCTTTCGGGAGGATTAGGTAGCGTACTAAAGTCGAAAGGAATGATCACGCTACACATTGCTGCATGATTCCAGTAAATCGGCTTTGGGTGTCCTGATGTGCCAGAAGTCTTAATCGGTATTAGTACATCTGATGAGCAATGTTGCTCGGGTATACAGAATAGAAGCCTCCGTATAGACGATCGCGGCTCTACAAACCAATACTCGAGATTATGCGAAATGGATCAAAAATAACTTACATGGAGACCCACTAGAGGCGATAACAGCATTAGCAATTAGTTGTCGACTCAAGCTGGTACCGCCAAGTAAGACAAACAGCATCTTGAAACAGAGACGCCACTGTCTCTGGCGCCAACAGGGCACATCGAAGTATGCGTGTAGACATAGGCCGGGTTCACTTACTGCAGGGCTTGTCTTTTAGTACATTAAACGTAAACGCAAATGGGAATTCATCGACCGTCTCCTGGTTCAGCATCTCCAAGTAGGACGGCGTGGATATTGATGTCGTCGTCTCGCCTAGTGACCCCAACAAGGGCTGGATGAGTGTGGAGATCTCAGGCGCATAGAGCAACTTTGCTGCACCCACGGTTGAGAAAAGCCGAACATTTGATGCGACAGTGTTGCTAGGAGATGGGTAGACAACCTAACCAAGGTCAATGGATATCCCTTCTTTCGGTGCCAGAGTCCAAGACTCATGGTCCAGCAGCTTTCCTGCGCTTCATAGGTGGAGGCAATGTACTCACGCACTTGCCCGCTTTCATAGCTCCCAGAATCCAAATCAGATATCGAATATCGTTTGGTCCCATGTAGAGAAATTTCTCGTCGTCCCTTGCCAGACTGCGACGGAGGAACCAGGCAGCTCGATTGGAGGCATTATGCACGTCTTGGACTGAGATGTGCTCGAGACGGCCATCGGGAGCAACTACAGATACGAACGGCCTCGTTCTGTCACGAAGCCTTCGAATGATATTCGGCAACAAGTCGTCGGTTGTCCAATACATCTTCCGTAAGCCATGGGAAACAACATTGAAGATGGCGCTGCTGTCAAATTGAGGGGCGCTGCTGTATTTCAGTGGCTGAGGTACATGTGCTATGTGACATTGTGGAGAGTACGGTACCTATTTGATTGAACAGCGGCTTATGGAAATACCGGGCGTGATATTGGATCAAGAAACATAGCTAAAAACAGACATCTGGACTGGAAATGGTCATTCAGAAGAACTATAGCAGTACTGCTATAGTACCCTTGGGTCTTTGCTCTGTGTGAACAGAAGCTAAGCTGGGTTGGGAAATAACATATAAGATTAGGCCAGAAATGGAAGTTAATATAACAAAGAAAAGAGTCAGGTCCTGGATTAGCCAGTGGATAGCCAGTCTGAATAACACACTATGGTACTCACTCTTCCTACCTACCCTGCAACAGCATTCCCTTATTTGGTAATCTATTTACAAGCCATTACCCTATATGCTTATAATAACCTCCAACACATGATAATATTAATGATAGCAGCTGGATTGTGCCAGTACCAAGCCTGTCTCTTAGATAGTAGGACATAGGAATGAATATATTCTCTGGCTAGGTATCATGGGTGCTCACAATGCATTTGGGGCCAACCCCGCAAATAGACTCTAGGCCAAGATGATGCGGGGAGGAACGCCTCATAGCACACCTGGGTTTTACGAAGGAAACATGCCGCCGTTGGATGCAATAGTGTCGTACTAGGTATGCATTTGCAGTTGGGGTTCACCACTCAGAGACTGCAGCTCCCAGCCAGTGCGTAGCCAAGGAGCCACGAACATGCCGCACCCCTTGAGTCTCCGAGTTGTCGGACCTATTCATGTAACCCTCCCCCAAACAGGACATAAAAGGGTGATAGAACGGGTAACTTACCGGAAGAAGCCCTTGTATGCTAGTGTCAGCGCAGCGAGACATTCCCGCTTTATTTCCCTTTCACTGTTATAACTATTATATGCAAGGTCATCGTACCTGCAGACGGTCATCATCATGTCATCCCTCAGTCGAGTATGCCGCCTCACATCTCCTCCAGCTTTCCGTACGGTCCGAACTTTCAATCAATCTCCCTACTTACATACAGTATGTACGTCGTACGTACGTACCCGAGGGATTCTACAACTTCTTCCGTCCCACCCCCGGCACCGAGCACACCTCTGCAATAAAATTGGAGATGGATAGGTAGCATTTGCCGCTTTCTCGGAGCTTAAGCGCGCGTTGGCTCGGAAGCTATCTAGGTATCGCTTAGTTGGTCGTTAGGCTGGGGCTAGATGCATTAGGTCAGCGACCGTTGGTACAGATGCATTCTGGTGCATTCGGCATCGTACAGTAAATTTCCCGAGTCTTCTCGCATCAAGGGCCCTTGACGATGTGCGTGCAATGATGTATTCAGCCGATCACCCTCACTCTGCCCTCACCAAACATCAAGAGAGCCTACATTCCCATGAGGGTGAGTTCGTTACAATGCACTTCCGAAGGCTTAAACCCCCTTGTATCCGAACGAACGAGGAGACCGGCACTCGCTTGCGAACACAGCATGCAACATGCGCAACTATCCAGGCGCAATATGTACCAACCCACTGCCTAGCAAGGTAGGTAATAGATCCATTGATTAGTCTATTCCGAAAAGCGGTTAGATAGGCATCACATGAGTAGCAATGCGGCTCCAGTTTTATTAGGTGTGTCTTCATTGTCACCCCCGATTGCTCTCCTGTGTCTACGTCGGTTCAGTTGATAGGCACAACGCTTTTGTTCCTGACATCCTAGAGCATCTCGAAGCTCCATCGTTAACTCCTGACAGCGTAGTAGAAAAAAGCGGTCAGTCGAACTGAATTCCTGAGATAGAGCCGGGGGTCTAGCATGTTGTTAGTTGTTAGCTGTATGGTCCTCACCATGAGCAGACATGAGGTTCCAATATGCACATGTCGCTAACTTACCAGCTTCGAAGCAGACGGGGCCCTCCAATAATGTATCCCCTCTTACTATCTACTAATAGTCGATTTCTTGAACCGCCTTGAAAGAATGTCATCATCATTTTCATCATGTTCATATTTCTAAATCTTTCCTAGCTGAAAATGCACACCGCCTTGAAGTAGTCGTGTGAAAACAAAGAGCGTCGGGCATGCGCAACGACGATGGTGTCCCGCAGCAGCTTTAACCTTCCGCGTCGCTTCTGCTAACTACTAAGGATGATCCAAGCCCTATCCTTAAAACCTATCAGGAATTTCATATTGATCTCCTGACGCCTTCAATAATCCAAAAGCCGCCATCCCAGTCACTCATCTTTTCGATGTTTTATCCGCTTCCTTCTGAAGAATCATCATGGGAAATACAAGAGGACGTTGGGTACCACCCCATTCCGGCTTGAGGGTAATAGAGTAGACGGTGCCCGACCCCGACGGTGCATATCTGAACCCCATGCGCCGATACATAGCTTCCACTCTAGTCTCCGCGTGGATAATCACTCTATCGCCGCCAGGAACCTGGGACAGGGCGTATTTGACCAAGGCCCTGCCGATCCCCCGGCGTCGATATTTCTCCTTCACTCCAAACCCACATAACTCTAGTAGAAGCAGGCGGCTGTTAGTTTATACATATATATGAAGGGAGAACATACGCAACGTCGATACTCACCCCACACTTTACCGGCATCGCGGTGATCCAGAAGACTGTTCACGTTGCAGCGTAGCTGGTGCATGAATTCTTTGTCCTTAGTTTCGGACTGCGCATATACCTTGACCGCTTCCAGATCAGAGGGGTCAGGGAAAGGGACCTCGCCCGTCGGCCCCGCTTTTGGCAAATTCTCTGTGGGAATCTTCTCAGCGAGCTGAATGAGGACAATGACGCCTACAATCTCCTGCTTGTCAAGAGCTGTGTATACGAAGGCCCCTCTGGCCAACATAGCCTCCAAATTGTTCTTCCAGTGGGTGATGTCAATACTCAGGAGCGCTTCCTTGAGAGATTCCTTGTTCGCGTACCCGCCAGCTGTCAGGATCGCGTTATTCGAGAGTGTGTCGAAATGGGCGTCTGCTATCACTTCTGCGATGGCGTCTATTTTCTCATCCGTGTTCGTCGGTTCCAGCTTCGTCAGATGCAGGATCTCGGACTTCGGGTCGTCAATACCCGCGGTCTTGAGCATATCCAGACCATTGAGATGAATTCGCCTGCATAAAACCCTGGGTGAGTTTTGGGAAAGATTATATCACCATATGCTCGTGGTGCGAAAGGGTAGCAGATGTGAGGAGATGATCGTCCAGAGCTAGCCAAGAGGAAATTGGAAAAGCCCAGGAATGCTTACTGATATGTGATATCGGTCTGGGGAGACGTTTTTCCGAATCCGAACATGGTGAACAGAATGTCCTTCATTGTATAATGTGTAACGTACAGGGTATTCTAGATGCTGAAGGTCGAACTTGTTGCTCCCAATAATCGAGAGAGAAAAAAGGATGGGGTTGATTTATAGACACTACGTGGGCAGAGCAAGAAACTCATTTTAAGGTATACGTTCAGTATGATATCAATCACACTGGCTCTTTTCGGATTTTAGGTTTAATATTCTTACCGCTGGTGATACCCAGAAATCTCCCTATTATGATCTTGTGAAGCCTGGATTTTTCTTTTCTTGGACTAGCATTGTTTAGTTAGAGCAGTGAATCGGTTGTTAGTTTGTGTAGTAGTCTGTGTCTGTAGTACTGTAACATCATGTGATTGATCGATATCAATTGAGGGATCAATAGCTTGCTATGTATATAGACACATAAGCAGGTTGACTCCCAACATGGTACGTACATATTACTGACTATTGAGTCTGAACTTTATATTTGAATGTCCTGCTCGTCCGGGGATTTCAATGCAGGAGATAACCTCAATGTTCAATCCGAACCTAACTATACATAACCTACAATAATAAATATCATGAAACATAAATATCAAAAGCTTTCCACACCCTGAAAAATTGCTTGTAAATAAGAATCACTCTATCTATCTCTCATTCACTGAATACATAATAACTGTAAACGCATCGTACAAACCTGTGACTTGTGTGTCGTAAGCTATTAGTCGAGATCGTGAAGAACACCACCTAATTTCTCCATGTCAATACACAAGATCATGCATTTTTGAGTGCATATTCATGCTGTGTACAGTTTCACCAACCAGTAAAATCTAACGGATTGTGAACTGGATACCGACTAACTCCATATCAGATGTAATTCCCCCCTGAGTAGAGACCATCCCTTACATCATGAACGGGTATCATGAACGGGTGGTGTGCTAATACCTATGAGGTAAAGAGCCTAGAAGATGCACGAACTGAGGAATGCGGTGTAAAGATTGTCGTATCTGGCACCTGATGGGCCATGTCCAAGCAGTTAGATGTAAGGGGAGATATTCCAATATCCTACATGATATTCAATGACAGTCGTTTTTCATGTCATCGGGCGGCATCAATATTCATCGGAGTAGCCATCTCCTAGTTATTCTCACGAAGGAAGGACATGCTCATGAGCGAAGTTGTCACATCCACCACCCTCGGCTAACACATCATGTTTGCTCTCATAACGTCACTTAAGATATGCAAGGATTTGTGGGAGGTGCAATTGTGTATTGTACTACTCTGAACCCATCTGTCCCACCAAGACTAGACAGACACCCAGCCTAAGCGCGCGCTACATAATGACCAATGACCACAGCGTTGAATGTCATCGTATGGAGCCTTACTCGTCAATAAACATGAGTCCTTGTGAGATTGCTTCGTAGATGTGTGAGCCATGACAGCTTCGGAGCTGGGGCGAGTCGGCGCTGACACCTACACAACGTCGAAAAGTTAGAACCTTGAACTGCGCTTGCATGGAAGATACAGCGCTCATCAGATGTTTTCGTTGACTATTGTTGCAACGCATGAGAATTGACGATGATGACGATGATGGTAAACATCATGAATAACTGGATTTTACCTCGGTACATCCGGACCGGGCCGCGCGCTATTACCTCATGAACAATTATTTAGAGAGAGAATTTCCCTATCGATGAATTCTCGTTGACAACCCATAGAAAGATATTGCGAAAAGCACTAATCTCATCTTTAACATGATTTTATAGCTGCTGAAACTTGAAGGGTATCGAATGTTGCACTATAGAGGTCTGTGGTAGTCAGAGGCTATAGCGTCTGCTTATATCATACTACCTAAGTATAGCTATTCGGGTTTAATCTTACCGGTACCTCACTTTTTAGTTACTCCAAGCTATCGCGCTGAGACAGTTAAGACTGTTTCTCAGCATACTTACACGATCCTGGAGGAGGTGTACTATGCCCCTTCCTTATGATGCATTAATGTCAAATGCTAATAAAGAATGGTACAAACTTTTATCAAGCTTGCATGTAGGCAGACAGCCTACAGGCAGGGGCCACAGGGCGAGGGTGAAAACGAAGCGATGTGTACCATTTAGTCGGGACTGCCGAGATGAGGCGTTCCAGGGGGATAACACTGGGACCTGTCGATCAACAGTAGCAGTACGACGCTGGTGGCCCGGATAGCGGCGCGCTACCCGGGGACCTCTGCCGAGAATCCCCAATCCATCTATTGCCTACCTAGATCAGCCACTTGACTATGAAGAGTCTGGAAGAGTCAGGCCATTGGCCAGTTCTAGCCGTTTTCGGCGTGGTTACAGATATAAGTATGCGATCAACTACTTAGGTACGTGGCCAAGAATAGGTCAGATTCATACTATGTACACGAGAAAGGGCCAATTCCGCGAAGACTCTACCTACTTACTCTCAGCACTGAGAGACGTGGCATCGGATCCTAAGTAGATGTTTGCAGCTTCTGTATTACCTAGATCTCACGGGGTATGGATTTCCATATCTGCACTACATACCTACCTACCGGTAGTCAGTATCTACAGTACTTACTTAGCTAGCTAGCCACATGGCAAACCTGCAAACAACCCTAACCTCAAAAGGGGGCCGCGTGTAAGTATACCTAGGTAGTAATTTGCAAGTCTCATGCCATACCTATGTTTAAAATTGCCCGAGTAGTATATTCTGTAGTAAAAGTAGAGCATACTTACGACCGGCATCGTTGTCATGATACTGGCAACGCCCCACGATATCAGGAGCTTCTTATTTCAGATATCTACTGCAAGATCATGGTACGCGTAAAGTAGGTACTTACTGTAGGGTACCGTAGGTACATTCAGGCATTGGTTCGTGACGTTTCATTGTGCCCCGTGCCCTGCTTCTCGAAAACTTCTATGGGGCTTCTGGATTCGGATTAGTACAGGTCTGTACAGTCTGTACTTATTTACTTACACTTCAGCATTGCCCCCTGAAGCTGAGATTGACAGTCCAGGGTAAAAATCGTGACTGCAGACTACCGCCGGGGCAAGCTTAAGGTGGGGGGAATGGCTGATGGGCATGGGTTCATCACGGCCAGCTGCTTAAGAGTGCGGATATGCGCTAAACTTACTGTAGTTCAAGGTAATGAATGATTGCATTGGCGCCAGGGGGCCAAGTGTTGGGCACTTCGTTTCCATTGGCATCAACGAGTACTTCGCTCAATTGTACACGTAAGACTGGATAGCAAAAGTAAGAGGGAAGGATGACATGTTGCACGGACCTACTCTAGTGAATGGACATGGAAATTCGATTGGGCATACTTACTACCTACAGTAAGTATGTACTGTATACTGCTCCGGGCTTGTGTCAAAGATCGATGTGACTGCTTCTCCGGAGAGCCGGTACACTAGGTAATAACGGATCAAACCTTCAGGCTCCTCTTTACGCCCGCCAGGGGCTGCTCCGTGCTTCATATGTGTTCTAGCTAATCTGGTATTGTATATAAATGTATAGAATAGTATTTGCCCCTTGAAGGTGCTTTATTGGAGAGATTCTGACAATGATACATTTATGCACATCTTACCAACAAGGTAAAATGCTCACTGTACACAGAGGTACATGAATCTTCCTGAGAAGAAGTCTGCATGTGAAGACTACTAGGTAGCATGTGCGGGAGTACATCAGCGTCCATGTTGCCGAGATAATGTCAATTGTCCCAGAGAAATCTGCTGATCCCTAATAGAAAAGAATTCTGTTGATACTCACAAACACACACACACACACACATCCATATATGTGTATCCTGATAGGTAATTCGTTGTTTGTAGACAATAGATAGACGCTTGAGCTAGGTAGTATGTGGTTATTTGTTAAGCTCTCGACATCAATAGCATAGTTGGATGCGCTTTCACATTTCCGTTTCTTGTTCTGGAGCCAATCATACAGCATTCACGATCTGACCCAAGAGCAAACCCTGATCCATCAGACACTTGCTGGTATTCCACCAGTTCACCTTAAACAGCTGGATGGCCGAATAACCGGGTGCTATTGAGTAGGCAAGAGGGATTTCGTCAAGTGTTTGCGATACCTACAGTAGAAGGGAATGGGAACATTGAATACTTGCACAGATCTACCTGAAACCCGCTTTTCCCAATCGCTGCCAAAGACGTCAATGCGCTGATTGGTAGGCCCTGCACACTAGCCATAGTCGATAGAAGTACCCCGGCCAGCGCATTCAGCTAGATGTACTCCCGTTGAGCTCAATCGAAACCTGTCTTTCCAGCTATTTACTATGTATATCTAGTAGTGCATAGAGGTATCCAGACCGATCGGACATGTACCTGCGTGCGACAGTGTACATACCTAAGTAGGTACCATTAATCCCATCTTACGCCATCCCATTTTGAGCGCCGCTCCCATTCACTAAATGGTGCCCGCGGCCCTGCAATTGAAGGTCTAAAACGGCGCCCCAAGGACGGCTGGAGCGCTGTAGCGGGCCACCTAGCGGAACACCTAGCGGGACACGCTGCTGCAACCTTAGCACATCCCTTCACCTGATTCGACCCTTCCTATTTGCAGGGTCATTTCGTCACCTCGAAATTATTGTCCATTATTATGATTTACTATTTCTGCGTCTCGTCTACATCTGCATCTACCTCTGCGACCTCGACGATCCTATCCTCTCCTCTTCCCCATACTTCACCAGCATTACACCCGGACTGCCAGCATAGCATGTCCATGGTGTAGCCTTTCTAATCCGCCCTTCGCTCCTGTTGGCGTTTTCTCCATTGGTCTGCCGCCCAGAGCAACTCCGCCGTGCTGGTCAGATTGGCGGCCTATCCCGTAGTTCTCAGGAGCATCTAGAGATCTATGCATGCACCCAACAACATTGGTTTGTGACCCCCTCGCCGTTCCCGCCTGGTTTGCTCTCATATAGGTACCCTCGTCTGTCCTTGTCCTTGGTTCCCTATCCCACGCGCACGCTCCAATCTTCATACCAATCCATGATCCGTGCCTCAGCACTTGTCCTCGATCTCACCCTCAGATCCTTCCATATTCCACACCAAGCTGTCATTGCTCTCGAGCCGTCATTGCTGACCGAACCACGCCTCCACAAGGTTGCCAGATTCGATCTATACCTTGCCTGTCCTCGAATAGCCCAGCATGTCGGGTTCGCCGCCCTCAGACGGTGTCATGGACATAAGTAATCTTATGGACAAGGAGAAAGCTGCTGTTGTTGCCGCTGCCGCTGCTGCGGCCGCCGTGGCATCCGCACACGCCGCCGCTCTTGAACAACAACCACAGCTTCTGACACAACAACACTTGCAGCCCACTGCATTTGATAGAGCAAACTCGCCCCATGGCTCCGAGACATCATACCACTCAGCGCATCGTGCATACGGCTCACCATCTGCAATGCAGGGACAGCTTCCACAAGGACAGCTCCCATTGCCAGACCCGAGCATGCCTTTTATGGTTGCAGGCATACCTGCTCCGCCTCCTGTCGACCATGGGCTACTACCACCTTATCACAAGCCTCCGAAGGCGCCTACCAAGCCGCCTGTGAAGGCCTACCCTTGCAGTACATGCCAGAAACGTTTTGCCCGGCGGAGTGATCTCTCTCGGCACGGTGGGTTCTCCTGGACAGTCTTACGGCTTTATGCCTAGCTTTGTCACCTCTTGACCATGCTAATAACTGATCCAGAACGAATTCACAGCGGCATTCGGCCACATGTATGCGATTTTGTAGGATGTGGTAAACAGTTCATTCAGAGATCTGCTTTGACAGTACATCAACGCGTCCATACGGGAGAAAAACCTCATATGTGTGAGCGCTGTGGCAAAGTAAGTTGTCGCATGACTATTTAAACGCAGAATATTAATATGTCTATAGCCCTTTAGCGATAGTAGCTCGTTGGCTCGCCATCGTCGTATTCATTCGGGTACAAGGCCCTACCAGTGTCTCTATGCGAACTGCCAGAAGACATTCACAAGAAAGACCACGCTGACTCGCCATCAACTCATACATACGGAAACTCTGGAAGAAGCCGCTCAGGCAACGGCTAAAAAGCTGACGGAGCAGGCCAGCAAGATCGCCGCTACTAGGTCTGTCCGCAGCGATGGAGGCGACGCCCCTCTAAATTCCAATCATGCATCGCCTTTGAATACCCCTTCACCTGGCCACAGACACATGTCCGCATCCCCCGGCGCTGATCCTGCCGCACCCAACGCGATGCGGGCTAGTGACTACTCGTATATGGGTAATGGAACGCTACCAGTTCACCTGCGGCCTGATATTCATACACCGCCTGCTACGTCCGTAGGAAGCTTTGTTCCCGGTATGCGGCCGACTTCTCATCCCACCAGTTTTCCCCCACCTCCCACTCTGGAACCGAACATCGAGTCCCATCAGTCCGTGACAGGTAGCACGGCTGGTAGCCCCCATATGGGTAGCGTCGGTTGGCAGTCTCCATCCCACGTGCAATCGCCGTCACACATGCCTTCACCAACATTCAGTAATGGTGGCGGAAATGGCTCCGTCTATCCTGACTTGGAGCCGTCTTTTGCGGGGAATGCATTGAGCCCAATATATTCCTACGGTAGCCAGATCCGTCGCGGCAATAGCACAGAGCCCCAATCATCGACATATGACGTTAAACCACGGCCGAGTGAGCTCTGGGCAGGCCAATAGGATTGCCTCCCTGATGACTTAGAGCTAATGAGTTACGGCTTATCTTAGGCTGGGCTTGCGTCTCACCCGATGGTAGCGGGTTCTCCGGTAATTACCTATCCTGTCGGATACCGGCCAAATCGCTCTTTCCTGGGTGATGGGTCTGGTCCGGTAGTCTACTCTCACCAGTAAACTTTCTGGTTTGCCTGGAAAGAGCTCGGAAGGCATGCAGTTACATAATGGGCTGGAGTTCTGATTTGATAGCGATCTGGTAGTGATTTTTTTTTTTTCTCGATGCGTTGTCTTCGATATAGACTGGGTAGACTGGGTATTCTGGACGACACTGCATTACCTTCATCAGGAAGCCGGGACTGGCATGGAGTTCAGGGATGCGAGCCAAAAGATCAGAGCGGTCTATCGTTGATTTGATTTGATTTCATTGATGTGCAATCAGCAGGCAAAAAACGACGAGGAGACCAAGGAATCAAGGGACATAAGGCATTGTGAATTTGATATTTCCGGTAGTGCCTTGAGTGTAGAAACATCTGGGCGTTCTTGAGGACTTAAAGGTAGCGCTTATTGCGCAAGGCAAAGGCGAGCCAGCTTGGAGATGGAATTCTGACTAAACTAGGCGACACTTTGAGGGCCTTCTATTTCTATACAGAAATTTCCGGGCGAGGACTAGAATAAATATTCGACTAGTTCTTTCTAAAAATAAATCAAGGTATTCATTCACCTACACACGATACGATGATTGTGTTTACTTCTGAGTGCATTTGTCGTTCGGCGTCTTGAAAGAGGTCCGTGGTGAGGCGGAGGCACTACCATCCGTGCAACTTTCAATGCTCTATCATCTTTCTCGCGATGAGACACTGGCGCCTTTGAGACGTGTAGCAAGCTCTAGGCATCCAGCTGCCGTTGCGGCTGAGGTGCTGCGACCAAACCAAGACAGCTAAGTAGCCTACACAAGCCACTTTCTCCTCACCGTTTTGATGTTATAAGGTTAAAAAAGGAGGTAGGTAGATAAGTAGGCACAGGTATTCATGAAAGCTGCCCAAAGTCTGCCGTAGGAAGCTACCGCCGATGGGCGGTGTGTAGAGCCCCTCATAGCGGCTGCCTACCAGACCAGGTCGACTACTAGCAAGGTACACCATTGCATTCGCACAGCATCATTCTCCATCCATTGCATCCATTCATCCATCTATCCGTCCATCCAGATGTCCATACCTATGTCCATCGGACAGTCAGGTTAGTCCCGTGACACGGCAAGATTTGTAATCGATCACCTCGTCATGTGAGACACCCGAGATGATGACTAACGCCTATAGTCCTGGGTATGGCCTCAACAAAGAGTATGCTTGTGACGGTACTGATGCTAACAGATGAACACTTGCTTACTTAGTAGTAGTAGTAGTAGCCTTGGGCCTTGCCGAGAGATGTAGCACCGCCCAACAGTGCCAGAAGAATCCCACGTGGCATGAGAGCCCCTTGAATCGAGAATCGCGAGGGAATCAGACGATTCTCGCATATCTTGGTGGTATTCCTACCCTGCCTCGACAGAAGAAGCAATCGAAACATGTAACCTACTGCATCTGTACTGCAGTTCGACAACGTCTCTTGGGTCTCTGGGATCGTCCCAAGCCAGTCCGGTCTGGCAGACGGTCAGCCCACCCACTTTGGTGCCACTGATGCGAGTGGTGCCCGGTACCCAGACTTACCTATCCCGTCGCGCCCCGAGCCATATATCTGTATGTCGACTTGCAGCAAGCTATACGCCAATCTCAGCAATCTCAGATTGTACGTGCATACACCTGTATCGGCGCCCGATTCCTGATTTGTGATCAGCAGTGTCATTGGTCGACCGCGCGCGTCGTCTAGTGCTTCACCCACGTCATGGATCGGAAACCGTGGACGCGGCCGAAACGCTTGCCTTACCTTGCCCTGGCCTGCCTTACCTCGCCTGGCATTGCACGATACCTTGCCTTGCAGGAAGGGCCCTGGCCTGCATTTACCTTGTATCCCCTTGTGCTCCCTTGTGTTCCTATATCTACATGGCATCGTGATGTCTCGACCTTGTTCCATTCGCCAACTTCTTCTCTTCCCGCCACTGCTAGACCCCGCGCTGCCGTGTTTGGACTGCTGAAACATTCTTTTTTTGACATCTTTCCTTTTGAGTAATTGCCACCGCCGGATATCTCTCCCCGGTCAAATACGACGCCCCCGCGTAGTCCCAGGGTCGCAGCGGGCGCATATGTCGCATTGCCGTTGAATTTGATGCGCCAACTCACACATCGTCGCCGCACCTCGAACAACGCTCTTTATGGATACCCTGCTGCGATAAAACCTCTTTCCATGAGACAAATAGTCGATGTCCTTATCAAAGCAGACAGACAGACCATGGAAACAAGCTCGTGCGAGCTTGGCTTGGGCTGAGTCGAAACACCAGCCTCATACAGTGTCTCCGCTGGCGCGCGTCGGCTCCTGCGAGAGTTCACGATTAATCATCGATATGCCAACGCGGAATCTGTCGCGCTAATAATTGTGGCCCTCAGCCTTGAGCTCTCTGCAGTTGTTCAATAAAGAAGAAGCATACATCAGATTTGTCAACGAGCTCTCATCGGTATCGTAAACACTTGATGAAACCTCTGCAGCACCTCAACGGTGCCCAGTCTCTGTCGTCCCCGCATCCCTGAGAATGCAGCATAGCGCCCGTCGTCGAGCAACTCCATAGGCTTAAGTTGCTGCATCCCTTGCTCCACAACCATCCCCATTGAACTGACTTGATATATTGCTTATTTCCGGAAACTGCGCTTCGTCTTAGTTCTGCGTAGCTCTCATAAGCTGACATTGTTACGCAATTCGAAGTGTTTCTACAAGCATCATCGAGGGCTGGAGATCTGCGCTGTCAAAATTATTTCCTGAATACATCCAGGCCGACGAGCGGGCGAGCTCAATATGCAAGGAATTAGAGTCCAAGATCTTCTAATACCTGACGACAATTCATCCCAAAACTCGACAGCCAAAGAGGAGCGCCATGCTAAACCCGAATCTACACCATCAGAAACAAAATATTTCATCATTGAATTCATCCATGACACCATATGTCCCTTTTGCTATATCGGCATGAAGAACTTGTTGATTGCGATTGAGATCTACAAGTCGAAACATCCAGACGCTGTGTTCGAAGTTACCTGTACACCATTTATCCTCGCGCCGAATGCTAAGTACAGCTGTAAGTTCTGATGCTCGCCTCTTTCATTTGCTTCAACTATCATTCTACGACCGAGTCCCATAACCCGAAGCTATACGTCCGCATGACGGTCGCGCTACAATTTCCAACGGTATGAGGCTACTGATCGCGGATTTTATGGCAAGGGCTGGAAATCATGCGCCGTGCCGACTATAGTTGGGCTTTCACACACAAAGTATTCGCTAACGGTATCATGCATTTCTAGTCTATGACAAAGATCACTATTATAGTACCGAACGAGGTTTGCCAAGAAGCCGATTTGAGGTATGGGACAGGCTTGGGAGGGATGTTGGCATTAAATTTACGTGGAAGGGTCGAACGGGCAACTCGCGACATTCACATAAACTATTACGCTTTGCGCTCCAAAAGACACCGACAAGACAGTCAAGCACTGAGTTAACGGTATACAGGCCAGTAGCGGATGCACCCCTTTATCCTCCTTATTCTCTACGTGCTCCCGCTTTACCGGTACCTCTTCCGCAGCCTCGCGGCCCTGATCTTCAGATGCGTCTCCTAGATGCCATAACGACGAGATATCATGAACATGGTAGCGATCTTTCAGATCCACATTTTCTCATGGAAATTACCAGGGCCGTGACAGGCTTCCCCGAAGATGAGATTCGTGCTGTACTCGATAGCCCGGAATGGGACCGAACAATCGATATGCTCTCTTCCGAAGTACAGAATCGAATCAGTGTACGCAGCCAACTAGCCGGTCCTATTGTTGCTGTGCCTACTATGGTGTTCAATAATAGGTGGGTCTATGGGGGTTTCCAAAAAGCGGATGATATTGTCGACCAGTTCGAACTGCTTCGCCAGGGAATCAACCCTCTCCGGGAGTACACAACATCAAGTTTGGTACTCGAAGGTGGCATTGCCGACACCATTGCCCGCGAGGCTACTATAGCAAAGGGGAATAATAGCAAATAGCAGTTGACATAGTAGCAAACAACGGCATTGAATACGGCAGATAGATGGGTGTCTAGCGTCAACTAATCAGCCAACCAACTTCACCGATCCTGCAGATCTGGCAAATGCTATCATCGATCGAGGGAAAACCTACAGAAGGCGGACTCACAGATGTGTCTGTAATCTCGAGATTTTTTTATGATTACTGATCAACGGCTGGCTCGATCTGCGGAGCATTCTCTCCGGGAATATTTGCGCCTTGGTTATCTCCGCTTACCGAGCACTTGCCGGTAAGGGATTATTGTGGCGTGCGAACGTGGTGCTACAAAGAGCAGCAAAGCATGTGAAGATTCTCAGCATTGGGATTTGGGCTTCGTGATACAGAGGTGTGATAGATGCACACGGGTTGAGCGCGTGCAGTGTATCTTGAGGCGAGCGGAAAGAAGAAGCCGAGTCGCTCTACTCCAATCGCTTCCTCACTATCTGGCCCCTACCCCTTGACGCCTTTACACCCCGACTCCCACATTCACGCGGCTAAGCCACAGAGGCAGATACCCTTAGTGTGACGTACACGTATAAAGGTTATGCTCGAGTATTTGTTGTTTCAAAATCGAGTGCCTTAGTTCTAGCCCGCAACGCCCACCGCTCTCATCTGCCGGTTCCTTGGCTCCGTGATGCCCAATGGGAGGAACGCTACAACGAACGAGAAAGTTAGCTGTGCCTAGGGCTGAAGACTAGAGACTACACACACGGTGTATAACACGTCAAACAATACATGGAGAATTAGACCAAGTCCGAGTTTACTTGGTTTCGAGAGTCCTTTGTCGTCCGAAATACTTGGAGATGGGTTAGGCTCAATTTCCTAGACTCCCAGAGCAAAGATTTATCTCTCATCGATCGATCGGTCGCAGCTACACCCATAGTGCTGACTCCGTTTCGGACGCATCGCAAATTACAAGCATACGCAATGCAATGCCGCCTTGTGTCATCTGCCTTTACCTACGTTGTAACAATCACCTATCGTTTCCCCATTTCTCCATCCCACCCAGCCCTCGAAATGCAGAAAACCTGCTAGTCGGGTCGTGGAGATGTCTAGTGTCGGAAATTTCCTCTCGCTGCAGGGTCCGGAGCACAGCATTTACATAGGTGGTGTCTGAAAGAGTTCTCCTACTGCGGTTACGCCCGCAATGCTTTTTCTCATACGACAGAAGAGAGGGGTTGGGTTGGTATTGTCACCTTGGTCATATATATCCCTCCGGGCATGCTTGACTAGAATACCATTGGGGGGATGGGGCGTTGCGAAACAAATTCACCCTCTTATTAATATATAGATGCGTACATAGGTATACATATATATATGTTATCACGTTGAAACTAAACACGCGCGGTTCCCTGCGCGCCACGAAGCTGGTTTCGATCTGACATATTTGCTTGTTTAGGGCCGCGTAAGTACATGATGTGTCCGTACCTAAGCGGCGCGGTAGATGGGGATAGTCATACTAGGTACCTAACTTGCTGTGTCTTTTTCGTCTTTAGATATTTACCTTTATCTTTGTTACTGTGATAGTGTCCCCCGCAATATGGCACTGCCCTGGTACGGATTAATAATCACGACCCGGCGAGGATAGATGATAGGGATCGATAGATCAGTAATCTTACTCCAGAGTAATCTAAACATAGATAGCGAGTCTCAACATATCGAGATGTCTTCTAGGGGTAGGGTTGGGTAGTGTGTGTGTAGATTCGTATACGATACCGAACTATATCGTATATACTATGGTGGAATGAGGCCTGATGGTAAGTAAGTGAAATCCGTAGGTGTGTAGTGTATGTTTAGTATTGGTTGAAGGTGACAGCGAGAGAGCGAGAGCCACACACACACACAGTCTACGAGGAAAGGAAATCTATAAGAGAGCTTGAGTCTAAATAAGAGGAATACGCCAAGAGTTATCCATGAGAAACTTTCAGGCGAGTAGACTATCTAGGCCTGTGCATTACACTTCCGTAAACGTAGGAACACGATCCGCAAGGAAATATACTCGGGGAAGAGCCCGCGATATGGATAAGTTTTGGGGTCTTAACTTGGCAAAGCCTTGCAAGGCGAGGTAGATAGTATGATCTATGACACAGCATTCATTCATTCACCTTGCCAAACAAAATCATCACAGCATATTCCCCCAGGCTCTATTAATCTGCAGAATTTGATGACGACGGGTATAGTAAGAGCCGATTCCAATTTGATTTCCGTGCTCCTGCACTGGTTATATATCCCATGAGAGCCTTATTCTCGTTCCCGCTGTGCCGAAATTCCATATCCGAAACATCATCCCTCAAAACTCGAAATCAAGTGGTGTAGAAATCCCGTAGTATCTAGGGGTTGATTGAAAACCGTAGATATTTTTTTCTCCCTTTGTCCTTGTCCAAACGCCGGCAAATGCTTGCAAAATCCCCATCCCTTTCCATGATTGATCGATTGACTCCAATTTCTAAAACGCCAAGTCCATGTAATTTTCCTTTCCATTTATCCTTCTTTTCCTCTGGTGATTTTTTTCTCTTCGGGTATGCATGTGTAAACCGCCGCCAATTCTTTAAGGGGGGAGAAGGTTGGTGTTTTGAGATTGCCAACATGGCAATCTCCGTTCTTGTTGTGCTGCACTCGGACCACTACCGCTTCATATGGGAGTAGTCCTTCAGCAAGTGAGCCATGTGGGCGTTGCTCTGGTGTTTGGGTGGGCGCGTCGTCTTTCTCTTCTTCGCGGCCTTGTTGGTGGCCTTGACGTTGGTCTGGGGCGCCTCGCTAGCCGGCTTCTGACCGAGTGCCAGGAGCTTGCGCACCATGTCGTCAGCGTGCGGCAGCTCGATCCGATGCCACATGTTCAAGAACTCGGGATCGACGGCGTGCGACAGGCGGGGGTCGTCAAGCCACACGAATTTAGCATGATTGTCTTTTTTCGTGCGGACAACGAGGATCTTGTGCTCGTTCTCCAGCTCGGTAATCGCCTGATCGCAGTCGGGCCAGCCATCCTTCAGGTCCTTAACGCTCAGTGAAGATGCGTCTGTTTTGTGCTGGAGATGTTCGAGCAGTGTCACTTTGTTGTGCACACCGGGGATCTTGGCCTTGAACTGGTATTTCCCGGTGCGCCAGGCGGGAAGCGCCTGGTCGCCGGTGGCGCCCTTGGCAGTTTTTGGTGCGGGAATGTAGTCGATGCGCGAGTGCTTGTGCATGAGGTTGACGAATATCTTCTGCTGGTGTTCGGGCAGGTTGTGCAGCGTCAAGTGGTCCAGCACCTCCTGCAGCGTCTTGGACGCGCGCTTCGCCTTGAGGAAGTCAACCACGTAGGTCAACTGGGTCATCATATGAGTGCCGAAGTCCGTCGCCCTCGCAGCGGCCGCGGCAGCTGCGGGTGTAGGGGTTGGGGAGGCGCGGTCCCTGATGCTGCTGACATTGTCGCGCTTCTGGCGTTTGGCGGCGGATGAGGGTGTGCCATCGGATTTGGTGGGCGAGGTGTTGGCCCCGTTGGAGGGCGATGGCGGCGCTAGTCGCTTGCCGTTGCTGTTTAGCTTTGTTGACGCTAGAGTAGACATCGCAGCGGTATTGGGAAGTGCTTGGTGCGATGAGGTTGATGGTGTTGGCGGTGGTGTTGGTGATGTTGGTGATGTCGACGACCAAGGACCAAGCCTGTCAGTAGAGAGAGATGATGAAAGGGAAAGGAAGCATTGACGCATCTGGGCACGAGGCTGGGCCCACTTGGTCAAGTACCGAAGTACAGGGACAGGGACCGGGAAATTAATGGGGCACAACTTACTTACAAGAAAGTTGTGGGTTGCCTGGCCCAGCCGAGTCTAATTCACACTCGACACTCACCCTTACCTACCTACCTACCCCATAGGTATGATATGTCTACAATGTATTTATACAATGCACAGGCCAGTGGTAGAGAAGGTTTGTGGCTGGTGATGTGTGGCTCGAAACTTGTTGTTAGGTTATTACCTATAGTTCGGGTCCGCGGTACATGAGGTCGGGGGTTCTGATCGTGGACTGATTTGTTGTACCTATTGGGGCAGTTGGCCAAGTGCGAGATCCGCAGAATGTGCCCACCATGGCCTTATCTTACAACCCATTTGGCAGGGTGGCAGCTCGGCAGGGTAAGTAACATGTAAGTAAGCTAGCAAAGCAATATGGTAAGATGGATGGATGACCCGGCAGGTAGGTAGAAGTAAGAAGCGCTCGGGGCACTGGAAGTTGAGCTATTATAAACGGCCCATGTTCTTCCACATGTGTATTTAATAGAACATTTTGCATTTTGCATTTTGCAATTGGTAATGGATGAGTTCCACGCAATGCCTAGAGTAGTTTCATCTGTATATTGACTGTAATTCTGGCGCGGACACGTGTTTCATACTTCGGCGTTGCTCGGTGACGGCCGAGACACCACAGCTCGGAGGTACACACAGCATGGGCAGGACTGATGATATTGTCTATTGGAAACTCTCTACCCTTCGGGGGGACAAAACTTAATCTGTCCGATGAGGGTAGGTCTAGTGGGAAATGACACCGCAGCCAAACCATACATGTTTATCTGATCTATTAAAAGTCGGTACAAGCTATGCATGGGTTCAAAAATCATATCGCCATCAAATAAACCGCATGACCTGACATGCCTCTCTTCTCGGAGGGGCCCTTTCCTTTTACTCCCTTGGCTATACCGGTCATTCCTGTAATTGATTTGAAAACAAGGACATTCAGTCGTCCCTTACGACTGGGACTCCTGGCTCTGGAGGTACTGGTAGCCGAAGTAGGCGGCAAGACCACCGATGAAGACGAAGGCGTACAGGGCAGTGCCCATGCCGGCGCCGCTTGTGTCGGCGGGAGGAGCAACGGCGGAAGCGTGAGCCTTAGGGGTAGGGTCACCAGGCTGCGACAATATCCGTCAGTACCATAGCTAGTTAAGGGTGCAAAAGCGGATGTGACCGGAGGGATGGATGGAGGGTCGGAGGGTGCTTGAAAATGACAACTCACCTTGCGCTTCACGTTGCCGACGTAGAATTTCTCGAGGGTTTCCCGGGCCTCGTCGCTGTGTCCGACATCCTCGAAAGCCTCGGTCGCATCTTGACCACCGACGTCTAGTAGAACCTCTTCACCACCACTGCGGGGGAATATCTATGGTCAGCAAAATGTAACCTCCGATGGGGAGCTCCAATGACAGCGTTAGATGTTTCGGTGTCGCTCGGGGCAGCGCTCGCGATATGGGCAAAAAGGTAGTCGACCGACGACATGGACTTACGGATGCTCATCAATGAACTTGGTTGAGTCGTAGACCTTGTCGTGAATCACGAGGTAGAGATCCTTCTTGGTGTTGTGCTCGGCAACATCCTGGTAGGTGAATTCCTTGACGGACATTTTGGCGGTTGGGCGGCTGGGAGAGTTCAATCGCAGGAATAGGCGACACGGCAGGGAGGAAAGAGCGAGGTTGAATTGGTAGTGGTGGGAGGTGGTGGTAGGAGGAAAAGCAAGACAGCGTGGCTGGTGAGATTAGATTTCCGACTGAGATTGGAGGCAAGCGGACAAGATGATAGTCGGTCAGGTCAGCACGAGCAGGCAAGCAGTCGGTTCGGTTGGCGAGTCCCGTGTCCGTGTGCTGTGGTCTGCTGTGGCAGGCATAGGCCGGCTTCTTTTTTGGGCGCCTGTTGGTGGGCTTCTCAGTTCCAAAGAGTTCTATCCACTCTTCCAAAGCAGCGAAAATCCCCGCCATCCCACAGGATCGCTGCCCTCAGAGAGCCAGTGGCAGAGCCGGTGGCATGCTAGCGCGGACACCACTGCGAGCACCCAATCTTAAGGTGGTCTGATGCAGCTTGGCCAATCAGGGCCGGTGTAATTGAGCTGTGTTTTTACATACTTACTTAGTACAAACCCGAGTGGAAAGCGGGAATAGACTCTGAGGGATCGTATCCCCAACATCCCAGCAACTTTACTTTCGGGTCTCTGATTCGGGGACGGGCTAAAATGGTAACCCCCGATATACCGAACCATTATCTACCTTAGGTACTCACTATCGAACTGGACCCTTATTGTGGTATCCTTATCTTCTTAGAATATCGAGTTAGGTATTCAGATATATATATACATAGTAAGTAAGCCTGGCTTCGCTCGAGTCATTCGAACCGCATTCACCGATCCTCTCTCCCGTTCAAAGGGTGAGAGGGGGGGGAGAGTCAAAGTCAAAGACAACAAGAAATGGTTACATAAAAAGATAAAGATACATAATTACAATTACAACTACAATTACAGTAAGCCCGAACAAGTCCCAGTGGCCGAACTGTTCAGATACATAGTATTGCCTATTAAGATCTATGTGATTTTCCTACATAGGTAGGCCAAGATTGATTGATCAGTTGTGGTGAGAAAAGGGTAGGTGCCCCCCCCTCCCACTTGCACCCCTCCTAATTCGGCCTTGAGATAGAGCTAGATACCCCATAGCTGCGCCGTTAGCTGGTTACTAAGACGTGGTCTCCGAATGACGCCGATTACGATGAGTATCTCCTTGATAATGAGTCTTGCTTGAGTTTCGATTCACAGTTACGTCGGCATCAAAGCACCGTTCTAATCATAACAAGCACGCGGAGAAACCTGTCGGTTGACTCCTCAGCCAACTCAAGCTTTCATTGTCGCTAGCTACAACTCAGGCAGGGTCTGCATCTTCCTACACTTCTTGGGGGTCTATGCTCGTCCGGTAGGTACTCCGTGAAGTCCGATTGATGGAATGAAGTCGCTGGACACTCCGAAAATCACTACCCTTGATCTATCAGATAGGGAGCTTATTATCCCATGATTCACAATCGCAATTGACATAGTAATCGCGTAATGACAGCCGCTCAAAACACTTCATCTCCTCGAGCTGCCGCCTCCAATGTCCTGCCCTACCCTGTAGCTAGCCACCTTGTCCCATTCGATCTTTTGCCTCGTTACAGGAAGCTGTCTACGCAGGCCCTTGAACGCGCCCTCGCTGAGGTTGGTGAAGCCCCTGTTCAGCTCTTCCTGGTATTTCTTCTCGCCCGCCGCGATCTCTTTGGAGATGCCCGCGCCTGTGTCCGAAGAAACGGAGCTTGTAATGGGTTTGTTGGTCAATAGGCGCACGTTGCCATCCTCGTAGTAGTGCACGTCGACTTTGATGCTGCCCTCAAGGCTCCCCGAAGAAGGGTTGAAGATGTACAGGGATCGCCACCGTCCGTTCCTAACCCATCTACGGTCAGCTACAAGTCGAGCTCCAGCCTTACGGTTTTGTGACCATACCAAAAGTTGTTCGGGCTGTACTTGTTTGACACGATGATGATGGCAACTTTCGTGTCGTTTTCGATGGGATAGACGCCGTACGAGGCGCTGGAGTAGTGCTCTTGGACATACGCCGACAAGCTTTTCAGGGTTGATTTCCTAATCGACAGTCAACTTCTCCCAGGCCCCCGAACCAGACATATCACAATCGGCGACAACGTACACTAACTCCGCCTGCGGGCCTTCTAGAACATAGCTTTGGACATCGCTCGCTTTCTGGTAGCTTGTTATTATCAAGGATCAAAAGATCAAAACCGTAGTCAGGTTGGTCTGACCTGTGTAGCATGATCAAAGGCGAAGCTCGATGCGCTTTCGGGGTCGAAGTACCGGCCATCACCCAAGGAATTGTGAGTACTTATAACGACGCTCTGGCTGCTGCCGGGCAGCTTGACGGTGGCGAACTGCTCTTCGTTGTATTTCTCGAAAGCAGGTCCAAGTTCGGAAAGCAGTTCGGGTTCGTGGATAGTCAAAGTCTTAATGTCTGTGAAATTGCGTAAGGGGTTTGTCGATTAGCTGCCGTGTCGCTCGGGGTACGCGCATACCATTGATCACATCCAATAGCTAAGAATAAGTCAACTCCTGTGCCTGCGAGTGTTTGGGACTGGTTGCACAAGCTGTTTCCTACCTCTCCTGGCGGAGCGCCCTCCACAAAGGACTCAATAGTCGCTAGCGGTGAGGCCATCGTGAGTCGGGACTCTTGAGAAGACTATGATCGATGGTGGGTGAATTGTAGCAGCTATATTGTCTGCAGAATTACGTTGGTATATGAACTGATGGTGTCTACCAACGCTCGAGTCTCTGAAATCCGTGTTGATGGTGAGTGAAGGTCGTCATATCAATTACTTACCTGCTGAAACAACAGAGCGCGGGGCAGAGGTGGGCAATCCACACCCAATCCAGTGTGGCCTTGTATGGCGACCCCACATACAGCTAGGTACAGGTACCCTACTCCCTGTAGCTTTTCGAATCGAAACAATGTTGATACCCGACCTGCTCGCCTGTGCTCATTCTATTCTTTCAATTTCGTTTCAAGGCTTATTATATCTCACAATACTCGGGAAGGTCGACAAATTTCATTCGAGGGCTACAAGCAAGTTTATATGCAAGGGTATATATACACAATGTAATCGCAAGATTCCGTTGTCCAGTTCGCAATGATGCAAGGTCCAACGCCATACATATCAACCACCAATTGCTTAATTAAAGCGTATGTGAGGACGCCTTTTGCAGGCCGGCAGCGCAGGGTTACAACTGGAATTTAATACTCTGCTAACTTCTTAATGTTGTCATAAATCCCTGCGCGTTGTTAGTCAAGTTGGGCCAATCTGGCTTGGGTTCTTCTGTTACTTACTGGCAACATCAGGAATATTGAATTTCTCAAACATCAGGGGCATGTGTATACTCCAGCCAGCGACCCGAGTTATGGGTGCCTCGAGCCGCAGAAACGTTTCTGCATCACCCTGGATAGCCGCCGATACCTCAGCTCCGATGCCAGCATTGATCATGGCTTCGTGCACTATCATGCACCTCCCAGTTTTCCGGACACTATTGAACACGGTTTCCCTATCCCAGGGATATAATGTCCGCAAATCGATGAGCTCGACGGATATGCCTAAATCCTGCTCTGCTTTCGTGAGAGCGGCATGGCAAGTATATAGGGGTTGTCCATAGGATATGATGGTCAAATTTTCTCCCGGTTTTAGTATCTCTGCCTTCGACAGTGGTAAAGTATATGGGCTGGTGGGTACTTGCTCAACCGCTGCCCGGTATAATATCTTGGGTTCCATGAAGACGCACGGGTCATTGCTTCGGATAGCTGACAACAGCAAGCCTTTCGCTTGCAGTGGTGATCTGGGCATGATGACTCTTAAGCCAGGTATATGTGTGAAGAGACTCTCGGGTGACTGAGAGTGGTACAAAGCTCCGTGTCCAACACCACCGCAGGGCATTCTTACTGTCAAGCCACCCACACTGCGCCCCGTCTTCCCTTCGCGATATCTGTATTTGGCCGCTTCGTTGACGAGCTGATCGAATGCGGGATAGACATAGTCTGCGAACTGAATCTCAGCAACCGGTCGCATACCCTCGGCGGCCAGACCAATGCCAAAGCCCATAATGCCTTGCTCTGTGAGTGGTGTGTTGAACACACGTTCCGACCCAAAGTTCTCTGCAAGTTTCATGGTGCATCGAAAGACGCCGCCAAAGGCGACATCCTCGCCGAAGATGAGCACGTTCTCATCTTCCACAAGCGCAGTGGCCAGGGCGTCGTTAATCGCCTGGAAGAGGTTCATCCGCTTCGTCGTGCCATTTTTGACATCTGGCGGTAGCTCCGAGGTATTCAGCGCCGTCTGAGAGCTGTGTGCTAGTAAAGATGTCGTAGAGTAGTCGGTTGGGACGTTGAGTCGTGCTTTTGGCGGGTATGTCGAGTAACATGCAATCGCTGGTTTTGAGGGATGGGATGACAAGGACGCCAGCGTCCTGTTGAGTCGACGAAGCAAAGTTCTGTTCTTCATTTCGACTATTGTCTTTCCGACGTGGAAATGCCACAATTGATTGTCGAATAGAGTATTAAAAGGTGTATAAAAGGAGGATAATTGCACGGGGAAGTGAGCAGCAGCGTACCTCATCGTCATATTCCGGGGAAGTTCGCTTACTTACGGCATTCTGCAGGTATTCTGTTTTAAGCCGAGGGCCGCTATAACAACCCCGCTAAAACCCGCGCGGGGGTAGGTACCTAATTGGCGTGCTACCGGTACGTTGGAATACCTACACGTAGATACTACAAAAGCTTGGTGCCTCAGGCATGAAAGTAGCATTTGATATGTATAATCGAGTTTGATATAATGCTTCAGTGGTTCACAGTCAATTTTGCATTCGCAGTCAATAGGGTCATATAACAACAACCTTTCTGTTGTTGGGCGATAGTAGGAGTAGACCAAGTTATCATTCAGTCATCCTCCCCTGTAAACGAGACTCAAACAATAATGGTTATCATCATTTATCAACGTCGTTGTACACTTCAGCAGCCAAAGTCGAAAATAGACTACCTATTTACGGAGTAATCTGGCCCAAATTGATAAGGAAATGAAGAAGGCTGGTTTTGTGTAGTCCTTGGGGCACCAGGCGTTGAGGCCCGTTCAATTGCAAACTGTCATATCCTGGGGGAGGCGGGGGTTGGCTTGCTAGTCGGTCAATCGGTCGTATCGCCATGCAGAGCACATCATCCATGTACAACATCGAAGAGCAGCAAGGCCACGAAATAGAAGATTTCGCGAGAAATTATCCATCTTCTAAATGAGAACATAATCAGGAAGAGATCTTTAATCCTCTCATACTTACCTACTTCGTAAGTACTGTTAAATTTACTAGTAAATCTGCTAACCGCTAGTGTGGGTAGCACTTACTTCCAGTGTGAGCGATCTAGGTTAGAGATTTGTGGACCCGATCGTTTCCTGGTCAACACGCTCGACCAGACAATCCTGTTGATGTAATGCAACCTGCAAGTTCCCGTGCTGCCCTCTCATTAATTGCAGCTGCCAAGAAATCATCGCTAAATCTGTCCTGAAATAGATTGCAGGGCTCGCACGTCCATCAGGTCTTCTAGGGACACTGCTCGTAATAATCGAATACCACACCGCTACATTCCTGACGAAATGACCTCACACGATGAGGGTCGTGATCGGAGAGAGCGTCGTCGCAGAGACTCGGATACGCATAGGAAACACCGTGAGAGGCGAAGACACCGAGAGCATGGTACGGTGTCCGCTTCCGAAGGCTCGGGTAGCCAGTCAAAACCACAACTTTCCATGAATGCTCTAGCACAGCTGAACGAGATGAATACAAGGGGTCACATTCCAGAACCCTCGCAAGCCCGAAAGCCCGAACGAAAGAGGAGGAAAGACCGGCCGCGGCAGGGCGAATACGAAGCTGTCGACGCAGAATATGAGTCTCCACGTAGAGAGAGAGCAAGGAGGCACGAGACAGGATATTCAGACAGGGAGCATAATTCTCCGAGGAAAACCAAACGGCGCCAGAATGAGTATTCGGAATCCGAGAGAGAACCTGAGTCACCGAGACGCCCCAGGCGGACCCGCGCATACGCACAGCCAGACTTTGACGACGATTATGAGGAATATGAAAACCTGGCACGAGAAAGGAGGCAGCACAGAAGGAAGAAGAAGAGGGTCGTTAGTGGCGCCATTGCCGAGGAGGGCAGATCAACTCCTGAAATAAGAGGCGGCTTCAGGAGTAATCATAGCAGCTGGAACAGCATAGAGCAGGAAAAGTCGACCAACTTCACCCCTCCAAGATGGAATCGGAAGAAGAAGAGATGTTAGTTGGTTCATTAAGTTCCAGCTTGCCAGGTACTGATTGCATACATAGGGATCATCGCGGGGGTCGCTCTCATCGTCCTCATCATCGTCATAGTCGTTGCTGTTGTTGTGAGCAAGAAGAATACACCCAAACCTCACAAAGAGTCGGATCTCGGCAGCGTGGACCCAGACACCGTTCCAACTGCCGCTCGAGGAACATATCTAGACCCCTTCACATGGTATGACACCACAGACCTTAATGTCACCTATACGAATGAGACTGTCGGTGATCTTCCCATCATGGGGCTTTTCACGGACTGGGACGATTCTGCAGCACCAAACAGCAAAGTTCCGGCACTTGATAAGGCTTGGGGTGATTACTCTAAGAAACCGGCCCGTGGGGTTAACCTCGGCGGGTGGCTTTCATTAGAACCCTTCATTACGCCGTCTCTATTCAACTACGATATCAGATTAGGTATTGTGGATGAGTATACTTTATGCAAACATCTAGGCCCGAAGACGACAGCTACTACTCTTGAAAAACACTACGCCACCTTCGTCACGGAGCAGACTTTCAAAGAAATACGGGATGCTGGGCTTGACCACGTACGGATTCCCTACAGTTACTGGGCGGTGCAGACTTATGACGATGACCCCTACCTATTTCGAATATCATGGCGGTATCTTATACGTGGTATCGAATGGGCGCGCAAATATGGCTTGCGTGTGAATCTCGATTTACACGCTCTGCCTGGGTCACAGAATGGCTGGAACCACAGTGGACGCCTCGGCGCGGTCGGGTGGTTGAACGGAACGAATGGGGAACTAAACGCGCAACGATCTCTTGATGTTCACGACCGATTGTCTAAGTTTTTCTCACAGGATCGATACAAGAACGTCATCACGTTCTACGGGCTTGCCAACGAACCACAGATGGTAACGCTATCCTCCAGCGCTGTGGTGTCATGGACAGAGCAGGCGTTCAAACTCATCCGTGCAAATGGGCTGACGTGGCCGAAGGTCGTGTTCGGTGACGGGTTCATGGGGTTACCGAATTGGCAGGGACTGCTAACCGGATATCCCGATTTGATTCTAGATGTTCACCAATATGTCATTTTCAACAACGATTTGATCAAGTTCACGCACCAGGAGAAGATCAACTTCGCGTGTGATCAGTGGACACAGCAGGCTGAGCAGTCACTTGATACCTCAACGGGGTATGGCCCGACCATGTTCGCGGAGTGGTCCCAGGCCGACACGGATTGTGCAAAATTTTTGACCAACGTTGGTTGGGGCAATCGATGGACAGGAACATACGACTCAGGGAACTCGTCCAGCCAAGCCCTCACCCCTATGTGTCCGACAACGGACTCGAGTTGCTCTTGTGATGACGCCAATGCCGCCTATGGCGACTATAGCGACAATTACAAGAAGTTCCTACTGATGTTTGCCGAAGCGCAGATGACCTCCTTCGAGAAGGGTTACGGTTGGTGGTACTGGACCTGGGACACCGAGTCTGCTCCTCAATGGAGTTATCGCCAGGGTCTAGCAGCTGGGATCTTGCCCGCTAAGGCATATGACCGCGACTTTAACTGCGACTCAGACGTGCCCGACTTTGGAGACAGCGGCCTTGCTGAAACTTATTGAGCCGAACATCCGCATCTTTGGGGCAGACGGAATCACATCTGGGACTAATTTCATATAATCTTACACTAGAGTCATGTCATTATAATTTAGAAGGCAAATAGTCGGTGCATATCTGGCGGGTTCATTGAGCGCTGTTTGAAGGTAATACTCTGGTTTAGAAATCAAGAGCATATCTAGTCATGCTAGGTCAAGCTTTATGTTTAGCAATTTTTTACAAGAGACGCAATACATAACGATATGAGAACCAAAACAACTACAAAATTGTGAAATAGGATAGAGGAGCAAAGCGAGGCAATGTATTCAGTAGGCTATCATATTCTATGACTTAGGCAAAGTAGACTTCTGATCTAACATAGGAGAAATACATAATTCCAAACATTTACAACTCCAGGTTGGAACATCTACAGGACTGTCAGACGGCCCATCTCAATGCCATCCAGGGCGAAAGGTTGTCCCAAGCAAAACCACCCCAATGAATCCAGCCGATAGTACCGACGCTGACTGCCCTTTCAATATGAGGCTTATTCAGATGGTCTGCGCATCATCCACTCACACCCCCATATACTAAGCGCCCTAGACGGGGTTGGATGAGGTTGCGCGATGGCGTATGGAGCAAGTCCTGAAATCTGTCTCAAGACCATCTGTCAAGGATCGGACGTGCGAAGTGATGTCGTATCAGCATTGAGAGTCATGGATCTTGCTGAGTAATGCAACCCAACGTGTGATTACGACAGTCTTGACGACGCATCTCAATGGCACGACGATCCGGGGCCCTCGCAAGAATTCCTAATCTGCTCACGATCTCCGTTGTTCCATTTACTTCAGCCAGCCCTCAAACCCAAGACTAGGAGGCCCCAAAACATTGAGAGTCGGGACCGAGATGTTCACACACCGGTCGATCCCTTTAGGGTGTAAGGGTATGGTTGGTTAGGGGTAGTGGTTTTTTAGGTTTGTTTTTTTCTTGGTTATGGAAACGTTTGACGGGCTGGCTGGCTGAAAAGAGTCGAAAGATACCACCATGTACGGTAGATCATTGATAATGCAAGAAGGCAGACACGAGGTCGGACAACGCCGGCGCCAGCAAATTCCAACGGTCCAACAAGGGAACGATGCGGCTGAAGCGTTAAAAATGCAAAAAAGAGACATAGCCGTAAAAAATAAAATAAAAATAAGGCCATAAGCTCGTGATATGGGGCCATTCCCAAAACAATACGTACGTACATACAACCAATATACACATCCACATTTACCTACATGCTCGGCGCAGAACCTCCCCCATAAAACGCTTGGTTCATCGTGCCTGGCTAATGTATTGTGATAGGCTACCCGGCGCGATGAGACTGGACCAGAGATGCCCTCTTCCTGCATACGGGATATGCACGATCCGAAATTCAACCACACGCATCGAAACCTGGGTAGCGCACTGCATGGCCACAATATGTAGCGAAACCCAAGTGCACCTGACGAACTCACCGACTTCCTATCGCGATACCAGCATGATACCTTACCTGGTAGCTATCCTACACTACACTCATGTTTCATGGGGGGGGAAGTGGCGGAGGGGGTTGATGAGATGCTACCCTCTTTCAAAGTCTGGGCAATGAAACGACAGAGGGAAGTGAAGAAGGGAGAGAGGGAAGAGAAAGAGGGTATCTAGTCAGCGCCAGAGCCGGATCTAACAAGTCATTGGGACCACGGGACCGGGGTTTCCCCTCCCCAAAAAAAAAACGAAGCTAACTAGCCGGCTGGGCAGTTGGGTAGTAGGTAATAAGTAAGATCGATGTGATGAGTCAAGCAGGCTTGCAAGCATCAGTGCGGCGTCCGATACCCGAAATCTACCTTGCCCTGCTTGCTGCTTGGGTTAGATCGGCAAGGGAAACCGATCCTATTAGAAAGCAGGGACGGACTGTAAGATAGATGGCGTAGATCTGCGGAGTAAGAAGAGAAGCGAAAAGCGAGGGAAAACGGGAGGGACCAAGGAGAGAAGAGAGAGTGTGTGTGTGAGGGAGGGAAGCCCGACTTGCGTTTTAGCTCTTGTATCTTCCAATAATCGAGGAGAACAGAGACGTTGTTGATATGAAAAGGACCTCGGCATAGCCATCGAGCCAGTCAGTCGATTTTCTCGCTCGCCACTAAATTGTTTGAACTACCTACTTGTACGTCTGCATATGCCAACGATCCAGAGGGATCCAGGGCCCGGTGTTATGAGAGATTAAGGTACATACATACAACATACAGCGTACATACATGTATACACATGCACTACATGATGTAGGCAAACAATGTTTCAAAGAACAACAAATAAACAATGGGCGAACTAAGCGTGCCACTCTTGATTACTTGGGTTTCAACAAGAACCACTGGTTGGCAACATACAGATTTTCCTATCCGGCATCCTCGGCAGATTTGAAGCATCATTGTTCGTAAATGACTCTCTCTCTTTCTTTTTCACAGTGCTCATGGGGAGGTCATACGGGCAGGCAAGATGTGCCGACGTCTGTTTCTTCCCCATGTCTACTCATGTCGAGTTACCTCGTCGATCACAAGGCTCTAGACAAAGTCGAACTACTAAGTAAGATGGACGAATTGTCCTCGCTTTGTCTCTGGTTGACGTGACCAATACAAATCATGAGGTTCTGACTAATTCCCTACTAATATGACCTGACATGAAGAGAGCCTTGTCTACCTGTGATCCTGTGTTTCGTCGGCGGCCTGGATCAACCAACCGAAAACTCGACAAGGTCACTCAGAAGGGTTCAGCCGACTGATTTTCCAAACCACCACCCGTCGATCAGCACATGACAACGAAATTCCCATGGAGAATAATGCACGGAAGCGCACGAATAACGTCTACTGTCGCAAATAGAAAAAAAATAAGCGCAGAAATAAGCTGGTATCATGAGGCATTGTGGCGTAAGATTTTCTCATTCCTTCAATAATAGTCTTATCTAGCATTACGCGACTTCAACAGCTACGAGTGTCAGCATCGCCATCTCTTTGCATTGCAGTCTCGGCCCGTATAGTACAGGGGAAAAAAGCACCCAGGACAAGCAAGTGACATTTTGTCCTTCGTGGTTTTTTTTGTTGTTCTGGTGGGTAAAGAAGCTCCCTACCCAGCCTCATGCGTCCTCCTTGTGAGATGGCCTCAAGTACAACATATATTAGTGCTGCAGTGACGTGTGGAGGCGAAGAACTGGCCGAGTAACCTTGCGTTGTAGTGCCTATCCACCAATGGCCGTGGGTGAGGGGGGGAATGCGTCACAGGAGTGGTCGTTCAAGATTTGGATACATTGGGTCTCCCGCCAGTCATTGTCATGGATCAATTCCAACTGATCGAGAATTTCTCCGAGTGGTTCGAGATGACCCAACCCTCTGCACTCGAGTGGATGGAGGTGGAGGTCAGTTCATTACATGGGAAGCAACCACGGTTCAGCTTGAGCAGGTTACAGATAAGGGTCACTTTACTTGATGGTGCCTCAACGCCTCATATGCCAAACCGTTCAATCCGTTCTGCCAATTTGTCAATGTCCACTTCCCAAAGGTACTAGTCATGAATAAGTCCTAGGTAAGGTGGCCCATCACTAGCCCGGTGACTAGACACGGCGGCTACTGACTAACTCTGGGGTATTTGAGCTAGTACCTGATTTTATTGTGTAGCTCTCAAGGCCAAATCAGGTTTCAATAATCCCTACTGGCACCCTGGTGGATGGGTTCCAGATGGCCTGTGTTGTTGGGCATCATGGTCATGATAGTTGACATCGGCGTGTTACACGGCATCGGACGCTTGCAACGGGCAGACAAGGTTGCGTCGTAGATGGCGTACAGTATACAGTATGTTGCATTGCTTGATTTGCGCTGCACTGTAGACCATCAGGGCCTGCCTGCTCAGGGTAATGTTTCGAGCGGGAAAATGTACTCGGAGAGGGCCATTCCAGAGTCACACCAGTCCCATCTTTGTCATTTTAGTTGCCTGCAGGATTCTTCAATTCCTAGACCAAAGAAGGCAGTGGGACAGAGAGAGAGAGGCATTAATGCGCAATCTAGTTTACATACCTGTGTATCAAACTAGGAGGCGGCGATGCAAACCATAGTGCCCTCAACCTTGCTGCCTACCCCCGAACGCCCCTATCACCGCACAACGAAGTCGGTGATGCCCAGAGTTCGTGGCGTGTATCACATAACCCAACTCTCGAGCAAGGGATATGTATGCAATGCGTTGAATAACACCATACAAAGTAGTACCTATGACCACCCCGAATGCGGCAAAGCAACCTGAGAGATGAACCGACCAATGCGATCCTAGGTAGGAGAAGGCGTGTCAAGAGACTCTGGATAGGACTCTGGTTGGGATGCTTGCTTGCTGTGACCCTGTAACCTTGTGGCTCTATGGCCCTTGGATGCCACCTTTTGGCGCATTTGCATGCTGATATCTGATAGGAACAGTTCTAAGTTCAAAGTAGCACGCCCTAACTGGAAAAGGGCAGTCCTTTAGCCAGGATTTAATTAATACGGACATGTATACCGTACGTCCTCTCGCCGTACCTCAGGTGCGTTCACCAGTAGAGCAGCCCGTGACGAGCAATGTAACGTAGGTACCATGATGCAAAGCTAAAGGTAGATGCATGTACTATTTTTGTTCTTCAAGTACTTGGCCAAGCCAGCATGAGCGGCAGTTGAGGGTGCATTGTAATGTCTACAAGAAAACCAAGAGATTCTGCTTGTCTTGGCAATCGTGAAATATTGGAACAGCCGCCTTCTCACAGCTGTAACGGTGAAAACGGTGGGATACTAGCGCGGCGATCGCCGAGAATTACCCTCTCACTATGGTTGAACGTCTGGTTGAAACGAATGAACACCGTTGTCATCAATGAAGGATGGTTGCAGCGAAGATCTTTACGTAGGTATATACACAAGGACAAGGATATGGATAATGGAACCCCGGTATGGACTGACGTGTGCACACGGTATGGGAAAAAAAAAATTAGAAAAAAATTATAGTTGAAATGAAATAGGACCGAGCAATGCGATGTATTACTTACTTGCATTGAACGACGACCCCAAATCAACGGCCCGCGAATCAATTCTTCGAGGCACCAGGCCAAAGTACACCTGTCACTATCTACCTATCTCCAAGGCCACTTTTGCCCCCGGAGGAATCGGCTTTGAGGCCTCCACCAAAGGGTGGAAATGGAGACTGACTAGCCGTACCGATATGTCGAAATTGAGAAGGTCGTGGAGTTGTGCCAGGGTCGTATGGAATAACGACGAAAGGCTAGCTAGGAAGGGCCACGGATGTTTGAGATTGCGTTGCATCGTCGAACAGCGTATGGAAAATTCGGCCGGCCAGGTGCGAAAGCTTGATTTGACAATCGAGGCCTGGCTGTGGGGGTTGGGTGACGATGCTGCGGCTCGAGCCGCTGAGTGCATACGCAAGCAAGGAAGCAAGCAAGCAAGCAACCAGCGAGTGGTGTACATAGGTAGGCAGTCAGACATGGTGTATCGTGCCGTACCGTAGCGTACCGTCCATCTTGGACCGTGGACAGCGCTGATGTGCGACGAGGGTACTCCAGCTCACCACTCACTCAACTTGGATAAAGCAGGGGGCACGAAATCGGGGGAGCATCGGGGAAGCGTCGGTGGAGTATCGGCGGAGTAAATAGAAGTGCCGTGTTGGAGATCATGGCAACAGTAAGGGACGTCGAAGGCAGAATGACCAGGTCCGAACGGCAGAGAGATGGACGAGGAACAGTGAACGGTAGGTAGGTAGGCTGCTGTAGTCGGCTCTCTATCTCTATCTGTCAGTCTAGGTATCTGTCTGCCTCGCTTTCTCAGGGCCGGCGGTAGAAACCCCATCCTGCGTGTGCGGGCAGATAGACGGTGCATTCTGTAAAGATGACAAAAGTGTCATGGCTGATTGGCCATTAGATTGCACACTGATGGTATCATGAACTACCGGTACTTGGGGCACGTATCTAGGTACATGTCGATACTCATCAACCAACAAGGTACATGATATAGGTAGGCTCCCAAGTTGTGAGCAATTACCTATTCGTACCTACAAATCTAGGTAACTTGTTAATATTTCGCTACCTACATACATACCTACATTGTTGCGGTTGTATATCTCCAGCAGATCTGAATACCTAAACTAATATCACACATACACACGCACACACAATATTTAACTACACTCTGATAATTAATTGCCAGCTACTGTACCATGCAGTACCTATTGCGTATTAGGTAGCGTAGCTGACAAAGCTGAAGAGTGACAGAGGCAGTGATGGTGGGAGGCAGGTTGGCAGGCCAGATCAAATAAAGTTGAACATGTAAGCAATAATTTATCTAAGACGGGAGAATTTTGCACTTTGATATTTGCATGTATATATATCATTTTAATGGATATATATATTGATGTGATACCAGGTTTAAGTACCCCACATGCTCCCTCCAGCTACAATGTGCAAAAGCTGAAAAGGATGTGAAGTTCCGTACAGAGGTAACGTCATGTACATCCTTTGGGCGCCTCTCAGCCAACACGAGTCTCAACGTTGATCACCTACATAAGACCTACATCTAGGCGAATGATACTACTGTATGTTGAACTTGACCATGTATTGTACCTACCTGGGAAGGTGGGAGATAAGGCATCTACGTAAAGCGTCAGGATGGATGTACAGTACGGTCTGCTACCTACCATACACAGATAGATACATATGTAGATAGTTAGACCGTCCTACTTGCATGCTGGTATCAGCGTACATGTATTCACCTACCTACCAGTTGAGAAACCCCCCAAGGACGTACATGTACGTAGGTGCTTTAGGCATACACGGCAACCTGACAAAAGCAGGTAAGCTGCTTCACATGCCTCACATGCCTCACGTCCACAGACAATCCAGAGTTGTGCTGGGGGCATGAATCTGACTGGGCCCAAGAAAAAAAGTTGATCGCGTGATCTCGATCTAGCTAGTCACATATCGAGGTGAGAGGACCAGGTTGTAGGTTGAAACGCAGACACGCTAGAGGAGACTTGTTCTCCTTATGTACAGTAGTAGCTCGTAGTGCTTATGGAAAACTGAACGTCCTTCATGGCTGGCGTAACTCTGAGAGCTTGGCGGTTCACACAGCATGTGCCTGACCGGGGCTGAACAGGTTGACCGGCCGTTGATCAATGCAACCCACCAGCACGTACGGCGTGTCTGTAGCGTATTACGGTATATTCTATGACTACCTAAGGTATGTATGGTACATTTGTGTCCAGGCTACGGTATCTGTCATGTATGTCCAGTGTGTGTTATGTTTGGCTTTGTAGGTGCTGTTGTTGGCTTGGCTATTTTCCTTGGCTATCATGCATCACAAGTAGGAGGCAGGCAGGCAGGTATCGTGGAGGAGTCGAGGGAGGTCTGTTACCCATTCACTTACACGATGATATGCAGCTAGCTGTAACAGGGTTTCCATGTGGAGACCCGCGTACTTACATACATACCTAGTACAATACTACCTACATTCATACACCTACACTAGTACTTACTTTTATGTATGTATGTATGTACCTAAGTATATAGGTACATGGAAGTCAGTCAGTGCAATGTTTTCGATACTTCTCTGGCCACAAGTAATCTGCAGAGACTTCAAGTAGCTGGTACGATATCCTTGTACATATGTATAGGTCTACTAACCCGTACAAAGTAGTAAGAGGGGGTCTTGGTGGGGGTGCGACAGAAGCAGCAGCAGAGACCCCGCGGCTCGGCCCTATGGAGCAAGGCCTGCAGGCAGCGGGCCTGATTGGTGGCAGGTCGAGCATTGAAAAAATCGGAATTGTAACGGGCCAATCATGCCGCCCTCTCCGGCTGTCCACCATGGCTGCCATTGCCGACTTTGTAGACAGGTACCGTCAGCGCAAATCATGACCCCCCCCCTTCGCACCCCAATCTTCAAATCCATCCACACGTCCATCCACACATCCCGTCCGTTACACGACTTCGACCAGACTCGACCTCGACCTGCCCTGCCCTGCCCTATCTATTCTGTCCTATCCTATCCTGTCCATCCATTCATCCATTCAGATACACCACACGCTTACATTACATATACTTACTTACATACCATACCATACCTACTTACATACATACATCTGTACACATCTATACATACACATACGTCCATACATCATCCAGATCCCATCGCCTGTCTGTCTGCCTGTCTGTCTGTCACGCTCATCATCAACCTCCAGAGAGAGCTGCATAGCCGCTGTTGCATCGTAGTAGTCGTCTCTCTCTCTCTCTTCCCCTTCACCCTCAGTCTCGGTCTCGGTCTCGGTCCCAGTCCAGTCCCAGTCCCAGTCCCAGTCTCAGTCTCGTCCTCCCTGTGCTGCCACTCGACTTGCTAAACCAACCGTTGAATTGTGCCTAGCTCCCCTAATGTATGTTATGACTATGACGGTCGCTCGTCTGCGCCACCATTTGTTCCAATTGGTCTAGTTCGACATATCGTCGACCTTGATTCGTCCGTTCTAGAGTTTTCATTACGCTCCGGCTCGTTGACTTCATCCTGATCCTAAACCTACATACCTACCTACCTGCCCCCGAACAAGAATCTGAGCCAGATCTTCAACCGGGACCGGAACTCTTGTTCTCACTCGCTCACTCGCTCACCTTCAAATCTCTGGCCCTCCGCGGCTCTGGCGTTGCATCCGCTGGCAGCCTCCCTCAGCCCATCCCCATCTGGCTCTTTAAGGGGCCTCTTACCGCCCATTGCATTCTCTGCTTCTAGTTTCGTATGCACACCTAGACGTAGCAAAATTCCACGGTTTTTCAGGCCGTCAATTCACACGGTTCGCCCTCTCCGCAGTGCATCCAGTGAACCCTACCACCGTCGCATCGCCTCTTTTTGCGCCGTGGTGTTTGCAACTCCAGCCGCTCGTCCCAATTAGGAATACCAATAAGATACCCTCAGGATACCCTCAGGATACCCTCAAGATACCCCAAGAATACTATCAGGCTACCGTCGGGATACCTGGATAGGCACAAACGCCTAGATATATTTGCATTTACACTTTTCATGTACATACTTCCACGGTCGCCGACCCCCTATCCATCTGCACCTCGACCGACGATCAGGTCCCAGCCAGTCCAGGTCAACTAGCCGAGCCGCCGTTAGCTCATCTGTCCCCTCTACTTTCTCTCGTCTTCGGTCTATCTAGCCTAGCCAGCACCCAATGCGAACTGCTTCAGAAGTACCGGCTAGTTGCAGGAGCATCGATCATCCCGCATACCATCCCAGCCAAACCCCCCAGTGCCTTATCCGCCGGCGCGTGACTCCATGAGAACAGTCCTTCTGCGCCTCCGCGTCACCGGTCCGTTCCCGCAGCACCCAGTAGCCTCTACTGGGGAAGCTCTGCGAAACACCCCCGCGATCTGTACAGAGGTAGTGGGCCCAGTTGTTCCTCGACTTGTAGGTTGCCCGGCCTCCGTTGTACAAAAAGCGCCTCTTTGGCACGGGGAGGTAGCCCATTGGAGTCTACCCTGTTAGTCAACATTGAATACGAGCAGACGCCTGTCTCGTAGCCTCCCCCTCGCCCGCATATTCTTGGTTTTATTTGGGCTGAAGAGGGCCGTTGCACGACGGAAGGATACAGCACCATTGCACACGAGCTGTCCGCGTCTCACGTACGCGCTAAGTATAGCTCGGCAGTGTTTGTCAACATTTATTTTCTTTACTTCGATATTCAGCTCTCGTCTACGTTATTGGGCCATAAGCTTCTTAGAAGTGTCGTTACTGGCCAGCGGTCTCGGCCCCCCCTAGGTTCATTAATCTAGTAACGCCCAAAGGGCGGTGGACTGCTGGATAGAGAAGCCCGGGTACCTGGTTGTAACTGCATTCTAATTTTGCCAAGAACATTACTCCAGGATCTCGCAAGCCGCGTACTTTCAGAAAAGTGTGGTTACGCCAAAAACTGGGTCAGGGCTTGCCTTGAAATCCTTCCCCAGGCCTTGGAGCGACCTTGTATAAAACTAAGACAACATGCCAGGAGACGTTCAAGCCAACGGGGCTGAAGTCTCAGACGCCATGTCTGATAATGATATGGAGCCTGACGAAGCTAACCATACCGTCAAGGACGAGAACGACAATATGCTTGAACAACATACATCACCTGAGGCTGGGGCGGAAACTTCCACCGAGACCAAGAAGAAGTACGATCCCAAAGACCCTCATCGTCCTCGGCGTAAAAAAGCAAGACGTGCGTGTTATGCTTGCCAAAGAGCCCATCTGACGTGCGGTAAGTCTCAGCCTCCACATGTAAATTCCGATAACTCCATCAGCCTCTTCTGCGCTCGCCCCCGCACATATTGACCCCCACGGATTCAATTGCGCTTTAAACCAACGAAGACGCCGGCGCTACAATCGTGAACTTATACTCACTGGTGAATGTAGGAGACGAGCGACCCTGCACGAGATGCGTTAAGCGTGGCCTCGGCGATGCCTGTCAGGATGGAGTACGAAAAAAGGCGAAATATCTTCATGATGCCCCTCCAGAGGCCCTCCGCCCAGTCTTGGGTCCCAACTACAATCCAAATGCCGGATCAAAGCCGACAAATGGCAGGCAGGTCGCAAATGGTAATATGGAAGCCTCAGCGTACTACTCACACAATACGAATAATACAGCATATCCAATGTACGCAAATGGGGCGCAAAACACGGTCGCAGGAATGCCGGACAATATGGCCTACGGCAGTCAACAATCCCCTATTACAAATGGGTTTCAGGCTGCAAATAATGCTAGACAAATGAACGGTATCCCTGTCCACCAGGTGTCTACTGAGATGCCGAATCATTTTTCCACCGCACTTTTCGACCCGAGCAACCCCGCGATCTTCAACTTCGATCTCGAGGGACTGAATTTTGCCAGCAATTATAGCGCGCTTGAATTTGGAATGCTGGGCCACATGTCTTCTGGCGCCGCTGAGACGCCACCACAAGAAGCCATAGCACACTCTGCCAGCAGCGATGTCGGGTATGGTCCACCACCCGTATTCCCCAACGGAGCCAGTCAATATAACCAACTCTACGATCACGGTGTAGTTGAAAACTTCATCAGCGTCGATCAAAACAATGTGTACTCCCAAGGTAATCTGCAACATGGGTTACCTCATGCCTACGCGGTTGCAGCTGCTGGCCCGACGCCTAGCAGTTTGGCCAGCCCAGGCACAGAGAACACTTCCAGTCCCCAGCCAGGGAGTTACGAATTTGATAAGTCTCCTACCGTCGGTGGCTATACAACGGCGAATTCTCAGGGGATTGCGCATGCTTCCAGACCAAAGCCTAAACCTACCAAGGCGAACCCACATGAAATATTAGGGCCACAATCTATAGTAGCCAAGCGACGGGATCCTTCTTCCATATACGAAACCGTTAAGGAGCCGTACCCGTATCTCAACGGCTTCCACAGGTTGATCGCCTTCGTCCAACGCAGGTTCTCACCCAATAAGACCCTACGCATTGCCAAGTCCTTGGCCAGCATCCGACCTTCATTTATGGTGTGTACGAACAATCTGAACAGGCAAGATTTAATTTTTATGGAAAAAGTTCTCCAACGCACTTTATTTGAATACGAGGGTTTCATGGGATGTGCCGCCTCTCCGACGGTGGTGTGCAGACGGACAGGAGAGGTCGCTGCAGTCAATAAAGAGTTCATTGCTCTCACTGGGTGGACGAAAAATGTTCTCCTTGGAAAGGAACCGAACTTGAACGTTAACTTGGGCCGCTCAGGGTCGGAGTCGGGAAGTATACCCAGCAAGTCTGAATTGACCACGCCCAGGCTGAAGACGGCCCAGCCAGACACATCAAAGACATCAGAGGGAGTTACACAGCCTGTCTTCTCTGCCGAGTTCATGGACGATGACAGTGTCATACAATTCTACGAAGACTTCGCGCAATTGGCCTTTGGGGATAGTCGCGGCTGCGTGACAAGGAAATGCCGGCTACTCAAGTATCGAACCAAAGAGATGAACGAAGCGCTCACCAACGAAGACACTCCTCAGAAGAACGTCCGGAATAGCATACTCAGTAACAGGGTTACAAAGATCGACGGCGAACACGGCATTACCAAGCTCGGAAAAGACGGCAAGCTTGACTGCATTTGTTGCTGGACTATAAAACGCGATGTTTTCGATATACCCATGCTTATCATTATGAATGTAAGTTACTCAAGATGCACACCTTGTCCTCAGTGTCTAACTTTGTGTAGTTCATGCCTTGCTATTATCGTGACCAAGACCAGCTTGCCGTATGAGCTTGGACGACTGTGCCTCGGGTCACCTACCTTTCCCTTGTTGATAGATATCGGCTTCAGTTATATATCCTTAGTAACATGGCTTCCATTTCGATGAAGCAATGGGCGGCGTTCTGGATGGGGCTCGCATATTTAGAGTCCTTCTCCCTGTCGGATGGGAGCTGGTCATCATTCTTAGTATTTTCCGGCCATAGATTTCGCTTATAGAACAAATGAGAACAAGGAAACAATGTTCCAGTAATTAGAGATCGTAATTTCGGCGCTCGCGATGCTGATGAGGTTATATTCGATGCGTTCTATATGCTATTTGTCTTTCCCCTTAACGCCTTGCCTTTCGCTGCCCATCAGGCAGTCTATAAAGTCTTGGTCCCAGTCGCTTCTCTAGCAAATTTACATACCACACTTAGGTTGTAAAGACATGTCGCTTGATATCCACCCCTAGTCGTCTCAACAAGACATGGAGCATCCGATGATTCTCCGCGACTCGTTTCTAATGTAGTTGTTCTTGGAAAACCAAGATCCCTACACCTGCCTCCTCTTCCGAAGACTTTCCTTTCTTGCCCAACCCCTCTAGACTTCTTACCTAGGTAGGTAGGTAGGTAGGTAGGTAAATAAGGTAGGGAATTAAGCAGGAAAACGCTCCATCTCGCAAAAACCCAACGCGGTTCACCGCACGAGCCACGAGCCGTCCAAGGTCCCTGAGCCACCGCCCACCACCCCCTCGGCGGGCGTCCAGGCCTCGCGCGCCAGGCTCTGCCGCGCCACGTCGCAGTCGACGCGGATGTCCTCGACCAGGGCGTCGAGGCCGCTGTAGTCCTTCTCGTCGCGCACGAAGCCCAGGATCAGCAGGCGCATGGGCGCGTCGTAGAAGTCGGCGCCGAAGGCCTGTAGGATGTGCACCTCGGCCGAGCGCACGCTGTTCTTGTAGAACGGGTTGTACCCGATCGACATCACCATGGGGTAGATCTGGAAGGAGGGCGGCGGCGTCGTCGATGATGATGAAGATGGATTGTCGGTATTATTGTTGGTGGTGGTGGTGGTGGTTGTAGAAGAAGGGGGAGAAGAAGAGGAGGAGGCGTCGGGGTGCGTCCTCGGAAGCGCGAGAGAGGCCCACCCGAAGTAGACGCCGGATCGCGCGTCTGCTATCCACGGCGTCGCGGCGGCGTCGACGGGCAGGTTCGCGGTCGGGATCCCGAGTTCTTTGGACCCGCGGCCGAAGCCGGAGATCACGGTGCCCTCCATGCGTAGGGGGAAGGGCGGCTCGGGGCCGGCGGCTGAGTAGAGGATGCGCGGGCGCGGGTTCGTGGGTTCCGCCATCTTGGGGGTGTGAGGTGAGATTTGCGATTACGGTGTCGGGGGTTTGGGAGAGGGGAGCGCGAGCGCTTTTGGTTGAGATGGTTGTCTCTCTTTTTTTTTTCTTTTTTTTTTGGATCTTTTAGATGAGTAAGGTAGCAGCAGGCAGACAGCGGATGGCGGGGTTTAGTTCTGGGATCTTAAAGGCGGGATGACATAATCCGTCTGGATATCTCGGGTCTAGATGGATACCGCCCGAGATCCCAGACCGCACCACACCACACCACACCACCACTCCAACGCATCCCAGACGCTGATTCATCCTGTCCGCATGGCTGGCCAATAGCATATCTAGCGTCTTTCCTGAAGGAGAAGTCAATATTGTTGTGTACTCTCCTACCCCCCTGTTAGCTGACCTACGACAGGTATTTCCGCTAGGCGTAGCGTTGAAAACCCGCCGTGCAGGGGGTTTTTCCGTACAAGCGCGATACACAATCGCGGACGAGATACCTTTCGTATGGGGCGCACTAAGGCTAGCTCGAAAAGAATACCTGACATAGGTCGATTTTACTGGCCCTGGACCATAGTAGGTGTGTAGGTACTTACCTGGTACAACCTGCTTACCATGGTATTGTCTCAATCCCAGGTCATGGAGTGCATAATGGCCGACCATATTGAATTAGTACCATACATAGTCAAGTCATAAGCGCCTACCATGATAGTTTCCACAGATGTTGGAAATTAACTAGCGCATCTTGGTCAAGGGCAAATCTACAGCCCGCCACCTCTGCACGACATATTCTCCGACCAGCAGCCCTACCGCCATACTCCGTACTTACATGTGTATACTAAAACCCCTTTTTCACTCCATCCATAGGACATGAAACTGTGGATCGACCTGTCGTGAGACTATTTAAGCAGTATGGTAGGAAATATCATGGGTAAAGGGTGTGGTTTTTCCATTTTTACGTGGGAATGCTCCGGATAGGCGAAATAATGCATAACTAGGCGCTGAGTACGAGGGAGAACTTACTAGAATCTGCTATGCTGACTAACCTGTCTTCATAATGAGGCCGAACAAGTTATGAATTTTTAGTTTGCCCATCACCTGATCTCGCGAAAGCTTGCTATCTTTATTTACGTTTCTCTCGTCGGGACCTCTCCTATACAGGCCATGCCTTGCGACGCCTATAATTATCCTCCAACTTTTGCAGTTATGACTAGTTAGAGACAACTGCGATCGTACATTATGTTGTCTGTCTCTGCATCCAGCGTTTTCCTTGTTACTAGATGCGGAGCAGCTGGAAATGTTGGCATACTTTCTTCATGTAGTATCTCTGAGGACATCGTTCCAGCGAATATCCGATTGACAATAATGATAGGACGGAGTTTCTCTCACAGTAAGTAAAAGTCTACCTATTCGGCGCTACACTAGGGCGTCAATGACTTTTCATTCATGATATAGATAGTGCAGTGTTGTTCTTGTATATATATATGAGGAAGTTGATGGGCTTTTACACTGGATACAGACAATACAGTGTTGTTCTTATATATCCGTGAGACCCTTATGCATCTTGCCTTTCTATTTATCTTCAATATTTGGTTGGATCGGTCACTAAGGTAACTCCTGCTGTGCCAGTAGCTTTCACGAGAGAGATCCATTGAGGGGAAGGGCTCGGTTTAGGTGCTGTCAAACGAACTATGTACTCACCGGCGTAATATCCATTAAGTTCAATGGGTAGATAATAGCCTCTCGCCAAACACAGGCTATATCTCTAAATTTAATCAACGGAACACGTAGTCGTATTAATAAGTACATAGAGTTTTCTCCCCTCCCCCAATGTCCGAACTTCTCTTCTCTTCCCATAAACAACAACGACTTGATATTCTCACCTGTCTGTCGATCACGCACAGCCTTGGTTGCCATCTTCAATTGGATATCTTCAGAATACTTAAACGGGCAGCCTTACTGTCTTACCAAATCTATGATTACTACTTGAGTATATCTCTCCCATACATGTTTTTGCGGCATCCTTGTGCCATTATCATGTCCACGTTCTGGCCGTAATGGCTAACTAGTACCGGATCTGCCACCACTGACTAGATGTCAGCTTAGCCCATACAGCAATCATGGTAGTCACTTGCAATAGTTTGGGCCTCTTTCTTAGGGGTAGCCACCATATCTGGCGCGACCAGAGCCAACGTCGGCAAAACGACACTCGCGTGTGGCAGATTGGCGATATTGCCTTCTTGAAGCCATACGAACAATTCAACGAAACCGAGCACTTGGATAGCGGTCGAGTTCATTCTAAGGCGACGAACCACCCGGTCATAATCCTTGACCGCTCGAGCGACATGCGAAGATTTACTGTTACCACAGTATCCGCCTACTCTAGTGGTGAAGATAATGACTATCTCCCACCTTGGGAGCAAGCATGCCACCGGATGAAAGACATCAACAGCTTCCGCGCTTTTTACGGGTCTCAGAAGCCAAACGGCAACTCTCGCCACCTCCACCTCGCAGACGGAAAGATGTGGCCTAAGCCTAAAACATCCTGGGTTTATATTCATCATTGGTCAGTTGTGCCTGCGTCGGTTCTCATCCAGTATGACAAACCCCGGTGCCAACTCCGCATGGCCCCAGAAAGTCTCCAAGATCTACTTGCGGATATGAATACGAAATCCCATGACTACCAGTCGCGATGGACGGCATCTAATACGATCCCAACGTTTTTCATACCGATAGAGAAGAGAGTCAAAATGGATCGTTCCTGGCGCCAAGACGTCAAAGAGTATGACCCCAGATTATTGCAATATGATCTCAGATTTGCTGATTAGCTCGGCAGAAACCAGCAGCTCTTGTCAGATAATGCTGGCCCGCGTTTCCCTACTGTGCCCAGTAGTGAACCACGGAGTGCTTTGACGCCCAAGTCAACAAACAGAGCCGCAAAAAGGCACGTTTGTGAAAACCCGTTCTCGTTACTGGTGGATCGCAACTAGGAGTGTGCGATCTGCCCGCAACTATGAACAACTATGACAGTGAGCGCGCTTAAACTGGAAATTCTCGTTATTAGAAACACACCAAAATCACAAACAAAAGTAGTGCTGAAGGAAATTACTAAAGTCATGTCGCTCTCTAGTATATCAGGCCAGTCAATGAACCCAACACGCCGCCGCTATAGCGCTCGCTAGTCATTACGAATGTCAAAGCTATCACGCTTCGAGGAGAGATTTACCTCCGACCGACCAACACTGACGGGACTCAAACTCCTGAGACTCCTACACATATGACTCGAACAACTCGAACAACTACGCCGCTTCTATACAGCTCTCTAGTCACCAAGAACATCAATTTACAGCAACACGGCTAGCCGAGCCAAAATACCCAGCTGAGACCCGAAACTAGACATAATAGCTCTAGTAGAAAGGCACAGCACCACATCAAACGGCTCAGCACTACCACAAACCGCCAAGCGACACTGAATCGCACTATCATTCCGAGGCTGATGTCTCGTTGAAAACGCACCGTCAGGCACATACAAGCTACATTTTACCATCACTCGCACTCGACACCATGGCTATACATGGAGCAGACACGTGGAGTCCGACGTATTGTACAGGTTTTGTACTCGAGGGAAGTTTCCTGTACTCGCAATCTCCGAGCGCTCGCTCACCACGAACCTTGCGGCAAATGCGTACGTCAGGATACTGGGGGGCTGTAAAGACAGCTATTACAGCAATTTAATTTCTCGTTATCTATGGGATTGTGGGATATTTTGTATGTGGAGGATTAAATATAATTGGGCTTTTGGGGGGGAGGGGGAATATGTCTGGAGCGATGTACAAGCGGATTACGTATTTGGACTTGATGATTATCATGCGTCTACGACGCAACGATGAACTTGTACTTGTTGTCACGATGGCTACTGTTATGATCCTTGGGTTACAGGCAAAGAGAGACTTGCTGTATATATTCTGAACCTAGTCGCCAAGGGTTCAGAGATGCTCGTGCAGCAACAAGGATCAATATAGCATCCCATGGTTGCAGTTACCGCCCTTACGACCGTGAGACTGTTGATTGCTGTTATGACACATTAACATTTCATCGTGTTCTTTTTGCATAATTTTATATTATCTGTGATGTCACTGTGTAGAAGCTATCCCTTTGTAGTACAAGTATTAGGGGGTCGAGCTTCGAAAAGGTCTCTTCAGGTAATTTCCCCGGCGGAAGATTTGCCACTTCTCAGTTCTATAGTCCTGGAAGCTGAATGCATCTCTCGGGGACTTGGCTATCTTGTTGATTATGCTACGTTTGTTAAAGATTATGGCACCGGTTGAGATGAAGTGTATAGCGCTCCTATCCCTTGTAGTCTACTTAGTGCAGCAACCTGACTTTCTAAAGCCATCAGCTCAATGTTGGCATGTCCCTTCCAGGTCCTCACCCAACCAAAGCGTCGAATGACTATTCAAACAGCGTCAATTGAAGCACCTTTGCAGTCTAGTATGTATATATTTATGACTTTGTCTTTTACCTTGCCATTTCAGATGTGCGGGTCCAATCGCAGTCCTTCGCTTGGCTTACATCACATCCTAGATATACCTCGATCAGTTCGCTACACCAAGAGCAGGTCGAGCTTGCAGCTTGCTCTCGGCAGATCAGAGTCTCGTCTAGCCCCAATCGCTAGAGATTCGTAAGCCCCAGGGGTTTAGGAGCTCATGGGACCAAGCATGTATTTACTTCTTCAGCTGAACAAGTATGGCTATCAAGTAGCCAGATCACTGCCAACTCATGAGCAGTGGGAATAGTTTTGCACGTGGATGATTACAGTGTATTGCGAAAATAGCTCAAAGCAGAAAGATAACGAGAGCATGGCATCGTAGGATAACAAAGAAACACCTATAAGAATAGCTACCAGAGGGCCTAGGTTATCTACCTTTCGGCTTTAATGTCAGTTCAGACCTCCAAGGACCTGTCTGTAGTTGCACTACACGTCTCTCATTCTGTTGCCCTTTTTAGTTTTGAAAGGAAGAGATTCTCAGCTGTGATAGGAAATTATGCATCGTGCTACAATCAGTGCCGTCGCGGCTGCCCTAGCCGTTTCTTGCTCGGCGCAGAGCCCGGATGCTGTATACAATGGCGGGTTCAACAACACCAACGGCACTATCAAGCTACGCATCGGCAATGGTGGTGCCGGACAAAGTGGTCTCGTCGGGTGTAAGTGTTGCCATCTTAGTGGCAAGTTCATTTTAACATCTCTTCTATGGCAGTACTTGCAGACGAGTTCGTTAAGGACAGCGTAAAGAACGGCAGCGAGCCCTTTAGTGTAGCTTGGTATACGAGCGATACTACCTACAGTATCGAGTACCTCAAGACAGGCTTGATCGACGTGGGTATCACTTACAGCCCGGCAGCTGAGCAAATCGCCGTCAACCAAGGCATTGCGAAAGAGCCCATCTACTAGTGAGTTAACCTAATAGAAGCCGTTCTCTTAATTGACTCATCTCTTGACTCCAGAGGGCCTCTTACAAAATGTATAACATTCCAGGGGACGAGGGCTTATCTCGTTTCCAAAGCACCCAAGAGATCGCCCCAAAAGCGCAGTAACTGACCCTGAGCCGTATAGTGCTTTTCGCGATCACTTCCTCTTCGTCGGACCTGCTGCCAACCCGGCAAACATCAGTGGCAAGGACGACATCACGACTATCTTCTCAGATCTGCACGCCGCGGCAGAGTCAGACGTCGTGACAGACCCATCAATCAAGTTCCTAAGTCGCTTCGACAAATCAGCTACTAACATCAAAGAGTCCGTGCTCTGGGCTGGGATCGGTCAAGTTCCCTGGGCAACCGCCTATTCGACCTGATATCACCAATTCGTCGATTTCCCCATCCAGGCCTTGACGGCCGCTATCTGGCTGCAGGAGTACACGATCACGGACCGCGGCACGATCTTGTCGCTAGACGCCGAGATGGCCAACCGCACCGTCATATACAAAGCCGGAACCAACGACGCCGAGGACCCGCTCCTTAACCCGGCGCATTTGCTCGTCGGTGCGAAGGCTCCCAACCCAGAGCGCGCCGTTGCTGCCTTCGCCGAGTGGGTTATCAGCGACCGTGGCCAAGACGTCATCGCCAACTTCGAGAAGAACGGAGAGAAGCTATACAGCGCTGCGCCTAGCTTGCAGTCTAACTCGAGGCGCAAGCGCCACGCCTTGAGTCTCAAGCTCCCTTCTTACAATACGCTCTCATAGATGGAGTGCATCCTGTGAGATCGAAAATAAGAGTTGACTATGATAATATGATGTGATATGGACTACTGTAGCAGAGATGTTATTAACGGTATGTGCTGCATTAATGACAGATGATGTGCTGTGTTGATATGCTGCCGAAATATATATATATGTATGAATCTAGTCTTTAATACTTAATTCTTAGCTAAGTAACCTCATAATGATGGGAAATGCTTTGGATATGTTGTCTCACAAGGTAACTGGTTAATTTCAGTACAGTAGGGTTTGAGGATAATGTCCAATAAGACATTGTCAATGGGTGATGTGGTTAATATTGCTCCACTGCCTTGTCCTCTCAATGGTTCCTCTAAGAAGAGATTTTAAGTAATTACCTATATAGCTGGCTTTTCTGTGCTGATATTGTACACATCATCACAAAGTTAGAATTCATTAAATCTGAGTATAGTCAAGTGCTATAACAAGGGCTGGTGACAGGGTTTGTAATCGAAGCTATTCACAAGCACACAGCCTGCTGTGACTGGAAACGTCTATATAGTTCCTATCCCTTATTTGTGACCTCGATAGCCAGCCTTGACTCCATTTACAACAGGTCCGGCTGTTGCTAACCTCCGAAGCCCATCAATATGTCTCATATTAGCAAGTCTTATATAACCTTACCTTCATCACGAGCTATATGTTATATTTCCAATTACATCCGAAGTCATAGGCAACTTAAATCAGCATATGAAAATGTTCAGCGCGTGTGACAAGTAGTTTCACGTCTATCCAAGCACGCACCGTACAACTATGAAGAGGCAATTATCCAGCGAGAGATGTTGTGGCTTAATTCATGAGCAGCTCACAATAAGGTAATAACATTTCTTTATGCTTGTTTATAGGTATCACAATATTCATGCAGTTATACGAATTTCGATGCTGTTGTTGAGGACTAATTCTGTCCATCAACTCTAGTTGAGACCAGAGAACATCAGTTGAATGGACAAGCATTCCCAGAAAGGACGCCTTTCTGATAACACGACCAAAACATTCTTCAACTCGAGGGGATATCAATGGATAGGATCAATATAAGTTAACACCTTAAGACATGATCGGAGTCCTATACATAGGCAGAATTGTTTTGTCAACACTCTATTAGAGGATGCTTCTGTCAATAGCCCCTGAGTTCCGACTTCAAGTATGCAAAGTTTTCAACATATTGGTCTTACGATTGTGCATATCCCAGTGTAGGTAATCGATACCCTCTGCGAAATACCCCATATGGATACCAATTAAAGTATCGTGAGATGGCGTTACGATGTAGAACGAGGTAATTTACTTTGTATTACGCACGAACTGATAAGTGTATCTACTACTTGTATCTAAGCTATCAAGATGAGCCCTGATAGGTCTCAAGTACGCCCTACGATAGAGCTTCATGGGCGACTTATTAGAATAGTAAGAATAACCACGCGGCACGTAAGGACTAATCCTAACCATTTTACACGCGTCGAACGCGCTGAAAACCCTAGCATATCCGCGTAGAGACCCGGTGCCCGCTTCGGAAATGAGTCGAGTTTGCGAGAACATAAAACAAATTTTCCAGGCAATTCGGCGAGAAAACAGGTCGCCCATATCTGCGGATGCCTTGGACGCGTGTCAGCTTAGGTGTCCTACGGACAGGGGTACAGCGAAATCAACAAGGTAAGTCCGCGATTAGAAACAAAATCAACCCCGATGTTGGTCAGCAGGCGTGCGTACACCGCTGCGAACCATATATTTTCCTCTCAGCTAAGTAATTGGAAAGGAGGGATCAACCAAACGGCTGCAAATAATATGTAATGGACCTTGATAAGTTCCGTAATTACATGTCAACCAATTATCAAATTCGCTAACCCGAATCGCAACTAAGCCCAGGAGCTTCGGAACCGCCGGGAATTTACTAATTCCATCTCCGAGCCATAATCTATGAGGGCTACTGCTTGCCTATTAGTCCCTTGACAGCAGGGCGCGTTCTAACCAGAGCATAACTTACGCCGTATGTCTCCATTATACGTAGTTGATCTTAACAGCAATATGCTTCTCAGGCATCGACAGCCTGACCGAGGGCCGCTGATCGATGAGGTCAAGATCTATGAACCGAGAATACGCCCCGCCTCTATCGGCGTGTATATCGTTTCATTATACGCATCTTCATCATTCTTCATTTCCGCCGGTCTATGAATTCCTTCGTCGCATCTCCACCCATATATCTATCAACTACCATTAGCACAATTCAGTTCAAGGGGGCTGGACTCTATCTACTCACACATTCAGAAAGATTTCCGTGAATTCATCTACATCTTCTCCCTTCCCATTCTCGACGAACCCCCCAAGTAAAAAGCTCGCAATGATGAAATGCGAATTCTCTCTCCACGCTCGCTGGAACTCCGTCGGGGAACCAGCTTCCCATAAGGAACGCCCGAGGGTCCAGCGGTGGACGTAAGCCCAAGGGTCGTCGGGGTCTGTGTACCTCTGATCTTTCAGCAGCTCGTACAGGCCGATGACGGCGTACGCCATGATTATGGTTCTGCGCACGCATTCGGCGAATATCCAGTTCTAGGGGTTTTGGTCAGTGAATCACGACGCGCCGGCGAAAGGGTCGAAAGACACACCTCCCATTCTGCTGGTGACTGGTCTTTTACTAAAGCACCCTCCAACAACGCCAAGTCTCCTAGATTATCGCGGATACGGCACAGCTCACCCAGCCATGTTTTCAGTAGTCCTATATCTTTCTCGCCCTGCGCTCTTAAGGTAATATCTCCGTCGAAGAGACGGATGATCTGGTATAAGAAAAGAGTTTGTGAGCGCGCAAGCTTCTCGATAGGTGTAGGAACCACGCGGTAAGCTTCGGAATCGACAAGCTCGCGCGCACTATCCGATAACGCCTTCATTACCATGGCCGTGTTATTTGGTGTGCGGTTTGCATAAAGTACACATGTCGTGAAGCACTGCGATTTATCAGTTATCACCCCCTAAAGTCTCGACATGGAAGTGTTTCAGAACACTCCAATAACATTCAGATAGAGGTATTTGGTATGTAACAGCTTTGGTACACTTCATGACACTTAGGAGAAGATATCGAGGACTACTAACCGACATAATACATCGTGGTTTGTGCTCGTGGTAAAGATATCTGTGGATGAAAGGAGTGGTGTTCTTCTCCGCCATTTCCGTCGTGAATCTTTTCACGCGGTTTAAGATGTAGTACAGTGGTGATTTCGGATCGTACACATGCCATGAATCAAGCTGACTCTGCTAACAGTTAGTTTGAGGAGGAACGGGATATGATCTCAAAAGAGACCTTTTTGTCCCTGAGACGACAGCCCATAGTAGAAACTCACACAAGCCGCCATGTTACTTTGAACCGCCAGTAATTCTTCATCAGCTGGTGTCGGTGGGCGCTCAGGGAGATGCTCATCTTCGTTACGGACAAGCCATTGGTCCGAAGAAGAAAATGCGTTGTACCCTATGAAATCTAGAAAACTTCCCATAGCAGTATTACCGTAAGGAACATCGCTGTTGTGGGATTCGGGTGTGGATTCGATAGCAACATCTGGGAGAAACCCTGACGACATATTCTCGGTGTAGTCCATATCAAATGAGACACCGGGGATATTCAGCGGAGAATAGGCGGGACTTTGAAGCGGGAGGGCCTCTGGAAGAGGTGTCGGCTCCCTGGTATTTTCCCCTAGCCGATGAGTCGGTCTAGATTTGGTGTAGACACATGGCAATGTCTTCTGCACGCACCGAGAGCATACCGGTGTCCGCCGGTCACACCGTCTCTTAGCCTGTACACAGGCGTTGCAGTTTTTTTGGCGCGAGGTTGGTATGCCGGCACTTTCGGTTGCAGTGGATCCCATCTTGACTGCTGGTTCAATGCTACTCTTCATGGATTTGGCAGCAGGCGTTAAATCGATATGAAGGACAAGCTACGTGAAGACAGTCCGCCAGTGGAGTTTGACATGATATGTCCGCACAGAAACTCCGCAAGCCGCCCCACACCGGCGATGCCAAGACTAAGTAACTCCGCCAGTAAAAGTTATCTTCGGCTGTGGTGATCTTATATCTACGATTTCCTTGACTTGACCGCGATGGGAGGAATGTCAATGGAAGACTGATGTTGACAAGAAGCAATGTGATGTCACATATAAAATGATGTATAGTATAACAGGCTAATTATAGTAAGCAGATTTTTGAAGCTAGCTACTATTACTTCGTTTTAGTGATAGAAAGTTATCTGATCACCTACTGTCGTATAGGTATATTATTTTTCGATCATCAAATTTCTCAAGAGACGGAGTGAGTTTACTATCTCTTTGCATAGATAATTCTCTACAGAACACATCTAAGGAGACATAATTAGACCGAATTCGCCGTTGCCCTAAACAACACATGGGATTCCGCAGCTTAATACATCAACGCGAGTAAAGAACGGGAATGCGGTCTAGTCTGAATTATTGGGGAAGAAACTAGTATTCTGTTTTTCGAGGAAGTGGTGTGTTCATTGTACGATGGCCACTAGTTGAGTCAACGGTGCCTGGGGTCATTGTAAGCACCCTCGTTGAGCCTAGTCCTATTGGGTAGATAGTTAGTCTTGCGCAAAGTGCTTACGAACAGGTGATAACTCTTAGAATATAAAACCAACTCTCATTCTCTCCTCACGTGATGTCGAGTTTCTTGATTTGAGTAGGCTATCTAATCCGATTTCTCCATAATACCTACTTATCTGGGCATTAGGATTGATCTTCACGGGGGAAGGCGGCAGTGCATGCAAAGATGACGAAATAAACCGAGGGAGAAGGACTACCAACTCCTTACGTCGGGAAAATCTCACCGCAGCGTGGCTACCCCGACACATCCGCCGTCAGCGCGCGACGAGCTACCGAGCAGATACCGAGTCAACAGATCACATCACATTACATCACATCATCTCACAGTGGACACAAAGTACAGCTTGTCGAGATTGTATCGTAGGATGGTGTCTGTGGGCTGGCTCACTTGAGGCTGTGCGGGTTGAAACGACGGCTCCTGTCGAGCCAGTGTTGGTCATGGCTGACAATTTGTAAATTTTCATCTGAACTTCTCTTTCCTCCACGCGTAGACTGTACGTTCTGGCCTCTTCGCGCTCAGATGAAACAGGATGCATTTCGGATAGTAGCCGTTTTTCTAGGCACAGATCCTCGAACCTCTACATATCCCGGTAAATCTTCCGGTTGTTTACTGCAGGCGAACCCGTTCGGGTAGTGCGTGCATTTTACTAACACATCCGATATCGAAGGCTTCAACTACCTATTGTTTGCCGAAAGAAGCACATACACACAGAGCTTCTCGTGCCTCCCGTGCTTGCGGGTGTAGGTATTGTCGGCACCCCCGTTTCACAATCGACGGGCTGTGCTGAGCCACCAACTTCAAACCTGCAACACGCGGCGTGCTACTAGTGATCGTTTGCGAGGGTACGGGTAAAAGCCATCCATCCATGTAGGGCGGGCAAGCACTGCAACTCGTTGGAGGATACCTTGCAACAAGAACCGTGCAGAAAAGTGCACGTGTTTGTAACGCGGTGTTTGCTTGGTTTGGCGTCTACAGTACAGCGGCCAGAGACGTACCTATAATATCGGTGATAAGGTAAACTTGAAGTCGTTGAGTCATCTGGACGACTTGCAGTGTTTATCTCTTGGGTTATTTGACCAGATAACTACTTAAGTAGGTAGGTCCCTCACGTTGTTCATGACGCCATGCCCCACCGTGGCTTGTGTTTTTGGCGAATGAATTTGGCGAGTGGCTTGCGCTGTGCTGTCAGTAGCCCCCTTTCTCACGATCCTATTGTCCGTTCGGGCTCCTATGTCGTTTCTTGATCGCCATGATTACTAGGAAATAGTTGATTTTCTTCTATAACCCATGTGTGTGGATGCTGGGGATCCCTATGACGAACACTAGCTAGGTTGTGTGGATGGCGAGTTTTGTGCAAATCAATGGCTCGCAAAGGAGATATCATGCCATAACGACACGATGAAATTATATTCCGAATATACGTAGTAATCACGAATGGCTATATGCTCCCCCCGTCAGACATAGACAGACGTGTGGAGGAGGTGCTATAATGCACCCCAGGCAAATACCAGGTTCTCTTTGCCTACCTTTTATTTTTGCTTTTGCTCTGCAAGGAGAAGAGAAGAAAAGAAAAGAAAAAAACTCTCACATATCTGTATAAGGCTTAAAAATTTCACCAGAGAGCTCGTTTTAAAGATTTCAAAGTGTAAATACCTATGATACAATTATGCGTTATTCACTCGGAGATACGAAGTGCCTTTTACAGGCAGATACGAAAAGAGCTCTCTTGCTATGGAGGGGGGAGGCTGGTCACATGACGTGGGAAGAATGTACTGCAGCAAGTTTCTAGATGAAGTTTAGGCTATATAAACTGCCCGGACGCTAAAAGTGCTTATTTCGCACCCAGTGATACGCATTGCTGAACTTGGATATTGCTGTATTAGGCAAGTGGGTATGCCATGCTGGCACTTACCGACAGTACTAGCATTTATAAACTGTACATAATGTACATACCTACACTATGTGGTAGGTATCGAGTAGGTTTGTATAGATACATGTGTATGTAGTAATAGGGGCGTGGATGAGTAAGCGTATGTATGCATCTACTCAAGGTACCTATTGACTGCATCGAGCATTTACAGTAGGTACATAGGCGTGCAGCCTGAGGTTATCTGCAATAGGTGAATGCAGGTAGATGTTGTATTGATATATTGTTGATAGCGAATTCATGTTGACGTGCTTGAATAACTAATGACCTGTAGCTCATAGCAGACTCATAAGCACCTAGGTAGTTGACCCAGGAGACCTTACTTGGAAGACCTGAGGTCTCACTGTCTGTTAGGTAGGTACTTACACTAGGTATGTAATGGTAGACGCCACTTACTACTAGGTATGCATGTCTTGTTCAAATACCGGTACTGTACGTAGTAGACGAGTAGACAAGTAGGTAGAGTAGGTATCACCAATGTCCCGCGTGCAATGTTTCACAGTCCCAAACTCGCGGCTTTTGGGAATCACAAGACGTCATAGACTTCTTACAGTACTTGTGTTATCTTCGATTCGGGTGGGTGTGTGGTATCCGCAGCAATATCCGTGTGGACGGTTATGATTATAAGTTTGTGAATCTGATTGGCGCTGTCTCGGCTAGGTATCACTATTGGGCACTTCGGCCCTCAGCGCCTACCGTGACATGTTTGGGGGACTATGCGCCTCCCCACCTCTAGATTCCAACAAAGGGCAAAGGGTTAGGAATGAAGTAATTCCTCAATTGTGTGGGCACTTGAGTACTGTTACTGTAAGTATGTACTGTAAATACTGATAATTGTGCACAGACTTACCTAATGCTGATACACGCCAGGATGGGCAATACTACTACTAGGTAGAACTGCACACCGCGTGTTGACAGCAATGCTGCGCCTTCACCGATCGGTCTCAAGGCTGCTCTACGTGGATAGCTTCACCCAGTACGCACCTTGGCAGCCTCGGCAGCATAAACGGCAATAACCGAACCCACTCGAAGCTGAACATGGAGAAACAACCTCTCCCGTACCTAGGCTCGGGAGAGGTGCAGAGTTTGCAGAGGTTTTTGTATACACACTTATAGTAGGCATCAGAGTCGGGAAACCATGTTATACCCGCTTCCATAGGCAGAATAGGGCCGATCCATTAGGATCCCAATGGAAACCGTTATTGGGCGAGAATACTTACTGTTACTACTATGCATCTCGGAAATGTCTCTACTGTGAACGTTGTCTTGGTACCCATCAAGCCCACAGTGTAGTATTGTTGTATTCGAGGTAGCCGAAACGCCACCATACCTTGGACTCTACTGTTGTTACGCTAGGTAGATTATACCTAACTTATTTCGAAGTGGAAACGTAGCTAGCGACCCCAACGGCTCAAACCTGCTTTCTCGTCTAATATCAAGACAAGAATGAAGGAAACAGAGCAACGATAAGTCATAGATCTGTCAATGGCCAAGACAGAAGAGCCGGGTGCGTAAGCCAATGCACACACGCTGGTTGTGACTCGCTAGACACGTCTTCCATCACACTAGGGTTTGATTTCAAAGGGGGTCTCCAACTTGGCCATGATTCGTGATGGGCGATGGGATCATGTTGGACAGCTTGGACGGCGCAACGGTGGAGGAAGATCTTGGTGCAAAAAGCGAGGCTGCCCGTCGCGACGCTAGGGCCTAAGTGACGACCAGGGGGCTTTGCACAGCCTCCCTTGGCATACATCTGCGGCGCGCTGGACCAATGGCTTCGCTCGACTGGAGTTCTGCCCGACATTCCATGAGGAGTAAGATGTTGCTGAGAGCTGGGAAAGGGGGGGCAAATGTTGACAAAAAGGAAATCTACACACCCCCGACCTTGAAATGTACTTACTTTGGTATTGCGGACTTATTCTGCGCGTAGTGAGTGGTATGAACAATGGTTTACTTTGTACAATACCTATTTGTAGTGCATACACGATCGCTTGACCTAATAAATTGGACGACAATTCGTCAATGTTGGGTGTAAATCGTGACGTCTGGGATAGACGCAGTAACTGTTCCTTAAGTACTCCATACGCAACCTTAAGTTGAGCTTTACATACCTAGGTACTATAGTATCACAACATCATAGGCGGTATAGTGTAGGTAGGCTAATACAAGAGAATATATTAGATTATGGGTTACTATGTGTGTAGTACTGGATGATTTGCCAATCATATACTTACGAAAGTATTGGATCATGTCGCCAAGCTCAGGAAGAAATACGTCTCCCATGGCGTAGAGGAAATTATACATCCTACCTACATAGGCAGGTAAGTACCTACCACCTGTAGACTGACCTTTCACCTTTCACTACGCAAGTCGTATGACTGGAACTTTGAAGTGAAGAGCTAAAAGGAGCAAAAAATATCAATCTGCTTTCAGGTACGTACCCAGGAACTTACATAGTCGGTAATACGGTACCGGTATGCCCAAACAACCTGGAAATTCCTATGCGAATATATGCAAGTATAGCCAGCATACTTAGGTACTCCGTACAGTAAGACGTAATGTAATGACCGGTGAGAGGAGCGACGATGCCTACCTACTTAGGTATTGCGTATTCCAGGTCGGGCACCTCTGGGCACCTGAAAGCCAGTAAGACTTGGAAGAGAGTTAGAACGGGGGATTATACCGGGCTATATCATTCAACTACACAGTAGGTAAGTATAGCATCCATCGAACCGAATTGGAGCGCTGCCTCGCAATATTCAAGACTTGAACGTCGACTTCGACGGGTATACATATATACATAAGTACCTAGGTACTTAACTACTACAGTAGGTAATTAGGTAGGTAAGTAGGTGGACCTGGGGTGCCACGCTTTTCCGCCTCGGCGTTCAATCTCCCAGTGTCCGGCGCTGTACTGTGCTGTAATTACCCGCCTACTGTAGACGACTTAGCGTCACTTGGCTTCGCCATCTATTAAGTATTAAGCACTGTTAGTAGAGGCCAATGTTCTGGCCATGCCAGCACACCTAAGTAAGTACAACTTACCCAGAGAGTCAGGGCATGTTTTGCTAAAAACCTTTAGTTAGTGCACTACCTGCACTATATGCACTACAACTGTACATGTACCCATAGCTACCTAGGTAGACTGACTTGGTATGCATGCTTCACGACCCTAGCGTATCCAGGGCGCCGATGGGCTCGATCTCCTCAACGCCATCATCTCCTCGCTGTTTGACCACGATGAATTCCTTCCTCGTCCTCTTCCGATATTTACCACTTGACTAGTTCACCATTCTACTTCGCTCCTGTTACTTGTCTGTACCTTTTTCTTCTTCTCCTTCTCCTTCTTCCTCTTCGTGCTCTCCGTAAAGAGAGGATTATTGAATGCGCCCCCCAGTGATTCCTTGTCGTTAGATCCACCCCATTGTTCGTGTCTCTCGGGTCCAGCCAGCTTTGCATTCCCTTTCAAGTGGCGATCCGACTGGTTGCACCTGCAAACAGACCCCAGAAGGCTTATGGGACTGTATGCATAGCCTCAATTTCTCATTCCCTTGACGGCTCCTGGACGGCGGCGCATTCACCCCCCGTCTCCCCCCCGACTTTGTCGGTGCTCACTCAGTACCACCCTGGACATACGCTCCCATATCAGATTAACCATCATAGGATACCCTGTAGATGTTTTGTTTCCCATCTTATCCCCTGGCAACACCTCATCAGCACATCGCCAGGCCCTAAACACGACGTATTCGAGTCAATGCCGATCGCGATAGACGTATCATCTGCCGAACAGCAGCAAGAATTCCTTGCCCAGGGGTCTCAATTGGCTTCCGTAGCCTCCCTCCACGCCTAAACCTTCTCACCTTTGAAGCTTGTTCTGCAAGGCTTCGGCTCATTGAGCTCAAGCAGGCTGGGTCGACCGAACCGGATGTATAACCTCGACGATGACATTCTATAGTTTGATCTAAACCTTGTTGTCGTTGGAACACAGATCTTCCCCCGACCGCTCCGCTATTTACACCATCGATGACACAGTCATATCGGTCAAGTCGCCGTCACGGAGTCCTTCCGTCGCCATAATATTCTTCTCATCATCGGATACTCTTTTATTATAGTTTCATTTCCAGCACCAATACACCATGTCGGACCCTCAAGATCAGGAGCGTAGTGCGGAAGGCACCCCTCGGCGGCCCAGGGCGTAAGTAGAGCTTCTAAAGCTCACACCACTACGACTCTGCTCCTCGAGATTGAGCTTCCACTCACATAAATCATATAGGCCTACAATAACGATTGACACCACGAACGATAGCGAGCCAACGTCAAACGTAATCCCCCATTCGCCAGTATCAGCCGCCGATGAAACAATAAGCCCTACCACTCTTGCCGCCAGCTGGACATCGTCTGAAAGGACGCACTATCCAGCAGGCTCACAACCACCTAGTTCGGCCTCCCACCATGAAATCCGAGCTTCACACTCGTTCGACAGCAAAGACAGCAGGCCGACTAGCCCGCACAACGTGTCCAGTCCTGTAACATCACGCGGAGTAGAGAAAGGCCAGGCTTTCTTAGCAGTTCCCACCAATCACCGATCGCGTCAGAACTCCATGGATAGTGAGGATGGATCACGATCGATTTCTTCGCAGGGCGACTCGGTTTCGGAAAAAGGCCCTTCGAGGTCAAAATACGATAATGACCAGATCATGAAGGACAAAGATGCTTTAAAGCCTGACAAGGGCCGAGAGGAGGATTTCCAGGTTGAGGATAACCCGTTTGCCTATAGTCCTGGACAGTTGACCAAAATGTTCAATCCCAAGAGTTTGGCTGCATTCTACCAACTGGGTGGTCTTCGAGGATTAGAGAAAGGACTTCGAAGTGATCGGGCAGCAGGTTTGGGCATGGATGAAAGAAACCTCGATGGCAAAGTGTCGTTCGAAGAAGCAACCAAACATGAATCTTCCAAACTGGTAAACGAAGGACTTGCTAGTCCTGACACACCAGTAACGACTACACCACATGGCTCTCAGCACGTATCTAGTGGCCCATTCGCCGATAGGAAACGGGTCTTCAGCGACAACCGGTTACCTGAAAAGAAAGGCAAAAGTTTTCTGCAGCTGGTCTGGATCACCTATAATGACAAGGTTCTCATTCTTCTCACAGTAGCTGCAATCGTCTCCCTAGCCATTGGTCTGTACCAAACGTTTGGACAAAAGCACGATGCATCAAATCCCGGTGTTGAATGGATCGAAGGCGTGGCTATCATCGTTGCTATTGTTATTGTCGTTCTCGTGGGATCGCTGAACGACTGGCAGAAGGAGAGACAATTTGCGAAATTGAACAAGAAAAAGCAAGATCGCCTCGTAAAGGTCATACGCTCGGGCAAGACTGCCGAAATTTCGGTTTTCGATTTGATGAGTGGGGATGTACTTCATCTCGAGCCTGGTGATCTAATACCCGTTGACGGTGTTCTAATTAAGGGGTATAATGTCAAGTGTGATGAATCGCAAGCTACTGGGGAATCAGACGTCATACGAAAGCGCCCAGCTGATGAGGTCTATGCGGCAATCGAGAGGGGCGAGGATCCCAAAAAGTTGGACCCTTTCATCCAGTCTGGTGGCCGGGTTATGGAAGGTGTAGGGACCTTTATGGTCACGTCCACTGGTGTCTATTCAAGCTACGGGAGAACTCTTATGTCTCTAAACGAAGATCCCGAAATCACGCCTCTACAGTCCAAGCTCAATGTTGTTGCCGAATATATAGCAAAGCTTGGAGGTGCTGCCGGTCTTGTTCTGTTTGCAGTTCTTTTTATCGAGTTCCTTGTTCGTCTACGTGGGAGCGACGCAACGCCATCTCAAAAAGGCCAACAGTTTATTAACATTTTTATTGTTGTGGTCACAATCATAGTCGTTGCTGTACCGGAAGGGCTTCCACTAGCCGTCACGCTAGCATTGGCATTTGCAACCACTAGAATGCTCAGGGACAACAACTTGGTTCGCCATTTGAAAGCATGTGAAGTTATGGGAAATGCAACAACAATCTGCTCAGATAAGACGGGAACATTGACCCAGAATCAAATGAAGGTTGTCGCAGGAACGGTTGGCACGAATCACCGGTTCAAAAACAGCAACCCTGAAACTGATGAAGCAGATTTGACGGAGAAGGAATTTGCCACAGCTCTTAGCCAAAATACTCAAGAGCTGCTCCTAAAATCTATCTCATTGAATTCAACAGCTTTTGAAGGCGAAGCGAATGGCGAGAAGACATTCATTGGATCCAAAACGGAGACTGCTCTTTTGCTTTATGCTAGGGACTACTTAGGCATGGGACCCATCAGTGAGGAACGGGCAAATGCTACTATTCTACAGATGATTCCATTCGATTCTGGTCGGAAATGCATGGGAGTTGTGGCCCAGCTCAGCAATGGTGCGGCTCGACTATACGTTAAAGGTGCTTCAGAGATACTGTTAGCCAAGTGCTCAGAATTCCTCGCAGACCCTACAAAAGATCTATCGAAATCTCCCATGACAGCCGAAACAGTCGAAACCATCAAGGGTCTGATCGAAAGCTATGCCTCAAGGTCACTGAGAACAATTGGGATTGTTTATCGTGACTTTGAAAGATGGCCTCCACGGAATGTGAAGCGTATCGAAGGCGACGGAAATCAAGTGGTTTTTGAAGACATTTTCAACAAAATGACCTTCATCGGTATGGTAGGCATTCAAGATCCTCTCCGCAATGGCGTTCCCGACGCAGTAAAAGAATGCCAAAGGGCGGGAGTTGTTGTTCGTATGGTGACTGGTGACAACAAACTCACAGCCCAAGCTATCGCCAAGGAATGTGGCATTTTACAGCCAGATGGGATAGTTATGGAGGGACCCGAATTCCGTAACCTGAGCAAACTATCGCAGAACGAGATCATCCCGCGACTCCAAGTTTTAGCTCGGTCTAGCCCGGAAGACAAGCGGATCCTTGTGCGTCGTCTGAAAGATATGGGAGATGTTGTTGCTGTGACTGGTGACGGAACGAATGATGCACCTGCTCTAAAACTTGCCGATGTCGGTTTTTCCATGGGCATTGCTGGTACTGAAGTAGCCAAGGAGGCTTCTGCTATTATTCTTATGGACGATAACTTCACCAGTATTGTGAAAGCACTGAAATGGGGTCGTGCCGTGAACGATGCTGTGAAGAGGTTTCTTCAATTCCAGTTGACGGTCAACGTTACCGCCGTCGCGCTCACGTTTGTTACCGCCGTCTCCAGTGATGACGAAAGCTCTGTGCTAACAGCCGTGCAACTTCTTTGGGTTAATCTCATCATGGACACTCTGGCAGCACTCGCTCTCGCCACAGATCCTCCCCAGGACAGTGTAATCGACCGTAAACCAGAACCGAGGAATGCTAGCATCATCTCTATTACCATGTGGAAGATGATTATTGGACAAGCTTTATATCAACTCGCAGTCACTTTTGTACTGTATTATGGAGCATATGCCATCGGCATCGCAGCAAGGGAAGATGAGACCATGGTGTTGTCTACTAGGCGGGATACCCTCGTGTTCAATACCTTTGTGTGGATGCAAATCTTTAATCAATGGAAGTAAGTGAAAGCTAATCAAAATCAACCCCAGTGTGGTGAGCTGACTTGTACCATAGTAATCGTCGCTTAGACAACCGATTTAACATTTTCGAGGGCATAACCAAAAATTATTTCTTCTTAGGGATCAATATTATTGTCATTGGGCTGCAGGTTCTTATCATCTTTGTCGGCAGTACACCATTCAACATCTCGCTTCTTAAACCATCCCAGACTGGTCCACAATGGGCAACAGCCATCGTGTTGGGTTTTTTGTCAATTCCCGTTGGCATGCTCATCCGTCTTATTCCCGATGAGCTCATAGAAAAGTGTATCCCCAAGTATTTCAAACGGAAGCCTTCACCACCTGGGCTCATGGTCTCTGATGAAGAACGATTCAACGACTACCCAGACGTATTTACTGATGTCCGGGATGAGCTCGCATTCCTCAAGAAACTCAAGGGTGGTCGTCTCAATAATCTGAAGTTCGCTGTACAACATCCTCGTGAGACATTCATGGCGAGAACGAGGAGCCCGTCTCATTCTCGATCCAACTCCATTCGTGCTCCAGGCACTCCGATTCAAGAGGACAGTTTTGGAGCTATATCACCAGCTCCAACCCCTGACTCTCGCAGGCGCTCCAGGTCTATGAGATCTCGTTCCAATTCGGCTCTGGGCGCGCCGACGGTGATGGCAGGCATTATCGCTGGTAGTGTGGCTGCTGGCTGGTCTCCCATCGAGAAAAACGACAGCCGTGATTTTTCACAGAATCCTCGGCCCTCCCCTTCCCCTTCTCCTCTCTCACAACGAGAGGGTGCTGGGTCCGAAATGACGCCTGTGTTGACAGAAGAGCCGATGGAAATGGACGAGTCGGATGCGCCCGGTGATGTACCCCAACTACGTGTGCCTCAACCGCCCGCGCAAAAGCCGAAGTCTGTTACTTAGGTAGTGTGATTATTCGCCTTTGTTTATTAGAAATACCCCTGGCAGTGCTCAGTAATCAGAATCCCGACCATCTGACACTCCAACTACTAGCCGCGACCTGCAGATGTCGCTCTAGAACCATCTGAGAACAACAATGTCCTTCTTTGGCCACCACTGGTCTTTCGCCTATGAGTTAGGATACAGAAGAGCTCTGGAATTTATGCGCTTGAGTTTACACTGGGCATCCAGACACTCTGTAGTTGTGGGTGGCGCCCATGTTATCTACACCCTTCAATTAGAGATTCATGTGCGCTGCACGCCGAACTCTTTATCTCGACCTCTTCTACAACTACTGCATTTCGACGGCTTACTTGACATCAATCGTATGTCCGAGTCTGCTGATTGAAGGTGAATAAATGAGCCAGTTTGTTCCTCTGTTCTCTCGATCACATGCAGCACGCCAAGGTGTGCAGCTGGTCGAGGGTTAGCTCTCCGCGCCGCAGCGTCTTGTACTTATTCTCTTTTTGTTTTTACTTTGTCTGTACAACATGAACGGGGGAAATGAGTTTGTGTGGGAATTAAACCCCGTGCCAAATAGATACCAAGCAATCGTATTAGTAGTAGAGACTCAGACGAAGAAAAAACCACTGCGATGATTTTAGCAGTTTATTGAATAGATTACTCGGCTTTGCCTGTAGGGCCTTTGCGAAGGCCTTGAAGACCACCATTGCCAGATTGAACGATGCCTACTCTATCTCCTGTGGCCTGTGACTGTTCTCATCATCTTGGTATTGCGCCACCAGGAAAAATCTAGGTGAGTACACAAATGCTTGGTACTGACTATCATTGGCCCATTCATTAATCATACGATAGAAATTCAGTGATGACGGAGGCGAACCTGGCTGTCAACTGCCTGCCTGCTAACCGCTATAAGTGATATATGACCAGGATTACTGCCAGTCAATTATAGGTTTCTCCAGTAGTACATCGACGCCCGGGTTTACTATTAGTTGTGTTCAGTTATCATGAAGCCACAATGCATCTGAACTATCCAAGACTGAATATGCGTGTAGTTACCAATTAGCAACTTGGGAATTAGATTGATTATATGAGATCCCAAGGTCTTTGGACGTGCCAAATCCTCGTCGTGACTTCTATCAGGTTCTCTAAGGCTCTCTCTTGTGTTACGTAGCAGGGTTGCAAGCTATGCGTCCCATCAATTCCCTTATGTAGGCATGATGATGCACCGTGCTCTTCCAGCTAGCTACCTCAGGTATGGTCCTTTTTCATTACCTAAATGAGAGAGGGTTGACCCTAGAGACACATGCAGCTGCAATGCCACAAAACGACATCTCCTCGAGGGAGTGGTATGGGTGTTCATTTGGGCTAAGGGAAGGACTTACATGAGCCCGGGATTATCCGAATTGACAGATTTAGGACCTGCTGCGATTGAGTTGTAAGGGGAAGCTCGCATGGTTGAGACAATGCTACCTACGCAGTTATTGGGCTGCGTGTTGTGGGGGCGATACGATGGGACTGGGCAAAAGTTTAGGAGAAACATCAAGGCCGAAGCCGAGCAAACAGACAGGCATCAAGACACCCAGGCAGACACAGGCGCCCACATGTAGAGAATCACGAACGTCAAGGATGTACCAGGGGGGCTCGCAACAAGAAAAAGCGCCATTAGAGTTTGAGAGCACACGCGATTCCGGCACGTAAATCACGAGTACACCTATCATAGTTAGGTAAACGGTAGGTAATGGCAGGGAAGAGGCGACGAGACAAGACACTGAGATGACAGTCGGGAGATCTTGCTGCCGACCAGGGCCGGGAATCAACAGTGCTTATCCCGTGTAAAACGTGTAATGCAATCGAGACAAGATAGAGCGCAACAATTTCCTGGGGAGGGTAATAGGCTATTGCTACCAGACAGTTAATACTTGTACTCTATACGTAATCACTACTATGTAAGTACGTGCGTAAGGGGGGATTAATACTATGCAAGTAGAAATTGAGTCAAACACGCACAATGCAAGATCGGAGAAGACGGGAGACGGAGGCAAATTGGTTGAGCTGCTAGCGTCTGTCAACCTCGGAACACACACTAGGTAATAACAACGGGCACCCGGAGGCGTAGCACAAGATAAAACACCTCCAGCGATCAATTTTTTAGCAAACTGGACGATGCCTATACTTTCCTAATTCGAGTCAACGCGAAGAATGGTTCTTCGAAGAAAGAGAAAAGGAGTCTCATGTATTCAATGATCTTACTCCCATCAATGGAGTAGTGAATGGAGGTTAAAAACGAATGGTCAGGACCTGGCCCGTAAACTGCCAGTGTCTAGCAGTTTCATAGGTACTTCTCTATGTATACGTGTAAGCTAGCGGTGTGATACAGACAGGACTCACAGAGAGGCGAGAGAGCGGAGAGGAAGAAGAAGAGGAAGACGAAGAGAGGGCTGGTAGACAATAGAAAGAGAGAGAGAAATATACTACTGTAGTAGCAGCCTGCCAGGGCACACACACACAATACACCCAGGCTGGCTAGTCTTTGCCCAATCAGCAATTCGCTTCCTTCTTGAACTGGACAACTCCGTCTCGTCTTTTCGTCTTTTCAAGTCTCAACCTCGCCTTCTTTTCTCTCTCTTTTTCTCTCACACACGCCCAAAGTCGCCTTTCGCTCGCAAAGGCACTTTCAAGTGGATTTCTCTCTCAAATGAATCAGCCGTATTATTTAGCGCCAAACTGCCAACTCCCAACCCGCAGTTTTGTCATCTTCCTACACCACGCATCTACCTAACACATATTTCAACCATCGACGATTTAACTCTACGCCATCGGCTGTTCTTGTTCCCCCCTCCCTCCCTTGTCTCTCTCTAGTGTAGCGTGGTGTACTATAAGTCGCCTCGCCCACCCTTTCTCCTACATGTCCTAATTAATGCTTAACACCCCTTCCCTTCAACTCTAACCGAGTTTCAACTTCTCGCAAATTGCCATCTCTTCCTCTTGTTCTTGTTTCTTTTATCCCCCAACTCGAGGGCTTCTCTCTCTCATCAACCACACTTCAGCCAAACTCTGGCCAAACAGGAAAAACGCGTCAGAAAACAATAGCCGCCACGACCCAACCGTCATATAGTCCAGAATTCCAATTTCCACTAACCACTTCTTCCCGATCGCACTTTCCTGCGACGGGCGTGTCCAGATCCAGAGCCGGGTCCAGATTTGGATCCCTTCTACTTGCTATAATTCATCTCGCCCCGTCCAATCATCCATCCATCCTTCCTTCCTTCCATTCATTCCATTCATTTCACTCATTCCTTCATTCTGATCATCACGTGTCAACTCTCCTCTTCTTGATTCATCAACTTGTTCGGCCTCGCCCGAAGCTTGCCTACTTACTCAACCTTCATCTTATGATGTAATTATTTGGATCATCGGTCACCCACTCTTTCAGCAACACATCATTCAACTTTAGAATTGTGTAGTTTCGTGCACCCCACGAATATATACAACCCTGCACTAGATCTAGTCAACCGTTTATCGTATTTACCGCCTAGCCCGCTCTACTCATCTGCATGTTCCACATATCGTTGTAAACACATCATCGGCTGTGTCGCCGCCCGCCGTCACGATGAAAGGAGCAAAGTCAGATGCCGGTCGCGTCAAGAGACCTTATAAGAAGAGAGCTCGTCCTCAGGCCGAACAATCAAAGCAGCAACAGGGTCAACTACGGAGTTATGAGTTGACGACCGGTGGCGGTGGTGGTGGTGGTGGTGGTGGTGGTGCTTCAGGCTACCCTGCTCATGTTACAGAAGTTGTCGACGATCAGCAGGTTGGGCATCTCCCACTTCCCCAACCCATTCACGGCGACGAATTACAGGAACGCGTGGACGACTTGGGAGACTCTTGGGAGACGGAATCCATCTTCGAAGACATAATTGATGATCTTACGCAGGATACGTTTTCCGCTGATGGTAATTACACCTCTCTCTTCCTCACTTCTCTGGGCGAACTTTTTTTTTTTTTTTTTTGCTTGGTGAGACCGAAACCCAGGCTTGGCAAAATCAAGGGTTTCGCTGTGGCGAGCTAGGGCTTCTACTAACGCGTTTGCAGTTGATGCTTGCACCCCGGAACAATCCGTTGCCTTTCGCCAGCAATTACGCGCAATCGGGCCTAATGCGTTCTGTCGTCTGCACATAGACTCTGGCGCCGTAACAGCTCGAAAGATGCTGACGGCCTTTGGAATCCGGCCTCCGGACTTCCTGGAAGGCCGTCCCGACGAGGCATATCTCGGCCTGCTCACCCTGGCCATAACCCGGGAGTTGAACAAACGAGCCAAGATCATGTCGTACAATTCTATCGACGATGCCGTGCACTTGCTGAAGAAGTCGCGCAACATCGTCGTATTGACAGGAGCGGGTATCTCAACCTCCCTCGGCATCCCCGATTTTCGTTCTAAAGAGACCGGGTTGTACTCGCAATTAGAAAAACTGGGCTTGGGTATTAATGACCCCCAGGAAGTTTTCAACATTGACGTTTTTCGTGATGACCCTACCATCTTCTACACGGTAGCAAAAGACATCCTCCCAGCAACCAAAAAGTTCTCGCCAACACATGCATTTATTGCCATGCTGCAGAACCAAGGCAAGCTGCTCACCAACTACTCGCAGAATATTGACAACATTGAAGCCAATGCAGGCATCCGGCCAGAAAAGTTAGTACAGTGCCATGGCTCGTTCGCCACCGCCAGTTGCCAACGGTGTCGTCACAAAGTGCGTGGGGACACCATCTTCGACGACATCAAAGCCGGGCGGATCCCGCGCTGCGGCAAATGCATCACGGCCCTGAGGGCGAAAGGAATAGGCCCGCCTAAGCGCAAGAGGTCGAGCAACAGCTCATCGTCTAAAAAGTCGCGGCGCAGCTTTGATGACTTCGATGACGACGACGATGATGGCGCGTATGATATCCCTCAGGCGGGCGTCATGAAGCCGGATATTACGTTTTTCGGCGAGCCTCTTCCTGACGAGTTCTCCAAACGGTTAGTGAAGCATGACCGCAACTTGGTAGACCTCGTCATCGTGATTGGCACGTCGCTCAAGGTAGCGCCTGTCTCGGAAGTGGTGCCGTTCCTACCGCCGCATATACCACAAATATACATCTCGCGTACGCCAGTCAGTCACATCAACTTCGACATCGACCTTCTGGGTGATTGCGACATTGTCGTGGCCGAGCTGTGCCGCCGCGCGGGATGGGATCTCAACCACCCGATGGTGCCGCCCAACCAAAGGATTGATATCTCGCTAGAGCCGGGCTACAATAGTCGACACATATTCACGCTTGCTGAGGACCCAAAACCGGACTTGGATCCCGTGACACAAGTAGAGGAAGCGCCGCAACCAGTCAAACAGCGCCGCAGTCGAAACAGTTCGTCCCATAGATCGGACGGATTGGCTATTGCAACATAGAGGCATTTCATCACTATTCATCATTCATCTAAATCGGTTCGAGCAACTCTCAAGTTACTACAGCTGAGATATGCACGCGTTCGCATGTGTGGGATTGACAGCGCGATCATATCATCGTGGTTGCTACTATGTATACAAGGTGTTCTACAGATCTGGCTCTGGCGTTTTCCCTCCTTCTTCTCACTACGGCCCCGGTCCGCCTTTCTGTGTCAGGTTAGGGGTCTTAATGCTTCGACTTATTCCTATTTTCCTTCTTTTTTTTTTTTTTCTTGCCTCCCATTTTCATGCTTGGAGACGGTGGATCTTCGTACCCGCCACACACAAACACCCGTCCTGGAGGATTGATCCACATTGGCTTGTTTCGGCGCCTTTTTGCGATCCATCCCAATAGCGCAGTGACACATGTCCCCCCGTATACTTTTGCAACCCATCACGCGAAAACAAAGGACATGGCTGGGGGTCGTGTGTTTTTTTCCCTGGTGTTTCATGACGTGTGAGGAATGCGTGTTTTCAACATGCGCGTGTGCAAAGATAAGAACGATATTGTGCTTTTCCGTCTCGCTGAGATTTGTTTCTTAGAAAGAAAGATGTCATGATTTGATACCAGACGATGAGAGATAGAAATAATGAGGGCTTTGCAGCCCATCCAAATCTATCCACGTAAGCCTTCTACAGTCGCTGCAGCTGTCACCCAAAGAGAATAATAATACACAAAACAAGCTACAACTGCCCAAGTACCTACCGAACCAACCATCAACTGTTGCTCCCATAGAGAAAGCGGGGCTGAATCTACAATATCCTCCCGTACTATCCGGTTGATCAAACCGCTTAGAAAATTACCTGAGAAAGCACAACATTTTCGCGGTTCACAAGGAGCAAAAATGTGAGGACAACAATCAGGCAAACACAGAAGTATAGAGGGAAATAAATGGGCTTAAGAAGCTCGGAGCGCACAGAGAATTTGCGCTATGTGACCAGCCGCGCCCCCAAGACTCATGTAGAATCTCTCGGGTGACGGTGCGAGTTTGCCACACCCTTTTCCACCCCCTCCTGCACTTTCCCCGCTAGAGAAGAATTACGCCCTGTGTAGAAACCTTCTTTTGGCAGAAAAGCAGGAATTCGGGATGAGATAAGATGATGAGATGATTAGTTTATGTGTAAAAAGGAGGACATTTGTCTAAACCTTTTCTTTTTTTTTTCAAAAGGAAAGGGGAAAGGGCAGCAAAAAAATGATCCGAACTAGGTACCAAGACCTGCGCCTCTGCTTTGATCTCAAGAAGATTTTGAGACCATGGTGCGCGATTTTCCTGTATTTTGGCATGGTACTACATGCGATGTGGGGTACATTAGTTACTGGTAACGCTCGATACCTAAATGTTTAATAGAATTGTGGTAGATAACAACGGCGAAGTGAATGGGTAGCAACGATAATATCGGCTTCGAATTGATAAACAAACCGGAAATGAAATGAAATGAAATAGTGTAGATGGCGGTGTGTTCAGCTTTGAAAAAAAGAAGAAAGTTTACTTGATATTTTATGTATGCATGTCTCAGCGCAAAGTGGGAAGACGTGACTCGCTAAAAACCAGCCTTTGTTTTTTCTTTTCTGGCCTTTCTGTTTCAGATACCGGGCATATTGACAGGTAGGTAGAATTCTTATCTTCTCGTTTATCTATGTATCAATTAGAAGGGCGCCTCTTTTGGTTTCGCTTGCTGTCTTTCTTGCGTTTTGTACATAGAGATTGAAATATATGATTCCAGGTAACTCGGCAAGCAGCTGATAATGTTCCGTCTATGCACGATTCCTAAGATTTAGTTTCCACCTTGCTATAAATAACTTGTATTGATAGTTAATACCAAATCGGCAGCAATAGCGTGCTTTTTCTCCTTCTACGGTTGATATACTCAGCTCTTTTGGCTTAATGTAGAACCCAACCCAACTCTCCTGATACATATTCACCCCATATAACCGAGGTCGTCGAAGACTGTTGTATGGGAATTTAGTGTAACAGGCTACGTTTATTACAAATGTAAATATAGAAAGAGGTCTAAGACAACTATCAAGAAGGAGACGTATTGCACGTAGCTAGCTGTTTCCTAACTTTACTGTCACGGTTTTGCTCCAAAGTGATCTCATTGTTTCCCGCGGTGTGAAGGGCAATTGTAATCATGAGCTGCGAACGGAAAGAATCCAGAGAGCCTAGTTCTAAGCGAATCAATAGAACGAGACACATACTTGTTGGGGAGATACCACGGATCGCAATTACGAATTGATATTTTCTGAGTAACGTACCAAAGTTCCCATACCATGTGTTGTTCCACTGATTGAGAATCGCGTATATACCGCCAGGGCGAGTCCACCAACTATCAACACTACACAAATATATCCAGCAAGTGTAGGCAACTCGTGGGGCAAACTGAGCTATGTTACTCGACCCATCGTTCGTCTAGATGTCACGCCCGGCTGAATCCTGTGCCAGCGTTACAGCGCTTCGCTTCGCGTGCTGTAGGCCCATGGTATCTATTTGCTTCCTGTCCTTGGGGACAAACACAAATTAGAAAGCGAGATGCTAACGACCTAGAATACAGGCAGCCGTACAATTACGAGATAAAGTTTGTTGTTGGTCTGAATATGGCCATGTTGATATATCAATAGAGGGTTCAGACAAAAGATTTCATGTGGCTGGCTAGAGGATAGAGTCATTACGTTCAATTCATCGACTATACACAGACGATCAAGGAAAGCAGTCTCGCTATTATACAGAGGGCAGAGTGTTCAGAATGTTTATGTCTCTGAAGACGCCAGGAAGCATGATGATTCGCAATCGAGTACAAAAGTTCAGCTAGGTTGGAATGCAAGCTAACAGGCTTGTCACGCAGAAGGGACAGAAGGTAACACACCAAAACAAGAGAACATAAATGTGATAAGTGCAACATCGCGAATTTTGGCAAAAGATAAATGCTGTAACGGCGAATCGAACGCCGGTCTCAAGCTTGGAAGGCTAGAATGATAACCACTACACTATTACAGCCTACTATGTTTTCCATCATGCTCTTGCTGATGAAGCCATTTGAATAAATTGATTATATTCATAACAGAATTAGTTGAAGAAGAAAGTCTAGAGGAGGGCAGTTTAGACGCAAGGCACAGATAGATGTACAACTCCAAATCCGATCTCCACACTTAACACCAAGTGATCATGTAATACCTAGAACATACGGTTTCCAAGCGCGCGGTGATTTCCGATGGGGACATAAGACGATAGCTACTTGAGCTAAGTACCTACTACCTGTTCAGAATTTCGCCGTTCAATCAATTAATCAAGACAACCATCCAATACGACGCACCCGCCACGTCACCTTCAACAAGCGAGGCAATTATTGCCGTGATACATACCTAACAATCTGTAGATACGGCCTTGGTCAGCACTAGCCCGCAGCCTGTAACACTGTGATCAATCTAAAAAAGGCGAGGTTAGGTGGTATTCTTGGCTGAGGGGGGCGATGTGTTTCTCGATAATAAGGTATCGGATATGACTGTCTCAAAACTAGTGTACCTAACCTCGGTACCTACTTGCCTAGATCTGCCGCTCGTGGCGAGGGGATGCTAATTGCGCATTTTACTACCTAGATCAGCACCCTAGGTTGATAAGTTGGGCCGTTGACTAACACTACTGAACTGCGCGTTGCAAGAATTCCTAGGACATTCTCACATTCAACAAGCGGCGACGCGACCTCTCGTACAATAGTTATGAGTTAATGTATAGAATGTGATAGTATTGCTGCTGATGTCAAGCTCCTTATCGTACATAGTTCTCGTCCATGTTTGGCATTAGAGCTCCTATCTGCCTTGATTTGGAGTGCCACCGCCTTATATTTATTCGTGGAATCGCGGGCCACGATATCAAATAAGCACCAGGTTGTTAATATTACGCTACCAACAAGGTTTCCGTAGTCCTGCCAGCTAGGTATCAAAGCCCTTGTCTGTATGCATGTTCCAGGGTGAAGTCTAGTATACTAGGACTTGGCAACTAGACAATTACGTCCCAATCCCATCTTTGCTGTACTTTCCATGTCTATCCTAGACTCGGGTTCAAGTCGGCTTTCAAAGTCCATTCGTATCACAGACATACTACGTAGTAATCAATGACTTATTTGTGTAATAGTCGTAGTTAACTGGGCTGATATTAACAGGTATTTCCTGTTGGAGTAATTACATACATACATAGCCTTATCGATTCCTCAAAGATGTCCAGAATAGGCCCATGGCGGTAAGAAGGTAATTTCTTCATTTATTCGCAGCGAATACTTCATATCCGAAACCATCTGCGGTCCTGGCTACATAAAGACAAATAACCGTCTCCTCGAGTAAAGCAAAAAACTCCCCTTGTTCTAGAGAACCTAAAGAATATGTCACGGAATGACATAAGGAGTGCAGTACTATGCCACTACGCCACCAAAAGGTAACGACGAGTTATCAAGTCGAAGGCTTGACGTCTCTGCACTCACTATATAGTACTGTACTGTGACAGAATAGTCTGTGGCAATGACCCCTGTACCCGAGTTATGATCTTTCTCTAGAAGCTCTGATGGGCAACATGTTATAAGAACAGGCCGTTATCATCGTCGCCACAGAATACTGCCTTCGAATTTGCCACGTTATCTGCTGGGTAGTATTTCTCCATATCTAGCATATAAGCGATACTCTTGGCAAAGTATACGACCAAATACTCAAGCAAGTTACATATGGTAATTCAACTACCGTGAAGAAGAACATGACCACCAAGCGGTGATGGCGTAATCAAATCGAAACACAAGAGCCTATGCGCCTCCTCTTGAATTACCAAAGCTGCCAGGTAAACCCCGAGACTGGTTATGATCCACTGAGTAGTAAACAGATAATGTACATACCACTATCTCACATGCAAGAGTTACAAGCAATGGAGATTCACTACTCGATCTATCCATTATCTACAAAGTTGAACAAGTGCGCCTTGGAAAGTTGACCTCAAGAGAAACCGGAGTGGAACAAGCGATGACGATAGTAACCGCTCTCTTAAATTCGGCTGTAGATCGATGGCAATAAACATGAATACCATTTCCCACTGGGTTATTTACCACACGTCTCCGCGGAAATTGTATTCCCGCCAACATATCCCATCAAGACGCGGGGCATCAGCAATTCCCACCTGGTGAGCTCCTCGCAACTTGCTGAACAAAGCGACTAAGATAATTCATACAACCTCGAACGGTGCCTTCCTAGTTATGAAGGCGCATTACTAGACTATTACGGGAATAATGCCGGATTTGAAAACTTGAGCAAAGAAATTCTGGCTTATGGAAGTGTGGACTGTAGGTTAACACTGAAACTACTCGCATTGAAGAGTGGCACAAGAGCCACGATATACTATAGGGTACTCTTTACATGAGGTCGGAATACGTATCTAAATCATCAATAGATGCCTTCGTGGGGAGATAAAACATCCTACCTTCTAAGGTATCTAGATATGATGTAGAAAACTCCAAACACGAAACGCGCGGCACTCTATGGACTCAAGAGATACTAGCTAGAATCAAGAGGGGAGCGGGGATATCTCTATGAGCTCCATGAACTAAGAGAACCCTTGCTATGCTTATTTGATGATTAATTATCCCTATAAGAAACTGAAATACTTCGTCGTCAACCACGAAATTAGCGCAGGCAAATGAGTTACAAGGATCTAGTTGACATCAATGATATATATATGCAATTAGGTTTTATGCTATCTACTTTGTTTTAAAAACTGCAACCCTTAAGGACTAGGTGACGCGACCATTGAAAAGCGAGATCACGCACAGCTATATATGAATAGGGATCGCTCGACAGCCAATTCAGTCAGAGCTTGCAGTCAGTTTGGCCAACAAAACTTTTCCTTATTTGGATCATACCACACACACGTGGGACTGACTCGTGATCAAATCGAGAACCACAAGCCAGCCCTGAGTAAGGCGTCCGTTCATCTCGGAAATAATTCCACACACGTTCACATGCTTCTCACGACTCGCACTACTGCCTTCCCACACATTCTTGGTGGTAACCACCCATTGTTCATAACAGCTCGTCATCGATCAGAATATACCCGCTAGAACCAAGTGACTCATTAGAACTAAGTATGCTGGGACTTGCTGACCTAACCAATAATAATGCGGTTGTAATGGGATAATGCTAAATCCCTAGAATGCTTTAGTAAAACATCCTCGGTCAATGGTAGATGCAGAATTCTGTCATAACCCAACTGAAGCAAGTTAGCGAAATATCCCGAGATTTCTAAAGAATGCGTTGTCTTACCTCTCCAGTTTTAGCCATATTAACAACTATCCGGGCGACTTCGGCGGCCATTTCTGTGAGAGCCGCATATTCTATTATGCCGGCCTCCGGGGTGTTGCCGTGCATTGCGGGCAAACCCTCAAGCAGGCTGTTGACCAGTAATTCTGAAGGTTCTTCGCCACGACGGTGGCAGCCTATTAGCTGGAGGAAGGCCATGTAGATTGCGCCCCCTACATTCCAATTGAGGACATACGATTGGCGGCCCTCAAATTGCTGAAGGACATCGGCTAACCCATCATAATTCCGTTCAATAATAGTTTTCGGAGCGACCTCTTTGACGAACGTCTGGTGAGCTTCAGCCCAGGATTCAGCACGAAGCAAGCATCTGACTTCAGCTACAGCGTCCTTTTTGGCACTTCGCATGTATAGAGCTTTGGCATGCCAGATCCATCTTGTCGGAACTTTGTAATCAATCACAAGTTTCCGGAATGCGGCTGAATCGTCGTTCCCGATCAATGCAGCATGTCGGCATAGGTGATCCTGGACAGCCCTGGCACGCGCATTTGCATCAGTGAGGTGCAGCAAGACAAAAAGAGCTTCAAGCCAGCTACCCTCGTTTGTTAACTGCGCTGCAAAAGAGATGGTAGCCGCGTCTGCCTTATCAGCAGCATTTTTGCCGAACGATAAACGACCAGTAGATGTGAGGGCTTGTCCTAGTTGCCAGCAAAGACGGTAATCGAGTGGCGACAGCTGCGAGTTCTCTGGCCGAAGAATAGCCTCAAGATCAGCCTGACTATCTGAATAGAGCTTTAAGAGGCCCCAGAGAAGGTCCTCTCTGTCGTTTTGATGGGTATCATCCCAGATGGGTGAGATGCCATGCTGGGCAAACCATACGATAGGACGTAACTCCTTATCTTGCTCAACATCTTCTCTGTATTTTTCGAAAGCCTCGGCGATGCTGCTATTGGTAGAGATTGCATACCAGAGTCTCAGCCCGAATGCTTGTTGCCAGTTCAGGCCAAATCTTCTCGATATCAAGAATGGCTCTGCACGGTCTTCTAGTGCTCCTTTGGTCCCTTCACATGCGCATACGTTGCCACTGAGCATCTCATACAGAGCTCGTATGGGCTGCGAGAACTCAGACAACACATTAGCATCGTGCCACTCTCGGAGTTGTTCTCGTAAATCTTTCTTCAGCTCATCGCTTGTTCCGATCAGGGAGACTAATGTAGCGAGACGAAAGTTCTTCCCTTCTAGGAGATGCTTACACGCCTCAGCTACACGATGGCCCGACAGAGCCGCCAAGGCCTTCTCCTCATGAGAGTGTGCCATGGCAACTGCTTTGTTAGTGCGGTCGTCTACCATGGATTCCCATAGTCGGGTGAGACTCTCACGACGAAGCTTCTCAATCGCATCATGATCACCCTGCAATTCCAAGGGGATCTTGACGTTATCGAATAGAACACTAGCAAGTTCCCAAACAAGTCGCTCATGGTCCTCAGCTGAGCTTTTGGATCCACTAACAACAGCGAAGTCCTTGAGGCTCAACCTAGGGTTCAGCTCTACGGCGGGAATACCATCGACGATGTGGACCTGTGCTAGCTTCGAATGGGCATTTATGGCCTTCGCAGACATCTAGGTAGCACCAAGTTAGCAGCTTTACAACATCTTTTCATAGTAATTGTTGGACCTACTTCGTTAGCGAATTTGGCGATACGGATATCCTGAGTTTCCGACACAATGCCTCCTTTCATGACAGTCATCAACCCGTTTTTCTCGGTTATGCGACCAGAACGGCCAAACGTGGCAGCGCTTGGCGCGGTAGAGAAAATGAGGGTACCACCAGGTCCCCAGGTAGGTCGCATTGTATTATGCCAAGTTCTGTCTGCAGGATTCATGTCATTTTCATCTATATGTTTCGTCAAACGTTTGTATGGCCACTACTCAGAAAAATTAGTTAGATATGCACATCCATATGCTGATAGCGCTTTTTGGTCAGGGGAGATAAGAACGAACCTTGACACCTTCCGGCCGAATTGAGGCCTGAAGATTCTCAGCAGGAGCTTTGGCTTTTTCAAACAGTGAATTCATAAGATCAATGCTGGTTGCAAACCCTTTACTGTCTGATACGACCCTTTTCTTTGTGGGCGACGCCCTCCTATTGTCGTCTATGTCTGAACGATACTTGTCCGCTTCATAGATGCTTCTGAGCAATGCCCGATCGCGTTTTTGGGGGCTTATAGATTTGCTGAGCATATCCATCCAGTCGTCACCAGCTGCTACCTGAACTCTTTGTGGCGTTGCCGAAATCTTGATTGCACGCATCCTTGCCCTCATGATACCAGCAGGGGTTTCAGGAGTAAGATCTGACTGGCTGCCTTCAAACGAGTCTCCGTCTTGCTCCGCGGCGAGATGGTGTCCAAGGTGATCACTCGCATTATCATTTACCTCAGACATCGCATATTCATTGTCCGTCATAGCTTGATCCAAAGGAACAAGCCCATGGTACGCAGAACCCGCGGAGCGACTAGCTAAAAAAGACGGCTTGGAAGCGTTAACCTCCGCCATCTCCGATCCGTCACTTTCATAATCGTATTCCTTTGGCTCAAAGGCGCCCGGAGGATGATGAGATCTTGTCGATCGGTTGAAACTGCTGTCAGGGCCAGATCCTACAGATGAGGCTAGTTCAGCTCCGTCCACAACGGCAGTCGACGCTTCAGGTGCAGCATCCTCCTCATCTTCATCTTCGCTGTCATCCAAACCGTATGTTGTAAAGTGTTCGACAGAGAAAGCCCACTCGCCCGAGTCAGGATTGTATTTCTCAAATTTGGTATCGGGAATCCTTTGGAGCCGTTGGACATGTTTAGAGACGGAGGTAGGCTTGCCAGTCCTTGAAGCGCGCGGATAGGCATTTTCTAGATTGATGAGAGCAGGTACGTTCAAACCTTTACCAACTGGAGGTTTGGTGCCAGGGTTGGGGTACACTGTCGCAGAGCGAGGCGCCAAGACGACAATATTATCATATATAGCGTCTAGATCTATGGAGGATAGATCTACTGGAACTTTGAATCTGACGTAACCAATGCTCTCACGCCCGACAGTGAAATCTGCGACCTTCTGGCGTTGGACGCGATTCATACTCTGAATCTCTTCTTTGGCTGGAGACATCCAGTAGCTGCCTGGCTCGCCGTCACGAGTGGCATTTGAGTTACGAAGTGGAGGTGAAGCAGCTTGATCTTCATGTACGATCGCAAGTTCATTACCCTTGACTTGCACCATCTCAGGGGTCGAAGAAGTAGCGTTGGATTTATTCTCATCCACGCCGTTTATAGCCCGGGGCCTGACATATCCAAGCTGCTCCGCGCTTGGAGTTGTTTTTGGTGAACCATTTGTGATGCTTGCCTCACCATTTGTCTGTACGTTACTTGTGTCAAAGCTGACTCGCTTCTGCAATTTACGAGCAGTGTTTGGAGTTTCCGGAGTTGGTTTGTCTTTTGTGGGGGTAGAAAATAGGTCGCTGCGAAGGTCCCTGTTAATAACAAGTTTCTTCACGCTTCCACTGTGATATGGCTTTGGCCCTGTACTAGCCGAAAACGCCCCAGGCACCAAGACGCTGTCCTCGATATTGAAGCTGCGCCTTAAATTACTGGTTGAAACACTTTTGCCCAGGTTGCGGGATAGGCTTCCACCTAATAGGCTCTGCGATAATGCGCCAGGCGTGCTGGCTACGCTTGATGGAGTGTTCGGTGAACCATACGTACTGTACGAGAATCCGAAACCACGTTTCTGAGGTGTAACAAGCCGGGGAGTTGCAGACTGGGGACCAAGCCGGTAATAAGGTAAGATTGACGGTCGCTTAGATTGTCTCTTATTTGTTGGTGTAGCCAGTGGCCCAGGGTTCACAGACTCGTTACTGCCGAAGTTGGCGAATAGAGAGCCGTATGCGTTAGGATCAGTGATGCTTGCTGTCAACGACGGTGCATTCGACTGGACTCCCTGGGAATTTCCAAACATGGAGCCTCCCATCGTACTGTTTTGAGGTTGCTGTGCAGTGGACCCACCAAATAGAGATCCTTGTTGCGTGTTCTGACCACCCAAGAAGCTGCCCCCAGCGGACTGTGGAGCTGTACCGAACAGTCCTCCTGGTTTCTGTTGACTCTGGTTGAGAGACCCAAACAACCCACCGCTCTGTTGCGGTTGCTGTTGCTGATTTTGGTTATTTTGTCCCAAGCTACCGAAAAGTCCACCCGCCGCGTTAGTGTTTTGTGTGGCCCCAGCATTACCAAAAAGTCCGCCGGTGGACCCTGCAGGCTTATTATTGCCGAAAAGGCCACCGCCTCCAGCTTGTGTATTGCTCGGCTGACCAAATGCGTTTGTGGTGTTGGTGCTATTACCAAATAGTCCGCCTCCAGTGTTGGTGGGAGCGCTGGTACTGCCAAATAGGCCTGTACCTGCTGGTTTCTGTTGACTGTTGCCGAACAGCCCTCCAGACTGCTGTTGCTGGTTCTGCGCGCCGAAACCACTAGTACCACCAAACGCGTTCGTGGTCTGTTGGTTGGCGTTCCCGAATAAGCCTCCGCCAGTGCTGTTATTTGTCGCGGTGTTACTGTTGTTGCCGAAGAGACCACCACTTGTATTGGTATTTGTACCGCCGAAAGCGTTGGCACTGCTGCCGAAACCACCAGTGTTCGTGTTAGCATTTCCGAAACTAAAGCCTGGCTTATTCTGGTTATTATTCCCAAATATCCCACTGCCGGTAGTGTTATTGGCGGTACCAAATGCACTTGTGCCTGTGCCGGTATTAGTACCAAACCCGCCTGTTCCAGATGTTCCGAAAAGACCGCCAGATTGAGCTGGCTGTGATGTCGTCGTGGAGCTGCCAAATAGACCACCAGTAGTGGCAGGCTTGTTTCCAAATAGCCCACCACCGCCGGTATTAGAGCCGAAGGCGCTCGTCCCGGTGTTGGTTGAGCCGAATGTTCCACCTGACGAGGCATTGTTGCCGAAGAGGCTACCCCCAGTTGTGTTCGTGGTCGAGTTACCAAAAGCAGAGTTGGTAGGCTGGTTAGTAGCACCGAAACTACCACCACCAAATCCAGTTCCGACCCCAAAAGTGCTGCTTCCCGAGGCACCGCCGTAACGACGGCCGGCAGCATAGTCTGCGAGTCGTAGCTCTTCTGCCGACCATTTCTTGTAGGCGTCTTGGAATAAAATGTTCTGGAACGAATTCTGAGCCGAGGTATTTGCGCCTTCTTTTTCTACCAAAGGTTGAAAAGTTGTCACATTGGCGGTGCCTGGCGGATCGCCCATATTTCCCAGGGCAGGACTCGCGGCATTGTTGGTTGTGTTGCCGAAACTTCCAAATGTGGAGGCTGTACTCGTGTTGTTGCTACCAAAAAGACCACCCGAATTGTTGGCTGTTGCAGCTCCAAAGGCAGGCTTGTTGGCGGTATTGCCGCCAAAGAGTGATGATCCCGTCCCTCCTCCGAAGGGACTCGATGTTGACGCATTATTCGTGTTGGACGCGCCGAAGCCACCGAAGCCACCTGATGTTGCTGTGGTAGAGCCCCCGAATAAGCCGCCACCTGCGGATGTGGTAGTTCCAAAGCCGCCCGGTTTGGCACCGAATGCGCCTGTGTTTCCGGTCGACCCAAATGCGCCTGAACATTAACGTTAGCGAGCTTTTCATGTCGAGAGGAAAATGCAAGATGGGAAATGAGGGGATGACAGGAAAAAAAAAACGTACTGGTAGTGCCACTGCCAAAGCTTGTAGTGCCTCCAGAACCGAAGAGACCACTACCACCAGTACTAGGGTTGCTAGTACCAAAGCCGCCAGTAGTGTTTCCGGTGTTGGTGCCAAATGCTGTAGGGGAGACGCCTTAGTCGAGGGGAAACCGGGAAAACAGCAGGGTTGAGACGAAGAGAGGACATACCTGATCCCGTGGTGTTGTTCGAGTTGCCAAAGCCACCGAATCCACCAGAAGCGGTGTTATTGTTGGTGCCGAAGCCGCCACTGCCGCCAAACCCACCGCCAAACGCAGACATGGTGCCTGGTATTGGCCAGTAAAGGGCACGCGTTGAGGGGAGTAGTTGTCAGTTGGCGCGTCTGACGCGTGAGGGTAGTTGAAGTGGATGAAACCGATCAGGTCGAGGGAGACATGGAAGGAAACGTCCGACGTCGATATCTGTGAACGAGTCGAAGACGAATGCTCGAAAATAGGAGCGTTAAGGGCGGCGGGCGGTTCGAGGTTGCCACGCGGTAACGCAGTTAGAGGGATGCAGTGGTCGAAAGTTTTTTTTTCTTCGGCCGAGTTGCGATGCCCGAGCCCAGACGTAGTATACTATGTATATGCGTTGCGCGGAGAGGAAAAAAGTGAAACTGATTATACTGAATGAAGGATGGAAAGAAGTGAATGCCAATGGGAAAGGGAATTACAAGAAGAAGGATTGTACGATTGCTGTGAGCCCGGGAGAGAGAGGGCGGGTGGTGGTGGTGGTGGTGGTGATGGTGATGATTATAGCAGCAGCAACGGCAGCTAAGAACCTGCTAGGCCAAGGTCAAGGAGTAGGTAGGTCAGTAGGTAGGTAGGGAGGTTGTAAGCTGGCAGGTAGCTTGTGGAAGGAGGTAAGTACTGTAGATTGTTTGCGAATTCCCGCGACGGGACTAGCAGAAAATAGAGGATAGTGGTAGGCAGGCTGGGCTGGCAGTAGACAAGGGAACAGAACAATGAAAGGCAAGTCAAGACAAGACTGTCGGTACCCGCTACTTAGGTAGGTATCCAGGTACTAGGCTCTAGAGACAGCAGGCACTGTATGTGAGTACATAGATGCACTCTGTAAGTGATGGATGCGCTTGGGTGAGTGGCGGGGACCAATGGCTCATGTAGGTACTATGGATGTACCGATTGCATGCGAGTCTACGCGCACTGTGGGCAGGTGCTGTACTATGTAAGCACCGCGATTGCGTGGGATTGGATTGGTGCGCAAATCTACCCAGTGGTCCAACCTGGAAGCCCGAAGCTTCAAGCTCTCCACTACGAGGGAAGTACGGTAGGTATCTAGTACGTAGGTACGAACACACACACACACATAAACACACGCGAGAGAGTGTCACTCGATTCTTGCCAGGCTGCTGCCAGCTGTGGAGTAATAGCACTACCTAGATCATAAATACACTCCAGTCACAAGAATCCCGAGGACAGCAAGTACATAGACAACCTATCTAGATACCTAGACAATTGTCAAGATGGTTAGTTGATAAGATTCATGATTAGGAATGATATAAGGATAAAAGGAAGTGCATCGTACCTAGACAAAGATTGAAGGTAGACAGACTCTGATTTCTGATGAGATAAAGGGAAAAAGGTGGCTGGATGTGAGAGGTGGTGGACTTATCTTTTATACCTACATACTACGTATCTTAGCATCTGCGCTGCGTCCTGCCGTGGTTGATTGTTCTCGATTGTTAAGCAAGGCAGACTGCTCGATTGCTGCCTAACACGATCAACCAATCATTCGCCTGGTGTAACAACACCTACGCTCCCTCGACAGGAATTCCCGACAATTAGAATCTTCAAGCTGCCACTGACATTTTATACCTACGTTCCTAAGATCCTTAGCAGTCGAGGGCAGTTAAGCTAGGTACCTACTTAGGTATACACTGTTGTAGGTGGTTGAGTAAGTACGTGGGGTGTTCAAGGATAAGTAGGAACCGTTCACCCGAAGTCTTCCACCTCATATAAAAGTACCTAGCGAGGTGAGCTGCATACTTACTTACCTACCAGGTACATGTGTAGGTGAACATATACCCAATAGGTATCGGTTCTTTTCAATACCATGAGATCGATTCAAGGCTGCATAGCTGGGAAAGCGAGAGTGTACATGCAGATATATCATAAATTTCATATCTAAAGTACTGGTACTGTGTACTTACTGTACTTCGTACGTTGTGAGCATAGGTATCACTGTAAAGGCCAGTCATTCCATTGAGTGTCCCTTGGCGTTCAAGAAACATAAAAATAAAAATAAAAAAAATTAGAGAAAAAAAAAAACGCGCCCAAGACCTGCACCGACACTTTCCACCTCGACGCGCTCTGGTCGCGGTGGGCCAGACCCTACCCAAGTAGGTAAGCAAGCTAGATAGAGCTTCAGCTCCCCGGCCCCAGCCACTTCGTTCCTGGCTGAACACTCCCATCCCATGCGCCTATTCCCTATTCGCGAAAACACGCGTGAGGAACCAGCGGTCGGATGCTTTCTCACGATACCACAATATTGCAGCACGTACCTACATCATTGCTTTGAACAACCTATTCTGGTTTGAACATACTTCAAACAATTCCACCCGCGCCAGTCGCAAACCGCTATGGACATTGCTTCATTGCACTTTGGAACAACATCACCCTACGACGATACCCAGCCAGCTCACTGTTAATTGATCGCCTGCTTGCGCATTCCTAGCCAGCTATTTACAGCCGCTAAAGCTTTGAAGGCCGACTTCAGCGCGTCTATCTTGTGTTTCGATATAACTCGCTCTGTCTTCACCCTACCATCGATAAACGACCCTGTGCCCGAGACTTACTACCTCAACCCATTGGAAAAGGGCAAATTTCCAAATCTGTCTGCATAACTGTACCAAGCTTCGTTGTGGAAATTGTTTTAATAAAAGACTTGGCTCCACGGAGTCCTAAGCGCAGAGCTTTCAAAACATGATGGCATCGGGGATGAACAACTACGCGGGAGCGAGCATGAATGAGTACGCCGGCATGCACGGTGCATCGATACGCGCGGGACCATCGCGGTCAACGACGCGCTTCTCCGGCGCAGTGCGGAATCCAGAACACGCGGACCTGTGGGATCAGATAAGCGACGAACACCGAAGCGAGATCAACGATTGCGTAAGTGGCTACCGCCTGCATGAGGCTTGCATGATTATGTGCCGCGAGAACGAGGAGCACAAAGAGCTAACTAATCTCGAAATCCGTACAGTTCCATCTATTCGATATGAACAAAGACGACCAACTTGATTTCTCAGAATTTCGTTACGCGCTACAAGCGCTTGGCTTCAGCAACTTGTCGCGTCCAGATCTAATCACAGCCTTCAAGTCAGCAGCCCAACCCAAACCCGATTGGAAGCCATTGCCATTCATACCCGGCCAGCCACAACCATCCACCACGCCCACCGTCGTCGACCTGAGGTTATCGCGCGAAGGGTTCCAGAGCATAGCCGCCAAGTATATCGCGCAGCGGGATCCGCGCGAGGAGCTGCTCAAGACGTTCGTGTTGTTCGACAAGGGCACCAAAGGCATGATCACCGTGGACGACTTACGCACCGTCGTGAAAGAATTAAATGAAGATGTGCCGGAGAATGAAATTCACAGCATGATCGAGCAATTCGACATTGATGGTAAAGGCGGCGTAAGTCGCGAGGAATTTGTTGGCATCTTTCTCGACAGGTGACCCGAAATAGCCTTTGCAAGGAAAAAAAATAAAATAAAATAAAATGAATAGGCAGTAAAGGCAAACACTTCTCGACATGAGGGTCTGCCAGATCCTCTATCGACTATCATATCTCCATCGACCAAGCGGCAGGCCGAGAAAGAGAAAATAATGAGAGGCATGAGAGAAAAGACAAGGCTACCGACGCCCATAAATGCCAGCTCAACAAGTCCTCGCGAACAGCATCATTCTGCCGAGACAGCCGCGCCGCGTCAAGGCCGCCACGCCCCTAGAGCGCGAGCCCCGCAGACGCGTCCCCGAGATGAGAAAGGCCCACCCTTCGGCCCAAAGAGCATCAATATCCATTTCTACCGAGCGGTGCTCAAAGTAGGAAGCGACTCAAAAAAGGGCCCAAGTGAGAACAACAGGGCAAACCATCAGAGAGAGACGACGACAATGAATGACTGACGAAAGATTCTGAAACGTTGTATATACACAGCCTCCCCTTTTTGCGTAGACTAATACCATAATCCAAAGTAGGCAGCTTAGAATAAAGGCTTCCCATCATGTTCTAAAATAAAAAACAACCGCAATCTTCTCATCCTTGCGCGTCTCAGCAGCCACTTATATACCGTAGAGAGTTTATATCTATCCGGCTAAACCACACAAGAGACCAGCATATAAACAACCCCGAAGCCTTCGACAAATAACACCATCGAGCATACGCAACGATGTAAGCAGACAATTTTGTGCCGCCTAAGTGATACATTCGCCCTCTTAGACTTTCTTTCCACTTAAAAATTTTTCTACAAAGTAAAACCCATTCGGGTGACAAAGGCGATCCCCGCAGACTGGACGTAGTTGTAGATTGGTATCCTACTGCCTGCCCTAGTGTACAACTCCCCAACCGTTGTCCGTACATAACACGGTTTCTCACTTTTCGCCCCTTATTGTCCTTCGTGGTATACGAATAACCCTCCAACACGCCCGAGAGTATCAACTCAAAACAAGGTGCAATAACGGCTCACCTGAGGATAGGCTTCCTCCTGACGAATCCGCCGTTCAGATAGACGCAGAAACACTAGGATCAATGGAGATGCAGAAAGCGATCTCGACTCATTGCTTCAATAAAGGCGTAGCAGGGTACTACCCATCTAGAACAGCGAGCGGCACCCAGCGCCCAATTCCAATGGACCGATAGGTCTAAAATTGTATCAGATCTTGTCCCTGTTGGTTGTTTTGCTGCTGTGGGCGGGCCGCGAAGGGGTTGTTCCCACCACCATAGCCGTTCGTACCCATCATGGCAGGGCCAGTAGCGGCTGGCATTTGTTGCTGATTATATGATACTTGGGGCATACCGGTGAATTGTGTCCTTAAGAAAGGGTTGTTACCGGTGGCCTCGGCGGTAAGTCTCTGCGCACCAGCTCCAGCTGAATTCACAAAAGTGCCAGGCGCGGTGTGCTGAGCTGGGATTCGCAGATCGCCTGTATTTCCGAAACTGTCCATTCCGTCACCGCTAGCCAGAAGTGCATTGAGCCTTTGTTCATGTTCGTTCATAGGCCTATGAGGTTGCTGCTGCTGTGGTGAAGGAGACTGGAATGTAGGCTGCGGGGGTGGTGTATATGTCTGCAATGTTTTCTGTTCAGGAAGGCTCTGGAGAGTATTGAGAGTTGGTATGGATGGAGCTTTAGCAGTACTTGGCCGCCCAAAGCCGGAGGCGAATGGGTTGTTTGAACCGGTCGGCGTTGCTTGCAAAGGTGACTGTACGCCGAGGTGAGTGTTGTTGCTTGCCCAAGGGTTATTGCTTCCCGGTTGCGCAGTTGGTTCGGGAGACGAAGTCTGATTTGATTGGAACGATTGTTGCGTTTGCGCATAGGGGTTGTATCCTGTCGGTTGCATCGAAAAGGCTGGCTGTTGATTTTGTTGGGTTTGCTGATTATAGGGATCATACATGCCGGTCGGTTGTTGTCCAAAACCATTCGAGTAAGTATTATTGTTAGGGTATCCGGTGTAAGTGTTGCTCACGAAGCCTGTCTGCTGTGGGTGCATATATTGACTTTGATCAATCGGGTTTCCTAGCCAATCGACATTGTTACCCTGCTGGTAGCCCATGTTCATGCCAGTGGGCTGAGGTTGACTGCTTGGGGCAGGGTCGCCAAGGTCAAAAAGCGAGGAGGCGTTGCTTTCTTCCAACTCTCGCCTGCGACTTTCTTCTAGATCACGTTTTCGACGTTCATCCTCCTCTCTGCTAAGCTTGATCGCTTTTGCGAGATCATCGTCATCATCGCCAGCCCCGGAGTGGCGACCTTCACGCCTTTTCCTATCTTCCTCTTCTTGGTACTTGCTCGCTTCAATTGCTAGTCTGTACTCGGCATCCTCCTCCTCGTTGAATTGCCGGGGAGGACGTTGCTGTCGCTGACTACCCCCAGGGACAGTAGCTGGGGCGAATTCCTCGATGCCAGTGACGCGAGACTTCCAGGTTTTTCTATCGCTTCTCTCGGCACGCAGTCTTTCTTCGTCAAGGATCAAGGCCGTGAGCTCCTTTGCCGCCACGCGAACTGCTTTCATTAGTATGCAATGCACTGTAGTTGCAGTCAAAGGACAAAAAAAAAAAAAGACGCACCATTCTGGCCAACGTCTCGGCCCTCTTCATCGACGTAAACGAACTCGCGGAGTGTTTTGATGATGTAGATGTTTTTCCGTGCCCATGTCACGACCAGCTCGGAGCCTTCATGTAAACAGTAATCGAGAACTTTCAGGGCCTTCAGCACATGCCTCCAATTCTTTCCCTTGTCGTTTAGTCGCTTGTCGAGCATATCTACTATATCGTAGAACTCAGTCGATCTGTGAAATTGTCAGACCAATGGCATTGGCCACTGGATGTATTTTCTGATGGTTACATACGAATTGTAGGTCATCTGAGCGATCTCGCTCATCTGAGTGCCGGTCGGGCCCCATGGGTCATTACTTGTTGCTGAACGCGATGCACCATTAGCACACATGACTTCAATTCCGACAAGTGACCGCAAGGCGGCGCGGGTAGACGAACCTTCGCGAACCTTCACCTGGACACTGGAATACCCTTTGGTGACATTTTTCACGCTTCTCATTACCTTCGACATCTTGCCGGCGTTGTCTGCGGAAGACGGCGGGAGGGCGGGCTAGGCAGTGAGCTCGTAGTTGCAGCTCGCACCTCGTGGGGCGTCTGCACTCGGTCAAGGTGTTGATGTTATCGTCGGTGAGCCTCTGGACTGGCGCGATGGATGCGCAATCGGCAACAGTGGATTAGATGTGTGGTTGGGGAGGGTATCGGGCGCAGTGGTGATCAGGCGACGGTTGAACTGGGTTGAATAGGATCGGGATAGAGCTCTATAAGCGAAGACGTAGTCGAGTTTATCGAGGTGCCTGGCTAGGAAACAACGCGAACCGCCGGAGCCGGCAGCAATAGAGGGAAATGTGGGATTAATTGTAGGGACGAGTCGTATTTACGGAGTTGGGATAATGAACGAAGAGATGAATCGAATGAATGATGGCGATGAGGTTGGGAGGGGAGACAGCCGAGCGCCAAGCCATCTGGCAGTAGGGAGTCGACGCAGCAGTTCCAGCAGCCCCTAAGAGCAACAACGTAATGCTCGTCTTGGCGCTGGGTTCTAGCGGGAAATTTGGAATGGCGTGGCCTACTGTTTGTCGCTAGGTCTGCAGCAAGGTGGAGGAGGTACAGGTACCTACAGGTATAGATACAGGTACCTACTTATGTGTGAACCTTGTGTAGGCAGTACTTACGCACCTACGTACATGTATAATAAGGAGGTATCTGATCTGATACACATATATGTAAGTATATAAGAGGTATGTAAGTATGTACATGTGGTAAATGTATGTGCCTGTAGCTTGGTTGGAACTGAGTACGTCAGTCGGTAGCTTAGCTGGAGAAATGCGTAATACGAAGTGCGTCATGTACCAGACAGGTAGTAGGTATTAGGTAGGTACCTGGTATATCATGGCATACCTAAACCGGCCCTTACGAAGTACAGTGAACTCAACCAGTGGGCCTTACGCCCATTCATATGGAAGGGAAAATGTATACTTCTGCAGAGGGTAGAGGCATAGAGTAGGTTAGGTAGGTGATTAAATTATACTCAGCAGCGTTACAGGACTGTAAATAGCTGCTGACTCCGATTTGTAGACGTAGGCGCCAGCAAGTTGTGAAGCCAAGGACAAAGGTTGACGCAAACTTGTCTTTTTGTTTGTTGGGAACAGTAACTGATAGTCCTCCTGCTATGTAATATTTCCTGATTAAGTCTTGTATCGCCTAACGCTTCAATATTCCACTATAAAAATGGTCATTATACAATAACTAATTATAACACTAGTAGTGTATATATGATTGCAGGAGAGTGCCATTAACACCAATTTGATAACGTTTAACCAGCACCCCTAATTATATTGATTTAGTGACAGCCAAATGCCGGAGGAACTAGACTAGTAGCCATACAAGTTTGGCTCTTGCAACTGGACTGTTAGAAACGAACCTGTTCAAGATAGCATCGACACGCTAGACACAGAATAATACCGTCTTCTTCAGATCTTTGAAAATAGGCGCGCCGCGGCCAGCCTGGTAAAACTAATTAGGTAGTCCGCTCACATGGCTATGTAGTAGGTGAACCAAGTGGCTTTGCCATCAACTGAATCAAAACGCGCTCTACCAACTGTATATTAATCTCTGAGCGCTGGTCAGCTACTCAGTGATGGAGCCGCCCGTCGTTGACTCCCACTTATGCTTTGCGCCGGACACGACGAGGGCTATCCTAACTAGCTTCATAGAAGTAACTCTCCCAAGAGATTTCTAACGATGAAGGGATGTACCGCATCCGCAGTGGGCAGCATGTCTACTACCTGACCATCTCCACCGATGTCTTCGATGAAGACAGGATGGCTCTTTTGTTATAACTGCTAACCACGATCCTTTGCAAGAGATTACATTCATCTGGCACGAGAAGCAGATTGGCGTGCTGTCCCTGCTGCGAATGAAACGCCTTAGATACGGCGTCTTTGAGACGCTCTATGAAGGTCGAGTAGCTATTGCCAAAACCGCCTGCTTTGAGTGGCAGATTCCGAGCCTCACCGGCGAGACCTGGGCATATTACGTCTTGATTGAAACTCAACGACCCAGTGATAACCCTCTCATTGCGCCGGAGTTTCTGGGCCACTTGACGGAGAATGGCCGCGTGATGTGCTTCCTCGTGGAGAATTGGAAAGCAGATTTGCGTGCTCAGATAACATAACGTAATACGCGGCTTTATTAAAAAAAGTTGCACGGATTAGGCGGCCTAGGACTTGTGCACGGAGATGTAAACCGGTATAACTTCATTGTTGAAGAATGTTGTCGTGGATGTGTTCGTCTGGTAGACTTGGAGTATGCATAAGATTATGAGGAGAGACTGGCGCATACAGAACTCGAGTCACTTCCCGCTGAGTTGGCCGAGGAGACGGGACACGGCTCTACCATTACTAGGCTGGTTATTCAGCCATGATGGCTAAATAACCATTGTTTCCAATTTGGACAGGAGAAAGCCTCTTCGGACGAAAGCGAAGACGAAACTCGGTAGAGAAACAACCAAGAGGAAATGGCATGCGATTTAGCAATTGCTTTGTTGATCATCGGGGCCATAACCACTGTTTTTCAGTTGAAGGAAAAAAAAAACTCACTGCGAATATACTGTATCTTACGCATCGTGACCTTTCTGGTCACGGTATATAGTAAATGCGTGACAGGTAAGGTGATAGAACTCAAGCTTAGACTGTGTAGCATAGCTGGTAGTGAACCTACCGCATGTCCGAGCAGGATGACTCGGTACGACTCAGTACTTGGAATATGGCAAGGTACGAATCTCATGACTCGGTAGCAGCACGACTCAAGTTACCTATCATATAGATAGATCTCATAGATTACGTAGTATATACCCACGTAGGCACGGTAGACCGCCTGCGCAGAATCTTCATGTAGGAACAATTCATGAAGTGCGTACGAAGAAATGCGGGTTACGTGATGCTAAACTGTCTCGGTGCCGCACAACGTGCTAAGGAACATTCTGTATTGATCTGTTTGCCACGAGAGCGAATGCCGGAACATTGAGCGCATTAGTCGCGCAAAGCCTTCAACGACGCGCAAGCCCAAGACACTAGATCCGACAAGGACCAACCTTAACGTCGAGGGCTACATCTAGTTTCCAATCTTGCCAAGGTGGAGAAAGCTTATGAAAACCGTCATGTTAGAGACCCCTACGTGCAGCATAATGGGTGTGTTACCTTAGATGCCATGTGGTCGTAGTGCCGGGTAAATTCTTCTCTAAGATTGCAGCTTTGCTTGGCGACCTACAGTACATTACACTCTCAGGTGCTGTAGCACCTACGTCGGCTGTCGAGTGGCTCCACGTAGACTGTCTTTGCATAGGTATCAAGAAAGATACTTCACGGACAATGACCGAGCAGAAGATGGTGTAGAAGGAGCACTGACCTGTTTCACATGTGATAGGGATCCCGTCCTCTTGCTTGTCCCCTTGTATGGCTTGAATGCGGATACAATGTAACATACGGTGCAGTTGGCATTTCTTTCCATAGGGGGCTAAATGAAAAAGTATTCATATCGCGAATAATATGTCTTGAATTGACGTAAACGATGATTTGCACATGATATCTGGCTTCCATGAAGGATCAATAATTCGAAACAGCGACCAAGCTAAGCAACATGATCCGAAAAGCGAACTGAAGCACCTATTATCCCTCTTTGGGAGTCCCATCCTTTGGCTCAACCTCCATCATATCTAGCCACTCCAGGGTGAATGCGGTTACAATGCGTGCCCAATCACGTACGGTAGGCAGGTCGAGATGCGCTCCGTCATCGTTAATTGTATGCCAGACAGACGGAAACGGTGTCGCGATTACATGCAATATGGGTACACCGCGGCGCATGAAGGGGATATGATCATCTTCAACCATCCCGCGGCTGAACTTCGAAACCACCTTCTCAGCATCAGGAAGAAATGGTCCCTTTGGGGTAGATTCGAGTAGATTGAGCTTCCGCATGCGCTGCTCGATGGCAGCCATAGCCTGATAGGCCCAGTGCGTTGGCAGGAATGAAGAGGATATCGTAGGATCGGCAGATCCAAGAAGGTCCAAGAGTACGAACATGCTAATTTGATCCAACGGGTTCTTGTAGAATGAGTTAGCTGGGTGGTAAGAGGATTCCCAATGTTCGGCAAGAGCTCTGTACAAATCGTTAGTGGATAGGCGTTGTCTGGTGTTATGAAATTGTTGAAGCATATTCAAGAGCAAGGAGATGATAATTGAAGGCACTATAGGCCATACCTGGCACCATAAAGCGAGTCGGTTTCTGTCCACTGCAAGAACGCTTCCTCTCCGTCAAGCAGCAGAATCTGAACACCCATGTCCATAGGCACAGTTCCTCCTTCACCAAGTGCATTCATCTCGTCATACATTTGCGTGACATAATGGTCGACGGTACGCGCTACATGCATGAGGATGGCACATGGTGCTGCGCTGTCTGTGGCTCCGATGAAGCCTTCAGGTGAGATTTTGCTGTCATAGTGAGCAACGAGTGTGAGGAGGTTACTCTGTCCCTCTTGGACCCAAGGGGGCTCGCGCTTAAATAGTAGATTCTGGAATGGGATGTCGCGGTCACCAGTAACAGGCGTCTTTCCCGTTGAATTGAACCACTCGATGCTCCAGCTGGGGAGTTCGGTGCGGAAAAAGTTGACAAAGTGCTCCTGTGCAGCGACCTGACCAGGCGTGCCGGGTACCCGCGGGATCAGTATCGGTGCTAGCAGCTTGCCATGATCAATGTCGAAGTCATCACCGCCCGATGGTACGAGCTTTAGAAAATGATCTGAGAGCGCTGTGTAGGCTAGAGCAGGCGATGCAAGGCATGAAAACAATGCAAGTAGATGCAAGAGCAGTGAAACGGGCGCTAGGACGGTGATTGCAAGCTCAGCTGCGGACTGGCGTGCCGCGACGGTTTGCGCTGGCCGCGGCCAGAAGAGCGTCATACTGCTCTTTTACGTCCTGTCACCTCAATTCAAGGGGGCTACTCATAGTGGTCTGGCGATCGAAAATTCCACAAGAAGAAACAGTCGAGCGCAATGGGCTACGACTGTAGTGCAGATGATTTAATGAATGGCAATAAATAAGAACCTTGGAAGGGTATCGTAGTATTGTTCCAGAGGACACAGAAGTGTTTACGAAGGTAGGTACCTTACCTAGGTAGGTAGGGTGTAGGTACCTAAGGGTTGACGGCGTCTGTCTGGTTTTAGTGCTATGCAAGGCTGAAACAGAGCCTACCTAGGTAGGAGCTTCTGTCAGAGCACCCAAGGCTCCAACTGTGGCAAGCCAGGGATAGACAACTGTATGCCCTCAATTCACCGTTCGCCGAGTAGATGACGTTTCCAATGGTGCAGACTTGACACAGACTCTACGTACGGACTAGCGCATATTGGAAGTATCTTGAAAATCAATATTAAATCAGCTATCAGTACAAGCGTTGTTCCGAAAGCAATGTGCAGTCGGATTTGCTCTAGGTATCACAGGCAGTCACCAGCGGCCCCCTAACGCCAAGGCTCCCGAGAGCAGACCAGAAGTTCCATGACCACCGCCTTCTAAGCCCCAATACGCCTCGTGCTGTCTTCGCCAGTACTGTACATGGTCTATAAATCAAGGCATAACATGAAGCACTTACTCTTCCTCACCTGGGGCATCTAGATCCTCGTACTCTTCGGCTTGGTCTATTATGATGTCTTCACCATCTGCTGAGTCCTCGTGATCCCCATTGACCTTGTCATCTTCTGCACTAGAGAAGCTTGACTGAATGGCGCTGTCATCATGTGCTTCACTGCCTCTGACTTCGAATCTGGCTGAAATAGTCTCAACTTGCTTGCCTTTCTGCACCGCTGTCTCGTTGATATGCACCTGAACTGTGTCGTGCATCTCGTTCTCTTCATCTAGATCTGTAACGGCCACAGACGACAGCGTAGGCTTCTGCTTTTCAAGCCAGGAAGGCGGCAGACCTGGGCCACTATCCGCATTGCCATAATCACTTTTCTTCGTTCCTTTGGGCCATCGTCCTGGGCCTCTCCCGGTGCCTCCAGATTTACGCTTGGTCGTACTAGACCTTTTCTGCCCTGACCTCCGCACACTACCACCCGTGGATCGCCGTGCACGAGGTCGAGGCCGTGGCTGCGCTGGTGTCCGAATTGTAGAAGTGCGCGGTAATGCTATAGGTCGTGTGATGCCAGACCCAGCGCGAGACATGCCTGGGCGTTTGTTGATTGGCGGGAAGACTTGGAATCGAGTGACTGGAATATTATCGTACTGTTGCTGCCAACTGTGTTCCTCATCAACGACACTGTGCGCGAAAGTTTGGATATCATCTTGCTCGGAGAGGTGGCGAGAATCGACATTCTCATTATTAACACCGTCACTCTTTATCCGTATTTGGGCCTCTGTAGTCATGATATCGCTGGGCTCTGTGGATTCGAGCACATCAGATGCTCCACTTGGTGGTCCTTTGTGAGCTATAGTGTCAGCTACTGCAAACTCATCTATGGCGACGACGCTGCTGGCGATGACCTCTGTGGGTTTTGTTTCCTCGTCTTCGTCACGGGGTGCAATGGTATTAAGCGCCGGTCCAAGCTCGAAATTGGTTGCATGCCCTCGGCCCATTATATAGGGTGTCCAGGTTAATGATCGGGGGTGGAGTCTGACGTAGTTCTTCGCTTCCCATTTCCTAGCCTCCTTGTGGCAGTAAGGCAAATCCACACGAAAAGCATAGGCATGAGTAATAGGATCTCTCACGAGGAAACGGAGTGCCTCAAGTGCGGAGACCACATCATCTGGTGTCATGCCCGTATCATCAGACATTTGTCTAATGCTGATGCCTCTCTTCTGTGTCTTGTCTTCAGGGACGTGCTCAATGAGGTACTTGCAAAGTACTAATCGCCAATAATTCCGATACGAAACAAGCCCCATATCTGACAATGGCTTTTCGGGAGAGCCACATTTCTCTTCAACTCGGGTGAGAAGGTAGGAGAAATCGATAAGTAAGTGACCGTACCCCTTTCGTTGGTGAATAGGTAGCGTTAATATACAACTAACGTTGTTTTGACTGCTGGCCCGTTTCTCTTTGGAAAAATATCCAACGAAATGATAGCCAAGATCATCATACTCGCATAAGACGTAAAATAGGAATGGCTCAACGTCGTAATAGAGCGTTTTGGAGCCTAGGAAAAGCTTGGCGAGTAGGCATAGATTTTGGCAATAGACCGGATTCTTTCGGCCGTCCACTTCGAAGAAAGAGATAGAGCCATGTCTGTAGATTTCATCGCCAGGGGGGTGCTTGGCGGGACATTTCAACTTATGTCGCCACGCAACATAGTCGGAATTCAGATACTTTAAGCAAAATTCACAGATATACAGTACGCGATTGCGGCTATATTCTTCGGGATAAGGTGCAGCATACCAGGTGTCGATCTCCCAGCCACCGAATTCGATGCACTCGATCTGGCTTACAGGCCCGGATGCCTTCTTTGATTTCTTTGCGGGCATTTCTGTTTCGGCTTGCATGGCAAGGAGACGGTTTCTCCATTCTTCTTCAGCTTTTTGCTTAGCCTCGTCAAATCGCCGTCTATCATCTTTAGTAGGTAGGGTTTTCGTCGTATCCGCTTGCTCCTCTGTTAGAATGCCGCCATATGGCTTTCCTTTAAGCTCATCCGTTTCTTTGTCATAGAATGAATAGAATGGCTGCGAAAAAGTAGAATTGAAAAAGGGTGTCACGATTGGGACCTCAGTAACTGGAGCAGCAACAGCATTGTTTCGAGATGTTGCTGTTCGCGATGATTGCGAGGTCGCTGTACGAGTGCCCGAACGTTTTTTGGATGATTTTGATTTCCGTGAGAGTATCTGACCAAGTTCGATGGCATTCACTCGCATCTTGAGGACGAGGCTCAAGCGTGTCTTTTTAATGATTGAACATGGTGAAGCTGGATTTGGAACTTTGAGCCTAAGTGAACGTGCCGGCCGTGGGCGAGTTGAAGTTTCTCCGTTATTGGTTGGTTCGTTCGCCACTTCGCCATAGGCAGATTCATCAGGTGTGTTTCTTCGCCGTTTCCGCAGAGACATGACATCCTCCTCCGCTTCTGCAGAAGATGTTTTTCTCTTACGTAGCACTCTAGAGCCATCCATCGGGTCTTCATCAAGTACTAATTGGTTGAACATTGAATGTGAGTCTGGCTTGTTTAACCCCCGTTGGGGAGGTAGCAGGTCACGAGCGATCTGAGGTGCTGATGCTCTTCTTGCAGACGAAGGAGAAATATCCCCTTCGTTTTCCTCATTATCGTCCATTGCTACGTCACCTTCGGTGTCAATATGCTCCTTGGCAGTGCCTACTTCGGTCTCGGACTCGGACTCAGAATCTTCGTGATTAGGAAGAGGGGGATCAATGGTGTCGAACTCTTCGTCTGATTCATCCTCATCCTCGTCGTTTTCAATGGCATCGTCAGAATCTGCTCCAGACTCCCTATCGCTGAATGCCGAATCAGAGCCATCGGATGGCTCGCTTTCGCTCTCTTCTTCGTCAGTTTCACCTGGCTTTATCTTCACAGCGCCAACTCCTTCGGCTTCGTCTTCCTCCTCCTCGTCCTCTCCGTCATCCTCGATTTGTTCCTCGTCTTCTACGCTAAGGTCCCCGTCGTCGCCTCCATACTTCTTTGGCTCGAAGTTGACCTCATCGTCTTCCTCATCTTCTTCACCTTCGGCATCAATATCAAACGCGCCATCTTCGTCATGCAGGTCTTCCTCACCACTCTCTGACTCGTCATCTTCATCATTGTTTGCATGTACTTCTTCCCGGCTTGTTTGGGGATCGAGGCCATCCTGTGTTGTCATGTTGGCATCGTCGTTTTCTTCTACGTCCCCTTCTTCCTCCTCGTTAGGGTCTTCCCGAGGCACTTTTGAAGAAGCATCTAAACCGGGATTCAGGGAGATACTGCCGTCTGTCATTGGAACGTCCTCAATAGCATCATCTTCTTCAAACTCGGCATCTTCTTCAGAGAGAACCACACTCTGCTGCAGTTCTTCCTCCATAAGTTGTGCATTTGCCATGGTCTTGATCTGCTAGTCTCTGCCAGATATGTAAAGTATTTTAAGGCGGTGGACTAGGGTTGTGCAGTAGTATGTTGAAGACTGCAAATAGGGCAGTCCCACTACCCTCCAAGAGCTTGCGCCGGCCGGCTTTGCGTCATCTACGATGACGGTCGCATGTCATATACAATCAATGCTGGAAGGTGATATAACGTATGGTAGCCTCGGTGCGTCAGGTATATGAGAGCAATCGGTGTGGTTTGTGGTACGAAGGCATCAGATTTCGTCGGTATGCGCATTGAACCATACACGTTCGCGTCTGAACCTAGAGTGAGACGCGACCATTCGGCGGATAAGCTGCAATTTCAAACCATAGGCAGATTGGTTGGCTTCGAGGCATAAATCGACGCGTAAGCTACGGGAAATGCTTGTTTGAAAATGCGTATCGTATTATCAAGGCAGGCTTCAAGAAGATGAACACAGATGGCTTGGCAACTTTCGAAGCGATTCGCGAGGCTCTGACATGTGTTGGGATGGGCAAGAGGTGGTCTGTTGCATCAGCAGGCTCTCCACAAACCTTGTACGTACCTAGCGTCCACTGTAGGCATAACCTAAGCCCAGATGTGGCTACCTAAAGCCGGAGAGTTAGCAGTTATACGAAGCTACCTAGGTAGGTACCGGTACGTACCTAACTATAGGCATTATTGTACCCCAACGGTACGCTGCAGTCAGTGAAGGTACCTGTTACCGAGGTGCCTGGGGCTTAGTGGGTCAGCGGAGAGCTTAGGCCACTTAGCGACGAGGACTTGGTAAAGTACCAAAGGTAGCCTCGCTTTGATTGGGTGTTCGCCGGTGTGCAGCGTTCATTCAATTGGCCTCACGCCTCACCAGAGTCCCTATTCAACGCTGCTCCTCAACACGGGCTGAACAACTGCGAGCTTTCCAATCCTATCGGGCCATTCGGCACACGGCCGCTTACCTAGCTCTGTTCTCATTGACGAACTGCTTCCAGCACGAGCCACTATCTATCGATCACAATGCCCGTTCCCTTCGAAGCACTGATTCCCTATGGAATTGTTCTTGCCGTGAGCCTCCGAACGCACTTGACACAGCGGCATGTCTGGTTTACTGAAATTATATAGATGTTTGGCGCGACGGGCGCAGGATTGTCGAAACTGAGGCACTGGCAGAACGGCCACAAGAGACCGCGCAGGTCCCTCGATCAATGGGATAGAGTAAGTTCTCCGGCATAAACATTCCAAACCAGATGCTAACGATTTCGCAGCAAAGTATGAACTTCGAACGATGCCTTCCTTCTCCACAGCTAGACTAAGCTCATCAAATCTACAGTGATGGACCGAGATCGACGTTTGACGGGATTATTACGAGGACAAAGCGACGCTGCATTAGCACCAGCCGGCTTCGAACTCAATAACCCATGGAGAGTACGTTTTCACTCCAGCATCTCTGGTTCGATTCAATTGCTGATTACGCATCATAGGTTGAAAAAAGGATGTCATAGGCGACAAAACCAACGAACACAGGCATACTGTAAAAAATATGACATATACAAATAAATACCTTGAACACGTCATGAACGACAAGTGATTCTTTGTAAACTCTTCGCAGTCCAAGGGTATCATCCAGATTATCTAGTTCTATATGCCATGCCTATGATGCTTAAACGCCAGCCGCAATCACTATATAATGATTTCTGGGCGATTCTTGTTCAAGCCCTCCAAAAGCATACAAGCTTGGCAAAGTCTCTGGCTGGACATATATCCACATCTTTCGCAAGTGCCCAATTTCTGTTTCGTACTAATGTTAGGTGTATTCTTTGGTAACTCTTTGCTGGACTTTGGACCATTAGAGCGAGTATTATCAGATCGGCTGATAGTGATCTCTGTTTCCAGTCCAGCCTCCTCGGCAGCATTATTTGCTTTCAGCTGCTTCTCCATAGCTGCCATTTCTCCCCCACCAGCTCTGCCGTTTGTTGAGCCACAGCCTCCGACATCATTGTCTTCATCAGCAGGTTGTGGCAAGGACGCCTTCCCGGTGCAAACGCAAGTATCTGGCATGGCACCTGGCACTAGCCTACCCATATCCTCACCACTTCGAACGACGTCTAAAATGGCGCTAGGTCTAACCCTTTCTAGGTTTTTGATGAGACTTCTTGCGCTTCCGCGAAAGGCTTCCGGGCTGTATATGCATTCTGTGCTGAAATAATCCAACTTTTTGTGGTGTGCGTATAACACAATCTCTTTCTCGTACGCGTACTTCAGAGGCTTGCTTCGTTTGACTTCGCTCGTATTGCTACCTGTGATAATGCTTGTGCTCCGTGACAGACGTGGTAAATCTCCACGTAACAGGTTCATGAGGATAGTTTCGGCTACGTCGTCTGCATTGTGCCCTGTGACAACATGTTTGATACCGAGCATTTTGGCTCCTCGATCTAGCGCCTGTCGCCGGAAAACGCCACAGTACGTGCAATTGCCCTTTTTCCCAATAGTCTCAACAACCTGGTCCATAGTCCAGCCATAAAGCTCGTCGTAGCCAACGATTTTCAAAGACATGTCGTACTGTACTGCATTTCGTTTGACAGTTTCAAGTGAATCGTCACGGTAGCCTTTGATGCCTTCGTCGATACTCAGTAGCACCAAATCAAGTCCGTAATCATATCTCTCATTCAGAGTCTTCAGCACTGAAGCTAAGACAGTTGAATCTTTGCCACCCGATGCACCTATAGCTACCTTCTCACCACGGAAAAATAACCGAGACGAGGTTATGGTATGGTGAACCTCATCTTCAAATACCTGGATAAAACAAGCCTTGCAGAGCTTCAGGTGGTTTTTTGGCCGCTTTATCAGAGCTCGCTCTGTCTTACAGATACCGCAAAGTATGGGGGGCATTTGCAGCTGAGCTATGTGTGTAAGAGGAGTATAGGTGGTTATAACGCAGAGCTTAAGAGTAATCAGAGGACTCCGTAGTTTCTTCTTCTCCTTCTTCTTCTTTTTCAATGAAAGCGTTAACTAGAACAATTGCAGCTGATATGTGGAAATTTTTTGACAGATGTTCAAGTTCTTGAATCGCCTTAATTGCCCAAAGGTCCTGAGTTCAACGGTACGTACCTGTGAGGGGCTTTTCTGCAAACCTAGACTATTCCTGGCTTAGCCCCTCCTAAGGTGGGGCGCCTCAGGTTTGCCGATAATTTACCAGCCCACACAATTTTGCGATAGTAGATTTCTTCAATCTGTAACTTTCCAACCGACTTTATTTCTTCCTCCCTACACCTTTCAACGCGGTCGCTTTCAACTCACATCCTCACGACCAATCTACTAACCATGGTAAGCTCTTCAACGTCCATTTCGATGTGCATCGGCACTTGAACGAGCCTCGAAGAATCAACACTTCGCGAATGTAAATTCCGCCTTGCTGTCTTCGGACGCAGGTGAAGAAATGGCTTGAGCAGGTCTCGTCGTGCGCTGGAAATGCCACGCGTGACCTGTCTCTTTAGAGTTCAAGCAAGATTTCAGTAAATGGAACACATTAACTGATCTCTTCTTTCTCCATGACCAGGCCCCCAAGAACAGCGGAAAGAAGGCGGCGCCGGCCCCCTTCGGCTCGAGCAAGAGCTCAAAGAAGGCCCCCAAGGTAAGTGGACTTGTCCGTTTTCAAAGCTGCTGGCCTCCAAACGCTAATAGTTGATTGCTAGAACCCTCTCATCGAGAAGCGCCCCCGCAACTTCGGTATCGGCCAGGACATCCAGCCCAAGCGCAACCTCTCGCGCATGGTGAAGTGGCCCGAGTATGTCCGTCTTCAGCGCCAACGCAAGGTCCTTGTCCAGCGCCTCAAGGTCCCCCCTGCGCTCGCCCAGTTCCAGTCGACCCTTGACCGCAACACCGCTGCCCAGGTACGTCACTCCAGATGCTAAAATTTCCTTACACTGGATAACTCGACTGACATGAGATGATACAGGTCTTCAAGCTTCTGAACAAGTACAGGCCAGAGACCAAGGCTGGTAAGTAACCAACGACATAACCTCAATTTTTTTTTTCAATCATCTAACTTGTCATCACAGAGAAGAAGGAGCGATTGGTCAAGGAGGCTACCGCTGTCAAGGATGGTGGCAAGAAGGAAGACGTTAGCAAGAAGCCCTACACCGTCAAGTACGGTCTTAACCACGTTGTTGGATTGATTGAGAACAAGAAGACCTCACTGGTCTTGATTCCCAATGATGTTGACCCCATTGAGCTGGTCATCTTCTTGCCTGCCCTTTGCCGCAAGTTTGGCGTCCCATACGCCATCGTCAAGGGCAAGGCCAGACTCGGCACCGTTGTTCATAAGAAGGTTGGTCGACGCAGGCATCTCTGTGTATAAAACGAATTGCTAACGGAATCTAGACCGCTGCTGTACTTGCTCTTACTGAGGTCCGCTCTGAAGACAAGACCGAGCTCTCCAAGGTCATCAGCGCTGTCAAGGAGGGCTTCCTAGCCAACACTGAGGCTAGCCGAAAGCAGTGGGGTGGTGGTATCATGGGTGAGAAGGCCAACAAGCGCACCGAGAAGAAGAAGAAGGCCCTCGAATCAGCCATCAAGATCTAAGCCTTTGCATTGAGTCATGACAGGGTCAGGAGTTCTTAGCTTTGCACGGTTTCGGCGTTGAAGGAGGTAAAATGGAATACCAATCTGTGGATTTGCACATCACCATTCCATCCTCGGGAGCCTTTGAATGAAATGACAGTCAATGTGAAGCTTTTATTGGGCGATTGATATTTATCAATAAGCACCCCACGTTTGTACAACCCGTAATTCCGCCATGTGCTTGAGAATCAACAGACGCCGTCACTAATCTACGGCAACCACGAAGACATTGCGACGTGGGCCTTGGACAAAAAATAAAGAATCAAATAAATGATATTAAGACAAAACAGTAATTTAGTCTTCAATGTGAGATAAGAAAATAACTCAGGCTATGAATAGACATTCAGGCTTAGCTAACTACGTAGGCATCTTATGTAGATAAGATTTTATACACCCTAAAACACAAACAACCCGGCTTTGTTTCAACGTTGGTGCCGATCCTCAAAGCTTGAGAGACCACGCGGGGCTCGGGGCACTCTCCCCGGCCTCGAATTTCCCCAGATGCCTGCCCGCATTAGTTCCAATGCCGCGATCTTCAAGCTATTCGGGTAATTGGTAGGATTCTTGGCCTTGGCCATGTACCTATGATATGAGTCCCAGCGCGAGTGCGCCGCTGCACCGTTTTCCAAATCTTAGCCAGGGTAGTTAGCAGCGAGTGACCCATCTAACCATACTTCGTAGTCTCTAGACCACCGAAGTGAGCTCTCGACAACGGTACGGTATTGTGCGCAGCTCGCTTAGGCGTTTATTCGATAACGTACATCGAGCATCTAGATAACCACGCATGCTGGCTGCATCTCTGAATTGGGCAGGTCTTCCCGATTGACACGAAGTAGCGTGCGCAGGTAGGTAAAGGTTGTTCTTCCCTTGGCGGCATTCCCGTGTGAATGCTGCTGATACGTTTCATCCATGATAATCCGTGTTACCCATGAGCCATGGATGAACGTATCTGTTACCTTGAGCATACAAACCCGGCCTGCCGGGTATTAGATTACCTTACATACAATACACAGATGTATGGCGTCTGGGTGCGGCGCCGAGAGATTCCTCTATACGCCTCTTCCAATCTGTCTCATCCTTCCTGCTGGACACCGCTCTTATATCCATCCCCCTCTGTGTGTGGTGTCCAACTTAGATTTCCTTTTCCCCTCTACAGAAGTGCTGCCACACTGATAAACTGTCATCCATCGCTGACACACGGGAGAACCTTGTTCATGAGCAAAATACTTAAACCTAGTAACGAGATAAGCTGCACTTCCATCTAGCGCCACTTTCTTATGCCCCTCCCCCAAGTCCGGAGTAAGTCACCAGGACCCAGCTGTGCTTGAGGCATTTGTTCAATAGATTGACACCATGAAAGGTGTTCTTATCTATACATGAAACATACGAGCCGGAAATCCTACAGACAATTAGGACTCGGTATTCACCGCATATTAGCACACAGGAGTTTGCCGACTTCCCAGGGTTAATCGCTCACCATTGGCTGTTGGTGGCACTACACCACTCTGCTTGTCCGCTCAGCTGTGGCAGAGACCAAGAAACATTATACCTACTTCTCTACACCCAAGCAATATCTAAAATATGCCCCACCATCGTGAGTTAATGAGCAGCTCTCTTCATTACCCCCGGCAGCGCACCGTGTCCCGCGCGTAGGACGCCAAGAACAGGACATCCAATATCCCCCCCAACCAAACGAGGGTTAGCCAGCTCTATATCCCCCCTATATATCATCGAGAAAGCCTGAAGTTCAGTCCACGTCACAGGCTGCATCACTTACCATGGGTATTTCAGAGGACTCTTTCGTTTATGCGCTGAGCTCCAACCAGGCTTGGGCCGGCTACAAAGCCCACCAGAATCCTGACTTCTTTCCAAGGTTAGCGACAGGGCAGTCACCTGAAATCCGTAAGTACATCTCTCATCAGAATCCATGATCGTTAGATTAGAGTTTCAACGGCATCGATTGCCCCGAGTAAATAGCTCGAAGACTCTCATCTCCGAGACGTTTCAATTTCCCGCCCACCGTCACTTATAGAACGACGAATTGGCGCAGTGATTAACTGTTGAACCATGACCTTTAGTATGGCTCGGCTGCTCCGATTCGCGCTGCCCTGAAACCGTCATCCTCGGCTTGCAGCCCGGCGACGTGTTCGTTCATCGCAACATTGCCAACATCATCTCCCCTACCGACATCAATACGTCCGCCGTCATCGAGTATGCCATCGACCAACTCAGGGTGAAGCATGTGGTGCTATGCGGGCACTCGGCCTGTGGCGGCGCGGCAGCAGCGCTCAGCGACCAGCGCATAGGGGGCGTGTTGGATACATGGCTCACCCCGCTCAAAGCGATACGCAATGCGAACAAAGATGAGCTGATGGCCATTCGTGACGAGAAGGCACGGATCGTCCGGCTCGCTGAGCTGAACGTCGAGGCAGGCATCAAGGTGCTCATGGCCAATATGACGATTCAAGAGGCGATCCGGGACAGAGGGCTGCAGGTCCACAGTACTCTGTTCGATATTGGTTCGGGACGGATCCGCGACCTAGGATTCGGAACAGCCAAGGGCGGCGCTAAGCGCGGGTCGAGCGCCACCAACGGGACTGATGTCGTCCGAGGCAATCATGGCATGCTTGTCTTCAGGAGTGACGGCGCCAGCATGCACGTACAATGAAAGGGTGGAATGATTCTTTTTTTCTTTATCTTTTCGGGAGCATGGCGGGATTTTGTGGCGATTTCAACACGCTGGTATATATCGCAGACTACCGTCTAGCCCGTCGCTTGACTCGGCGGTTGGGTGTCAATCAGCTTGGAGCTTGGGAGCTTGGGGAACGATCGGATAACAAACTTGGGAGAAATCGTGTGATTTATACTGTCTCGATTTGGTTGGGCTGGCAATCTGGATAGTCAACGCTGTTTCAAGGTATCATTTTGTCTATACTAGGATTCCTAGGCGGCGGAAAAAGGAATGGATTCAATTTTTTCTGCGCGATTCTGCGCACCCATTGCAGATCGAATGACTGCTTTCGACCTTTGCGGCTTGTAGATGAGAAGACCGCCGTGGTGACGTTGAGAGTAGTTCGTGGGTTCGATCATTAATCCGTCATTGAATACCCCCGCCATCTCACGTCATGTGTAGCCTCATTCGTGACGATCAAAAAACCCGCTAAGAGATGCCAAATTCTACGGCGGGGGTTCGCGGGGTAACTTTGAATATCTTGGCTTTCGAAAGTCGTGGGGCCGTAGCTAGGTAGACAGACTAGCTTGGAGGCCGGAGCTCTCAGCCTTTCTTTCACAATGTCCGGCTCCAGTCTCCCAGTATCGCCTATCTCTAGGTAGACCGAGATCGTCGTCAAAAGGATACTTACTCTCTTACCTTTCTCCCCATGTTCCGGACGAGGCTACAGCCACAGACCAACAAATCCCACGATCCCACGATCTGTATCGACAGCATAGAATACCCATCCCGTGTCGAACGACCTGTCGCCAACGCTTAAGTGAAGGAGAAAGTATTGCAACAGACACAAATGTCCCTCGCCATATTGTCGGATGAGGTCATCCGCGCCTTGCTCGAGAATCTCACTCGTGAAGAGGCAGAGAACTTTCAGGATGTGTTAAAGAACGCGCTCCACGAGTATTCCACGGGGACACAGGCCGCTGGCACGAACCAGCCGGCGAGGACCTCCACTTATTCGGAGCGAACCGGGACGACGACAATGTTCATGCCTTCTTGCAGTCCGGCTGGAAACGGGATAAAAGGTTAGTCAGCATATTGAGGTGTCACATGCGAATAGGAACATCCCGAAGGTTTATTTAGCTAACATTGACAATTTGCTATTCGCAGTCGTGACCGTTTCCTCACCACACGCTGATCCCTCGCTCCCTGCGATTCGGCCCACGGGCTCCCTGACACTGTATTCGCCCGAAGGCAACCCGGTCGGCTTCCTCCACGCCCAGACACTTACAGCGTTCCGCACAGCGCTCGCCTCCTCATGCCTCCTGACGAAGCGCGCCACGGTGCGGACGCTGACAGTCTTCGGCTCGGGCCTACAAGCATATTGGCACATCCGCTTAGCCCTCCTGCTCCGCGGCAGCACAATTCGAACCGTGAACATAATCAACCGGCGATTCAGCGACAATGCGCGGAACATCCTGAAGAAGTTTTACGCCGTGCCGCTGGAGGTCAAGGAGCGTGAGGGCTGGGACCAGGCGCAATTCAGCGTCCTAACACCGGGATATGGCGAATACGATAGATTGCAGAAAGAACACGTCCGGGAAGCGGACGTTATCTACTGCTGCACACCTAGCACGACGGAGCTCTTCAATGCAGAGATCCTGACGAGTCGCGAGGGGAGGAGGAAGGGGAGACTAGTCGTTGCCATTGGAAGCTACTCGGAAGATATGCGTGAGCTCCCGCGCGATTTACTCGCTCAAGCTACGCGAACGCATCAGCACGGGCACCTCCACTACCACAAACATGCTACTGAGGGCGGCGTGATCATTGTCGACTCGCTCGACGGCGCGCTCAAGGAAGCTGGTGAGCTCATTGATGCTGGGTTGGGGCCTAAACAGCTCGTCGAGTAAGTGACTGCTGTTCATTGCACTTCTACGTTTAGCATAACTGTCTATCTTGTGTGGATATATATGTTACTAACAAGTATATAGGCTAGGAGAACTCATCATGATCAGACGTCTGGCAATAGAGGATAGTGACACTTCGTCCCAGCAGTCAGCAGAAACGGATTCGGTTTCCGAACCCTTCGACAAACTCGACATCGACTCAGGAACAATGAATAGCAGCAGCAAACGTTCTTCGTCGCGGAGCCCGTCGCGAGCCAGCAGCGGCACTGGGGAGTCTGGCTCAAGCGGATTCCATCTCCCGGCTATTCTAAACCCCCACCAACACCACAAACGCTCGAAAAGTCACGCAGACGAGAAGCGCAATGACCATTTGGCGCGGTGGCTCACCGCCGGCAACGTTATCTACAAGAGTGTTGGCCTCGGCCTCATGGATCTTGTCATCGGGTTCCAGATCATCAAACTAGCGAACGAAAAGGGGGTCGGCGGACATCTTCAAGATTTCTCCCCAACGAGTGGCTAGGGCGAGGGGGGCGGCGAATAGTTAGCGCAAGGAGGACGAGAAAGATGATCTATGTCGGGGCATGAATTTCAAATATTATCGCAAGGTTCGACACCTTGAAAATATGGCTCGTCTGAGACAATGCGCGAAACAGAGAATTAGGGACCGGATTTTGAAAAACTACTTCGAGGCTCGGGGATATAGCGAATGATTCGTTACGTGCAGCTCGTGATGAATATATAGATGACTATATTGCATTGTATGACAGGGCGTTTGGAAGTAGCCGAGATAGACGATATAGAAATGAGTCAAAAGCGTAGTCATTCTGATATTATTTCCCCTAGCTATGCCTGCCAATATCTAGTTAGAACAAAATCTACGTTTCGCGCACAAGCACAGCGAGAAAGGCTCAGGTGTCCGTGACATCTACTACCACGACATATTGATAAGAACAGCTCGTTATCGCTCAATGGGTTGTATTTTAATTGTGGTATACTAGTGTTACACGATGCATCCGTTATCTTGTTTATATGGTTTCTCTATTTATTCGGCAACCCATACAGCTGCCATACCCATACCAGTACCCACACACATACTTGTAACGCCAACCTTCTCACCGCGCCTCTTCAGCTCATAAAGAAGTGTGCTAACCTGCCGCGCACCTGTGCAACCAAGAGGATGACCGAAAGCGATGGCACCACCCTTAGGGTTGATCTTCTCGTGTGGGAGGCCAAGCTCGTTGGCACACCACAAGCACTGAGATGCAAACGCCTCGTTGATCTCGAAGATATCGACGTCGTCCTTGGTCAATCCGGTGAGCTCAAAGACCTTAGGGATAGCTTTCCAAGGTCCAATGCCCATGAGCAAAGGCTTGACACCAACGATGGAGGCAGCGACGAACTTGCCCAGAATTGTTTGTCCGAGTCGCTCAGCTGTGCTACGCTTCATCATCAACACGGCAGCAGCACCGTCGCTGATCTGGGAGGCATTGCCAGCGTGGATGCTGCCATCCTTCGCGAAAGCGGGTTTTATCTTACCGAGGGACTCGGCTGTAATGCCAGGCCGTACACCCTCGTCTTTCTTCACGGTCACCTCACGCTTCTCGCCCGACTCCGGGTCCTCAACTTGGACAGTTAACGGGTGAATTTCCTGGTCAAAAAGACCGGCTTCTTGCGCTTTAAGCGCCTTTTGGTATGAAGAGGCCGCGAAAGCATCTTGGTCAGCACGGCTGATGTTGCGGTCCTTGGCCATAGCTTCGGATAAGTTGCCCATTGGTACTTTGCAGTTCTTAGACTCGGGGTGTGAATCGAGCAATTCGGAGAATTCTGATACGGCCGCGGGACTGCGAGAATACTGTTAGCATATGACTTCTAGCCACATGTCCAAGGGTGAAAGGTGGAATAGCGTAGCTAATGAATCATACTCAAGGAATATGTAGAAGGGAAGATGTGGCATACCCGTAGTGTAAACTCATACTCTCAACTCCGGCACCAATACCGACCTCGATCATACCGGCGCGGATCTGGTTGGCAACATCGACGCAGGCCTGTAGGCCAGAGGAACATTGGCGATTAAGGGTGCGCACAGCCGCAGTCTCAGGAAGTCCAGCAACAAGAGCAGCCGCGCGCATTTCCGTAGCACCGCCGCCAGGTGCCAGGACTTCACCCACACACACGTCTTCTACTAACGCCGGGTCGATATTCGAGCGTGTAAGTATTCCCTTCAGAGCCCCGGCCATCAGGTCTGCTGCCGCAGTATCCTTAAAGGCCCCCTTGCCACCCCTGGTGAAGGCTGTGCGCAGGCATGCTGTTACGACGATCTAGAGGGGTGACGCTCTGGTTAGCTTCAGTGTGCCCTGTAATTCGGGGTTATCAAAGGGGGTGAAATCGGAGAGGAGAAGCTAGTCTGGTTGTCGTGTGGTTACATACATCATCGGCGTTCTTCTGGAGGATCTTGTCCCGCGCTGACTTGGAGCCAGAGAGATGGCTCGAGATCTGCGACAATCTATCTATAGCTGACATTTTGAGTCGATGTTAGTGCAAGTCTTTGGTCTAGCACGTTCTGGCTGCTTTGTTTTGAACAAGAGACCAATACTCTAGAAGATGAAAAGGATATGAATGATGGGAGAGCGTGGCAAAACGAAGAGTAAGAGACTCACCACCCATCTTCTTCGAGTTTATAGCTTCAGTATTGGCCCACAATTACAACTGGGTAGACTGAGATCCGCGGGTATTCTGACAGAAAGTCACTCTTTCTCTTTGAAGGGGGACATCAAGTTGTATGGAATTCTGGTGCTCGACGAGGAGGAAGAAGTGCTGACAATGACAAAGTTGGACCTCGGAACTTGCCCAGCTTGGTTGGCGCATGTTTGCGGCCCATTGCCTGCATGACAGTGCACTCTAGCGGTCGCTTTAGCGGTCTCTCCCCCAGGTGTGCGCTAACGGCAACGCTGATGTCAGTGCCATCTCCACCAATGCGCCGAGGCACGAGAGCCGCGCTATCTCATTGGCCGAAACCGGTAGCGCGCTAGCGCTTCTTCACATGTCAAATGTCGCTGTTCTTGTCCTGACTTCTGCTGGTCATCTGGATCCGGTGATCAACGGCACGTGGCTAAGGATAGTATTCTGGTACTTTATGTATAATATGGGGTTGATTCTATCATTGTACTTCATTATCCGAATATAACAAGGCTCGAGGTAGATCTGGTACGGCCACGTACAGCTCTGCGCGATATTCCCGAGTCCACAATCATCGCCTCATGGCACTCCGCCCAGCCTAAGTGGAAACTCGGGATAAAGCTCGGTGTGAAACATACTTGCGTCGTAACATAATCTGCCTCTAGCCAGACAGATAATCTGAGAACAATGGCAATGGAAACGTTGTCCTAAGTTGAGGGAAACGGGCCCAAGTTCTGAATGTAGTTTCAGGTTGGCATTGTTCAAAAGACACGAGAACAAGGTAAAGAAAGGGCATACACCTTAATGATAGTAAATTTTCCGTCTATCAAGCCTCTCATGCTGACCGATGTTTAATTGTAGGAGGGCTTCCTTTGAGATGATGAGGGCGAGTGGATTAGACCAGTGCTACTGTGTGAACTTAGCTTTGCTACCACTACTCTCATACACACAAAGCATATCCGAATTCTCTCCAGATATGTTCCGCCACCTTGAAATTCTCTTCTTGCATCTTGAATAGCACTAGCTAATGTAAGGGGCGTTATACGGCATACTATAACAGTTCGCAAGACGCTGTGTGTCTCGGTCCTTCTGTGCCGAAGAACACCTAATGCGCTTCTAGGCGAGAGCTTACCATGCCTTTGTATTAATGTGTAGTCTGTACGTGAACGACCGGCACACATGATGGGATAAACCTGGGCGAAAACGAGAGACCAATCATACTCAGACATGACCACCAGTTGCGAAGTTCTGTCTGACATAGTATTACCTGTAGTGTCAGCACCCGTTCTCATGCCTTGTGGACTTGTGTGCCCTTCTGGGGTAGCACCACCGGCAGTACAATAGCCGAAATATGTAAGTTTTATGGTTGGTGCCAGTTCCGGTTTGGGCTTCAACCACAAATAGGATCCCCATGCGACTAGGAATGTCGCCACCAAATTTTGCGATAAAGACGCTGCAATTGAAATGTGTGCCCGGCCGTGTGTTGAGCTATTCATATTGTCGAAGGGAGACGCAAGAAGGGAGAAGCATACGGAAGTGTTCCTCAAGAGGCCATGCGATGTCCTATGAAGCTTTCCAAGTTCGAGTACACTAGGGCCACATATGACTTCATCGCATCTTTCTGTCACTGAGCGTGTAACTATGTAGAAGCGACATGGTTTCCGAAACTACGATTGTTCGCCGATAGTGTGACGATGTACGTGCCACCATGGCACAAGCTTGTCAGTGGTTTAATCCCATCCAATCGATGCTCCGGATCTCCTGTAAGTTTCATGCGAAGAGATTCGGTCGGGTATAGATAAATGAAGTCTCGAACACATAACGATATCTTTTAGGACCATGAACCTTGCGATACATCCATAGGTCGATTCACATCAGGTCCGTGGTTTCCGTTCCTGTCACTTCAAATTTCCACACTCTGGGCTTAATCATTCAACGTAATAGCCATGGATCTCATAGAACATGAAGCGTTATTTCTGGTTAATAGGATTGAGGCATTCCTTAGCGGCACCTCCGGCACTTTGGGCTCTATGAACATCGCGACACGCTCTAAATTGAGCGAAGCCGCGCGAAGACTTAACCTTGCTACAGAAACTTCCGGAGATACCATACAGAGGATTATGCTTTCGGTTCGTTCAATTCATAATAAATGCCCAACTAAACTACCTCAGCTAACAGATTGAAAGCCTCTACAGCTCCCGCTCACTGTTGTAGGGATCGAAACGCGCCTATTTGAGGTTCTAAGCAAGGCAAATGGAAGAATGATAGATAAGCAAGAATTATCTATCGTAACTAAGATCAATCCAGTCTTGTTAAGTATGTATGCTATCCACTGTCGACATCAAGGACTAACATAATATTACAGAGCGTCTTCTCCGCTACTACCAAGCTTTCGGGATGCTTGACCAGCTTGGAGATGATCATTATCAGGCAAACAATATGACATCGGCTATAAGCTCTCCGGGTGGGCGTAACGCGCTGCCCTTCTAGTACGTATATGGAATAGATACCAGATTATCAATACACGGGGCCAATGATTATAACAGTTTCGAGGCTGTCGTGCCGGCTTTGAACGCTATTCCTCGGTGCCTCCGTGACAATGCATATCAGAACGTCACCTACGGCGAATGCTTTCCGTGGTACGTCGGTCATCAAACTAACAAGGAAATCTACGAATGGATGAAAGACCACCCAAGTGCCCTACATCACTTCATGTCATACATGGTGAGACAGCGCGATGGACAACACACATTCTTGGATGTAGTCGATTTCAGGGAGTTTACCAAAAGTGTTGTGAGCAAAAACACTCCCGTTTTCGTGGACATTGGAGGAAGCCTCGGTCATCAATGCGTTGCCCTCAGGCAGAAGTATCCCGACCTGGTCGGCCGCGTAATACTTCAAGATTCCGAAGAGGTAATTGAGCAAGCTAGGATTCACCCTATTCCCGGATTTGAGGGGATTGAGGCGCAGGTACATGACTTTTTCACACCACAACCTATCAAAGGTACATGATGCTTAGTTACACTTCCCACTATCAGATGATTTGGTTAACCATTGTCAGGTGCTCGTACGTACTACATGCGCAATATATTGCACAACTGGCCTGATGATAAATGCATCGAGATCCTCAAGAATATCAAGTCAGCCATGACACAAGAGTCACGGATTTTGATTGATGAGATGGTGTTTCCTGAGAGTGATGTACATTGGAGAGCAGCCCAACTGGATTTAGTTATGGGCAGCTGCTTTGGGAGCATGGGCCGCACACAGCAGGACTGGGACACACTTTTTGAAAAGTCTGAGCTTGAAGTCCTAAAGGTTTGGAAGTACACTGCTAATCTGGACGACTGTGTCATTGTAGCAGTACCAAAATGATACGCCGCCATCCTTGTCTCATAGACACCAGAGTACAGAAATATTTAGCATGGGAAATGCATGATGTGCTCGGAAGACACAGAGATATAGTGTTGGGAGAGCTGTAGAGTTATAAGGCAGAGCTTTCTGATACTATTCTAACAGACCGCGGCATTCGGCATGTCCCGCCTACCTGTTACATGCCTGCAAAGTATTTGGAACCCATGAAATCTGCGCTTATAGCTTACTTGCAGAACTGACGAAGGTCGTGATGGGCGGTGGCCACCTCTGTAAGAACTACTATCGCATTGTCGAATGATTTCCTAACTTGCGACCTATGCCTGGGCCGGCGTACACTTGTTACCAGGGTTCTCAATGTACGTCCAATACAAAAAGGAAGGGTTTTGCAAAAGTGTTATCGCCAGTGTTATATTCAAGGCCTAATAACTATATAAATACGAAACAAGAAGGCAGCAATTAATAAGGGCATATTAAAGTCATAGCTAACGTCTAATTATGGCCTCACTACCAAATAACCATGGCCTCACTACCAAATAACCATGGCCTCACTACCAAATAACCATGGCCTCACTACCAAATAACCATGGCCTCACTACCAAATAACCAAGAGTCTTAATAGAGAATGAGAGGTACTAAGCTAACATTAAGAGCCTGTAGAGGCTGTACTAGAGCGTTCATTAGACCCGATGCCTAATACTAGGCGGCTGAGAGGTATTTATACAACTATATAATTGAATGCTTGGTTTAATAGTCTTTGCTAACTGAGTATGGCGGCACTATCCGGGGAATTCCGAAGACTACCCCCGCAGGCAAGTGAATATCTACACAGTGAATCAAATGGTCTGTCGTCTAATTATTCATTGTTGCTATCTAAGTACCGCTGACATAACTTTGCCAAAAGAAAAACCTTTAAGCTAGAGGTTATATAAATGAGCAACGGTTGTTACTACAGGGCCGCTTGTATATGGGTACTCTACGTCGAGTTGCTACACTAGACTTTCTTCAAGACCTCTGTGTCTACTATGGTAGGTTAGGCGATAATATTCAATAATTCTCTTTGTTATAGTTCATAGTAGTTAATTGCTGGACTTGAGAACTTTTGACGAGCTTCTGGCTGGGCGGTTTGGTAAGAGTTACTATTATTAGAAAGGACAACTATCCCGAGATAGGGCAGGTAAACGGATTATACGGACATAAACTGCCTAACCGCAAGGGGCATGTCATGGCCCCATCAAGAACAGTTAGCTCATTAAATTCTCACTTGAAACTGGCCTCCCCAGACCATAACTCAATCTCAACCCAGATTGACCGTTACAGAGACGTCGTATCCGGCATTCTGTTTCCCATATTCACAGCCCTCGGATCTACCTTACTAGGAAGACTAAGCTTAGTAGCCTTCCTAATCAGTAAGGTACCTGATAAATGGCGCAGGCACGATCTTATTTGGCCCATTTCGGGATCTTCATGCCCTTGTCCTGAGGTCGATCATTCTATGAATGGTCGTGAAGATATAATATGGCCTTGGCGACCACGATGACTCCGGCACTCGTCTTGTCTCTTTCGACTATCAGTAAGACCAGAACAAAATGTCTGTTTCTACTAAGGCTCTCGCCCTCTTGGCATTTGCCGGCGCTGCTTTGACATTGCCAGCTGATATGCCTATGTCTCTGTTCGCGACGATCAAGTCTGCTCCTAAAGGGTGGGCTATGGACGGACCGGCTACTAAAGATGAAATTATCGAGCTGCGTTTCAATCTCGCCAAGCAGAACACTGCACAGTTTCAAGAGCTAGCACTGAACGTATGTCATTTACTTTTCTGCATTCAAGATATAAATTATCTTGAGACTCTGCTCGCTCTACAAATGTTTACCCCTGAATGTGTGACCTGTATACATCTTGAGATGGATAGGATGTCGCAGTACAGAACACAAAGTTGACATGATATAGATCGCTACCCCTGGTCATTCTCAATACGGCAAGCATTTGACTTTGGAGCAGATCAATGCTATTGTCGCTCCCAAACCTGAGTCAAAAGATCTACTCTTCCAATGGCTCGGCGACCACAATTTGGCAGATGGTGCGACCTTGAACAGCCGCGGAAACGTGGTCAAGGTCAACACTACAATCGGCCAAGCTGAGGCTCTCTTGAATGCCAAATACAACTCGTACACCAATACGGACACTGGCGTAAAAGTTTCTCGTACTCTTTCGGTCCATGTACCGGAAGCTCTTGTCGCTCATATCGATGTAATTCAGCCTACGACATTTTTTGGCCTCAAGCGGCTCGCCCCAAAAATTAACAACGACACCTTCCATACCCTCGCTCAGACAGTTCCCAGCGATCTCGCCCAGATATACGGGTTTGGCGACGTTCGGAATCTGACGAGCGGGATTATGGGCATTGCTGGTTTCCAAGACGAAACGGCTAGTATGTATGATCTCTCTATTTTTATGAAATACTTTGCCGTGCAGGTTAGTTCCCCAGGATCGTTAAATTCCCTCTTAGGCGGGGTTTGGGCCTTATTGCTCCTGCATGCTCCCAAAACATGAGCCGATTCTCTTCCCTATCTGGCATTACTGACGCCAGCGTGTGTAATAAGGACAACGTGGACCATGGCTTCACTTGCGTCTCCGTCAATGGCGGTCAGTGCCCCACCGATGTTAGAATACAGACGGACGAGGGAAACTTGGACACTCAGTATGCGGCCGTCATCACCAGCGAGATTCCCAACGTGTACTACTCCACTGGAGATGGGGCTCAGGACTATTCCTTCTTTGAAGACCTTGCTGAGTATCTCCTGGGACTCGATGCGGCTTCGAGGCCTAATGTCCTCTCGGTATCGTACGGCGGTCCCGAGACCCTGTTTGACCGGAGCCTTGCTGTGTCTACATGCAACACCTTTGCCGAGCTTGGTGCTACGGGTGTCTCCATTCTATTCGCGTCTGGCGATTCCGGCGTCGGCGATACTTGCAACATTGATGGAAAGGATGCTTACGAACCCTTCTTCCCTGCTGGTTGTCCCTGGGTGACCACGGTTGGAGGCACGTCAGGTACGTCTGGCGCTGGGCCTGAGGATGTCTGGGACTTTGGTGGTGGTGGATTCTCTAACATTTTTGGTCGCCCTTCCTGGCAAAACTCAACCATCTCTTCATGGTTGGCCTCGAACTCGGACGGAAATACCCAGTACTACAACTCATCTGGCCGAGCGTACCCAGACGTCGCCGCTGGTGCCGACTTCTATCAGATCATCACTTTGGGCTCACCAAAAGCCGTAAGCGGTACTTCTTGCTCTGCTCCGGTCTTCGCGAGCATTGTCCAGCTCGTTAATTCTCAGCGCATTGACGCAGGGAAACCTGCCCTAGGTTTTCTAAACCCCTGGCTAGTACGTTGATTTGACTTAAATTTCATAATAACCTAGAGCTAACATACTGTGATTTAGTATAGCCTACCTATCGGCGCTAACGGTCTGAAAGATATAACGATGGGGAAGATTACTGGTTGTTCTGGTACTCCCATCTCCAAGGCCGGATTCTCCGCCGTCAATGTAAGTTGTACCATAGTCTCTTCCACCACACCGAGGCTTTCCTGGCTGACGCGACCTGTTTGAAGGGATGGGATCCCGCCACTGGCCTGGGCAGCCCTTACTACCCTGATCTCCTTGAAGTTGGCATGGCTGTCTAAAGTTGTGAATCTATGAGTATATCAGAATAACAGACCGCCCCAACAGACAGGAACATAGCAGACGCTATGAGCTTGCAATCGTATATACTTGGAGTCCGTAGATTTGGATAAATTACCAATCCATAGAGAGTTATTTATTCAAACGTTTACCTTCTCAAACCCTGTGTTCTCTCACGTCTTTTTAGTTGTCTCTCTTTCGTTGGTACACAGCTTTAAACTACATAGTTATCCTGTATTTGTACTTGGTTCTCTTCGGGCCAGACTATACAGGCTTATATGGCATATTGAAGCAGGGAGTGACTAAAAGTCACCAAATGACGGACTTCAGATGTGGTGATAGTGTGTGTAATGCAAACGTTGGAAGACGAATAAGGGAAGAGGAGATTGAGAAAAAGGGGGCGGGGGTCCGATGGAACTCATCAGTTGATATCCTTAGGGGTACAGACTTAAAAGGTAAATTGAGCACGCCTTCGGAATAATATTGGTCATGCTTGCGATCGGGAAGTGGCATACTTCCTTCCGCATCCAATTTTTCATTTCCGTCGAATGTGGTCGCTAAGATTAGTCAACCGTGACTATCCGATATCTCAGTGGCACAATGTCGCATTTTATGTGGCGAGATGCGCTATGTAACGTGATACAGGCACGCTCGTTTTGCTTGTTTCGATCCCATGATGCTATGTTGGGCGTTTACTACTGAGTTGAATCATCCGAAAAAGCAGAAAAATAACGGGCAATCTACAAATTGTGAGGCCGCCAAAGCATCGATTGCCGCCGGCTGCGACTAATCATCGTGATCTGATATATAAGGTGCAAGGATCTGCCAACGCATCCTGTTTCACTAGTTACTCAGCCCTAACGTCTCAGCTTGTCCTCATGCTATTTTAGGCGCTCATTGTTGAGAGATGAGGTTGTACCAATTTCCAGTCAACTAGACAGTCTATTTTTACGCCGCCCATAACAAAATCGTGGCTATTTGAGACGGTCGATACCCATGCACCTATTTGGTAGTTAAGTATGCGTTAGCAAAATGGACCATGCTGTCAAAGGAACCGTAAGACTCACTAGCTTGCCATACAATTCGCAGTCGAAGATGCTAACCCTGGAAACACACATCAGCCAAGCGGAGAACAGGAGGGTCTGGATAGTGGATGGCCTGCATTCTTAGCTGCAGCTAGAGCTGCGGACCCAAATTTCGAAGATTATGGTGTCGCGCGACTTGCCGGCGACTACGCTAGATTGGGTACTAAGATCATTGAAGCTGTCAGGCATGCCACCGGTCACACTTCTGAAGAGCTGTTCAAGATCGGTTATATGCTCTCAATCATCCAGGAGCGCACAACTTACACTCTGGATGATCTGGCACATGTCGTCTCGAGTAGCTGGGTCATGCCGACTGGCGATCTCGATATAGTTGGTCGCGTCAGGGATATAATGTACTTACCTTGCAACTTCGCAGAGGAACTTAATCAATCGGGGTTCCGGGATTTCATCAATCATATTGATAATCTTGACGAAGTGCAAAGCTTCTTGAGACGGCTTGACTATGTCCGAACCCACCCGGGGCGTCTCCCTCGATTGCCAACACTTTCCGTTTCGGAGACGAAGGCGGTACTATGCGCAGAGATTTGGTGTACATGGGCATACGAAAACCGGTGTCCTTTGCCATCCGAAGTAGCATTTGTCGAATTATTTGGAGCCGGAATGACTGTGAAAGTCACGGAATTCGGAAGGCGATTAGAAACAGGTATTATGCCATGCACTGTTCGGGCTACTATCAAAAGGACTAATGAGCATAATAGCTTTCGCATGTGCGGAGTTTAAGGAGTATATTCTCCGGTGGTATGGCTTCGACGTAGCAATTCTTAGGAATATGAGCGCATTGGACGACCTTGTCGATAGCTGTGATGAATCAATTGCGAGCGTCTGGAAATAGTCAAATACCTACCCAGAATAATGAATACTCCTTCTAGCGCTATGAATGTTGACGACACGTAGGGTTTCGTAGTTTGAGGTCGCGGTACAGACACATAATTTCGTTAGAAGAACTGAACTCAGATCAACGAAGCGGCTGGGAGGTGAGATTTATACCTTGAAATGTCAGCCTACTAAGGTACAAACTATCACTTCCCAACAAAACAATCATGATAGTGAAGCAAAGCAAATTCCCATTATATACTATTCTGAATCCACTCCTAGCAACAACTTTTAAATCATGAGTATTTAGATAGAGTCGATGTCAACCTCCATCGATGTCCTTCTTCGACACAACACCTTCGTAAATGGATTAACTCTCTGAGAAAATCCCATATTCACATCATCCGTAGGTGTTCCCGGGGCCAACTTCCAGTCGTACTTCAGCAAAAGGTGACAGAGAGCAATCTTCAGTTCATTCGCAGCAAAGAAGCGCCCCGGGCAGGCATGCTTGCCATGTCCGAATCCGATGTGGTCGACGCTGGTGGTCACTAGTTGCGCCACGTGCTCTTTTCCAGGCTGCGATCGCAGGTCCAAAAAGCGGCTTCCCTTCCACTCCTCTGGGTTCTCGTAGACCTCTGGGTCTACCATTCGGTGTGTATCAATGTGTATCCGAGATCCCTTCTTGATAAGGGTGCCGTCTGCGAGTGTTATGTCTTCTTCTACGGCACGGCGCATCGCTGTCAATTCCGATGTTATTAGTATGTCGAAAATCTCATATTAGCTTCTGAAGTATGTCTGCTCACCTGAGAAAAAGGGCTTGATGCTGCAAAACGTTGTGTTAGCAATCCCTTTATATAGTATGTACTTGGGGAACAGGGGAATTTTGAACAAGCTTTTTGATAATGTTATCGTAGCTTGGAATATCGAAGCGTCTTTACATTGAAATAGACAGAATGTTGCCGAAAATAATGTGATCGTAGAACCTAGATTCGTACTCACCGCTGGCTCTCTTTCAGGATGCTATCAAGCAATTTCATACTATAGAGCGAGGTTTTTCTCCAGCCTTCTGTTTTTAGTACATGAGCGATTTCGTCTCTAGCAGCTTGCATCGTCTCCGGATGCTTTATAAGGTTAATTAAAGTGCATTGGAGCAAGTCTGACGTCGTACTAATAGCCACGACAGAGATCATCAGCTGGAAGTTCGCGACATCACATTTGAAGTTGTGCTCCTTTGACTCTTTAGCGATCCATTCCAGCGCATCGTTGTAGATTGGTTCTGGTTGGCCAGCCTCGATTGCGGCTCGTTTCAAAGCTGCCCTTTTCTCCATGACGGGGTCTATCAAGGCTCTCGCTCGCTTGTAGTAGGTCTGAACTCGCCTGCTTTCTGGAAAGAACCGGCCGACATAAGGTCGTATAGCAGGATAATAGTTGGTGAGTTTAGCCAGGGCCATCATCGTGATATTTGTGTAGTTTGTCGTAATCTCCAACCATTCTGCGCTCCTCGCAAGCTCTTTGCCTAGGAATACCCGAGACGACATACGGGCGGTAACATCACGTAACGCAGGCATGATTTGTATCTCATGCCAATCTAAGAAATTCAGTTACATAGAATCAAGAGGATTGGAGACACCGGATAGCTTACCAGTGGATTCTCCCATGTTGATAGACAGGGAAAGCGCAATCTCTTCGGATAATGGTTCTGTAACTTGATCTGTGGATCGCTCGCGATTTAGCAGCGATAACCAGAGGAGCCAAAATAGCAGAGTGAACTAACTGATCGAACGGGTCAGCTGCTTTGTTGCTATAATCTGCACAAGCATGCCGTCCTCTCCAAGCGTCGCAAGTGGTTCAAACCCTGGTATTTCGCAAATACGCTCCTGTAAAAAGGGGCGTTCGGTCAGCTAATTAGTTGAAGCAGCAAGGCTACTATGAAGCAATATACCTCAGCTATTGTTCCGATGAAGCTCAGGTGCGGATTATTGCGGATCTCCTGGAACCATTCGGATTGAAGCATCACAACCTCTCCGAAATCCGTAGTCATTCGGTATGGCTGGTTGGGGAAATGCTTTCTGGCCTTTTGTATCATGGTCTTTGCCAAACGCCGAAAATCGTGCTATATGATATCAGTGGTCAGGGTACAATTAGGTCATTCGTCATTAGACCTGCCTTCGATTGGGCATTCGAGAAGAAGCCCGGAGGATTAATATGTGGAAGCTTCTTCAGGCTGGGGTTAGATGTTGCCCAGGTATACGTTGTCAAAGTCACCAATGCGATGCCAATGAAGTAAGGAAAATAATGCGTAGCCATGAGACCCCCTATTCGGGGGAACTCAAACGCAAATAGTGATGTATCATTCATGCTGGCAAAGAGCTTCCACCGCGAGTAATTATGCTGGGTAATATAAGCAGAGTCAGACTTGAAATATAAAGCGAAAGGGCTTTATACTTGTTCTTCAACCGCAGTGCCGTCAATGGAGCTAATCTGGGACCGGCATCGATCATCTAGGAAAGAGCCAGTTCCCTTTAAACCGAGCATCTCACGTTCCTACACCAGGTATTATATACTGCCTACTCTGCATTGAGGTGGTTAGATCATCTGGCTAGATTCCCACCCCGCAGTGTTCGACGTTTCAGCTATTTCTTGATTGTAGATCACATTGGCTGGATTTTGTTTTTTTTGGCTGGGGTCTGAATGGCACTCTGACGCTGTACAGTGTCACTCTACCGGATCTGCCCTAAGAAGCTGGTATTTCGTATGTCGGAGGGTCGGAGGATCCAGGCAGTGTCATTATGCTGAGTTTACTCCAAATGGCATAGATATCCGTAGGGTTTCTTCGGTCCGGTCAGCGAGTTGAGCATTCTGCTATTAATTATATCCTCTCGGCAGGCAGTTCGTATCAATCTCAACCGCGCGAACAGGCTGGTACGCGCGTGTCTCTTTATAGTTGCTATGCTAATACCTTGCATTAAACCCCAAAGTCTACGTATAGCGATCATATTTCAATTACACTGGCGAGGAATTTCATATCACCAGCTCATGGGTGTGCTCGGAGAACTCTTGCATGTAGCATACTAGACCATGGCTACATTCGAAACAAATCTTCACTATGCCGAACTAGGTCAATAGGTATATTGGTACCATTTTTAAGGAAATTTTCTTGCCATATTTGTATATAGTACTGCAATACGTATTAGGCATTTTTTGCCTGTTGTAGTGTCCTCGGTATTACCTTGTTAGGAGATACAGTACATTAGACTTAACCCCAGACGATGTGGTCCCTAATAAAGTCACCGTTGCCAAGTCGAGAGAGGACTAAACGATGTGATACTGCATTCGAATGTTTGGTTACTCAAAAATTTATGATCATATCCGCCTTAAGTCATCTTGTAGTCGTGGGTTTAGAGTAAAACGTGATTTTGCGAGGGGGACTGCCAAGCCAGTACTGGTGCCGATCTACGGACTGCAGCAGTTCAAGTTTTCCTTCCGTACTAGAATCAGCGCCCCTGTTAAAGCAACAGGTTTCAAATATAGAGCCCAATTTGGGATCAGCTGAATAAGAACTTATTACAAAAAAGACTACGATGGGAGCGGGAATATCTAAACAAATCACGCAGCAAACTCTCCCTATGTGGAAGTCCTAGCCTCTCATTGCGTATAGTTATGAATATACTAGTCTTTTAACTCCAAAGTCACAGCATCGGGGAAGGACAAGATCCTTCAGCGGTTTCGTGGTGTAGTTGGTTATCACGTCAGTCTAACACACTGAAGGTCTCCGGTTCAAGTCCGGGCGAAATCATGCCATTATGTTTTGCAGTTTCTAATCCTCCTTTTTGGACTTCGGGACGTGATTTATAATATTGCGTGGTTTATGGCGTGATCTCACGTGACCATCACTGGTGTGTGACAGTTCGCGGCAAATGACATGTAACAAAATTTTCCGAATCAAGCGTTTGGTCTATAATCGTACTAGCATCTACTAGCCTTTTGGATCTAGATAGGTCCTTGCATATTGGTTCTGTTTTTGTTTGCTTGGTTGTCAGTCAACCTTGATATTCCAGTTAGACAACTTCGAGTGAAGCGGTTGGGTTGTTGTGTGCACTATTCTTCTGGCAGGGTGATTTCAGTTTTTAGTAATTACATATCATACACAATGACAGCTACCCCTGTACTCCGGCTCCTGGCTCGAGCCCCTGTCAAAGTGCCCCTCAGGACATACGCCACATCGATACCAGCAAAGGCCCATCACCACGTCGTCATTGTCGGTGGTGGTACAGCTGGTGTGACTGCTGCAGCACAGTTGCAGCGCTCTCTTGGGCTTGAAAAGAAGGACATTGCCATTCTAGACCCGGCCAAAACACATCATTATCAGGTAAGCAGTGGGTGGACTCGGCGGTCATCTATCCGTGTATATACCACGAGGGGCTTGCGCTGATCCCGTTGCAGCCTGGGTGGACGCTCGTGGGCTCAGGCCTAAAATCGCTGGACGATGTCCAGCGACCCCTCTCTCACGTAGTACCAGCAGGAGTGAAGCACTACCCTTTACGGGTGTCTACGTTTGACCCCGAACAAAACGCCGTGAAGACGTCCGAGGGGGTGGATATCTCATACGACTATCTTATTGTTGCGCCTGGCCTTGAGACCAACTTTGGTGGTATCTCGGGTCTTAAGGAGGCCCTGCAGGATCCAGCCAGCGAGGTATCGTCTATTTACTCTGAAAAGACCGTCGAGCAGGTCTGGCGGAATATTCAGGCTTTCAAAAAGGGACCGGCCATCTTCACACAGCCTGCAGGCATCATAAAATGTGCCGGTGCACCTCAAAAGATCATGTGGATGGCCCTGTCACAATGGAAGCAGGAAGGTGTACGGGATAATATTGATATTACCTTTGCAACTGGTGCCCCTGGTAAGATATTTAGCAGTCCCGCTCTATGAATTGCCTATATTGACTGAGTCATAGCCATGTTTGCTGTGCCGAAGTATTCGCAGGCTCTGGAAGCTCTCCGAAAAGAGCGAAATGTTGAAGGCTTGTTCCAACACAACCTAATTTCGATAGACGCGAAGAAGAAAGTCGCTACATTCAAGAACCTTGCCGAGGGTGCTCAAGGCGCAACTGTAGAGAGAGAGTTTGGTTTCTTGCATGTGGTCCCTCCGCAGAAGCCATGGGATTGGGTCGCTAAGTCTAAGATTGGTAAGCTCACTTATACCCTTTCTGCCATGGTGCGATATAAGTCGAATATTAACCTGATTCCTGTGTAGCCGATGCAGCTGGTTGGGTCGATGTCGACAAGTCCACCACGCAGCACAACAAATACAAGAACATCTTCTCGATTGGTGATGCGTCTAGCTTGCCAAACAGCAAGACGGCTGCTGCGATAACCGCCCAGGTCCCTGTCATGGTTGACAACCTCTTGGCAACAATGGCTGGCAAGGAGGCTAAGGCTACGTACGACGGATATGCAAGCTGCCCGCTTCTGACGGGACATAGAGAGCTCATGCTCTGCGAATTCAAGTATGGCGGCGTGCCCAAGGAGACGTTCGCCAACATCCTCGGTGGGCAAGAAACCCCTAACGCCGCATACTATTATTTGAAAAAGAATATTTTCGTAAGTATCTTCGACCGAAGCTGTCCGGCATCTCTAAGACTATCATATGCTAACATACATATAGCCTGCCGTGTATTGGAGTTATTTCTTGAAGGGATCATGGTACGGCCCTAACTCTTTCTTCCGCCCAGAGACGACCACGGCCTAAGCATAATCACTCATGAGAATCGTGAGGATGTGGTCTGTAGCGGATAAAGGCGATGCTTAATTCCCTCGCGGCATATTTCATTCATGAGGGATTATCGCTTGCAGCATATATACGTAGATAATAATGTAAATACCGCACTTCAGACAACAATGCCACATGTCTTCCGAATTCGACTGCAAGGTGAGCATTACGACAGGCATCGCAGTGTGGCCAGCCGCTTCATAACATGACTCTCTGTCAACCTTTGCATGATGTCCTCTTCGTAGCTCATGATTACTTCTATACCTCCATCATCACCGTTAAGGCCAGGAATATGGGGTAATATGATGGGATTCCTTTCTACCGTCATCTTCGCTAACCGCACCGCATCACAACGACCAATAGCATGACCCCAGTCAAGCTCGTAGATGCATTGATCAGCCCACGAGACCACCGATGTGTTACTACCCCCAGGCTCGCACCTAGGCGGACCTAAGACAAGACGTGCCTCTGGATTGGGCCGCGGATGCGCCTCGAGGTAATCTAGTACCCCGCGCACGGTGGCGTCGTCGATTCCATGCACAGACCGTCTAATCGCGAGTGCGACATTCGCGAGAGCCGAGATGTCGACAAAGTCTATGGGTTCTTGCATCCCCGCATTATTCACGTGTGATTCTGCTCCCGGCTCTTGGTCATGCGTCAAAGAGATAGAGAGGCTCCTGAAATCAGAAACGCGACAAACGTCCTCATGTGGTACCCTCGCGCTCGTCATAAGGAATGCGGCCCCTAGAAAGTTCCGCGGGAGCGCCGGGCGGAGTACCGAGCGGAATTGGACGGGAAATGACAGCGTGCTGATTCGAGAGCTCTGGCGTGTAACCCGCCCATTGCGGAGATATGGGTGGTCCTGGGCCCGAACGATTACGCTCCATAGCAGAGCTGACAAGACGTCACTCGTCGAGACCCACGACCCAGGCTCCTGTAACGCAATATGGGCGTTCGTAGCATCTTTGAGTGCTCGTAGGTGTTGTCGCGGGAAGTAAAAGACGCCCGTCTGATAGTCTTTCTTCCCTTTTGCTGTACTGGGTAGATCAGTACCCCGCACTGCATCTTCCTTGATTTTGGTGTGCAGTAGATCAGGCATGGGCATGGGATGAGAGTTATTGATACGTAAGCTCTGTGAACTTGAATAGAGAGGGGATCGGTCCATCCAGCTCCTATCAAACCCGACGTCTTCTTTGCGGCAATGCGATGCCCAAATCTTGAGAAGCGCATCATACCCAGTGATGTCTGTTACAAGATGGTGCACAGCCACGCACAGAATCAGTCCGCCATTGACGAGCGACGCGCGGGCGAGGAAAATAGCCGGTGGCTCTGGGTATGGCGGAATAGTATCTGGCGGAACGATACCAGGGGTAAGAAATACCTCGGGGGCGAAGTGTCCCGCTTTGAGGGTAGCATAGTCGACGATACCAGAGAGGTCATGGCACGAGAAGATATCTTCGGGCCTGTAGTATGGTGCGCTTATTACAGCCCCTGAGCTCGCTGTCCCAGGCGTGTCGCTGATGATACGCGAGAGGACGTATGGCACATCCTGGGCCAACCCGGCTAATCCTTCTGACAGTGTCTCTATTGCCTGTGAGTTCGTGGTTGAAAAGCAGTATATCTGGCGAGCGTAGGTACGTGGCATGTGACCTTCGAGGGGAGAAAGATGAAGGGAGTAGACAGTGACTGCCATCCTTGCCTTCAGTATCAAGCACTCTACTGTGTATAGTATATCAAAAAGAAGTCATTCCCTGCCTTTTGTTCTTCCTATAGATACTTCTTTAATATCATGATCTATAGAATTGCCGTGTGCATAGAGACTAAACAAGCAAGAGCCTGAAGTGATGGGTCTTAATCTTGAATCTGCTCTAGAACATGGCCTTGGAAGCCAATACTTTGCCAAAAATGGAGAAGTCGGCAGGACCCGAGATCGTCATTTCCATACTATGAATGTAGCTCCGCGACGGAACAAGTAGAAGAGTCCATCTCGTTGGACAACAGATTAGAAACTAAAACAAACCATACAAGCATGATTTTATATCTAGTAGATTGGCTGTTTCTTGTTGCATGCAAATGTTGAAGTGATGGATGGAAGCTTCCAAGATTGGAGGTTGTGGTATCCGAAATGGAGTCCTTTATATTACGTTTACCCATTCTTTCGGCGCCCAATGCCCTCCAGGATGTCCTTGAACGTAACTTCCTCGCCATCAAGTCCCCACCTATGCGACAATATCGCATACTGTGGGATGTTCTCGACGAGATCCTCGGTCAGCGTCACGCTGCCATCTTTTCGGCAGTATAAAAGGCGCATGGATAGAGAATTGTATCGCGTGGAAGATAACGAGTATTCGGCCTGCTACAATTTCGCGACCTTAAATAGGCCGCAGGGCTGTTAGGTTATAAAGTTATAGAATCCGGGGAGAAATGATCATAGCTGTTGTGGATAAAGAGCATGATCTTAGCAAATTGTCCGTCCGGGCCATGCCAGATTGATATTTAGAGGCTGTGTATCGACGGAAACTGCTAAGACAGCAGCGCAACCCCGCGTGAATGCCATTTTAGAACGAGGCTGCGTCAATAACGAGATCTGTACATTACTCCAATCAGGCCACTTCGCTTACCGCCGACGGCTGCAGGCCATGCCAATAGATGTCTTGGTCGATATCGTGGTGCTGGTATTCTCAATCTCGACGTGGCTTGATTTTCACGCGAAGCAGGCTTCGGCGCTCTACTGTCAGTCAACTGAAATGCTATCCCTATATCCTTGAACCGCTCGATATATTAATCTAGATGCTTCACTTGAACACGTTGTCCGTTTCCTCTGCATTCGCCACCCACCACGTCGACCCGCCCCATCGCTTCGATACAGCCCGATCGCCCTCTGCGTCTCCAGTTCGTTTTGCCAGACGGATAGCAGTATCTATTCTCGCCTGTTGGTTCTCCACCACAACCAAGAGACGTCCAAGAGCATCCTGGGCAGCGGCGCCACCGTGTTCGAGTCGTTCCTTTAGTACGCAAACCGCGGTATCGATCTTCGCAAGTGTAGCAGGGATAGAAAGGCTGGTATTATCATGGAGACCTTCGACGTATGGAACAAACGTGCCATCCCAGTCATCGCGTCAAGTCGAGTACCGAGCCTGGGCCACCCATCCTCTGTATCTCTTGTACAAGGACGTCGCATCGCGGAAGGTTATGGTTAGTACGGAAGTCGTTGATACCCCACCATTTCGCCCTGTCATGTATCAGTAGATCAGTCTTTTGCATGGAGACGAAAGCTGCCGTGTAAGAAATGCGATAGCACTTACCAGATTGCTTCGGTGAACAGACTTTCCTAAAGCCTCTGCTCTTAGAGGCAGTGGTTGGTGGTATAGGTACCTTTATTGCCTTCAATGGCGAGCTTTCCGTATCGAACGCCTCGTGCGCAGCATGCAACCTCCATTTTGCTGTTGGCGAATGTTTTGCGTGTTGGTGTGAGAAGAGAATTCGAAGGTGGGGTTAAATCGTATTAGTGATGACTTGCCTATTTTCATCAAACTTAGTGGGCTGTACCTATGTACCAGTCACGGCTCCTAGCCTTTGGGCTAGCCGCGTGGCCGTACGGGTGATAGTTCTATTCCGTAGCTTAGTCAGTAGCCCTGCCGGACCTCCGGAAGCCTATTCAGCCTACCGTTAGCGTATATAGCCTAGTTGACGAAGGTCATGACCTAGCAAGTCATCCTTTACTTCGTCACCTTATAATTAATAGTGTATTTCCAGTAATCACTGACGACTCTGCACATCGCGCCCGTCGTAACAGTACCTACCGGTACTCCTACCTGTGGACACCAACTTCCCACTACAGCAGCTGCTATTCTAACGGGGATTGATGGCAGGTACGGTGGGAGTGGCTATATTACCCCTCACAGTGGATTCCTTCAGTAGACTAGAACTTCAACTCTACAACATTAATACAATCCCCTTGGCAATCCAAACATTTATCAATACCGAGTTCATTTTTCCTCTATCGTAGTAGTCATTAAACAAGTGGAGGCCTTTGGCGCCGGCTAGCTCACCACCCTCGTTCCTAGCAGTGCTATCACATCTAAGGAGCAATTTAGGTAGGGGAGGGGTAAACCGCTTTATTCAGGTCTAACCAGCTTACCTCATCATTTGTGGCGGTCAGAGTCCCATCTCCGTCATATTTGTCTCATCCCCTAATCGTTCCCTTCAATTCCCATGCCATTCCGAAAACTCTTTCCTATCGCCTCGACCACGTCCTGAAAGCATATTCTCCTTACTATGCAATATCAGCATCGGTCTCTTCTACTATATATCTAGTCTTAGAGCCGACACTAAGCCGACGATATGACATCCCAAGCCTCCAAGTCGATCACTGGGGACGATATGAGGGCCGCGGCTAAGGCCGAACAGTTTTAGCTCTAACATGGGGCGAGTGGAAACCTGGAGGTGGGAATTGTTGGATTGGGGCGGCGCATAGAGAACCGGGAACCACGAATATGTCTAGGTACAGGTTATGTGATGGGTCTCATTCCGTCTGCGGCGGAACCCGGTGATATTATTGTCCGTTTCTGGAATTGCGACGCCGCGGTCGTGATGAGACCTCTGAAAACGATCCCGACTGACCCTAAAACGCCGGTTTCTTGGAGTCTTATTGGCAGAGCACATGTAGCTGAGGCCTATAATCGAAGATCGACGCCTGGCTATGACGTGCGTGCAGAACAATGCCTTCGAGGAAAAGCTGAATCTGGACTTTCGGAGGAGTTGCCTGGTCATTTCGGCGCCGTATATGTCAACTTTGACTTGCCCACTTTGCAGAAAGTCACTGCATGCATCACCACGTAAGACTTGTGATATTCTATTAGAGCGCCGCCCAAATACAAGGTTATGGATAAGGGATGGTGATAGCAGGTGCACGTTGAGCTGCACCTCCGTGTTGGGAGAGAAATGACACGGTCAAAACCGAAGGCGGCTGGAGGCCATTCTAGAATAGCTCTAGCACAATCATTGTATTAAAGGCTCTACTATACAGATTAAAGGGCTTAGCAATAGCTTTAAATTACCAGAAATCCTCTAAGGGCCTCTAGGGCCATAGTCTCTCCTCTTGTTTTTTAATGCTTAAGATATTAAAATTTAAGTTTTTAATAACCTAGTTATATAACTTATGTTAAACTTAAGTTTTTGGGTACCCGCGGGTAGTTAATACCCCTATTTGGGCCATTGGGTACTTAGCACGTGTTAGGTATCTGAAACCCTAATTCCATAATGCGTTGTTCTTTTCAAGCAATAAATACATCCCATCTTTATCCTATCTCTATGTTGACACCGGCAATAAATGTCGTGGCCTATGACGAAGTCTAGGTGAGAACTATGGCATTCTAATTAGCCCTGCTTGGTTTGGCTTTAGAAAATTATTCGTAACAGGGTCAAGAAACGTACTCCGTTGAGACTGACAATTGCTTGATGAAGCTAGAAGTGTTCCGCATTCCAAGCTGATCTGTCCGAAAACGGCTGCACCTAACACAAAGGAGTTCGCCATAACAACACATTAGTATTATGAGACTAATATTCCTTGGTATACTACTGACTATGTATTAGAATTGGCTAGAATTGAAGACGTTCGTCTAGTTGACGGCGTATACATAACGCCGTGTCTGTTAGGCCTTTCCTTAGCTCACTACTATACCGATGGCGCACGAAAGTGGCCCTATTCGGAACATAGGATTTGCACCAGACCTGCCATCCTCGCCATGGGCGACACGATTTCCTAGCAAATTGGGGCTGATATCAGGGAAAAGTGTGAACCATTCTGCACTCGTTCCGTTTCCAAGGGTAGACGATCCAGTATACTATGACCAGGATCCCGTCGGGGAGCATCCCCGTGATGATGCAGAACTAGATAAAGGCTTGATTTCCGAGGTTTTTCAGAGGAACAATCTCATGGGGTTATTGACATGGGAAGCCGCAGTGATCAATCGCCACCTCTTCTTCTCTCCGGGCGCTGGTCCTATATCTGGGGGTCATCAACTAATAGACAAGCAACCAAGCGGTGACGCAGCTCTAGGAACGAACGAGGAAAGGAATTTTTCGGTCTATCAACGCGAAAGGATCAAAGTCGACGAAACGAAATGGTTCCATTTCCTACGAAAAGATAGGTGGTTCGATTGGTCTGGATTTGATTCGGACTTCTCGAAGCAACAGAGGAGACACTGGAGTGTAGATGACCCGAAGATTTGGGAATTCCTCAGAGTTAGCCTTGAATTAGCGAATCGGATGCTGAAATCACTAATAATGGACAGAAATGAAGGGGGTATGCCACGCCTATTCTCTCCCGCTCTGGGTTCCTTCTCTCTCGTGACTCATTGGTGTAAGTGAAAAAGAGTGCTGACCTTCTGTATCTAGTAAGATTATCCCTTAATAATTTGATGTAATCTAAACGATTAGCCACTAAAGATGAGAGGGGGCATGATTTATTATGTCAACATAAAAGCTGTGCTGACATCGTTTAGCTACAAACATTATTGTTCGGCCCACTAGAGTTTTGGACAAATTTCAAAGACATATTTGCTCCGCCTCCATTCGGTAAATACGACACGATTTTAATGACTTATTCTTTCTCACAGGAAGTTTTCCAAAAAAGGGGTCAACCTTTCCCATATGATAATTTTGGTAAGTGAATAACTATTCTTGTGTCTTTTACGGCGGATACGTGCCTTAAAGAAACGCAGTTGTTGAACCCTTCACTTACAGGTTCATAGATACAAGCCCAAGTAATGAATGGGAAACCAAGCTAGAATCGCTTCTATCTCGACTTGTTTCTTCATTTGCGGACATGCCTACCGTAGAAGGTATGAATGTGAGCAGCATAGAGAGTGAAAGGCAGCCAGGGTATACCTCAGTTGTCTTGTTGGGAGTTAAGAAGTTAGAGCTCGTACTTAACTCCAAGGTGACCCTTGGAGAGTTATGTGCTATCCATATCGAGCAAGCAACTACATACAGTAAGCAAGTATTTCTGACGATTCGGTAGAAGATTGTATCAGCTCATTGATCACCAGATAGTACATGAACTTATGCACGCGGTGATGAGGTCTAGACATGTTGAAGAGCCACATCTATACAAATTGAAAAGCTTGAGGCGCTACATTGAACCGGTAATCACCTATCATATGACGAGATTACTAGTATTTCAGAGACTGATGGCTGTACCTTCAAGTTCCTGAACGCCAGAGGCTATCGTGAGACGGGTCATTATATGGATCAACATTTCTTCGGAGGATCTCCATTTTGTTCGCGTAAGTTCAGGATCTACCGGGCCCATTCAGGATTATTATCATGGCCACACATGAGACTCCCCTCGTCGAAGAAACAAGCTCTAAGCCTCTGGTAGCTAATTCCATCATATTTGATGGATTCTCACCATCTATCCCACCACCGCTAGGCATCATGATATCAAAATTCGATTTAAATTGCAAGCCTCGCGTTACGCAGCCAGGAAGAATATGCCATGTCCCTTCCTCATGGGCATCGAAGTTGATGGGCGAGCACTTTTGGCAAGATCCCCGCCACCCACAGAAGAGCCATCGTTCATTTCACAGGAGCGCTCTCACCCCCGATTCTGGCACGGAAATGGACTTAAGTTCATTGCCATACGTCTATGACGAGGATAAAGTCATAGTGGCGAGCTGGCAGAAAAAGCAAGATAACTGGAAGACATGGCGAGATAACTGGAACGAAAAGGCTCAACGCATAGTATGTGATCAATTACCTGGATATCTTGACGTTCTATGTTTTCTAATTTTGATGCCTAACATTATGGTACTCTCGAAATATCGCAAGCCCTTGAGTATGATATAGGCTAACCCGTATATAATAGTGGACGAAAAGTCCGGTAAGGGAACCAGAACCGCGCTGTTATATCTAGAAATCGAAGCTCAAACTAACTAGAGTACACCGTACAGTGGAGCTCTGTAGGCTCACGTAGTAACTGCTTCAAGTTCTCGACCGCTTTCTCGAAGAAGGACTTGGTGACGTGTGCTGCCGTGGCGTACGAGTTGGTGGGTATGGTCGGATGGAACGAAGGCATAGACTTCATGCAGCAGCCCCCTCGCATTCCCGTAAGAGAGTGGCTTTGGCATTGTGTTGGTATGTGGATTCTGGGTGCTCTGGCTAGCCCACAGTGACCACCTTGCTAATAGCATTAATTCTAGGGCTACTGATGATGGCGTCAATACCTCTCCTAGAACAGGAGCTAGAGAATCCTTATGAAGAAAGAAGGTTAAGCGAGCATGAGCCTGGCCGCGAAGCCAGAGCTGCTGGTCATAACGATAAGGTGATTACGCATATACCCGGTGATCGACCTGTGTTTGCAGGGCCTAGCGAATTTTGCAGCATGGAAGGGACGCTTAAATGTCCATTCACACAACTCGATTATCTCGACCGGATCCTCGACGTTTCAACGGTGCTCCAAACTACTAGAACGGTTGTATATGATAGCATATTTATGGCCATACTTCAAGCCGCACGGGACATTCGTGCTAATCGAGAAAGCATGGTCCAATCCATGGGTGCTTCTCATATCAACAGCTGGGCTTCAGAGTGGTTTTTTGAGCTTCCAGCTTATAGTTCATCTCTTATTCGATATAATCCTAAAGATAGTAGATGGAAGTTCGTTGTTCCAAATTAGCGATCCATCATCTACGGACCTAAATCTTGATCAACTATCCGCCATTTCAACTTCAGACGCTACGCTATGTATAGATCAATAATAGATATCAATTTTGTTATTCAACACCTGTAATATTGTATATTCTTGTAGACTGGTATTGCACCGTTGCCAGACTCAGAATCCAGATGCCGGGGCATTGCAACACCAAATAACAGAGCGCTCCATGGCGTCAAATGAGATAGCCTTGTCATATGATCGAGTGTTCGTTCATAGGTTATTTCCTCAGCAAGCTCCACTGGTTATGGTGATTAGATATGTGGCCTGCTGATTGGATACTTTGACGGCAACTGGAAATATACAGACGGAATCACTTACTTTTAAAGTAGTATATAAGAACACTCTGATCTCTAGTTCTCTTCATGAACCAAAATCTCAACTTTACCTTTTCAACTTCATTTACCGTGACCCTGCTCTGGATCTTGACTACCAAGGCGCAGAGCTATACCATCGAGCGAACTATCAGAAAAACATTTCTAGAGAAGATGGCTGCAACAACTTTTATGAATATGACCGGTGACTCCGAGTCCAGCTTAAGTGTAAGTATAGATTTATCGAAAACCTACGTAGAGAGGCGTTTCATGTACTGACAGTGCCAGGCATACCAGCGCCAGCAAACTCTCCCAGAAACTTTACGCTTTCGCCCATTGCCTGCTCCTCTAGCAGAGGAAACAACTACCCCATTCGCTACCCTCCAAATTCCGGATCAGCCCGTGCCTTGCCGACGGTGTCTCCAGGACAGTCGAGTTGGCGATGAGATGCTACTATTGTCATACAACCCCTTCCTCGGCAAGAGTCCTTATCAATGCGCCTCGCCCATCTACGTTCACTCCAAGCCGGCGTGCGCGGACGCGGCTGTGCAATTGTCGGGTGGACCAATTCCCGAACAGCTGAGCAAACGACTCTTGTCCATTCGCGCCTACGACAGTAAGCATATGATGCGTGGCAACGAAGTCGTGGACGGAAATCAGTTGCTGGAGGCTTGCCAGCGGCTGTTGGGCGATGACGCTTCAGCCGAGTATTGTCATGTGCACTTTGGTGGACCAGGGTGCTTTGCTGTCCGGATCGAGAAAGTGTCTCAGCCTAGCTAGATGGACCGTTGAGTCAGTGTCATTCTTTCAGTTTGGGCTGGGAGATGACTGAGCATTATATCGTACCGAGTGTATAGGTGGGTTTCGCCCCGGAGAAGGTTTCCATCTGTATTATAAAATACCGAATACCGGGTAGAGACGGAGATGGTGCTCAATTTCAAGGGTAGTAAGCCGCAGTCAATTACCCCAGCTAGTTTGATATTTGAAAATAGTATCATCGTGCGCTTAGACGTGTCGTAAATAAATATAAAGATGCCGTATGTGTCGATTACAATGAATATGCGGTATATGTCTGCTATTTATATTGCATAAGACAGGACAGGTGAGCTTGAACATGTCGAAAATGAGGCCATCAGTCCTTGATAGCATGAACCATACTGGTACAACCGGGAGTTTATGAATATCAATTTACCTTAGGCATGGGCCTAGTCTAGCTGCAGAAAGGTAATCAAGTTGCCGTGAGATTTTTGGCACTGGTCGTAGATCATTGTATTGGAAACAAAATCAATTCCAGGCGCTGATGCTTAGTTCTTGTTGGAAAATCGGTCTGCTTCATAAGTCGAGCAGTGAAGGATCGACGCAGTCCGAGGCGTGGGTATCTATAAGCTGTCCAAGAGTCCCATTGTCCATTTCTAAGAACGTCGAGAGTTCCAAGTTGTTGTCATTAAGCCACTCAGAATATGAGCCCTGATCAGTATACATAGAGTCTGCCAAGCACTCTGATAGCCAGTCATCAGTAATTTGATCAGAATCCAGAAAAGACATGTTGAAATCTCCGTCGCCGATGGAATCGAGGTGTACGATATCCGTCGCGTGACTAAGATCGGCGACGTGAGGTGTAGGATCTCGGACTGAAGTAGCGGGAGTCGAGCTCTCTCGCCTGATCGCCGCCGCGTATGCACCAGGCGTCGTTCCCAGTATTTGCTTGAACATGCCATGAAAATATCGGGGCGACAAGCCTACATGCGCTGCGACATCTAATAACTGGGCCTCTCCCTTTCGCTGACGTATATATTCGCATGCAATCTTGATTTGTTTCTCTGCAGAAGCGCGTGGAGATGCGTGGCTAGAATCTGTGGACTCCGGTAGACAGCGCCGACAAGCCCGAAACCCAGCGGCTACTGCGCTAGGCGCAGAGTCGAAGAAGCGCACATTCGCACGACGTGGCCGGCGCGATGGACAGCTCGTTCGGCAGAATATGCCTGTCGAGAGAACACCGTACAGGAATTCAGAGGTCGGGGTGTGTGCGAGTACAAGCTGCCACCGGGCTTCGTCCGTTGAGGATGAGCTGGGGTGTGCTGATTTGGTCCTATTGCGCGGGATAGCGACCGTGTTCCTTTGGACCATCTTTGCGTGTATGGAAAATCCCGCGATATCTCCAACTCTATGAAGTGGCGAATGATGGTAAGAAAGAACTGAGATGATGATGATGTGCTATGTAAGTTGCCATATGATCTCTAGGTATGTAATAAGGTTGCTTAACAAGAACTAGGAGCGGCTTCTGATTGGCTACTTTGATAGCAACTCACTGACTAATAACACTGCACTTGTTTTGAATGAGCTTGCATGCTTGATCATGAATTGATTCAACAGCAAGGTTCTTTGACTAACATAGCGTTGCGTCTACTAAAACGTCTCCCAAATTGCCTGATGTTAAACCGTCTCATTACAATCACAACTGTCCTCTTTGGTCCACAGAGGAACAAGTCCTAAGTAAATGTACTGACGAGGCTGCGGGGACTGTATTTAGGGAGAAGAACAACATGCCATGTTACTTTTATTTACATACACAAGTCTAGCCTCTCTAACGTGGCGGTAATAATCCAGCGAGCATTGCGCTTTGCGCCTTGGGCTAGCCCTCTCAAAGGGACATGTAAGGAAAGAGCAAGCAGGTAGGCTGTTGACCTTGGTTCCAATCTTCCGAACGGGTTCGTTGCTGCAAGGAAAGCATCACAACAAACCTATTCTTTCTGATGAACAGCAGATCTCGGATCTTAGGTTAACCACTACTACATTTTAGAGCTGTGCACCATCTATTGCTACTTGCTTTCTGTGCTGACGTGCCCACCATGAAGTTCATTCCGAAGATCGATGAAATAATTGAGGCTCAAGACGACAGCACTGGAACTCTGACATGCGGAGTTGAACTCGAGTTCCTCCTTCCCTCTATTGACCACATGGCGAAAGACCCCGAACCAGATATTGCGAACAGGTTGTTATACAGGTCGACGAGTAGAAACCCAGAGATTATTCATAAAGAGATCCGTGAGCAGTTGAGTAAGTTCTCTCACAAATATCCTTTTTCAAAATACCTGCAAGATTGCACAAGTGGTGTATTTTTCATTGACACATCGGATATTGGTAGTGGCTATCCTTAGGCAACTCGAGGGTGTTTCCTTCCGAGCTATGGATGACGATGACTTTCATCCTCCACATGACAATGTGGTAGTTTACGATTCTTGGCGGCTCGGCTCCGATACCACAGTCAACAAGAATCATGAAGATAATGAATGTTCTCAAAGCTCGTACACTTGGACTGGCTGTGTACTGACATCTCCAGTCATGAATCCCCACGACCACGCCGCAAATATTGATAGCATTTGCCGGATTCTCAAGATAGTCCGGATCCACCTCAATAAGTCAACTTCCGTGCATGTCCATGTTGGGCGCGGGGATGAGCCCTTTAGGTTCGTGTTCTGCGGGCAATCGTTCTCCTGGTTCGGTATACTTCAAATGAAGCTCGCGCTAACTCCGACCCCTAACGCAGCTTGCTCACTGTCCGGAAATTCGTCACTCTTTACTGGCTTACAGAGGAGGCCATCTTCGGGCTCCATCACCCGAGTCGCAAGACTAATAGGCATTGCCTTCCTCTTTCCAAATACTCAGTGATAGCAAAACAATTGCAGTCCACCGTTGACAGCGAAGACCGGTGTTCAAACGATCAGGGCCACAGGTTCAAGGATTATGTTTCCGAAGCTGGCTTATCCCCACTTCGAAGAACACAACTCCGTCGCATCTGGGCTTGCTGTAGTATTGAAGAAGTGGCGAAGTTGATGTGTATTGGAATTGACATGGGCTGGAAATTACCAGGCCCTGACGAGCGAGGCGCGGTAGGGTTCTGGCGTTTTCTACCCGCGGGGAAATCGGGAGGAAACATACAGACTTTCGAATGGCGTCAAATGTCTGGTTCTGTGGATTCCAACCACATCAATCAATGGGTTAAGGCTTGCATCGCATTCACTGACTTTTGCCGCCTTTCCGACAAAGGCACCTTTAAGAAGTTTGTGGGGAAGGTTATCGAGAAGGGGGATAGTTACACCGGAATTGAACTACTCAATGCTCTGGATGTCGATAGCCATATCTTCCATGTTATGCGAGGAGCGTGGGCTCTAAGCCGTCATTTCTGCAATGATGAACATGGTAAGGATCTCTTCTTACCCATTGATGAGCTCTGACTTCGAATGCCCACGTCTTCGCTCTCATTTCTATATGACGAAGTCCGAGGCTCGATTGGAGGGCAATACTCATAATATGAATGTGAGTGTATACTAGTCGGCACATAAATTCACATCTCTAGAGAGATGAATTTGACGAGGAAGAAAAGAGCGTCTTAATTAAACATTATTAAATACACTCCATGTCTCTTTTCTTGATGTAGCAAGGAAGTCCATCTTTCATAGGAAGAGTCAGGCTAGTCTTGCTGACTCGTTTACCCTCGTATGCCGCTGTAAATTCGAACATTAAGAGCATGGTCGCAATGACTTGGGTAGCGATGATTTCAGCCATTCGCTTACCGAGACAGGTTCTCGGTCCGCCATCTTTCCATAAAAATAGTCAGCCCATTACTAGCAATGAAATAAGAAAAATCCCAAGGGCACTGGTTCAGGCTTGAGCATTCTCACTTACAAAATACAGGAAATTCAGATGCACTCTTGTTGATGAGTTTCCCATCTTTGGCAATCCAGCGCTCGGGTCTGAATTCGTCGGCATCTTCGCCCCATGTTCTTTTAGACCGATTGATCGCCCACAAGCTCCAGACTATCACCGACTTTTCTGGGAGGAAGGTCCCATCGGGTAACGTGGTAGCTTTTTCACACTCTCTAATCTCGAATGGAATAGGAGGAAATAGTCTAAGCGCCTCGTAGAAGGCCGCCATCGTATAGGACAAAGACGCAGGAGCAAAGACAGCAGGCGAGGTATCGCTCTCGCTACCAAGTTGCTGAATGTCAATGCTGTTAAGCTTGAGCAATTCTTGTGCTTCATCCCTAATCTTCTTCATAGCGGATTTGTTTTGCATTAGCAGATATAGACACCACGTCAAAGCCTGTGCAGTTGTATCTCTTCCTGCAGTTAGATATGTGAGAGCGGCATCCGCTACCAGCGTTTGCTGAGAGCCCAAAGCTGCCAGTAATGAATGGATTAAGCTTCCGGATACTGTATCAAGTCTACTCCCATCCGCATCATCTAACTGCGCTGAAGGTTCTGTGGATTTTTGCTGATCATCCATTGCGTTGTTGACAATGCCTAACCCAAACTTGCGCACGATCGCCAGCGACTTCCTGAACCTTGAGCCTGTAATTATCTCGGTGATGAACCATAATGGATTTTGAAAGCGTTCAGTGACAACGCCAGAGGCGTGCTCAAACGCCACGGTAAAATCATCATCAGCATGCATTTCCATATCATAGGCCATCTTACCCATGAGTAAGCTAGTAATCTCATGGAAAGCAAGCTGCATGTCAACGATCCTGCTGTCCTTGACACAAGACTCTATATGATCTATAGTGCGACTAAGATACCGAGGGAGAGCAACATCCGTCAAAACGCGAAGATTCGATGCGCTCAGGAAATGAGAGCCTGCCTTCCTCTGAGCCTTCCACAGATCGCCATCAGCGTTGATGATCCCGTTACCAAACAGATCCCAAGAACGCTGCTTGACGAAATCGCCCTTGGCGAAGATGCCCTCGTTCTTGAAGACGTAGTCTAGGTTACTGGGGTCATTGATGACGACGCCGGGATGGAGAGTGGGAACGGTGATTTGGAAAGTCTCGAGACCGAACTGCCTCTCACAGTCTACGAACCATGAGAAGAGCTTCTTGCGATCCTGTAAGAATACAAGGCCATTTCCAGCGATAGGGAGTGTGTTCGGTGGCTTCCTACGAAGTATTAGTTCGCGGTGTGAGACATGAGTTTTGCCTTTTACTGGGCTCGTGATCACATACCGCAAAGGGACACCGTTTCGACGAATGTTAGGAGCTCGCAGCAAAAAGTAGTATATTACGAGTAAGAAGATTAAAACTGGCCCTAAGAGACCATGGCCTTGTAAAAGAGCTGTCATGACCGTCCTCTGAATTGCAGTGAAGGTGTCGTCCAACTCCCAGCTACTGTGTATTGGACTAGGAATGAGAACATGGCCAAAGGCAGCTTACACAAAACAAAGGGAGGGGGTCGGAAAAGCTGAGGCTCGAGTGAAACAACCCGCCAGTTCCTAATCCAATCTAGCCTGATGAATAACCACTCTCAAACATTTTCCGAAATAGTAAAAGTGGTGAGATCATGCAATAGGTACGGCACACAGGTAAATACGATTACGAGCCACGATGCGACAGTTTCAGCCCTTCCCCCCAGCCACAGTTCTAGCAATGCCACTGCGACAGGGGCAAGACAGGGCAGAACAGGGGGTTGGTTCAGGCCGAGGCCGCTGAAGATGGCGGAATCGGCGGAATGCCTAGGGACATAGCGGGATGCTGCAGGTGCACTGATAATCACTACGTCAGACCCAGTAACAACATCTGTGCTGTGTTTGAGATCTCAAAACAGCCAAATCACCAACATTAATTAACTCACCGAGATGCACTCTCGTGGAACTGAAAGAAGCCAGCAACCTCTATGCTCATAAAATCAAGCCCAATTCTTATAATAGCTAGCCAATCAAGCTGGATCTCTGCCAATTGAGGCTCTTGTCATCAACTGATCTCCAGCCGCAAGGAGCAAGCTATCTACCTAGGTAGTTTATCTTCTACTTTTTTGTTTTATGAAAGCATAGGTAGGAAGAAGATGACTCCGTGCATTCCACGGTTGCATCTCTTCGAGATTGCCGACCAGCCCTGGTATGTACAACCACATTTCAGCCCTCACTTGATTTTCAGCCCGACGGCTCTGCGCATATTCATCGGCATCAGTAAGAGAGCATCCAATGTGGTGCCAATGAGAATCAACCACAGAGCTTAGACAATATTCTACTTGGCCATGTCTATCCAGGCTGCTAACCGCAATTACACAGGTTTCCAGCCTTCCTCCGAGCATACGTGCAAACGGGCCTGACGCATGCCTGGACAACACACATCCCGGTCCTCCAAACCAGCAGTCCAGCAACGCACGTAGCTAACATCCTCCGGCGCGAGCTCGGCAGCACATCCGCCTCATCCTACACCTACATCGACTTCTGCGCGGGCGCGGGCGGTCCAACGCCGTACATAGAGCGAGCGCTAAACCAGCAACTGCGCAGTCCATCATCACCCCAACCCCCAAGCTACGCAGCCGTAGCCTCTCAAAGCCCCAATGACGACACAACAACAACAACGCAGCACCCGCCGTCGCCGCCAAATACAGACCAAGGCGTCAAATTCGTCCTAACAGACCTGCATCCGCACGTCGAGAGCTGGGAGAAGGCCGCGCGCGCAAGCCCACACCTCACATACGTCTCGACGCCCGTCAACGCAGCCGACGCGCCGCCGGAGCTGATCACGCAGCACAAGGCGGCCGGCAAGGGCGTCTTCCGCCTCTTCAACCTCGCGTTCCACCACTTCGACGACGAGCTCGCGAGGGCGATTCTCAAGAATACGGTCGAGACAAGTGAAGGATTCGGGTAAGTCTTATCCTATTCTCTTTTGAATTGGAAAAAAAGGAGAAAGAGGGGTGGGGGTTATAAAAAGAGGGATGAAGGATATGAAAAGAGCATCTTCATCCCAATCACTCAAATCAGCCCCAATCAAACACTTACGCGATCATACACGCAGGATCTTCGAGCTACAATCCCGCAACTTGTCTTCCTTCGTCTCATGCATGCTGTTCGGCTTTTTCATCTTCTTGATCGCGCCTCTGCTGTACTGGTGGTCGCCACAGATCCTCTTCTTCGTCTACGTGGTCCCTATCGTGCCTTTCGTCCTCGTCTTCGACGGGTTAATATCCAGCTTGCGCACGCGAACAGCTGACGAGATTGAGGTGCTTCTACGTACGTGTGGTGCAGCGGATACGGTAGATTGGACGGTGTACAGCGGCTCGGAGACTTTTCTATGGCCTTGCGGATACTTGACGTGGATCATATGTACGAAAAAGAGGAACGGATAAGGCAAGTCATAGGACTGTAATGTCCCAACTTTGTTGCTGTAACATTTGCATTTGCATCATCGCATGACGGGTTTATCAATTATTCGGTCTTGTAGCATGAGAACGCGACACTTGGAAGTGTAGAAGGTGAGCGAAAAAGCTATGACTCGGAGCTATACATACATTAGATACTCAGCTTTATTACCTCTAGGGCCGCTCGCACTTAAGATGCTTGACGTCTGCGGGTCCTTTGCCCGGCTTAACCATCCCATAAACAAACTAGACTCAATTCACACGCATACGCCACGTGTGTAGTACCAATCCCAAGAACTCCCCCGCATCATCTAGTCAATTATATTAATGCCAATGCCTGACCTTTGTTGTCGATGTTCACCTTGTCAACCAACCCAGGTAGTCGACGACAATGAGTGTTACCATTCTGTCACCGACACGTTAGTTCCATTCATCTATTCCTTAACCTGCAAATAGTGAGGACAAGTCAAAAGGTCTACTTACGCGTGCGGCGCAATACGCACGTAGTATGTGCCAAATCCCCGATAGAACCGCGTCAATCCCTCTTGTCTCGTGACTTTGACGAAACAGTCGGCCATGCTCTTGTAGGGCAATTTCCCGTCAGGCCCGCGTTGTTGTTTCTGCAACCTAGTCTTGACAAAATCGAAAGGCAAACTGAGGAAGCTAGCAAAGAACCCTGCGATTGCACTCGCGGTCAGGGTCTGCGTCTGTGGCGACCAGGAGGTACGTGTCTTGAGTTGCGCCTTCGCTTCCGAGAAGAATGCGAGCTGGCCTAGATTGAGCGCCATAGCGCGCACAACAGTCGGTGTGGCACCAGCCCATAATCCCGTTACACCTTCGGATTTCACGATGGATGTGATGGCGTCGACCACGGACTTGTAGTTTTTACGCTCGGCGAGGGGTTTAAGACCATCCGATTGCATACGGATGAGTGCCAGATCAGCCGGGTTACCGATGAATGCGGCCAGTCCGCCTGCGGTGAGGCCAGCACTCGCGCGTTCGGCGAATCCAACTTGTGTGCCGTTGTCCTTGGCACGCTTCGTGAGGCCTTTCATGAACGTGTCAAAGAATCCTAATCGAGCAGTCGTGTAGACACCTTGACGCAGAAGACCAGCAGAGAGACCAGTGTACAGGTCAAGGGCCTTACCCTGCGCAAGTATCTCACGAGTTACTGATATAGGTGTAGGTTTGGGGCCCGTGGCCACGCCCTCCCCAGCCAGCTGGAGTCGGACCTTGATCATGTCGATAGGCTGAATGACTGTGGTAGCCACCATGCCCGATGTGCCGCCATTGATGAAGGGCAGAGCTGCTCTCATTAACGGTGTATGGAGAAAGTCAGTCTTTGCGGCCGCCATGGTTTCAATGGTTTCGGTGCCTTGTTTGCTCATGTTGGGAGTCTTGGAGCGTGCGGCCTCGGCAGCTTGCTTCAGTGTGTTGGAGCTCATAATACCAAGGAATGGGCAGGATGCTACTCAGGTCGACCAGGAAGAAATCTCCGCCTCAAACGGGCACTAGAAGCCGGCAAAACTGGAACAGGGACAAGCTGAGGCACCTCTTAGTTAGCAACATATTGCAAGGTTGGAAAGTCCAAGGGTTTAATATGCTAAGTACTAGATTCTACATCCAGGGGTAGACAAGCAGCTCCAATAGCAATCGGGCCGTGTTGCGGTAATGAAGAGAGAAATCCATTGGCTATATCCAGCAGGAATCCATTGTACAGGATCATATAGAGTTTAGACACCGGCGAGGGTCAGCATCCGATACTCGATAGGGCTGCTTGAATGGAGGTGACCCGGGTGTTGGTCGGTTATCATGCTGGAGCGATTCATTTGAGGCTTGTGACGGAGTGGAACCCGTTCGGAAAAGATAGGAGGTTTGGAGACCATCAACCCAACTGAATTGGAATGCTCCACATGATGAATTGGGGTATGGACGGGCAACACGGGAACGAATGATTGGCGGCCGAGGAAGATGGAGAAGTTGAAATGGTGACGAGGTTGATATGATTAGGCAGAGTCAATGGATAGGGCAAGATTCAAAGAGACAAAACGAAGTAACCGACCTTCGTAGGCTCCAATTAGCGTGCAATCGCTTTAGATTGAGGCTATGATGGTGATTCGGTGACAAAGCAACTATTCTACCGCGGATATGGGCGATGCTACCCAGGTAGCGTTTCGCTCGTCCGAAATGAGGTATGCCCAATTTTCTGAACAGCTAATAGCCGAATACCGAGCTAGTTGGTTTTAAAGGCAGAATAATTCGGGTATAGCGATAATGAATGAGAAGGAGGCCAGTATAACAAGAGAGTAGGAACAGACAGCGGCGCCACTAGAATGGCGGGACAAAGAGAGGCACGCGATCAACGAGATGATAGCTGTCCCCTTAGAAGAAGCCGACAGGTAGGGCTGGGGCGATATGGTTGGAAGAAATAAAATAGGTTGATGATGGGCTGCCCAGAGCCAGGATGAATAAAATCAGGATCTCGAACCTTATTCTACCCGCGTAGGTACTAAGTAGGTAGATATTAAAGATAAAGCAGAGGCAGCGATGGGCAAAACTATAAGGGACACTGCAGATGGACCCTGCTGCGTCTGGCGGCTGACACCTCGGGCCTGCTGTTCAAGAGGCAGCAAACTGGGCGATGGCCGAAACCTTAATGATGTAGACAGAGGAAGAGGGGAAGGGAGGGAGGGAGGGAGGGATGGATGGATGGATGGAGAGAGAGAAAAGACGACGTCTGGGAGGGAATGAATGATGGCACGATTGGATTTGAGGGCAGCATCTGTGCATCTCTCTCCCCAATTATGATCCCGTACCACACACACACAGAGAGAGAGAGAGAGAGAGAGAGAGAATACCGTACAAAGCGAGGATAATACCCGAGTCAATCAATCAGTCAATCAGTCAATCAGCCAGCCAGGCAATCAAGGATGGAGAAGTCCTCAGTACGAGCGTTCTCTTCTGCTCGGTACTAGGCCGGAGGAGACATGGGGGAACATATACTACCTAGTTGGTATGTCCTCATGTCCTCCAACACACACTGGGCGCTGCCGTACGATTGGTAGCAAGTGGCATTGGGGTTGTTGAGGAGGTTCTCTGGTGTGCCTTTCGTGCTCCATGGCGTTTACTAGGCGGCGAGTAGCAGCAAGATACCACCTTACCTAGGTAGATGGGTGTGTGAGGAGGAGGAGAAAGAGGAGGATGTAGTTTGGATGTATCTCGTCTGCCATCATCGCGGACCACGTAACAAGCACGCGACTACAAGAGAATGCGGGGTCGACTACCCGGTTGGGTGAATTTGTTACGTGAAACCTTCTCGACAGCATCATGCTACGCACGGTAGATGATGGAGGGCTAGCGATTTGGATGTTACTATACCTGAGCTTCATCTGGTCGATCTACCACGGTATCTGCAATAGGCGATGGTCTGCGTCTGGGCTTTCTTTTCCACCTTGCTGTGTCCATATAAAAATAGAATGTCAACAGACTGCCCGTTTCGGAATATAGCAAACAGTTGCCGGACTATATACCAACTATCAATCGACAGGCAAGTATAACAAATTGAAAAGTACCTACTACCGCTTCGCCCGACCCTTTCGGGATCGAGTGGAGACGAACGCTTGGTTAGGTATATGATGTATTTTATAGGATTGAGGTTGTTCTTCCACTCCAGCGTCCTAGCTGTGCAAGTGTGTGCTCGCCCGCCGGTATTCTTCTGGGATGGATAATTCCCGCAGTGTATATCTAGGTAGGTAGGTACACCGGTCTTTTAATTTAGCATCCGGGGCCCGATGCCAATGATTAGATACATGCAAACGTAGGTAGCCAGATTTGAGGCTCTATTAGATGGCTGGCTTATGTAGCACACATTTGGAGTAGCACGAAGCTGTCCAACATTCGCAAGGAACTACCGTCCAATGTAGCCTAATCACTAAGCTGTCACCGAGGACTAATGAATGAGGAGAGCTGGACTTCAGCATGTACTTACTCAGAACCTCGTGCGCAGTTGTAAATGGCCCACCGGACAATAATGTATAGCCGTGTATGGGATGACTTCAGCTCAACAGGCCGGTGTAATGTGCTTCGAAGTACAGTCATCAGCTACATGCCGCCATTGACTGCCATCTGTCACATCTTCTAAGTCACCATCTACTTTATTGCAGACCTATCATTAAGACGATGGATGGACGACTTTGTTGCGAAAGACGAATACCCCATAGCAGACCCATAGTTTACAGTGACGTCAGAACCAGTGGCCTCTAGTCTACACTAGCAGGTTACCTGCCAAGACTGTTGGGGTTCGCAACTAGTGTCGAACTCCAAACCTGCGGGGAGATGCCAGAGAGGAGTGCCTACAATGTACAGAGTACACCGTCGTTTTGGCATGCTGCTTCGCGAACAAACACTCGTCAGCGACTGGAAAATGCCAAGCCATAGTCTCTCGATTATCGTACAATCCACTTGTTAACCGCTACTAGTATTGTTTCCAAGAAGGGCCCGGCGCCTTGCGTCGGAAACGACGACCACGTAGCTAGGCAAGTAGGGCAGACAGACACATAGCAGCCTGTAGATAAGCATTCCAAGGTTGTCAGCGCCAATTGTCGGACATCCTGTACAGGTTTAGTATTCTTCGTGATGTTTGATTACTTCGCCAACAAAACAAAGTCCGTCCGGTCGGACCCGGAACCCGATCCGTTGGCGCTCTGTGGAACACATTCACAGCTAGCTTCTATTCATCGCTACGGCTGTCCTGTCCGCTGCCGCTCCAAAGTGCTAGGTATCTCGGTTCCGCTAATCTGAAGCTAACTATGCTCTTTCCAGCTGCGTACCTACCGTAGTTTATCTGCTTTCCTCACACCCATGGAATATGCATCGGTCCGAGTCGGTTCCTAAACTTTCCATTCGGACCTTTCTTGGGCACCTATGGCCTTACGCACTGACATACGTGAGGCATTCTATAACAGGCCCGTTCATACATTGTCGAATTTGGTGTACCATGGTGTCATATGCGGCATATAATGCACGTACACAGCATGATGAGACATGCAGGAACGATTCGCTAGGCGCGTAAGCTTCGATGCTGAGAGCTGGCGCTGCTCCCAGCATAGGGCCCGATGGCTTACAATGTTCCAGAAGTGAGAGTCAGGTAGAGAACTTCAAACTACGAAGCTTGCTATTAAGCATACGCTGGTCACGGAATCTAAACTGGTATGCAGGACGATTAAGTCTATTAATCTATAAGGTCCGCATTCTAGCATACTTATGCATACCTCAAAAGGTAGAAGGAAAAGTAGTCAAGCGTCCTCCATCAGTGACAACAACTGTTCCGTTGCAATACCCACCCGCGCGAGAAGCAAGATACAGTATAGCACCGCCCACTACAGTTCGCAAGCGTCAGGAATAGCATGTTTCGAGTGAGATAGGCGCAGATATGAGGACAACTTACTATCTTGTTCGTCGCCGACACGCTCAAGGGGGACCTTGCTTTTGACAATTGGTCCCGAACGCGCCAGAACCTGGGCTGACATCTCGCTAGGGTAGACTATTCGTACATGATCAGCATTGTTAGTATGCACTCAGCGCCGCCCATGATCTCTTTATAAGACCGAGTTGAAGGACACGGTGGAGCGACTTACGACCCGGGCATATCACATTCGCCCTAATATCCCATTGTGGGAGTACAACACTGAGTTGCTTGATGAGATGGGTGCACGCCGCTTTGCTCTGTCCGTCTGGAGCTTGTCAGAATATCCACATGTCCTATTACATGCTCTCCAAATCTGTCTGTATCATACCGGGACAGGAGATTATTCAACTTACTACAAACCGTTAGAAAATGTTTTAGATGGGTTTGGAGGTCTACTCACCAAGCAAAGCCTCCAGTGTTTGTCTTGTTGAAACCACCAATTGAGCTTATAGCTACAACTTGAGATTTCTGTTCCACGTTAGCACGGGCATTGCCCGCATCAAGGAGTTTCAAGAACGTCATAGTAGTGTACCAGACAGCGCTTGTATTGACAGCAAAAGTCTTAGTATAATCCTCAGCTACCACCGCCAGATTTGCCTCCATAAACTCGTCCAGGGTTGTCTCCGGCTTGGGATTGATGCCGAATGGCCCACCAATTCCCGAGTTGCAAACCAGGAGGTTCACAAAACCGGCGTCCTTCTCGATGTGCGATGCGGCTGCTTTAAGTGAATCAACAGACGTGACATCGCAATGAACTGGAATCACATTGGGGTTTCCGATGCTAGAAACTGCCTCTTGTAGTACATTCAACCGACGCCCAAGTATGTACACTTTCGCGGCACCATTGGCGACAAGAGCCTTCGTGATCATCAAACCGATGCCTAGAGACAAGATGAGAAATGAGAAGGATAGAGGCAATCGCTGTCTTGCGTACCAGTACCACCGCCTGTGACAACAGCTACAAGACCATTAACGTTGAATAGGTTTGCCGCGCTCAGCGCTGCTACATTGTTCCCTGAGTCGGCCATTCTGAAGTATGAGATCTATGCCCACGTTTATTGATGTATATGCCCCAAGTAAGGAATCTTTATAAGAAATCATAAACAGATAATTTACATTTTTGAGTCCGTCTTGAGCAAGTGCCCATCTTAGTTTGCATTTTTAAAAGTACCCTGGGTCCCGTGTAAGTGTCCATGATAAGTCGACCCCACCACTGCCCCTCGTTGAGAGGTAAACTCGGCTTAACATTGCGTAGGAACCGAGGAAGGCCGTTTCTCTAGCCTTAAAATGACTTGCTTTGGCCATTTCACCGTTAGATACTTCGTAAGTATCGTCGCTGTAAAACAATGACACACAAACGGTCATCAACAACTCTACCATGACTTTTAACTTTAGGGATACTGTCTCTGTACTGTCTAAGCAACAATGACTTGCAGCGTGCATCTGCCGATCCCAGGACCCTTCACCTGTACACCTAGGTATTCCAGGGGCTTCAATGTTAGCCCAATACAAAAAGCAGGAATTCACCAAGAGTGTTATTACCAGTTCTATACGGACTAATCAAGGTCTAAATTACTAGGTATATAATCACTCTATGACCATTGAATTACTAAGCGATGATGAGGGCATAATAAAATTGTAGCTAACGTATAACCATGGCCTAACTAACAAATAACTGTACATAGTAGAGAATAAGAGGTCCTAAGCTAACATTGGTGACACGGCTCGGCGGGGAAGGTCTACAGTACATGGGTACAGTATCAATTTGGAGACGATAAGGCTAGATACACTGTACAAAGTCCACTTTTAAGTTTTCTAGAAGTGCACATCTTAACCACGGGCGGCGGCAACTACAGAGGATTTGGTCCGCACTCAAGATGCCGAAACGGAAAAGAGGCGAGTCCAGCCTAGAAGAGAATATCACAAAATGGCGAAAGGAATTGGTGCGCGGCATGAAGACCGCCAAGGGCTTCGAACGTCAACGTCTGAGCAAGCGAATCCGTGAAGCAGATCCTGAAAAGGCTGCTCGGCTAGAGAAAGAGGTTCTTGTGCTGAAAGTAAGCATTTCTCTGGTTTCTCGATGCAATGATATTCAAATCATTCAATGAGTCGATTTGCCTGCTAACACGCGTGTGCTCCTTGCAGAGTCTTGACCTACAACAGGCGGCGCATGCGCACCTATGCTCGTCTCTCTTGAAAATCAAAGGAGTCGCCGAATCACCAAAGCTGCCCGCCGATATCAAGCCGGTACTGAAACCTGAACTTTCGGAAGAAGAGAAAACGGCCTTACACAACGTCACGAGCGCACTATGCAACCGGAAGCAGGTCAAAGATGTCATCGAGGAAGCGATCATGGGCACGTGCATAGCCTTACGAGTACCCATGCCAGATAAGAAGAACAAAGGCAAGGCAAGGGAGAAGGAAATGGAAACGCAGAAACCTAGCGTTGGAAAATCCAAGACACGTAAAGCTGTAATAGAAGAAGTAGATGACGAGGAGGAGGATGTGGATAGTCTTACGGACGACGAATCAGATGACGCCGAAGACGCTGGGCTTAAGAGGCTACCTCTCTTGAGAAGAAAGGTCGAGAACTCTGAAGGCGAAGAAGACCTTGAAAGTCGTGCGGGATCTGAGACTTCTGAAAGCGTAGAATTCGAGGGGTTCTCCGATAGCGACGCCGAAGAGGAAATGTTCTCGAAATACGATGGATTAGTTGGCGGCTCGAGCGACGAGGACGAGTCAGATGAGGAAGGCAGCAGAGACGACGACGAAGATGATCGCGCAGATAGTAAAGCGAAGTCCTTAAGGAGACCTGCGCTAGATGATATTTCGTTATCGTCCGAAGCGTCCGATGACGAAGAAGATAATGATTCAGACGACTCAGAAGACGAGGCTCTCGCCCGTCCAGCCAAGAAGGCAAGAGCCGTGAAACCGGTATCCTTCACGACCGGCAACTCGGCTTTCCTGCCATCGCTCATGGGAGGCTACATATCTGGCTCAGAGTCAGCCTCCGATGTAGACGTCGCACCATCTGCGAAGAAGAACCGGAGAGGTCAAAGAGCCCGCCAGGCGATCTGGGAGAAGAAATACGGCGAGAAGGCAAAACACCATCAGAAAGAGAAAGACCCGAGGAACGCAGGCTGGGATATGAAGAGAGGCGCAGTCGAAGATACATCTAGGCCGTGGAAGAAGGGCATTGTGAACCCGTTCGAGAAGAGCCATGTTCATCCTGAGAGACAGAAGCAGATGCAACACGAAGACGATCGGCCAGCTAAGGGTAAGGCAGCGAGGGATGCACGGCAGCCGAGACAGCAACAGCAAGATAAGAGCCATAACTTTCAGGAAGACAAGCCGAAGCCGAAACCTACGCCGAAGAGGGATGATACAGGGCCTCTGCATCCTAGTTGGGCTGCGGCGAAGAAGGCGAAGGAGAGCGTTCAGAAGATCGAATTCAAGGGGACGAAGGTCACTTTTGATTAGCGAGATCATACAACCTGCGAGGTGTATTAGTTGATAATATCAGATACCCTAACAATTGTCTTAAATTAGTGCAACGCGTTTCGAACTCATTTCACTCATTGGCCAGGCTCCAGGGGGTGAGCACTTAGATAGTATATTAGGCTATCGAGGCCTCTATCTATCGAGTAATAACTCTCATCGTATGTAGGATGGCTCAATCAGCCGTATGTGCCTTAGAAAATCAACGCGAAGTCTTCCTCTAAATCATTGTAAAAACTAGAAATCTGCGCATGTGTTAAACGTCTCAGGATATCATCCTATCTGACCATACCGTCTCGTGTGCAACGAATCTTCTCTACCCTTGGAGAAATATGAATAGACTAGAGTAAAAAGTGGCGCAACGTGCCTAATGAAGAGGATATTAGGAATTAGGAATACTGGTAATAGTAGGTTAGGAGTATCTCTCCTAGATCTGTGATTGTCAAAGAGGTTAATCAATGAGGAAGTATCGGTTTCAATATTCGGGATTTGGTCGTATCGGTCGACTCGCTACCAATCGTTGTTATCGATGTAGAAGATTCGAAAAAATCAAGGGATGGGTATAAGTCCTGTATCAAAGAGTTGAAATGCAAAAACAGATATTAGAAGAGGAATCAAGAAGCCGTGTGCTTCTTTGTGATGTGTGTAGATTAAGGGAATACCTCCTAATCAACAAAAAGAGAGCTCTCTTCATCTGAAGAGTCGGAGTTGGAATCGGGTTCGTTATGGTCCTCTTCGTCACTTATAATCTCAGGGGATTTAATAGAGCTACCTCTGGCTGGAGAGGACTTATCATTGTCTTCTTCGTCCTTTACGATCTCGCTCTCCTCGGAATCATGCTGTGTCTTGGGGCGTTTGGCGCACTTAGATCGCTAGGCCAAGTAGTATTCGCTTGCAGAGCGCTTCAGGGACATGTCCGAGCTTGAGTCGCTGTCAGGATTTGCCGTATCCTGAAGGGTTTCGTATATCGATTCTTCCAGTTTAATGCTTCGATTGCTATCATCATCATCGTCGTCGTCGTCGTCGTTATCTAGGATGATGTCTGGCTTAACATCCTCCTCCTCTTGGTCACTTTCAGTGTCGTCTATCTTTATGCCATTATCGCCGTTGTCGTCATCATCATCATCAAGAGTAAGGTCGACAAATCCAGGTGGCGCTGAAATAACCGTTACTTCGTCACTATCATCATCGGTATAGGCAGTGCATGAACCTGAGCGAACGAACAAGCCGTCGCTGGTGCTGTAATCCGTGCCATTTCGTCTGTGTCGCCTGTGACTATCGTCATCGTCATCTTCGATCATTATCACAGCTGGCTCTACGGTGGCCATATTGCTGCTGTTATAACGTCTTTTGTCGAATCCTGAACGTGATGGGCTGTTTGCATCACTGTGAACCCCGAAGGAGTCGTCTGGTCTATCTTCATCATCGTCTCCATCGCTATCGATGTCAATGACCTCGACATCGCTGTCACTTCCGGGGTCAGACCCACCAGTTTTGCGGCGCGAGCGGTTACCAGAGGAATCTCCAGAAGAGTCATCGTCATCATCAGAGTCTGAGTCTGAGTCTTCTGAACTAGCAGATGACGACGTGTCTGAGCCGGCTACGGACACATTTTCGACTGTGGTCTCGTCATAGAATTTGGCAACGAGCTCCATAGTCTGATCATCGGGGAAGTAATCACTAAGTGAAGTGAGCGGCCGCAGATTCTCAATCTCGGACTTGAGGGCCATTGAGTCGCTCTTCTTTTCCGTCACAGAATTATTGATATCCAGCAGGAAAGACTTGTCTCGAATGTAGGTACAAGGTCGCGCACCGTGGATGTCGTAGAAACGCACCCATTTCATGCCTCGGAGCTGGTATATGAAATCCATTCCATGGACGGTTCTCATGCCTCGATATTTCCGGTAATTCATTTGTAGGTCGGTCCTCTGGGTCTCCATTTGAAAGATGTACTTGTCATCCTCTTCATAATCCTCACTCCCGAAGTCTTTATAGTAATCGTCATCCTGCTTCATCTCATACGAGCGGCGCATACGAGACTTCGCACTTTCGTCGATATGGACTACCAGCGTACGTAGACGACTGGTAAACATGAAATTATGTAGAGGCTCCTTGCGCAGAGAAATAGAGCCTGTAGGTTGTCTGGGGGTAAGTCTACCTTGCCATAATAGTTCGACGTGGACGACTCGCTCAGTACGTGCTCTGCCGATCCCCTTAAAGAAACGCCCCAGTTCACCAAGAGAGCTAAAGGCAAACGTGTTCGTTGCTAGAGCATGTTAGTTATGCGTATAAGCCCGACTTTAAGGATTCATGGATAGTTGGGACTTACCATAGAATAGATGAGCTAGTGCATAGAGCCAGCGCCTAGATACGCAAAGATAATCTAAGTGGGTTGAAGGTTTGTCCGCCAGCGCAACATAGCAAAGACCATCACCGATATGAAATCGACTGGGATATTTACGTCTTCTACCACTGAGATAATCGGCGATGGGAGGATTTTTAGAATCCAGGCGAGACAAACAGTGTATTAGCTCATGATTTGGCACGATGAGTCGCCAAATCTTACACTGCACGGCGATTGGGAGTTTTTCAAACGAAAATGGTGCGTTGAGGCCTGCATTATCATCGCCGTGGAACTGTTGAATAGCGTCTTGAGCAGCAAAGTGCCTCTCGATTTGTGCTGGAGTGAATAGAGTGTTTGCTATATTTAGATCGGGATGAGTGAGCGTGAGGGACATGTTCCCCTGGCTGCATGAATTATTGTAGATTGGGTCGTATACATTAAGGTCTTCTCTAATGCTGTCATTGGGATCACGGTTTCGGAACCTTTCCAGAAACGCGAATAGGTCATTTTCCCATGGCTAGTTATTCCCAGTCAGCATAACAAGACAAGTAGCATCCGAGCCTTATTCAAACTTACTTTCCAGGTCAATACGCCGGATCTGCTCAAGCGTCTAACCTCATCCTCAAGGTCCTTGATCTTCTTCTTAAGGTCCCGTACTTCTATGGCATGTTGCCGCTTAAGGTTATTCACCTCGTCAAACCACTGTCTCCTGATGTGATCACATTTATCCTTGAGGGCTTTGCATTTTTGTTTGCAAGTTTGCGGTCTTGACTTAGCATTACGCCGTCGTCGCTTAGAACCAGCACCACCGTCATCATCATCGTCGTCGTCGTCATCATCATCAGCCAGGATGCTGGGTTCTACTGAGGGGTCATCCTCATCCGAACTTTCATCCTCTCGCTCCTTATCGGGGTCATTGTTGCTTGGCACTTCAGCGTTTTGTCCACTTTGATTAATACCGCTCCCACTTGCGCCGTCATTCACAGACGAGAGAGTATTATGATGTGACGACATAATGCTTGAAGATCAGACACTCATGATATTCGGTGTGAGAAGTCTTTGGTCAACGCTTAGCCTGCTAGAGTGAATGGATGAAGTGTAAGTTCGAAATGTATTGCTGAGGTTGGGAGTTGTTCTGAAAAGTAGCGATGATAAGATCAAAATGAAAGTAGTGTTATGGGCAACGACTGGATTCGACTAGACTTGTGATCAAATGAGTTATCATATCGGTCCTCGGTACAAAATGACCGTCAATGTGGGAAAAATGCGACCTCTGTGTAGGGTTTTCGAGGTATTGAGGACCTGTCTTGCTAGTGTTGATTATGACTTTCGAAGGGTCACCTGTATCTCTCGAACTGGATAGTTCATGCTCAACGTGGGCCAGCCTTCCTACCTTATACAGGCTTAAGATGAAAGAGAGAAGAAACTTGTTGACGGGCAGTTGTCTCTAGAATCTCACCGATATGTCGTATGAAATCCCTATCAGTTTTGAAAGGGCGGATATGTGTAAGGTAGGTACTCACTGACCAAAAGACGCGAAGAAGGGGCTTACTATATATTAAGTACGTGCGTTCTGATCAGTGCGAAGGTAAGGAAGTAGTAAATAACGAATGCAGACCTTGAACTAAAATAAGAAAACACTTTAGGATAGAAGCTAAGCTGATATCAAGAAGTACGAGAGATATGCCGAAAAAGTGGTTGCTCAAGAGAGGCAAAGGCAACTACGCTTAGTTCTTCAATGAGTCTGTGGTGAAGGAAAGTTGTGGATAGAGAGAGGTTGTGGGAAGTGAAAAGATGGTGTCAAAATCGAGTTGACCACTTGTGCCTGGTTCCAAAACATCTGATCATCTATCAATAAGTAGTTAAGGATGTTGCAGCTACGTCTGGGTTTATTGGGCGGGTTGTTGACGGTTAAACAACTGAGCACATTTGCAATCATGTGGTAGTTGTGGCAGGCGCATAAGAGACTTGCCTGGGTTCAAGAACGCCTGCGGACCCAGTGTTTACATCACAAGTTGCAACTACAGAATCATCTGGGATTTCGCACATTGTTGTGTTTCTTCGGTACCAAAACTTGCTGTGCGTAGTAAACACTTGAACAACTACTTGCAGGTTCGTCGGGGTTGGAATGGGGTTGGGCGTTTAAAGAAATCCAAATCCAATTTTTTAATCACTGATAAACAGCCAATACATTACCGGTTACTAGGTGTTTAGTTATTGTTTCCACAGTTTATATGTTGTGGTTATTTAGAAAGAACAATCTCTTGGGTTTATTAGACTTGTGAGAGATGTATGAATGTTTCTTGGTTTTGATGTTGAAGTTCAGAGTTGGTATCCTGCCGAAACGACGAAGTACTGAGTTATCACAGCAGGGGTTCTGTTTCAGGGATATTGTACGTAAATTGTGTGTGCTTGATGACAATGAGCTACCGAGCGCCGGATAGGCAGATACATACCCCAATACCCCGAGCACACCCCCGAATTTAACCCAACGTTGAAGGTTTCAATGATTGGCCAAGCCGTGTATGGCGCACCCAACTAATTCTGAAGAGGCTAAAGCCACGCTAAATTCCCTGGTCTAGTGGGTTCCCGTCTTCCAGATCTCAGTCTCCGGTTGTGCGAGGTCGCAGCAGCTTGACGAGGATAATAAAAGCAACCGCCGTCCCGCCGCCCAATTCACCACCAAGTGCTTTCCAACTAACGATTCGAACACGAGAGCAAGCAACATGTCTTCCGACAAGCCTCTCGGTTTCCAATGGCAGTTCGCCGCCGGCGCCATTGCCGGCGTGTCCGAGGTAAGCTCTGTCGCGATGCTCGTGTGCTCACCTGGTGCGCGACTAACTGTGCTGCCTCTGTAGATTCTGGTCATGTTCGTACTCTCGCCTTCCCGCTCGACCGACTCTCTACGATTCTAACCTTATGCGCCCGCCCAGGTACCCATTAGATGTCGTCAAGAGTCGACTGCAGTTGCAAAGCGGCAAGGGAGCTGGCGCTGACGGTTATACCGGCATGGTAGACTGTTTCCAAAAGATAGTTCGCAATGAAGGGTAAGGGAGACAGACGACTCTGCAATTTCCGTGGCGCTGATACTCACATTCCGGCATATGCAGGTTTTCAAGGCTTTATCGTGGAATTACCGCTCCCATCTTAATGGAGGCGCCGAAGCGTGCCACCAAGTTCGCCGCCAACGACGAATGGGGAAAATTTTATAGAAAAGCTTTTGGTGCCGAAAAGATGACACAGCAACTGTCTATTCTTACTGGCGCTTCTGCTGGAGCTACCGAATCTTTCGTGGTCGTTCCGTTTGAACTAGTCAAGTGTGAGTGAAGACTCGAGGAGCCCCGCGGTTAGCTCGTGCAGGGATGCTGTGATCTACTTGAACTACATAGACTCCAAGACAGCCTCAACTCCGCTTATCATAACACGAGCTTACACATCTCTTATAGTGCGGTTACAGAGTAAAGAGTCCGCTGGACAGTACAAGGGCGCTCTTGATGTCGTGTCCAAGGTTATCAAGAACGAGGGTGTCCTGGCTTTATACAATGGTCTGGAGAGTACTATGTGGCGCCATATCTTATGGAACGCAGGCTACTTTGGCTGCATTTTTCAAGTCCGCGAGCTCCTCCCCAAGGCGGAGACGAAGAGCAGCAAGATCACCAATGACATTATCGCCGGTACCATTGGTGGTACGGTGGGTACAATACTGAATACACCCATGGACGTCGTCAAGTCCCGTATTCAGAACACTCCCAAAACCGCCGGCACCATTCCCAAGTACAACTGGGCCTGGCCCGCATGCGGCCTGGTCATAAAAGAGGAAGGATTCGGCGCCCTGTACAAGGGCTTCCTGCCCAAGGTGCTGAGGCTTGGCCCTGGCGGTGGTATTCTTCTGGGTAAGCTTTGACGGATGCGCGCGTACACTTGGCTAGTATTCATGCTAATTCGCTTCAAACAGTTGTGTTTACAGGTGTTATGGACTTCTTCCGAACCCTGCAAAAGTAAAACAAAGATATCCATAGAATGGACCAAGGCCAAGAAAACATTTCAATCACGCTCGATACCCTAGTTGGAGATGAGAGATTATAGAGACATCACAAGACGTTGGAAAGGATGCCGAATGAGAGACTTGGCATAGCTAGGATTTCCAATACACAATCTAGAGTAGATAGTAGATGAGTAGAGATACTATAAATATCATGTTCTAGTTCATTCATATTTCGGTCCTACCAATCACCATTCTGGTTCCGCGTGCCGGTGATGAAGGGTGAAGAGCAACGTTCGGTTCGGAGTACGGTCACCTGGATGAGCATTTTACCTTCATTGCTACGTCTCGTATATGATATTTCTAATATAATCAGTGGCTACCCCACAATGGCTTGCAGCAGTACGGCAAACAGCATGTGGGCTCTCCAGCTCTCCAGCTTTCCGTGGGACCGGGAGTACTAAGTAAACGCAATCCACGGTTCTAACTAGATACATACGTACTACTTCTGTATCGAGATGCAGAGAGGTTAAGAGTCAATCGATGTACCAGTTGATAATGAAATCAAGCGGGTTTCGTGGGTTCTTACGGCAATACGGAAGCACGTGGGTTTGTAGCGACGGAGAAATGCAAAGAAACAATGAGTGCAGTCTCGAGAAGCATCATCGCCTTGATTAATGTATTGTGGTACCTAATCCTGTCCATTCTTTGGCCATGCTCATGATCTCAGCACTTTGATTCGCCGGAGCCTGTCGAATTCCATGGACCCGATTGGGGCGTTGGCGTTATGGCTTCCAAGGTTGGTTCGGATCGTTAGCTCCAACCAGCTCCAGCCAGCTCCAGCGCACCACAGCACCGCAGCACCCGGGTCTTCGCTAACTAAGTACCTAGGTAGGTCCCTGCCTGTTCGTCTGGATCGCTAGTTCCTGGGCCGTCGCGGGGGTGTCGAATCGCGACTGCGCCGGGGGCTACGAGCAGACGGATGCCCTCGTCTGGAACTATCTATCTATCTATCTATCTATCTGGTGACGCCCACCAATATATTGGCCACTTTTCCATACTCATCCTGCACACTTCTCCCGAATACCTTCTGCACGCGCACGACAAAATCTTGAAGACTCACCGAAGTCAAGAGCGATTCCATCCCGTCAACCTCGGTATCTCCGTTCGAACTGCTTCAACCCTATATCCGAACCTTATCTTGCCCCTCCGATCTGATCCACGAGTTGGCCCTCCCAGAGACAGGTTACCTACCGAGTGGTCTCCTCCCCTTTTCGCCCTCTCGACGCCCATTCTTTCACCCAAAAACAACGCTGATCGATCGAAATCTGTCCTATCCGTCGGTTCATCTGCTTTGCCACGGGATAGCTCCCACCCCCTTCTTTGCCACAGCGCTTCCGATCGTACCTTTAAATAGGCTGCAGTCCTCGAGGCTTCGGCGAGGTGCTATCTGAAGCGACCGCGGCATCTTTGTTCTAGAAGCGTCGATGACAAGTCTGTGGAAGTATTTCTGGGAAAATGACGTCGACAACTTCTGTCGATTGCTCGCGCCGGCGGGCTATTCCCAGACGCCAGCCAGAAGTCCTGCACCCGGAGTAGGCAGCCCTAGCGCTCTAGGGACCTCACCACGGTCTGTTACGAAGTCGCGCAAGGTATCTGGCTTTGGTGCCGGGTTTTCCGGCGCGAGGTCTTCCGCTGGAAACATTGGAAAGACTGAAGTTAATAGTCGCGACTACTGTGGCCTTACACTCCTGCTGCGAGCTGCATCCTCTACATCACCAGATGCCATTACGTTTGTCCAAGCTCTTCTGGATCATCCTGCCATCGATCTCTACGCCCAAGACCCCGAAAGCGGCTGGAATGCATTACACAGAGCTCTATATCATGGCAATATTTCAGTTGCGCGGCTGTTGCTTGCGAAGGAGCGCAAGGACTTGACAGACTCGCTTGGGTCAAGTACGACGAAGATTGGGCACTTGATCAAAACCAAGGATCATGAAGGCAATAGTCCGTTCGACTTATACAATGCCACCATTGCGCTTCGTTCCCTGAAAACGGCCGAAGAGCGTCCACTTTCCGAAGATGAATCAGATACAGACGAAGTCATCGGAGGTCCTGAGGTCCAGTAAGACTTCATGCTTTCAACGTCCTGTAATTCTTCTAACCAGATGTTTGCAGGCATTCTACTAGATGTAGTTTAGGGGAAGAGCTGTTCACATTTGGAAGCAACAATAACTTGTCTCTTGGTATTGGCCATGAAGATGATAGACAATATCCGGAACGTATTCACTTAGAACGCTCAGATCATTTAATTCGTCATCTCTATCATGAGAGATTTGCAGCGCAGAAACAACGTCTTGGCAATGACAACTGGGCATCGTCCGATCTGGTCGATATCCCTGCTCTAGTTCGGAATCGCCCTATTGTAATTCACGATGTGGTGCTCTCCAAATTACATAGTGCTATTCTCACGACGGATCCAATTTCAAATCTCTACATCACTGGTCTTGGCCGGGGCGGTCGTCTTGGTCTTGGGGACGAAATTACGAAGCTCAGCTTCACGCCCGTTCAAGGGGGGTTGTCTGACAAAAAGGTCACTGCAGTCGCACTTGGACAAAACCACACCTTGGCTGTTACTAGCGAAGGCGAATTGTGGTCATGGGGCTCGAATCAGTATTCTCAGTTAGGGTATACACTTCCTCCTCCAATCAAGCCTGACGAGGAGCCGATTAGCATCCTACCGCGTCAAGTTTATGGGCCTTTGAAAAAGGAACTGGTCCTTGGAGTTGCCGCCTCATCGATACACTCTGTTGTCCACACTGGGTCATCCTTATTCTGTTGGGGCAAGAATGTTGGTCAACTCGGCCTCATGGATGCCGATTCTCGGTCACTGGAAGTACAGACTGTGCCACGAAAGGTTGCTGTGACCTTGATTTCGAGCCACTCGTCCACCGTGTCGGCTATCTCTGCCATCGATAGAGCAACGTGCTGCCTTTTCGGAGACCGTTCTTTGGTTGTATTTACGAGCTACGGTTACAAGACTATCAATCTCCAAAGTGCTACTTTATTCACCACCTCCTCTCTCCGGCAGTCGATACAGTTCTCGTCGGCCGCCTCATATGACTTGAAGCGTCGTGAGATTCATCAGATCGCATCTGGTGGTGATACTATCGCAGCAATTACGAGTAGTGGTGATTTATTTACAATGCAGCTCAGTCATAATTCTGATAATGATCAGCTTACTACGTCAACTACAAACCCGTCGAAAATCAAAGATGCGATAACTCCGCCCAAGCTCGTTTGGAATTCGCGAAAAGATGGGGTTAAGTCTGTGGGCGTAGGAGAAAATGGTTCTGTCATCATATCCACACAATCTGGGGCCGTTTGGCGACGAATCAGACGTACCAAGGCTCAGGTAACGAAGAATCTAGGTCCTTCAGAACACAAGCGCAACGACTTCAAGTTTCAACGCGTACCTTATATTACCGATGTAGTAGCTGTAAGGAGCTCTACCTTCGGCGCTTATGCAGCCGTTCGAAAAGATTGTGATATCACTCGAGACCAACTTTCGATATCCCCACCTACACTATGGGACGACGTTAGCCCGTTGCTCCCTCTTCTTGGCTTCAAGGCGAGGAACTCAAGGCCAAGAGAGAACAAAGACACTTGGAAGTTTCAAAACCCAGAAACGCTGAAGGAGCAGGTTGATGAGCTAAGCTACGAGGTATTAACGTCTACCGATTTGGAGGATGATTTGGCAGCTCATTTCGCCGAATGGGGGTATTCAAATCCAGCTTTAGGCACAGTCATACGTTCAGCCTCGAATCCAGAGCTTTCATTCCCAGTCCATTCTTGGGTTTTATCCGCACGTAGCGCAGTGCTCCGTGACGGTTTTCAGCAATTTCGCGACATCGGGCATTATGATATCCCTGATATTCTCACAATCACTGAAGAGCAGGGAACTACGGTTATAGAGTTCAGTAGAAGCATTGACATAATTGCTGTCCTCAATATTATGGTTTATGTGTACAGCGATCGTGTCATTCCGGCCTGGAATTTCACACGCCAGGCTTCGCCATTAGCATACAGGTATCGCCAAATTCGTACTGATGTTATGAAAGCGGCGGCCCGATTGGCAATACCAAAACTTGAAGCCGCTGCGCGGACGCAAACACCCGCATCTCGATCAATGCATGTTGACTTCAATGATGCGTTCAATGACCCCTTTTTCTTCGAAGATGGCGATGCGCTGCTTGAACTTGATGGAGATGAGATACCAGTACATAGTACCATGTTATGCCAGAGATGTCCTTGGTTCCAGGGACTCTTCAACGGTCGCTCTGGTGGCAAATGGCTCGAAAGTCGCCGGGCAGCACAAGACGATTCTGACCTTTTGCACATAGATTTGCGTCACATGGATCCAGACTCATTCCACTACGTTCTCCAGTTTTTATACGCAGATGTAGGACAAGAACTATTCGACCCGGTAGTTGCAGACAGCATCGACGACTTTGCTGAGTTAGTCATGAATGTCATGAGCATTGCCAACGAGTTGATGCTCGATCGGCTGTCACAAATCTGCCAGACCATTATCGGCCGTTTTGGTTCGTCATCCTGCTCGCTCAGGCTTGCGATTTTCTTCTAGCTAATAGAGTATAGTGTCGACGCGGAATATTTCTACTCTCTTGAATAACATAAGTGCCTGTTCCGTTACTGAGTTTAAGAAGAATGGTCTGGAGTATATCTGTCTTCAGATGGAGGCAATGCTTGAGAACCAGTTAGTGGGGGGGGGGGGGGGGGGGGGGGGGGGGGGGCGGGCGGGGGGGGGGGGGGGGGGGGGGGGGGGGGGGCCCCCCGGGGGGGGGGGACGGGGGGGGGGGGGGGGGGC